AAACCTATCCGAACCGCCGGGGAACCTTCACCGAAAATCAAGATCCAGATCGAATCTCAAATATTCACACATAACGCCCTTGGCGCTGCTTAATCCCGCCCGATATGCACATCCTGGTAAGTGAGGTCATGGGCATTATTTCCTTTCTTTTTCCTTTATCCTGGAAAATGTAAATGCCATTTCCTGCAAGGATCGACTTTATAGATTCATACCTCCTCGGAACATTGCCACATGACATTCACATTCTTTATCTTTCCTATCCCACGAGCACGTTGCGCGTAGATATATAAAAAAGCAAAAAGAAAAAGGCAAATAAGCTAACAACCCAAAAATAGGTAGTCAACGACGATGGTCCGCCAAGCACCAAACTCTCACCATACCTTCGACCGCTAGTCAACACCCTCCAAGCAAACGGCCACCAAGTCTCCGTAGCAATCCCCGCAGCCTCACGTTCCTGGATCGGCAAAGCCCACCTAATTGAAGCCTCCCTAACAGCCAGCTACGTGCACCCAGACGCCTTCAACGCCGACGGTAGCTGGGACACAAATTTCGAATCCCCAGACCCGGAAAACGACTGGGTGGTGATCCGCAACGGCACACCAGCCAGCTGCGCGCAACTAGGTCTGTACAACCTGTTCAGCGAGCGCGCACCCATTGACCTCGTCATCTCGGGCCCGAACCACGGCCGCAATGCCTCCACCATCTACAACCTGTCTTCGGGGACGGTAGGCGGTGCGTTGGAGGCTGTGTTCTGTGGGAAGCGCGGTATTGCCATCTCCTTTGGTAGCAAGGATCCGCAGGCCGATGATGTTATTGCCGCGGCGGCGAGACTGGCTGTTAAAGTTGTGCTACATCTTTATGAGAATTGGGATGACCGGGTCGAGCTTTATAATATCAATGTTCCCATGTGTCTTGATGTTGAGGAGAGGCCGGTATTGTATACGCGCACGTTGCCGTATTATTGGTCCAGAGGGTGTCTGTATGCTGAACAGGGGACGGAGAAGAAAGTTAATGGTGTGAATGGTGTTCATGTCAATGGCGAGACAAATGGCACGAATGGCACAGCTGTTAATGGACATGCCCCTGCGCCTTCCAGACAGCGCCAGTTTAAGTGGTCTGCTGATTTGTCGGATATGAAGAAGACGTTGCAGGAGAGTGAGGTGGGTACTGATGCTCATACTGTGCTCAATGGGTCGACTAGGTAAGATATGGGTTTATTTTTATACTTCTGGAACCGAATATGCTAACGCTATGTCTAGTGTGACTGCCCTCCGAGCCAATTTCTGGCATGTTCCTGGTCTTGAAGGGCCACTGTACCTTGATTGAAGTTCTTGAACAGACTCTGAATGCTTTGGATGATCCTACGATACCCGCAATGGTTTTCGAAAATGCATAATATGGTGATATATAGGGAGAACGGCCCGTTTTGTACATATACGGGAGTTGCATGCATGATTTTCTTTTTTTTTTTCCAAGTGATTTCGACAATAGTCATTTACTGTTATTCTAGCTGCCAGACAGCATGACGGAACAACTGAAATAATATAGGAATGAAATAGAAATAGCTAGTGCAGGTGTATCACATGAACGACAGGAGATGCTGGAATAAGAGCGTCAGCTCTTGAGCTCGGTATAAAAGATCACAGTGGTCCTAGAGCGCGCGCGCAGCTTCGCCTGCGCCGCTATCCACAGTCGACACCTGCTCAGCTCGCATCTTGCCCTTGCTGACACCTCCCTCACCAACACCCATCCGTCGAGCCACGTATCGCTGCGCGATAATACCAGCGGTCAGTGAGAGAGTTTCCTCGATCCACTCCGAAACCCACTCGCGGGGGTCGACACCGCCGCTTTCGATGACCTCGGCGATAGCTTCGGGCACCACAACACGCTGAGAGTTCGCATCCTCGGCATCGGGGTTCTCGGCAGCTGGGACCGAAGCATCGAGCCATTCAATCCATGTCTGCGGGATACTCTGAGAGATGGCGTGGAAGGCAATGCCATGGATGGGGTCGTGGAGGTAGAGCGCGAAGGATATCTCCTCTTCTTGCGTATCAGCTTCCACGGCTCCTTCGGTAGCCGGCTCGCCCGACGCGCCCGCCTGGAAGAGTTCCTTGGAAGCAGGCTGGGTGATAGCCTGAATAGCCAAGAAGATATCGCTGCTGCGAACCGGGTTCGATTCACTCAAGACTTCCGAAGCGTGCTTGGCGGCCTCTTCAACTCCACCCCGGGACGAGAAGTACTCGGTGGCGTAGGACTCGGCGCTGGCTCGGGCGAGCTTGGAGCCTTCCACGGTGCCTCGCACGGAAGAGATGCTCCGCGGTTGTCCAGGTGTGACCGTCCGCCACCAGGGCCCGTCATTCCAGCCAGCACTGCTCATGTAGCTAGTAACATCGAGCCCGCGCTTCGGAGATGACTCCTGGCCCCGCTGGATCACCAACAGGTCCCCACCCTCGACTTGGGACATCACTCGCGAGAATACCGCATAGACTAGCGGGTCGATGCCCGGGTAGCCAGACATATCATGAGTCACGTGGATTTGTAGACGCTCATGCGAAGAAATAGGAGGGGCGAGGGTGTGGATGAGGTTGGTGAATGTCGGGATTGCCCTGTTACGAAGCTCGCCGCCTGCATGTGCCAGTTAGCTCTGTGCGTGTAGGAGAGCATTTTTTTGAGTAGGAGGATCTATACCAAGATCGCGGAGAGCTCCAACATTGCCCTTGACCTGCTGAGCCCACTTCTGGGCCTCCTCATTATTCTGAATCTCTTTGACAGCCGCCTCGGCCTGCTTCATAGCCGCGGTGGCCGTTGCGAACAGCCCTCCCGACCATCCACCCCACCATCCGGCACCCTCCTCGGCTGATTGTTGTGCGGGAACATTCTCAGGCTCAGACTTGGGCTGTTCCGACTTTGTTTCTGCACGTGAAGACCGGCCCGTATCCTCAGACTGGCGAACCGGCGCCTTGTCCTCGGTCGGTCGGTCAATGGTCGCGCTCGGGCGGGGAGATCGTGTAGATGACCTAGGCTTATCGGCAGACAGGCGCGGCGTACCTGGTCCACTGGCTGGACGCTGTGTGGCTAGGTGGTCCAGCTCAGCCAGGATGTCTTCCTGCCCGCCCTTGACATTTTCGGATGCAACAATAGCTTTAGATGTTTTGTTACCGGATTTGTCAAGACCGAGGTCATCAAACTGAGCTAAAAGCTCGTCACTGGTGGGTTTGGGGGCCTTTGGAGGCATGTTTGTTTGAGGGAACAATGTTCAGGAGAGGTGACGACACCTTGGGAGCTTCTAAACTTGTGGAGATCATGTGCCAAGACCAACAGCACTGACTGCAGGAAAGTCAAATTTACTTAAACCTCATCTCGAAGAGTCTCGAAGAGAACATTTTTTAATTTGAATAATTCATTCATTCAATTCCCAGGGAAAATATAAGCCTTAGACCTATTAGATGTCGGACCACTTGGACAGTCTTGGATTTAAATTGTGTCACCCCGCACAATACTTAGTACCTTAATATACAATGTCAATTACCTTCCCATCTTCACTTCTTCTCTTCACAAGTTCATACCTGGATTTTTAAGAAAAATCCAACCAAATCTTGCGGAATCAACTCGGAAGCGTAAACCCGATTACCGCGGCTTTGACTGGATCCGCTATGAATGGACCCGCGCGGGGTTCCCGATAAATAGCAGCTCAGTCCGCCGGAGCCGTATAGAGGTTCCAATTTCGCTAAAAAGAACAGTATCTTCCAAGCTTGCAGCTTTGGATCAGGTACGGAATACTTGTCTCTCATTGAAAACAGCTCTCTGCTCCAAAGCACAGCTCATTGAGTCACATCTCAACTGACAATCCCCAAACCCTAGGTTCCACCATTGAACAAACCAACATTCAATTAAGATAATCTACAACACTCGCATACCACCCACCATGCGTCTCCCATATGTTGCAGACCCCCCAGCAACTAGCACTCCGGACGAAGCCAAAATCCTAGCTAGCGTCCAAGCCCGCCGAGCCCCAGGCCCGCTCCTCCCCCCTCGACCTAGCCCTCCTACACTCCTACCCAGTCACAGAAGGCTGGAATTCATTTATCGGCGCAATTCGCACCCGAACCACACTCTCGACCGTCGCCCGCGAACTAGCCATCTGCCGTGTCGCAGTGGTCAACGGCGCCCTCTTCGAGTGGGAACAGCATGCACCCCTGCTCGAGGAAGGTGGATTGAGCGCGGAGGCATTGAAGTTTATCGGGGATGCCCAGGCGGACTTCTCGAGCGAAGCTGCATCGTCGGTCTTGACTGCTGACCAACGGGCTGTGCTAAAGTATACCGATGCTATGACAAAGACGGTTACGGTACCTGATGAGGTTTTTGCGGAGCTAAAGGATTGCTTTGACGAACGGGAGGTTGTTGAGATTACCGCTACGATTGCGGCTTATAATTGTGTTAGTCGCTTTTTGGTGGCTTTGGATGTTGGTGAGAAGAACCACCTGCACTGAGCTGTAGGTGTTATAAGCCTCGCGGCAAATTATACTGAAAATAGACTAGCTTAGAAGAACTATTGCCATTTTTGTTAAGAGTTAAGTATGTATGCCAATAACATTTAGACTCTTTAGCTCCATAATTAGGCGCGATGAGAGGTCCTCTGTTCTGATACTCGTAGTGATCTATCGCATTTGAAGTAGAATGTGATGTGTACATCCAGAACGTGCCACCAAGCCTTGGATTATAAAGTACACTGTACCTTTTCTTGAGAATTTCCTTCTCTTCTCTTTAATTCTTTGCTTCGACTTTCCTGCTGCTCTTGGATTTGTTCCTTTCTTTTTTGAGAGATCGCCCTGGTCCAATCAATTCGGTGTTATACTTTGACCCCTCTGTAAGCACTGCAAGCTAATGGGGAAGAGAAGATGATCCATTATGCTACCTACGGCGGCCCCTAAGGGGTGACAGGTCAAGGTCACCTGACTGTCGCTGACAGGGGAGTATGTATAAAAGGATAACCATCACAGGATCCAAGTCTACTTTCCGAGATGCATGCTTCCAATGGGGCTACCCAAATGCTTGGAAAGCAAGAGTAAGTAGACTAGAGAGCTTCTACGATTCATAGCTTGGCAAGCCCTGCGAGGCTGTCGCAGTAAAAGCCAAGTTTATTGTCTTCAGATTATTAAATCTGGAAATGCTTATGCCAATAACACTGACAAGGAGACCGTAAATAATCAGCGATGGGACGGAATCCCTAGCCAGCGTCGTGACCTCTCTCCCCGGGAGTCCTTGGCTCTTTAGGGGAGATGAAGAAGGACACTCCCGAGGACCTACGGTGGTACATCATTGCTAAGATCTGCATCGATGGCAATAACAGGTGCCTACGCGACCCTGTGATTTACCGATGCAATCCGTCTCCTTATCACCGTACAGGTGACGCCTGGGCTATCTATCCTACGTACGACTTTGTTTGTCCTATTGTCGACTCGATGGTGGGCGTTACCCATGCTCTGAGATTCAGCGAATACAGAGACCGCAGCCCGCAGTACCGGTAGATGCTCGATGCTCTGAACCTCCGTACTGTGCAGGACTGGGAGTTTTCTCGCACGAACTTCATCCGTACCCTGGTGTCTAAAGGTAATCTGACCACACTCGTGAAAGGAGGTGTCGTATGGGGGTGGGATGGTAAGTGTTCCGTTTTCTCTGGATTTATATGCTGATACTAACGACCATTTAGACCCTCATTTCCCCGCTATCCGTGGTTTACACCGTCGCGGTATGACTATTCCAGCACTTCGTGGATTTATTCTCAAGCAGGATCCATCTAAGAATGTGATTTTATTTGACTGGGGCTTGATCTGGGCCACTAACAAGAAGTATATCGACCCAGTTGCGCTTCGCTATACAGCCATTGGAACCGAGGACATTGTTAAGGCGACGGTTACTGGTGGACCCGCTTCCCCATACACGGAGACGCGGCAAAAGTATGTCGAAAATACTGGCGATAAAGTAGTTTCTTTCTCATCTTCTATTGTTCTAGAGTAGGTTGACGCCAAATCTTTCAACCAGGACGAAGAGATCACGCTGATGAACTGGGGTAATGCAATTGTGCGCAAAATCTCCACAGATGGTTCTACCGACAAAGTGACACACCTATAGCTAGAACTGTATATGGCCGGTGACGTGAAGAAAACTGAGAAGATGGTGCCTTAGCTGTCCACGGAGGGCCAAAATCCGGTCCCCGCCGAGCTGGTCGACTTTGACTACCAGATCACGAAGGACTCGCTGGTATATGATGTCCTCGAGGATTTTCTCAACTTCGATACAGAGTTCCGTGTGACCGCGCTGGCCGGTTGTAATGTCTCCGAGGTTAATGCTGGGCGATATCCTGCAGTTTTATCGCAAGGGCTTCCACCGTGTGGACTGTGCTCCTGCTCCTGGTGTCCCGGGTGTCTTCTTCAACATCTCCACCGGAAAGCAGAAGTAGATATCGATAGTATGAGCCACGGATATGGCGCGAATGGGATGGAGAAGATAGCTTGGACGAAATGGAACAACATGTATCATATATAATCAAAATTCTTTATGGAGATAAGCGCCTTCAATGAAGCCAACCGTGTTTTTGATTGATACAGTGCAGATTGAATCAACTATGGAGTTTCAGTTATCGATAACCACTGTTTTTGTGCGACACTGCTTCGATCCTTGTGTGGGACATTTATAACTCCTGCAGTACGTATGTTTCTGGGCACTTCGTGTCACCTTGTATGTAACTGCCCATTATGCTTGTTATTTTTGATACTTACTGCTCTTCTCACTGGACTATAGGTACTTCCCAGCACTTCCTGGCTCATTGCTAGTGTTTTCCCTTGGGGCAATTTTGGGGTCCCATGTTGGCTCTATCAGCCTATACTTGAGAAAAAAATAGCTACTATGTTCCACATTGTTGATATTATTTCTACACTACGGCTCTGCTGAGGAGGCCTATAGAGTGACATCGAAGAAAAACCGGGGCTCGGGACCCACCCGTCGATTTTATATATATTTCCTACTAGGGCTCTTTGACTACCATCGGTATGGCCCATTTAGAGAGCAAATGTTTGCACAGTAGAAGTTCAGATACATAGGTCATGCATATCCCTAACTATAAATACATAATAAGAAAATATAGATATACAAATACAATATGTGGGAACATTTCCAACTCCGGAGCTCTACCCCATATATTGACTGAAGTATTAGTTTCAAGGTAGGGATAAAGACCATTAACTTCCCGAGATATCACATAAGTTGCCCTTTTAGCACAGTGGTAGTGCGCATCACTCGTATCACAATGTGACATGATGAGGTCCCCGGTTCGAACCCGGGAGGGGGCTTTCATTTTTTCCCCCTCTTTTTTTCCCTCTCTCTTCTCTCCTCTCGGCCACATCCAGAGCCAAAATGGGAGGCGAGGAGAGAACACCTAGTCCGTCAGCGGTAAGAACTGAGCGATACAATTGTAAATGGTTTTAAGTAATATCGTGATATAGGGCTAATGATGAATTGTAGGTGAAATTGCATTCTGTATTTCTGCCCCGGCTATACTTCTTGCCGCTTCCCTTGCTGTGAATGCCAAGACATTACAACAGGTGGAGCGGGTATATATCTTCCTTTTTTACTTCCATTGTTCTTTAATCAATTGAACTTCAGTCTCTGTGCATGACTGCTGTACCCAGTAGTTCTGGTTATTTTCTACGGTGAAAACAAAATCATCAACAAATTGAGGTAAATTGCACCCGGAGAGTATAGGATGGCACTACGACGAATGAGACAACCCATCATGTTCAATCTATTTATCATCCTATCATCCAGATAATAATTGTGAATGTCGATGCAGAATCTTCTATGAACATCTGGCGTGGGAGCTATATCCAACAAGCCCCGGGAACTTAAATGTTGTCTAGGCGAAGGAGACACGAGCAGCTAATATTGCCAATGGCGAGGATGCTGATGGAATGGCTCTTCTCAACTAGAATTCCACCTTACTTGACAATTTAGACAATGGGAGGCTGGAGCTGAACAGTTTGATTCGGTATCTATCGCTGGTTGGGTTTGGCATGTCTGTTGCCACTACCTGTGACGTGATGTGTGGATACGAGACAATTCTTGGAGGTCCATATGCAGAACATATCTTATGTGCTCTTTCTACCATAATTAATATATGTAGACATAAAGCAGACGGAGGTGACATCGTGTATTTTAGTCTATGTATCCTAGCGGATGAGGCATCGCCTCTCTATTCCCGTGGCACAAGGCATGGGGACTATGTACCAAGGAGCCAAGGGTAGCGTTAGTCACGGTGTGCATATATCACCTGGTTACTATCTGAATATGCCCCAGGTAGTCAGTGTCCGGTCTCCTGTCACCTGCCCGGGACTTGCTTGTTAAGTATGGATATAGCCGAGTCCATGTGATTGTCCACGGAAGTAAGCGCTTAGAAGCTAGCCCCCCTGGATCTCCCCAAAGACTTGCTCTAACTTCCAGCTAAATGTCTCAATAGCCAGGCATTGAGGAGACACGCTATTGTTCGACTCTAAAGTACGTATCATGTGACGTATACAATGGTAGGAAAATCGGTACATAGGACAGTAGTTAACAATTCAAGAATAAAGACAATAGAGAATTAAAGATCAATACAATGCAAAGAATCAATAAAATCATTGATCAATAGTGATCAATCCAAATCAAAAACCCCCTTTCCTCAATGTCGTCCAATGTGGCTAGTAGATAAGAGGCATCTGATTGGTCGGGTCAGGACGGGGTTTCCACTGCCTATGAAACTACAAAACTATCTCTCTCTCAACCTCAGTCTCTTCTCAACTTCATCATCCTTATCCCATTTCCCCTTCCGATTTATTCTCTTCTCCTGTACTCCTTCTGTCCTGTAATCTCACTCCATCGACTGACTTGTTTTCGTGTCTTCTTCTTTGCGCAGTGTCGCGTCGGCGAAGATCATTTTTTTTCTTCATACTACCCGGCGACGCAAGATCTGCGCGCCAAACACAAGTTTGCGCTCCTTTTGACATCTTCTCTATTTCACCTGTCTCCTAAATCTCATCCATTCTTCATCTTCTCTCATCCCACTTCGCGTTGTGTCCCAATAAGAGGACTGTCACCCAGCCTTCACTAGTCGGATAGTAAGTACACATCCCTGGCAGCCACTCATGCCTATCCTCCACCCTTCTTTGCAGAACTCACTAACAGCCAGCAGTCATTGGCTGTGACTTGTGTCTCCTATCCACAAGGATTCAAACTCGACATCAAACATCTCATGGTAAGTGGCGCGTCTCGTTCCACTTTTTCTTGTATGCCACAGTTTCGCCGTACTTCCCGGTCAGATCTTGATCCATGCATTTTTGCCCGACCGTGTCTTATGTTTCATGTTTTTTCTTGTTGCATGTTACATGTCGCGTTTACTGGGTTTACAATGTATTGTGATTCTTGTGTTCACGCTGGTCCATGCCTTGTGCCTTGGCCTTCGAAACCGCGGAATTGCGCTGCGATTTACTGGCGTCTTGGCACCCGCAAGCGAACCAACGCTGACCATCTATACAGATTCTTTCTTGACATTCTTCATTCTCCATTTGAGACCCTTCTTTTTTCTTCTTCTTTTCTTTCTTGTTTATTGAAACACAAATACCCCTCTTGTTCTTTTTTTCTCTCTCTCTCCATTTCCGCCAAAATGGCCCCCATTCCAAGGGCCGATCTGGATGGGGACAATCCTTCTTCGGATATTGGTGGCAGCCAAGACTCCCCGCTGCGTCGTCAATTTTCTGAACCCTTCCGTCCCCAATCTACCTCCACTCAAATCTCTCAGTCACCGGAGCCCTTGCCTCGACGACTCAAGTGTGACTGGTGTGGGAAGCTTTTGATGCTCCAAAATAGCGCAGGCATCTCCGAAGAAGATGTTTTGAATGATCATATCAACGAAGCTCATCCGAAATCCATCAATTTTTCTGGGTATGATGGTGCCGAAGATGGCGGTGATGACACTTACGACGAGAATGGCGATCTCCAAGATGACGACGCCATTGAACAAGATGAACCCATAGCCCAAGCTGCCAATCTTGAAGATGTCGAAGAGATCGCAGTAGAATTGACGACTGAAGATACCCATGGCACCCAGCCAACTGCAATCCCAGTCAATGTCAGCTATGTGCCCGAAACAAAACGTGACCTTTTGGACTGGCTTTCCAACCCGCGTACTGGATATCCCGAGGAGTATCGCTTCCGCGACGCCCAGTGGCGACGACCAGATGTGAAAAAGCGCCTCGAACGCTTCTGGAAAGTCAATGATGCCAACAAATTCTCCCCCAACTACGACCAGGAAGCTATCAAGTGTGAATCTACTTGGGACAATGCTTTCCGTGACCCCTCTAAGACCAGGAAGCGTGACGCTCCTGAACTAGCTTCTAACCCTCTTCCATACAAGAAGGCCAAAGTCGACAAAGGTCAATTCCTCGAAGTACAGGCTCAAGAACTCGACGAACTTGTCAGCATGCTCCGCAGTCCTGAGAAATACACACCTGAAGAACTCTACGCACTCACACAGACTGCCGCTTTTGCTTTGAAAGCATTCCAAGATGAATATCTGGCCCTCGACGACCTTTACCTCAAGGTGCACCGACACAAGCGAGATGAACCCTCATACCAAACTAAGCGACATCAAATACAGGGTCACAAGAAAAAGGGTGGAGCCCCCCTGGCTCATGTGAATGAGGACAAACTTGACTTTGAGGAAAAGAAAGAGGCAATGCTTTATGGTTACAAACACAATTATTTCCCGGGCAACACACCACTTGTGCCTATCCGCACACAGCAGGATCCATTTGTGCAAGGAGGCTTTGTCCCAACTGCTGCACAAGCTAGAAAGATGATTGCCAAGGACAAGGAGAATGGTAATCTTAACCCTGATGGATGGGCAACCATGAAGAAACATGGTCTTGAATATCACGCTCAGATGTACGAACCTCGACGCGAGCCAGCTGTGCCAAAAGTCACTCGGAAACGCAAGGCCGCAGAGGTCGAAGCACCAATCAAGACGACCGATACAGAAGAAACTCAAAATGAGAGTGTGGATGGTGATGAAACCGATGAAGATAACCACCCCGCAAAGCGACGCACCCGAGGCCGCGGTGGCAAAACGGTCGTCGCCGAATCAACTCACTCCGACACTAACTCCCGCAAAGCCTCTGGCCGGGGCCGTGGCCGCGGACGTGGCCGTGGGCTTGGTCGCCTTGGTTCCTCTCGGGCTACCTTCGAAGTCACCCCTGCCCCAACTCAACCCTCATCACGGGGCAGGGGTCGACGTGGCGCTAGCAGCCTGGCCTCCTCATCCCTCCCTCCAGCAGAGACCTCCTTCCCGGCCGTCGAGCCGACGGCCACCCAAAGCCCCGTCGACTCCGCTCCGACGTCGGCCAAGAAGGAGGCTCTCTCTGCCGAGGCGATCGAGGAGGCCAGGCGCCAGAAGATCGCCAATTCGAAGAACCCTAAGAGAACCAAGGCGATGCTCGATCACTGGGACCGATTCAATCGAGAAGGACGGATCCGCAACCCAAAGCGATCCAAGGCCCAAATCGAACAGGACAGGACCGTCGACGGCCCCGCCGACGAGGTCCCCAAGCCCACTGGCCCTGGCCGCCGTAAGCGGTCGCCTTCGCTCGCACCGCTTGCCGGCAACCTCGCCCCCAAGGGGCCCACCGGCCTGCCTTCAATGGCAACCGTCCAGGCGCAGCAGCAGCAGCCCATGCCTCCCACCCTCCCCCCAATGGGGGTGGTGCCTCACTACGGCCCCGGCCCAGTGAACCCTTTCGCTGCTGCTGCTGCTGCTGCGCCTATGGCGCAACTGGGGCAACCAATGCCGCCCCAGTACGCCCCATTCCCGTACGTCCAGTACCACGGGATGGGCCCCCTTCCGGGTCATAACCCCGGGGGCCCACGCCATTGAGGGCAGGCCGCCTCGTCGAGGCAATCCTCGGTTCCCCCCTCTCTCACTTGAGCTATTATCTCACTTCATGTTCATTTCACTTTTTATTTACGAGTGAGAGAGAGGGGGGACTGGGGCTTGCCTCGACACCCAGGTCATTCGCTGTTTCCCGGCCCACCCCAGGGTTTGGAATGGGATCGCAGGGAATTACCTTCGCCCGGGTTTATCCTACTTGGTGCACGGCCCTCTTCGTGACTGGGCCGAGCCCGTGGCTGATGAACCGGGGTGGAGGTGTTCTTTGTGATCTCAGACACCCTCGGGTGTGGGCTGGGAACGCGATGATCAGATACATTATTATGAAGGTACTAGTGCCCTGGCAGTGTCTGGACACTGCCGGGGCACCGGTACATGTATTCTAAGGCTCAATCTCATGTTGTAAAAAAATTCTTTTTGTTCTATCTGTAATTCTTAGCTTGTACAATACTAGTTTCGAAGGTTGTGGATTGTATGTATGTGGATTGTACTTTGCATTTTAGACTCGATATTTCGTTCAACATAGGTAGATGCAATATAAATCAACATACAACCACACTGAATGTGTAGTATAGCAGATCACAGCCTCAGTTTTATGGTTTGGAAGTAGTAAAATGGGCATTCTACTCAATATAGAATGTTCTCTCACAAAAGGTAGCCAGGGCAACAGGATAGGAAAGAAAGGTGTCAAAATTCTTTACTGAAGACGTAGCAAATCACATTGTTTCTTAAGTGCAAGAAGAGACAGCAAAAAGAAACATGATCCACTTCAAAGTGCTCCAAAGTGCATTCACACAGCTTTATACTCCATCTGAATTCAGTCACGTGACTGTCACGTGATTCAGGCTTGGCCTCATCCATCATGGCGAGCTCCCGGATCTGCTACACAATCCTAAGCAAACCTCCCCTCCTTTGCAACCCCACACACCTTTACGTGTTTCGAATTGCCTTTTATATCTACCGACGCCACAATGGGCAAAAAAAGACGTGGTCCCTCCCTCGAGGAGCTCCTTGATCGCCCATGGTGCTACTACTGCGAACGTGACTTCGACGACCTGAAGATCCTCATCTCTCATCAGAAAGCAAAGCATTTCAAGTGCGACAACTGCAATCGCAGGCTGAATACTGCCGGAGGTAAGTCCTATTTTATCTAGATAATGTGAGTGTAGAAACTGACGGCTTGTCCCACTAGGTCTCTCCGTACACCTGAGCCAGGTCCATAAAGAGCAATTGACTCAGGTCCAAAATGCGCTGCCGAACCGCATGGGTGTCGATGTTGAAATATTTGGCATGGAGGGTATCCCCGCAGAAGTCCTCAAGGCCCACCAGCAGCGTGTCGCTTCACAATTTCAGCAGGCCGAGCTGGATCGCCAGCATGCGACAGGCAACCCTCCTACTGGCGCCTCTTCTGGCGGCCAACCAGCGAAAAAGCCTAAGCTTGAACCTGTCTCAGATATCAAGAAGCGACTGGCTGAACACAAGGCCAGGCGTGCGGAGGCGCTTGCCGGAGGTAGCAGTGGCGATGTGACACCCTCTAGTGCTCTTCAGTCTACGCCAACATCCGGTGTATACGTGAGTCTTATCCTGCTATTCAATGTGAAATGATTCACGAGCTAACAATTCTTACCAGACACAATCGCCTCAGATCGCAGCCGCTCAGCAATACTCCTATCCTCAGCCCTATGGTGGCCCCCCCGCCGCTGTGACACCTCATTTTTCGCAGACTGGCAGTCCTGTCTATTCAAGCTACTCCCCGGTTGGTGGACAACAACTCCCTGGTGCCTCGCCCTACACTCCATCCGGATACCCCTCGCCATTCCCCGCCGGACTTCCTGCGCAGCAACCAGTCTCCTATGGGGCTCCTCCTTACACCCAGCAACAACCTCCACCATCCGATAACAGATTTATGGGCCTACCGACGGCCTCGAACCTTCCCCAGCGTCCTGCTTTTGGTGTACCTTCAGTCAACGCGCACGAAATGCAAAAGATGCACATGGGACACGTGCCCCCCACCCCCGCAGCTTCGGGTCACTCTAATGGAGACAGCGCCCAACCAACCGAGCATGTCTCCACCCCTGTTGACAATCAGATTTCAGGCGCAGCCAATGACGTCGCCCCCCAGGCAGAGGGTAGCAGCAAGCCCAAAAAAGAAAAGACCAAGCCCGCGATCCGAATGATTTACAATGACGATACGTTCAGTCCCGAGGAGAAGAAGGCGCAGCTACCTCGATATGCATACGTCCCAGATCAAAGCACGCAAACCGCCCTCGGCGAGCTCCCCGGCAACGCAGTCGTGGGCGCCATTCAAGAGTCCGACACGGTGATCGATCCGGCACATTAAGTTCTGCTTTGTTTATTTCCTGCTGCATTTGCAAGTGATGGAGTTACGGAATCCAGCTAAGTCGACACATCAAAACTTCTAGTTACATATGAGCATTCTCCTGGCTGGATCTTTGGTTGTCATCAGTGGCCCTGATTCCAAATCCTAGTCTGGCGAGTCCTCCCCCGTCCCACCATCATTCTTCTCCCGACAACCCCAGGAAACATCGATGCTGTTTAAGTTCGATGCTGCGAGATAAAAAGATATTTTGAAAGACCTTGAGGGAGAAAATCGAAAACTCCAAAAAAAACCATCAAAAACTCAAAAAGAAAGAAAGAATTGAGAGGCTCCCTTGAGTCGCTCGTGCAGGATGGGAGGCTTAGGTCTGAGTTATTGGTTCGCGAAAGTCACATCGAGCCTACGTACAGTACGTGCCTTGCCCTTTGATCCTATCTCCTGACTCCCCACTGGAGGTTTAACCCTGGAGGAATCTGTTTGATGTGAATGCCTAGACGGCAAAAATGATGCCATCTACGGTCGATGTAAGTTTTTAGCGTTTCTCTGGAGGTAGGAAATCCATATTGGGCGTTTTGACCTGGAATCTCATGGGTATTTCGTTATCTACCAATGTATGTTTGATTTTAGGTGATTCTGTCTGTACCTCGTATCCGTACAGTAGCCACCAATATATGCAACATCTAACTAAACCAATTCAACCGTAAATGACCTACTAATACTCAATTGAGGTATGAATATCACTAAAAACGAACGGTTCAGCTCCATTCATTATTTCCCCCAGAACTTCATTCCCATTCACTACTCATGCCTTCTTCTCCTTAAGCGCAAATCCAAAAACATAAAGTCCATATGTAGCCAGGATTGACAAAACTACCGGAACAGGCTTTCCACCCGTCTTGATCACGCGCGGCACGGAGCTTCCACCCAGCACGGCCGAGGCGAGGAGACCCAATTCCTCGCCGTAGGATTGGCTGGCGCGTAGGCGCAGGAATGCGAGGAGGTAGATGAGGCCGACGGAGACGCCCGCGGCGATTGAGGGGATTGATCCGGTACGTGTGTAGCCGATTATGCCGCCCAGACTTGTTAGGAGGGAGAGGACTAGGGCGGATGTTGTTGGTGGGGACTGGGGTGGTTAGTTTTGGGTTTTCTGCGGAGGGAGATTAAGAGGGGTGTTGGTGGAACGTTGGTGGTGTCGGGGCTTGCGGATTGATTGTGGTGGGTGGATTAGATTGGGATCGGGGATGTAGATCTGTAGACATACCATATTGTAGGTTTAAGACGGGTTGTCTCTTCTTTTCTGGAGGGTATAGGTCGAGAGTCAGAGGGTGAGATTATGAGAGATGTAAGTAACGTAAGTTACGCAGATGAAGCTCGGTCATGCAATTGATTAGTCAGATGACGAAGTCTGGGGTAAATGTGCACGCATAACTTCATAATTTAACGCTGGGAACTATATAATTCTAAGGTGATGTGGCGGGAACTGGTTATATGAACCCAATTGCAACTCGTACCCATGAATTTTGTTCATATTGATGTATCTATTTATCTCTAAGGACAACTGTGCTGTATGTCCAACACTTCGAGGTAAGATAGTCAGTCTACTTACCAGCCATTTACCGCAGCAACTTGGTTGCAGCACCAATGCGTTCCTGGATGATGGAGCTCCATTTCTGGAAACACATAAGTTAGCAATTGTACCTAAAGCAAAAGGGGTTCGTAAATAAACACATACCTCGGCATTATCCACGTCTCCAGCCTCAAGACTCTCCACTAGCCCAGGGTAGGTGGCTCCCGAGTAACCAGTCCAAATGCCAGGGGCAAAAACGACATGCTTGAACCATTCACGGCCATCGAGACCGGGCTGGTGCAAGAAAGCTCGTTCAATGCCCTTGTACTTCTCATTGGTAACACGAATGAGGAACCAAAGTCTCACCTTCTTCCACCAATGGTACCAAGGCACATCATCACCAAGCTGAGACTTCAGGTCAGCAGCACGGGCATCGAAAGCCTTGGCGGACTCCTGGAACTCAAGAATGGCCCTATCCAGAGGTGCGAAGTCAAAGTGGGCCTTCTCAGGAAGATTGTCCGCCGCAGGCTTGATGTGGTCCAGGTAGAATCCAAGGCCAACAGAATAGTCGGTGGCGTTAAGCGCAAGAAGGGGAGACTCCACCAATTGTGCTGCTGCCAGAGCCCAGAGTTTTGTGCAAGCTTGGTGGTAGAGGAAGTCCTTGTCACCGTACTTCTCCATCCATGCAAAACTGTCGTAGTTTGAGTGGTAGTGGTAGACTGGGTCATTCTTACCACGACCAAAGCCAAAGTCGAGACTGGCGACACCGGCGAAATCTTGGAAGGCAGTGAAGTCACTGCCACTGCCCATCGTTGCGATCTTGCCATTCCAGACATCGCGGACTGTCTGGCCTCGCACGGTCTGGTTGGGAGACTGCACTAGAGCGGTGACATCGTTGATGACCTTGTTCAGCAAGGGACTGGCTCGAGGTTCGAAGTTGGTGCCCGCAGCAGCCCCATCGACATTTAGATAGGCGATGTTAGCCTTGGAGAGCCATGGGAGGTATTCTTCCACCCACTCGGTCGAGCCGAGAAGACCGTACTCTTCACCATCCCAGCTAGCAAAGACAACAGTGCGCAATGGCTTCCATCCTGCCTTGAGGGCCTCGCCGAAGCTGCGGACGACTTCGTTCAAGGCAGCGGATCCACTGTTAGGATCTCCCGCACCACCGGCAATCCATGCGTCACGGTGGTTACCGAGGATAACGACCTCATCGGGGATGTGGCCCTTGATGGTACCGATGACGTTCCACAGTGGGGTTGTCACATACTCCTGGAGGTTGTGGAGGTTGATCACCACATCCTCGGGAGACGGTCCGATATTGTACTCCACACCCTTGTAGCCGAGGCCGCCTCCCTGCCAAAACTCGTTGAACTCTGACGCTTTGGGGCCGTGGCCGTTGAGCGCCTTCAAGAATGGGAGAGCCTCCTTGTATGAGACAGGCAGAGATGGGATTGAAGGGATGGAGTTATGCGGATCTTGTCGCTCGCATCCAGGCTTAGATGCGTATCCCGGGGTAGTGGGGTCACCAGGGAGGATACCTTGTTCAAGTTAGCTTTGCAGTGCCATTACTTTGGAAGAAAGTCCTTACTGAGGAATTGAGTGCTACCTCTCTGGATGGCGCTGGGATTCCGTGCCGGACCATTGGGATAGGCATCATAGCCATTTTCCTCGGTGATTTCACCATCTTCCTGGGGATCACTGTAGATAACTACGCCGATCATTCCAAGCTCCTGTGCACGCTTCACCTTCAAACCACGGAAGTTCCTACCGTACTTGGCGATGGCAATATTACCCTCCAAGGTGACGTTGGCATTGACAAGGTCCTCAAAGTCCCTGTACGTGCCAAAGTTGACATACACATACTGTGCGGTCACGTTGCCGCTAGCAGAATAACCATGGAACACTGGGACACGGTCTGGCAGGCCAGAAGTAGGATCCTCTTCGAGAATATCCTCCTCCAGTGTAGCTTCAAAAGTCACTTCGGACTTGTTACCGGATGTCTTCAAGAGGGCCAGGCGGTGATCGAGCGGGTAGTTGATGTAAATATCATACGCCGCGAGTCCGGTATCCTCCACGCCAAATTCCTTCCACTTTTCCATAGTCCAGAGCGCCTGAGATAGGTTCTTTCCTCCCAAGTGAGGTCCTGCTGTATAGTATTTGCTCCACTCCCGGGCCTTTTCTGCGGAAGGCACATTTAGGAGGATCTGCTGGAGTTGGTCGTAAGGCAGACCGTAGCTCTCCGGCCATGCATCGTGGGGGATTGGATGGGCCCCAGGGAGATAGGACCAAATGGAGCCATGCTCTCGAGGCAAAATGGCGGTGGGAATGAGGAATAGAATGGTCGCCACAGAAAGTAGGGCTGCTAGGGAGATAGTACACGCTCGACGAACAGCATGGTGCGGATATCTATGCCGCGGAGGAGCGACATCGACCACAAGAAGAGGTGTAGTCTCTGAATACCGCATGTCTTTCTCCCTCATCTTGTGTGTGAGTGAAGACAGAACTAAAGTGGAAAGCTTCTCCGCATTATATCATCGACCGAGCGGATCACCTTATCGGCTGACAAAGCTACCCCTCACGGACCAGCCCGTCATCATATTGCCTTTTTAGGAAAATGTCGATTATCTATGCGACTTAGTGTTTTCACCAATGATATGTAATGATTAGGCCTTCAATTGAGAATGGATATAAGGGGCATTCCAGTAAATGTAAGACAAAACATGAGTGGTATCATAATAGCTATTTATATACAATCGCTCAAGATGAGAAAACTGCATGACCCTTGAAACGGGGAGCAAAAAGCGATAAAACACATGTCACAGTCAGGAAACAAGATAAAAGAACATAGCGTCCATGGTATAAAGTGAAACGGATTAAACGCCTAATCATTCTTCGACGTCATCCTGTACCGGGACAACATTGAGGTCTGGATTGACTCTGTTACCAATCTCCATACTCTCCCTCATAATCCGACGGGCATCTTCGTCGTTGACTTTCATGTCATCCTTGACCATGAGGACAGCCAGCTCAGGCACAAGAACAGATTGTGTGTAGCCAGCCACGCCTGCCGTCTTGATGAGTTCATCTGTTGTCGCCAAACGACGTACAACCACAGAAAAGCGACGAATGATTGTTTCTAGTCTAGAATGAGCACAGATGTTAGTATCATCAAACTAAGCAAGGGGTATGTACTACATACATCCTGGTTGCACCCATGGTACCATAATAACCACATGTCATCGTCTCAAGCCTCTCGGCATCACCCGCTCTCACACGGAAGTTTCTCGCTTTCCCTGGTGCGAAAGAGGTAGAGGTACTAAATATGTTTCGGTAATAAGAGGAAGCGCCAGGGACAAGTAGTTTTTCAAGTTCGGGGAAATAGCTCTGAACACGCTCTTCAAACCCATTCCAGTCAATTTTAGGGTACCCTCGCTCACGCCACGAGTCCATCGCACTGCGGAGTTTGTGTGATTCACAGAAAATCATCTGCTCGCGAATACGTTGCTTCGGTTGTGCTTTGAACAGTTCTAGCGAAGCCCAGTCTACTTCCTTGTGGCACATCGGGCAGACGGGTGGTGATGGTTGGCGCTTCTCTTTCGGTGCGAGTTCATCGGTCTGCGACGTTTGCATTTGCTCGCAAGTAGAAGAAGAGGGGGACGAGAGAGGCGAATCATCGTCAAGCAACATTGCTTCGTATTCTTCGATTGTGTATGGGCCGTGCGAGAAACTGGAGTTCGAGTCTTCACCGCGACGAGTTTCTCTGAAACTCGAATTTTCGATGTCCTTCGGCATTATAAAGGTCTCCTCAGGCTCTTCAGACTCTTTGGGGGCTTCTTCGACTGGAAATGGCTCTTTCTCTTTCTCGGTCGATCGTGGGGCAAAAGGTGGCCGGTTGAAATATTTGGCCTTGGACACATATTGCGTTGCCTTTCGCCGCTTGTTCTGCGTGGAACCAGAGGAGAACAATGGGCCATCTTCATCGGAGTCTGTCATAGCGCTGAGGGTTCGGGCAAGACCACCTTTGCGAGAGTATGCATTATGACTTTGTGGACTGCTGTATGCCCTATTGTTTTCTTCCGCAAGCTTCATCTCCAAAGTCTTAGTTGCATAGTTCACCTCTTTACGAGGCAGAGAAGTATCACTATCGCTAGCTTGTTCTTCATCAGAGCTTAGAGGATCGGCATCGGTGTCGATATCTGGCAATTCCTTGATGCTAGGCTGAGCGGCGCTTAATTTAGGGTCTTCCACTTCCTCTTCAGTAGAGCTGAGAGGTGCGGAGCTGAGAGATTCGGTGTCTGAATCAATCTCTAGCTTGTTCTCGATGCTAGGTTGAGCGATGTCTGGCATGGTCTCTTCGACTTCCTCTTCGTCGAAGCTCAAAGGTTCGGCGTCTGTATCAATCACCGGTATTTTACTAATGCTATGCTGAGCATCGTCTGGTTTGGAGCCTTTTGCATCCTCCTCATCGGAGCTTAAAGGCTCGGCGTCTGTATCAATCTCCGGCTTTGTCTCGACACCATTTTGAACAGCCTCCTTTTGTATTGTCGCGACGTCAATTTTGGCCTCTTCAGGCTCAGGTTTATTGAAATTAGACAAAAGATGCTTGCGGGGAGCATTCCTCCTCGTCATGCGATTGGACGCATAACTGGAATCGGGTTTGGCCTGAGCCGCCATAGTGGACGGTGGCGGGGGATTTCAATTGTCAATTGCCAATTTTCGGCAACAATCGAGGGTCTGCAAGCTTGGAGCCAAAGATAACTAGTCCGTGTTCATGTGAAGCGCGTTGCTTAGACCGGGGAGGAATTCGTGCCCGGGATGGGGTGACGCGTTGTTCCGCGATTTCAACTATCCGCGCACGAGATTGTCTTCGGTCCAGTTCGAGGTGAAATGTTGAGTCGGTGTCGGTTGGGTTTTTTGGTATTCGAAACAAAGAACGTGGTTTCGAGAAGCTGAGACAATGCGGACACCTGGCTACGGCGGGAGATAGCGGCATATCGGACAAGGGACATTTAATTGGTTGAACTATCTTGTGGGGTTCTCACCCGGCAGAAAATCATTGAGTACAACAACATCTATAGATATTGTAGATCTATCCATCCATCGTGTAATACTCCAAATATTGCATGTTATATTTTGAAAAATAGCTTTGTAGGAACTGTAATTTTTGCAATTATTCTACGGTTATCCATTTCCAACCAGCCTGCTGGTTACAACACTAAGGGGAAACAGACTCCTAATGAAAATATCTTAAAAATATATCCAAGACACATAGAAGGGCCCTAGAAAAGATATAGAAAATACAAGAAAGGTTCCCTCCCCAATGGTATCAGATGGAGAGGAGGAAAGGCGGTGAATTAGTCACTACAATGAACCAATCAAATTCTCGTTCTCAGGTTGTCCAATGTGCCGCTATCTTCCACCGTACACGTTGAGGGGAAACGCGTGCGCGATTACTACACCCGGCGGTTTTCTATGTCTCGGGAATACCCGTATATGTAGACAATTAATTAGACTACTTCATCTCTTTTACTCGTTGCTGTATATCTTTAAATACCGTTGTGTCTTTGTTGGATCTGTTTAAGATATCACTGAGAGCACTACGAGAAAACAGACAGGAAGCCGGTTGTGCCAATCCACTTGTGTAACTTAGGATAGTATGGTGATAATTGTAAAAGCTAGGGCTGCCTCTATACATAGATGGATGGGCATATAAACATCAGATCATAGGCAAGCCAAACACGCCTGTGCAAGACATGCGCCTCATTAAGTCTCAGAAATCGAATCAATGGAGGAAAAGTATAAAGAAAGAGAAGAAAAGCAAGATGAGAAGAACTCCAGAGCTGACACTACTCGAATGTCATTGAGATATTGCCATCCCGATGTCCCTGATCATGGTCCGCCCAGGCATTCGGCTCCATGGCCATGGCTCCGAGGGCGCTGGTACCAATCATTGGCATTGTAGAGGCAGTTCTCAACTCTGGACGAGAGTGAAGTCCGTCGTTTTTGGATCGTGGGGATTCATGGAAGGATGTGTCAAAGGTCATTTCTATGTCTTCATGCCTCGGTGCGGGAGAGAATTCATTGTGTCCATGAGGAGAATACTGGCTCGATGCTTGCGGAGGTAGTGAAGAAGTTCGAGAAACAGCTGGAGGCTCGGGTGTCTTGGGCCTTTTGGAGATAGGGGGAGAGGGCTGGGTGGGTGGTGGTTCTGACGGAGCGTTCAGGTCTAGCTTCATCAGAGGCATAGTCGACTCCAATTCTTTGACTTCAATCGCCTCGGAGTGCAACTCGGCTCGAATGGCCTCGATGTCGAAGAGGACAGTGCCAGGGCTGCTTTCGGTCGCATCCTTTGAATCGCGAGAGACGGCGTTTTTGTCGACATCATATGTTTCCCATTTCTTCTTTTCGGCCATTTTGCCTCGCTTGAACAGGCCGAACCGCTTCTTCTCTGGCTTCGCCTCTGCTTCTCGGCGAGCTTCATCAATCTCGCGAATCAACTCGCGCTGTCGTTCAGCGTGGTTATCTGGGTCTGGATCTTCGATTTCTGCAAACTCATCCTCAAGAACCTCCCAGCCAACTTCCCTCAGAATTCGAGGCATAGCCGTACGGTAATCCATATGACCATTCACAAGCGAGGTAATATCGAAGTTCTCAATGCCTGGTATACCCTCAACAGCTGCGAGGCCGGCCACTTTCATGATGCCACCACTTGTTGCCCGGAAGAGATAGCCTAGAATCCAATCATTCGTGGCATAACCATTCACAAATCGCCCAGATACCACACTCCGAGCCTTGAGGTATTCATCTTTGTTCGCCACAATGGGTGAGCCAAATAGGTATACGTTCTGGATTAGTCCGTGGGCGCCCTTTTCGGCTAGCTCTTTCAAACAAGAAAAGATGACACGCGCGCCTAGGGAGAAACCAAGCAATGTAATAGGCCGGTTGCCAAGGTTTCGTTCTCGCAAGGAATCGGCCATAACGAGGCCGGCTGAGTTGGCGCGTGCCAACGAAACGATCCAGGGGTTGTCAATCAAGTATGCGAGTTTAGTGAGGACAAGTGGTAGTTGCAAGGATGCCATCAGTGCCATCAGCACGGTGCTACCTAGTACTTGTTGCAGACCTTGTGTTAATGCCTAAATAACCAGTTAGTTTATTAACAATTACCACACAGCTTAAAAAGCTTACCTCTGTTGCTAGAATATTGATAGTGTCACCCATGCTTCGCAGCATCTCAGGCTCCCAGAGCACGGAATAGATATCGCCCATAATCGGATCGATAGTACTGAAAGGTAGACGGACATCATCAACCTTGCCGGTCATCCAGCCAGAGACTGTCACAATCAGGTTGACCTTCTTGTTATTATGAAGAGGTCGATATTCGAACGTTTGAACTGCACCCATACGTCGCTGCGAAGCTCTCATTCCAATGGTGCTTCCACCTAGAGTAGCACTAGAAGCGATCAAAGCTGTGCCGCCTGCTCCTCCCAGGAATGCACTTGTCCCAGAGATACCCACTGTAGTAAACCCGGCCGCAAGACCAGCTCCGATGACGGGTGCCAACAGTCCAGCAGAAAGGCCGATGACCAGTCCGCCGCCGACCGTCGCTAAACCCATAATCATATATTTCCGCTTCAAGGCCATCTTGCGGCGCTTTTCCATGTGGTCTGACTCGTCCCAAGTCTCTTTCTCTGCTTGTTCTTGCATTTCGAGGGAGTCTGTGACACGCTTTTCGAAGCGTGAGATCTGTAACCATGTTACATCCAAAGCTGCGCCGACCCTTTCCAAAAGAGTTCGCGACCGAGCGTCGTAGGCCGAATTTGCGATGAGCACAAGGAACAGGTCACAGAGGACAGTCCAGCGGAGATCGATATCTATGCGATCAGAGGTTGGCATCTCAGAAGGCATCTTGACCTCTGGAGGCTCCTCGGTCTCGTGGGCCTCGTATGGTGGAGGGGGATCTAGTTCGGATGAATCCGTCTCTGTGGATATCCTAGATGGAGAGTCCAATTTCCGACTGGATGTAGAGGTTTTCGATTCACTCTCTGCCATGGGATTTTTGACTCGCGCATTCTGCATGAGGGGTCGCACCAGGTCTTCAGGCTGTACCCCATGCTCCGCGAGCTGCTCAATCATAATCTGCTCAGCAGAATTTATATCCATATGGGCATAGATTCGCCCCATAATCGCCTGGCCCCATTTTCGCATGGCATCCGAGGCTTTCTGCATGGTTTTGCGCGTGGATTTGGTTGTGGCAATCGATGCTAGATCATGATTCATATTATGGATCGCCAACCTGACAACCCCCACATACGCAATCTTTTGAGTTTCGTTGAGAAGGTCTTTGGTGGCCTGGAGTTGGCTGATGGTATCTCGTAGTTCCTCGCCAACTAGACCGGCAGAGTTGTCGCCTGCCTCTCGAAACAGGTAGCTTGTGTCATCGTCTAGACTTGTGGCAGACTGGGCATCATCGTCGAGCTGCACGCGAGTATAACCCCTCCCTGCTCCTCCCAATCCTTGGTATACAGCTTCGTCACCTTCTTCTTTGGCGCCGCGAGCGATAAGTCTCCCACAGTCATCATAGTAGTCGAATTCTCCAAGTGCGGGCATCGATTTCCATTCATCGGGCTCTTCCTCTGACTCTTCACTCTCGGGGTGATGTGCGTCAGGTTGGGCGATGTGCTGGTGCGACCATTCCGACACCTGGGCGGGTCTTTGCTTCGAAGTTGAGGTCCGAGGTTGAGTAAGAGCATCAGAGGCCGCTGAATACTCCGGGGGGGCAGGAGAAGTGTCCTGGGCCTCTCCGCCCTTGCTTCGCTCTTCCGTATTATTCGGATTGGCTGGCTGAGGAACCCCGGATTCCAGCTTGTCCTGTGACGATTCTGGCTCCTTCGCTTTTTTCACAGCATCACTATAGCCCGTCGAGCTCACAGCCACATTCTGGATGTCTTGGCCGGCATTCTCTCCTTCGGGAGACTCGCTAGGTGTGGGGTTGGGTCGGCATGGTCGAATAGGAAGGCCAAAATCATCTACTTCATCTGATGCGGGGGGAACTTGTGTGGCAGACCCTGCGGCAGGTTCGGGTGCTACTGGTTGGTGCGCTGGGCCCTTTGTCTCTTTGTCATTCTGATTTGTGGGGGAATCGCTCTTTGTCGATTGGGGTAGCTGGGACGAATGGAGGGCGTTCGGTGGGGAGGATATAGGAGAATTGGAGGTGTCTACGGTGACACCCGAGGCTGCGGTCATGGTTTCATGGACTGGAGGCTCCTGGCGGCCCCAAGGTGTATCGGATCCCAGTCCCTTGCGTCCTCACGTTCCTTCGCGATAGCTTCGGGAGCTCACCCATTCGGCCTCACAATTGTTGCGCTGAGCTTCTGAGCTCTTATCTGGGTGTATCTGCCTCACGAGTTCCCACGTCCGATGGTAGGCCACTAGATGGTCATCGGACAGGGTTGGGCAATCTCCACAGATGACGGTGTGCCACGCGGCGAAAAAGGAGGGGCGGACAATGCGGGTTCAATTAGCCAGCAAGCCACAAAAGTTTGAAGTCAAGTTTTGTGATTGCAGAATTAAAGAATTAAAGAATTAAAGGATTAAAGGATTAAAGGATTATTGTAGAGAGATTGGAAGTTTTCAGGAGGTTAGGCAACTAGCAAAAGGGACTGTTGAGGGACCGAAAGCGGAAATGCGCCCATCGGGTCCCTAAATAAACAAGTCTGAATGAAAACAGTAATAAGGTACATAGATACTTGAAATATACATTCTTTTGGATACTGACATTCTCTACTCTTTATTACTCTAGAACGTTTCATATTAAGTCAAATAAGTCAATGCTTGTATCCACATCGGAATAGCTGCGTGTCTACTCTATAGTACAAAGCAAGAGTCCCTGAATCGGAGATATCAGACCTTTATGATTAGCTTGTCTTTCATTATAAACCCCAGTTCTCAGAATACGAGGTTATTGCCACCAGGCTTGGCCCTGTGAGAAAACCCGGGTAACGAGGGGCCTTTCACTGGCATCCGAAGACCTCCGGTACAGCATAGATCTGCCCTTTCGATACGGGCGAGGTGAGCCTTGATAAGTAAATCCAAAGCGAAGAGTTGAGAGGTCGTGTTGATGGGGCAGTGTCAGGGTACTTTTGCCCGGGACTTCACAAGATATAACAGGGAAAAGCATAAGATCGACTCCGCCCATCTTCGTAAACCAACGAGAAGGCGAGAAAGCGTAGAATGTGACGCCATGAATCGGGGGGTACAAACAGAGCCCCGTTCAATTGCATATGTCAGACGTGAGTCACTTGATATGCAGAAGGTTGCGGCTCTAGTCCTTGGCAAAGCGAACCTCAGAGTTTATGATCTCTGACTTGGGGAAATCCACTTTGTCTTTGATACCTTATGATTTGAAACCCTGCTTCATTATGGCACAAGGTATGCCTTTCTCTTTGAGAGGTTGAGAAATTCTACTAATGAGCCCTATATCTACAGGCTCACAGGCTTCCATTGTCAAGATTGCCGGCGCAGGGTTTCGGCTTTCACTGCTCCTTAATGCTGCCGCTTGTCAACTCGCCCAGTCCAGACTAGAAATCCATAGCATCGCCAAGGGAATCTCGCTTTTCGCTCTGACCCTCAAGCATGTCGGGCAGACTATCGAGGGTACCGATGTGGACCAGTCTCCAGAGGCAACGGAGAAGGCCTGGGAGATCGCCGGACAAGGCCAAATGATCTTCATTGAAATCGAACACATGCTGGACAAACTAAAGGCAACTGATAGAGACAATGATCTTATGAGAATCCCACTACAGGAGAGACTCAAATGGTGTTTTCGGAAGCAACATGTCACTTATCTGCTAGCCCAGTTGGAATCTCTCAAGCTCAGCCTGATTGTGATGCTACAAACTCTGCAGCTTGGATACGTTATCAAATCTAACGTTGATGATGGGATCGATACCGATTCCCTTACATCCACCACCGACGACTCCCTTGCTCAAGAGAAAGCGGAATCTCAGAATATGATCATCGTCCGATACTGGTCTGTCAAGCGCCTCGATCGCTTGTGGGATCTTGTGGAACAGGAGACTTTGGATGCCGCCAATGACCTAACAAACCAGAGGATCTGTTCCAATTACTCATCCAATACGGCACGCTCGAATCCGACAAGACTGCCCACCATTACTTTTGGAGACAGTGACGTGGGACTGAGTGACATGGAAAGATCCCCGAAGGATATGGTGCAACTATCTGAGAGCACATTAAACCGGCTGCTTTCACTCTGGGTGCCTTTCATTGACCCTTCGAAACTACACCACGCCGGCAAAGGCCTCGACACATCCAACCAGCTAGTACAACCTCGAGTCTACGTCTCTTCGGACACCGAGGATGACAGCGAAGAGCTACACCTTAATAGTCACGAGATTCGAGGTTACTATCTCGAAGGACCAACAGTGGACTGGAGAGACCCTCATTCACAAGAGGCCCGACAGCATGCAGCAGAGTTACGCCGAAAGTACTCTAGCTACCAGGCCCAGGTGGAAAGTGAACCGGAGCCTGATGAATACCCCAAGCATCGAGATACTCGCAGCGACCCAAGAGTCATCGACTCAAGTGATGAGGGCGAGCAAAGATCCAACTCTCTTCGGCCCTCACACATCACCAACCCCATGCAAGGTCGTTCTCACTCCAACAGCCTCTCATCCAGATATCCTCCTGGTTACAACAATCTCGACAGCAAACCCCCCGCATACCCAAGCGGCAGCTTCCCAACCCCGAGCCATGCTCTACCCCGTCCTCCACCACTGCCTTCACACGCGCAGCCAGGTCCTCCCCAGCCGTACAAATACTATCCAAACCAAGACTATGCCACAGCGCCCCGATCCATCCCAATGAACATGAACCAGCCAAACAACCCATCCATCACCATTCCCAATACTAGCCCTTCTCCCAGAGGCTCATCGCCAAACCAAGTCCATTTTGAGACCCCCTGGGCCCGAAACCAGGCATACAACAATATCCCCAACAACAGCAAACTCCAACCCCGCCATTATTCATCTGCATACCCACTTTCCTCCTCATCCCCCGAGTCTAGCTTCCGAGCCTCACCGCCTCGCTCGGATCAACGATCCCCATCGTCACACCCACGTCGCTCCTCGCGTGAAGAAGCCAAGGAGCGACATAAAGCGTTGACTCGTAATGCTACGAGGGGGTTGGTGGGAATCGGGGCTATTGCTGGGTTTATGGATGCGCTGGAGGCGTTTTCAATTCTGTGATTTACATTGCTTTACTTTTACGCGTTTTCTTTGGTTTCGGTGTATTGGGCTCATTGAACTTTTCCCAAGGAGTTAGTTGTACAGACCAGGTGGTTCGTGGTCCTGGTCTCGGTTGGCTTTTTGATATCCCATATTATATCTATGCAATGAATTGACGAGCTTGTTCTAACTGAGACTATTTCCAAAAATCATAGTTAACGATTTGCCTATGCATTATTACATATTATCTGTTTATTCGGACCCTCCATGGATCCCGCTCCACGAATGTGTTGTACAACGATTCTCGAACGTAGGCAGTACACAGCAATACAATATCGAAAAAACAAAATATCACATTAAAATACATTGACAGCGATGCATTCACCCAGTTAGTCCAAGAACATCCAAGACCTATCCCCTCTCCACATCGAACTCGGGCTCGGGTTGGCGGCCCGGAGTCGCGGAATCAGGATACAAGGAGTACAAAACAAGCCAAATCAAATATTATATCCATACAGCATATAACATGCTCCGTAGCGTAGAAAGAAATGGCCAAGACCCCGAATAATCCACAGCAGACCCATGTTCACTATATCTTTGATAATCAACGGCCCCCCGACGGTTCCATCGCGGAAGTTCCGATTCTCCCGAACCTCCGACGGCACTTTGAGAAGGTATTTGTCGCAAGCTAAATGGGGTAGATTAATATCCGTGGGGTTTGGAATACTACCTCTTTGTCGGGGTCTGTTCTCTTCTCTTTTTCTTTTCTTTTCGTCTGATTATGTGGGTTTTGTTGGGCATGAATATGTCTACATGTGCTGCCTTCCAAGTTCTATACTCCGATGTCCCATCTATCAGGGTTAAATACGAAGTACACGTATTGAGTTGAGCTCAATTCAACCATTTTAGATCTTCTTGTTGAATCTTGTTCTCATATAATAGTAAGTATAAGATAATTCCTACTACATGATACGACTACCGGATATCCGTTGAAAATATTAACAAGTTGATATGTATATACAGTTCACACCTGTGATCTATGCCATAGACTTACATGTGCATCCCGAGGTCCAGGGTTCTGATCTCGATCTCAAAACTCAGGCAAAGGCTGCATCCCAAAGATACTCCCATCAGGAACCCACCCATCCAACTCCATGCCCGCCCTAGCCATATGCTGCCCAGCAGCACCAGCCGGCATCCTCTGCGGCTCATACGAATACTGAGGCGGCAGCACCTGCGGATGCGACACCGAAGGCTGATACCTGGCCGCGCTCATGGGGTAAAAATGCGGGTTATGTCCACTGTCCATGGCCCACATGCCCGTACCACCCACCGCTACGTACCCATCGCGCATATTGTCCATGGTCGGCTGCATGGGGGGCATGGGAACGGAGAATGAGTCCATAGTTGAGTGGCCCAAGTGTGCGTCTTGGGTTTGGGTTTGGCCTTGGCTAGGGTATGAAGCTGGACCCGATATCGATTCCGCAGTGCCAGTCGACGGGCTCACCGATACCACTCGGGACCCAGCGTCCATCGCTCCGCCATATCGCCTCTCCAGCCGCTCATACCAATCCCGACCCTTGACGCCCACAACGTGGTACCATCGACTGGGGATATTGTATTTGCCCCCGCCACTGGCCTCGCCTAGCTTGCTGGCTAAGGCGTCGAGGTAGAAGGCCACATTCACAGTCTGCGGCGCGATGACTTGCCCGAGAACACCAGTTCGCACGGAGAAGTGGATTTTCAGCAGGGATGTCACGGCCATAGCGAACCGGGTGTACATGAGATTCGGGAGTTTACGCATCGTGTCCGTGCTGCAGGTCAGGACGGCGTCTAGCAGCTTCTGTGCGGCGTTCATCCATTTCATATTGATGTCGATGCGGATTGCGCTGAGTGTGGCGTCTGGTGGTTCGCTGCCGCTGTTGCTTTCTTCGTCGAGGGTCGGAAGCGTGAAATATCGTCGCTTGAGTGAGTCTGGGTCACGGTAGCCTTCTCCTACGCCGAGTTCGTACATTGCTAGTGCCGTGGAGCGGTATTCGAGGATCATGGGGACTGATTTGATGGAGTCGTTAGTACTGGGTGGTCTTTGAACGCACAAAGCGAAAGGACTGGCGTTTATTACCGGTGAGCATTTCTGATGAGATGTTCTTCTTCCACGTTTCGATCCGCTTGTCAAACCAGCGCAACACGGCTTGAACGCGCGACTCGGTTAAGGGCGAGGCGGTACTGGTGTCATCTAGACCGAATGAAGACATTGCCTCATCGGTTATTCGTTGAAGCTCGAACCACATCGCCACATGTTGATCCATTCGATGCGGCGAGTTTTCTAGGTGTGTGAGACACTCGCTCATCCAGTCATTGAACTGGAGCAGATTTGGGCGTCGGGTTTTCATCGCAACACTCGAACCGAGATGGTAGCAGCCGAGGACTGCTCTCGCCTGCTCAGCTAACAGCTCGTCGTGCGGCTCCTTCTTGCCGCTCTTGCGATCGGACTTTTTCGAGACACGGCGTTTATTGGCTAACCCAATTTCTAGCGCCATCGTCGAAGCGATATGCGTGTACTGATAAAGTTGCAACTTCAATGGCGAGGCGGGCGGGAGATAAAATATGATCATTAGCAGTAGCGCTTGCACTAACTCTAGTGACTTTTCGCCTTCGATGAAGAACCGCTCTGCATAGAGGCGGACCATCTCGCGGTTTAACATGGCTGCCAGGCCTGCATCGACGGAGATGGATGTCGCGGAAATCACGGAGAGAAAGAGAATTGGCTTTGTTTTTCGCAGTTGAGCTGCCGTGGTGTTCGAAGGCAAGACGACCAGTGGAAATAAGAATGCAAGTTCGTGAATGAAATACGCCACCAATTGCTCCGCATATTCGAGGGAGATAATCCCCCGATCGATCACATCGTCCGAATGAAGCCTCTCCTGCTCCAGCTCCAATCCAGCTGGCATACCTGCGAAAGTTGGCGGCGCCGAAAAGCCACCACTATCATGCGCGCCGGGGTGCGGGGTATTTAACAATTCAGGGGAATAGTCCATGTAACGGACATCCTCGGACGAAGGAGCCGAATGGTCCCGCAAGGCAAGATTGCTTTCCAGATCGGCCGATTCATGATCGCCATCGTCCACATCGCTGTCATCACCGGAATCCGGATCTTCTTCTTCTTCTTCGGGGATACGATTTTTCAACAGCGAACGCATCATCCGCATCTCCTTCTCAAGCTGGGCGACACGCGAATCTGTCCGCTTCCGGGGCCGCCGCCTCTGCGGCGCCACGAAGACGCAGGATCGCTTGCCTTTAGCGCATCGCTGGCATTGATTAGGCGTAGATGGGCTAGGGAGACAGCGGACTTTGAGACTTCGGCATGACTCGCAGGATCTATTTAATTGCTGGGCTGATCCTTGGAGGGTGCTTGATTCGCCTTGGGATGTAGAGGAGGTCCCTGACATATTCACACACACAGACGCCAGAAATAAGGGAATGAGAGATTGGGTCCCATAAATTAGGCCTCAATGGTACGTCCGAGTAGTTACTGTGTATTTCGAGTCATTGTATCGAGTGGAAATGCAATGGGGGAACATGGAAAGTCGAACAAAAAGGATCCGATAGATTTCGATGCCTCAAGGGTATGTATGGGGAAACTCTGGGATTATCATGTGAAAATTAGAAAATCAGAAGCTTAAAACAAAAAGATGCTCAGGGAACTGGAGAAGTGGAGAGGGTAAGAACGCTAGATATAAAATACATAGAGTAATTTTACTGTTAGGTCTTTTTTAGTGTTTTCCCCCTGGCTGCTTTTTGGGGAAATCTGATTTTTATATATGGCCTGATTTGTGAGGCACTGAATGATTAACTAACCGATCTTGGTAACCCGGATTGCTCCACGGCTTACGGTCTTTATTACAATGCGAGGAAGAGTTACCCAAAGACCGAAAACCAGGAGTACAAGATACCACAATGTACATGAAGATTGGCCCCTTTGCCCTGTATTCCGCGCAGGCTCGGCCACCTTTATACACTCTTATTTAGACCCCAACGACCAGTTTCCCGCCTAAGGCAGCCTATTACAATGCAGGAAGACCTTGAAGAGGCCCAATACGGTACCTCGCCATTTGATAACTATGTCACAGTACGCCCGTTTCTTCATATTATACACGGATATTCTTACCTCAGCCAATCCCAAGCAGGGAGGTAGGCCCGAGGGGAAGCGCCTCATAATATGGACAACTAGTCTGAAAATACTAAGAGGTATCGCTTATTTCTTCTACTTTTTACTAGCTTTTGGTTAGGTCTATAATTATCTCCGAGCGCACTCAGTTCTTGCCGGCGTAAGCTCGCCTAAATTAACAAAGGAGCAAATCCAAATTCTCGGTATTCACTAGTCAATCCATGAGCAGAACGTCAGTGGAAATTACGAAGGTAACATGAAGGCAGCCTGGCTTCGTACTTGCTACGATGAGGACCCGAATGAGAAGTATGAAGGAATAAGGATCAATGCCGAGATCACTCGTGATCGATACCTCGACGGCAATACCCGCTACGCCTTTGGCAACGGAAGCCCAGATCACTAGCGGCAAGTTCCCCTCTAGATTACGGGTTTTATGGGTATCGATAGCGATATAGGCGTCCTCTAATACCGATCGGGATAGAAAGAACGATGAGCTATAGACCTAATGTGAGGTGCTAGAGGAGGAATACAGGATACTAGCTCTCAAACAACTAGAGTTCCAGGCTGTGAGATGCCTACTAGATTGCGAGGCTATCGAAAATTAATCCTAGTATTAAATCGGTTGAGCTAGGCCTATATCATATCTAAGTACCATCACCCTTCCTTTGGCTGGATTGGAGGTCGAGAACATTCATAGCCATATTGTGCCCAACCTTGGAAGTATATTTGGTGTGTGCAATCCATACAAAAGATACATAATTTCTGAATTTCTGTGTTTAGAAGTGTTTACTGGGCACGATCATCCAAGTGGGCCCTGGGCCCGGGGGCATATCCAGGGCCCCAAGGCTCCAGGGCACTATGTCTATACAGTCAGCACATGAGCCTCATAAAGCGGCACCAGACGAGGAAGATCTAAAATCCGGTATAGGTACATACATGGGGTATTATTAGAGTGATCTACCTTAATATATTCTAGGGCTGTACCTGGCTGCAGCTGGCTTAGGGAAACAGGCACCAGCGTGTCCTCGGAGATACCAAATTACCCTTATAAATGAAACTGTGATGAATATTGAAAGCATAAAGCTAAACATGGCGAATCATTATTTCACTTTATCTCCACCAGAATCCTTGATTGAGAGTCCGTTAGTATTGGCAGTAGTCCATTGGCCCATCGAAAGTGCCCGACGGCTTACGACCGATTGCCCAATCGGTTCATGCCCCCCTTTATTCTCGCTATAGCTTCCTATTTGTGGGATATTTGAGGGAAATAAATTTGAGTACGTTTGGTACGTAAATATAGTTTGTCTGTGATTTTTTTTTAGGTATATAAGGGTGTTCATCAAAAAGTGGTGTGGAAATGCCGCCAGCCAATTCTCCGAGTACCCCCGGTTGTCTCGGCGAAGTAACACCGTGGGCTGAATCCTTTGAACAGAGTGTTATTGTAGTCTGACCGGGATAGCTTAATATTGTCCCAAATAATATTTAAATAGTATAACATAGCTGTTGAATTCCCTACATAGTATATCTCCACAATTGCAAAATTCAATTGTTGTCCACTACAGGGCATTGTTAACCTGCAAACACTTGACACGCCATAAACCAAGTGGATAAGCTAGAACATCTATCTATAAGCATGTGACAGTGAACTTGGCTAGTCTTCCTTGAGATAAGCTGATTTTCTCGGTATGCCGGACAAGTGGGGCTCTATGGAACATTCGGGCAGAGGTGTTGTTTAACATGTGTTATGGCGGGATGTAGATTGAAGCTGTAGGATGTGATTTCCAAGACCAATCAGCCAATCTATACATATATTAATGCTGGTCCATTGAGGAAACTCATGCGGTCCCTCTGCTTGGTAAATTATAATGCGAACTAATTGAACCCCTCGTATCCACACCTCTATATGTTGACAAGCGTTTTAGCGCGGATTGCTGACACGGCGATGTCCGTGTGAAGCGGACGCACACATCTATGGGAATTAGCGTTGCTCTTGTGACAGCTCGCTTCTTTCTGCTGAAATTATTTACAAGTATTACATTCTACATAGAAGGCTGTAAAGGTGAATATTTGTTTTGTTTTGCCCTTGCAACCTGGAAAACAACATGCTGTCACTCTTCAGCCCCAGACGACTCGTGCCCACAAATTCGTGTCTCTCCTTCAGCAACAGGGCGACAAGATTCTCGCATCTCTTCCCCATCGCCTCGTTGGGGAGGCTTGTCCGGGCGTCATTGAGCAGGATGGAGGCTGCTCTATCAAGGCCTGCAGAGATCTGTAGTAATTATGTTGGCCTAGAACGTATTGGCAATAAAAGGAGCACTAAGGGAATTTGTAGATAATACCGAGATCATTCACATTGTCCGGGGTGAGGCATATAGAGTATGGAAATGTCGCCATTCGGTGCTGCTTTTCCTATATCGCTCGGTTACTACCACAGCATCCGATCGCACGTTACCGTGGATGATATTCTTGTTTAGTCTGTGGATTTCCTCCTTCCGAGGTTTTGTGTCTTTATTAAACGTATCTCGCACCCATGTGGATGGAGATGGCCCGTTCCCGGAGATCCATATATGGCTCTGGCAATAAGATTCGAGGTTCTTGATCTTGTCGTTCATTTCTGCCATCTCTGCACACATTTCCACAGCAAAGCTGAAACCTCCTTCATTAGCGGCTATTCTCGCTCAGCATCGTATTGCAGCGACGGTGCCTCCCTGGCTAATTTGGCCACACAAGCGTCAAGTCAAGAGGGTTGGTAGGTGATCTGGGTGTGACTCTATAGTATAATCGAACTAGTTGAATCTTTCATGTGGAAGGGACCGACTCCAGAAGTACCTCCTCTTGGACACTAAACAATGGTGACAAGAAGGGAAGGAGGGAGATCCATCTTAGGAAAAGAGACAAACCTCTTGAACTATCTTCTCAGTGGTCTTCTCAGTGGTCTTTTCAGATATTCTGTTCAAATATATTCGAGATGCCCCCCCTCTTCTCGGGTTTATAGGTACGTAGATGGTAGAGCGAAAGAAGAGGCTTAATTTGACTTTCCCATGTACAACCTGGGATGTACCCTCCAAGGATTACACTTGCGGCCTAAGGCACTCACATCCTGTCGGCACGAGAATTAGGTACACCAGTTGTCCTTACTAAGGAGGTGTGCACCTTTTTGGCCTGGTGGTAAACTGAAGGTGTAGATGACTCCGACACATCCAGCACTTCCACTTTCAAGGCTGGCCCAAATGACAATTGAAGGGGCCGCCTTGGTTCCATTACTTCTAGTCATTGACTTCTATTCTACTACCAGCAGGCATTATCTACGACGACGTGGAAAGGACTAATTCAACTCTTTCCGGTCGCACAGTGGCTACCACGGGGAAAGAAACCCGATCCACTTTTACTCGACGCCGGGAGTCAAGACTAAAACTGAAGAAATCGAAATGGAAAAAAATGAAAACTTGGTCTTCAATACCTTCCTGCTATGGTCGCAAGCGGGAAGACCCGTCGATCGAAATTGAGGCTCGGCTTTGGGATCTCTTTAAGGGGCGACCAGTGCCCAGCAGAAAGGCTTACTTGCGTACTATTGCATGATTGGCCAACTTGAAGCCGTGCAGAATCTCGGCGCTTTGGGTTCCGAAATGAGCTACGATTCGCTGCTGTTGATCATCGAGTCTGGGGGTGATCTACCCTCCATCCTCTAATATGCAGATGATGGGTCTTTTGCGTTGCTACAACGCATAGCAGCAACGTGGGAGATCATTGCTGGGGACGGGTGGGAGTTCGTTCGGATGCAGAGCCGGTATCTTTGACGGATCATGCTTTAAGCTGAAGCTCGGCCGAAGTAGCTGGCGAAGATAATTTCTTCGTTGAGAGCGAACCATGCTCAACCTTATATCCATCAACTGTGCGGGCCGCGCAGCGGTCAACCAACTGAAGTGATGCTATAGGAGAGGCCGCGTATGCCTCAAATCATTTTCCAAGCGCCACTTTATATTCAAACAGCCAACCTGTCTCCCGCAGTCTCAGGTTTGGGGACGCCAATGGATATAGCGTTAGAGGGGTGCGCGTCCAGGTCAGCCATGGGGCATATCAGCGTGGAATTTGCGTCAGACAAACACAATTTTGCCAACATTACCCACGCGACTGAAGACAAGCTCATTTCCATGTGGGGCAAGTTCTATGGTGGAACATTGCAGACTCTGCTGATTCGACCCATGGATCCGCTCGGTTCGATTGTGATGTTTTAATGCCGGGTTTTCTATATCTAAAGAGCTGACGACTTCTAGGCTAAAGGGCCAATCAGACCTGGTGGACTTTTAACAATGGTTAAGCTCCGGTGGAAATTGGAAGTTCTAATGGTTTGCTAGCCAGGTCAAAACTGTTATATCTCCTGCAAATTCATTTTTTTTACCTCTTACACTCTTTTTAATCTCTTATTTTCCCTTATTCTCCCCACATTCTCTTATCCTACAGTATAAATTACCGTCTCCCGCGTGATCCCCGGACGTCCATCTTGGAAGAGACTACAGTACAGCTCGAATCTATCACCGCGCAATTCAAGACTCGTTATACATATTGATACCCGGAGCATGGATTGGCAGAATTCGTGAATATCCATTACAGAATGCGCTCTCCGGTCACCGGAGTCTTGTGGCTCTATGGGCTCCTTTTGGCGACTACAATTTCGGGAGTCTGCGGAGATACAAAACCGAATTTCATGAGCGTCCGAAAGAATATAACAAAAGAATATAAAAGTGAACGTGAGATACCAAACGAGAAATACTTTCGTAAGTGCAATTCTTCCGTCGATCATGATCTACAACCCCACAGCCTGGTTTATAAGGCTATGAAGCATGGAGCCCTTGGTGAATCTTAACTGATTCGCGTGGACCCCACAGATGAATCAGAGTATGTCGAGAATCTTCCTTTTTGTGAATGCTACCGGAAATAGTCAAAACTAACCTGCAATATTCAGCTTCGGTCATCATTATGACGGCCGGTACGCTCGCTCATTCTTCATTGCCAACCCCGATATGCTAACGCTTCTCAGATACGCCAATGCCAGTCTCCCAGATACCCAAGTCATTTCATATCTCTCGGACCTAATCCAGACATATTTCACAACAATGAACACAATTGGCGGAGAGACGTGGATCATGCATGGGACTCTCTTGGCCTGGTGGTGGAACCAGAAGGTGGGATCATAGACGTCCCGAATTATAAAGAGAACCAAACCACCTAACCAGTTATGTAGCTCTTCCCGTGGGACGACGATCTGGACGTGCAGATCTCGGAGCCAACGATTCATTTCTTGGCAGAATACTATAACATGACCGAGCATCATTTTGACCTCCCCAACGTCGATGGTGGCCGTACATACATGCTCGAGGTCAATCCCAATTATATCGTCAAATCGGAGAGAGACACTTTGAATAAGATTGATGCCCGCTGGATTGATATGTCGTCCGGCCTTTTCATTGATATCACTGCTGTCCGCAAGGATGAGGCTAAGCGGTTGAATGGCCGTCCGGAAGCGTTAATGTGCAAGGATAAGCATAACTATGACGTGAGTTATCTGTTCGTGCTGTCTTTCTATTCTTGCTAACGGGTAATATAGGAGAGTGACATTTTCCCACTGCGTGACAGTTTCTTCGAGGGTGTTCCGGTCAAAGTTCCATATGCTTATACATATATTCTCGAAGAAGAATATGGCCCAGTGGCACTCACCCGAACAAGATTTTATGGGCAAGTCCTAAATTGTTCCATAATAGATGTTAGTTTGGTTGACTAACTCATTTTAGTTACATCTTCAATGAACGGACCAAGATTTGGGAGTCCGCGACGTGAGTTTTAAAGCTATCGTATTTCACATGGATTATTGGCTGATTCTCGTTAGGCGTAAATCCAAGCGCTTCCTTTGACGAGGATCGTGCACTTACCTATACACATTTCTGCCCTCATTCGTGCCCACATGGACGAGGTATGAGTAGACCACCGAGCGCATTCCTTGCATACATGTTTTTTTTTTTTTTTTTTTTTTTTTTTTTTGCATATATCTGGCGTTGGTATATTTGAGCTGGATCTGGTGACAGAGGATGTACATATAAAACTAGATGTCTATTCATATCTTTATCTCCATGGGTCATGTCATGTATGTGATCGGAGCCAACGGAAACAACGGCCCTTGGCCCAAAAGGGACGGGGACTCCCGAGAGCTCGGGCTCCGCCGGAGCCCCGAGCCTTGTAGGCCATGGTGCTGAGTCTTGAGGTCATAGCATTTAAAATGCCTGGATCCAAGGTTATAATCAGCCAGTCACATGTCTGTATTCCACCGCCCCAACAATCCTCTTTCCGGTCCCAGGTTTTAGGGCCGGCTAAGGAATCCATGGGAAAACTCTCAGCAATCCCTGGCATCTCTCCCGCGCGAGTTCATGAGAAGGGCGACGATTAGACCGTACAGGCCTTCTTCACGTATTAGCTTCTAATTCTTCATATTTCGAGAAGATATGATCCAGTTCTTACCAAGAACTTCAGCGAAGATGAGTATCAGAATCATGCCGACATACAGTTTTGGCTGCTGAGCTGTTCCACGAACTCCTGTATCACCAACGACACCAATGGCGAAACTAAAAGCATGTTAAAAGGATCATATTAGCTATGTCCCAGGACTTACCTGTTACACACAGGACTTACCTGTTACACAACTTACCCAGACGCTAAGCCGGCAAGGCCAACGGAGAGACCCGCACCAAGCTGGCTCAAACCTGTATATAGGGAGAGATTCTGCTTCAGATCATTCGCAACAAGAACGGAGACGACTAAGCCATAGATCCCGATAATACCAGCCATCACGACCGGAACTATGTCTATTAAACCAATTCTAAATTAGCGTCACATTCTTGAGTAAAAAAACGATTCATCTTTAACGGCAAACCCTTTCTACGAACTCTTCCGGAATTTGGGGGTAACATACTCCTTACAATCAAGTCAGGTCGCAAAACACCCGTCGCGCAAACACCTACGCCAGCTTTCGCAGTTCCGTAGGCAGCACCGAAGCAAGTGAAGACAATTGCGCAGACGCAGCCCATGGAGCCAAAAAATGGCTAGGGGTCCCAGAGTTAGCCGCTTGAATCGCAGCAGTGAGTTTAGACACAAATAGGGACGACCTCGGACATGAGCTTTAGCTGAGGCTCAGGTCGCCCCCTTCGAAGCAGCCACGAGGGAGGGCAAACTCACGGCATAGACAGGACTAAGAGAAGATTTGGTGAGTATAGATCAAGCAAGACATTAGAAGTGCAGAGAAACATATTGTAATTAAAAGGGATCAGATGAAATGCCCGTCCACGAGCTTTATTTACCACAGTTCTGAAACCATTTTGCTAATTGATTTCGCTGTTTGAGTGCTTGAGGCGGACAGCTTAAGAGATGGATATTATCGATGCAAGTCAACTAAGAAGAGGTCTGAGTGGTAATATTGGAGACAGATTTTCCCAAGCCAACTCGGAAGTCTACCCAAACTTATATAGAAGGCAGCAGGCGCTAACTCCGTACATAGTCCGATGCCAGCTGAGTCTCTCCAAGATTTAGGCATCTTTTTTACGGTAAACCCATAGTACAAAATGTACATTTAGAATATTGATGCTTTGTATCTTTTGTATGTGCGTATCATATAAAAGATACTCAAATTTTTGAATTGTATACATGTACTTTGTATTGTGGAACAGACCCTTGAACGCGGGTGGGATCTGCGGGTTAAGAAGTCGATTAGTAAGTAACCTTGAGAGGTTGATATGGAAATGCGATTACAATTTTTGGCCAGTTTTTTTGCCAAAAAAAAATACTGGGCTTCAAAGAATGAGGGAAAACCTGACTTCCTTGTCTCAGCACTATGTCGTTCCCTTCAGCTTCTCCGGAGCCAAATCTCTCTCCTGTCAATAATTCTCCGAATACCTCGCTGCCTAATTTGACCGCTCCCCGCCACGTAGCTACGGAACCCCCGAGCTCGACCTCTCGCAGCTGTGTGACCTGCCGCCGCAGGAAAGTCCGGTGCAATAAGAGGTCTCCGTGTTCAAATTGTACCAAAGCCGGCATCGACTGCATCTTTCCTCCTCCTGGTCGTGCCCCGCGGAAATCAAAGCGTCCACCGGACGCGGAGCTGCTTTCGCGGTTGCGTCGCTTGGAAGGTGTCATTGATCATCTTAGGGGCAGTGGTAATACAGAAGGTGCATCGACCTCAACTCAGGCGTCTTCTTCTACAACTGGATCTTCGACCGTTCGGAGTGAACCGACTGCGCCCACTTCTGTTTCGACCGAGCCATCTTCTGTTTCGACTGAGCCACCGAACCAGGCTCCCTGTCCGTTCGAAGAATCAGATCCGAAGAAACTTGCTCCCAATAAGTTTAAGAATGAATTTGGACGCTTGGTCATTGATGAAGGCCGGAGTCGATATGTCAGCAATCGGCTCTGGGCTAGTCTTGGGGACGAGGTAAAAATCCCTCTTTTTTTTACTATTAGCCTCCTTTGTACTAACATGTTTTAGATCGAGGAACTACAAGATCTCCTTGATCATTCATCGTCAGAGGAAGATGACACGCCTTCACCGGAGTCCTCTCACTCGGGCTCACATGACGGTTTCCTTTTTGGATTTTACTCACTTTCACAGTCTCTTCGAGAGTTTCATCCCTCCATTTTCAAGGTCTCAATACTTTGGGAAAAATATTGGGAAAATGTGGCTCCGTTGATCACCATCGTACACAGACCGACTGCCAAAAATCTGTTTGCCGAGGCAGCACGGAACCCAGATACTCTGGACAAAAATTCAGAGGCACTGTTATTTGCCATGTATCTTTGCAGCATTGTCAGCATGAAGCCGGATGAGTGCTTGTCCCAGTTCGGCGAAGCGCGACCTATTGCCGTTAAGCGGTACAGGTTTGCTACAGAGCAAGCGTTGGCGAAAGCTGGGTTCTTGAATACACAAAGCTTGGTTCTTCTGCAAGCCGCTGTCTTATTCTTGGTATGCGTGCGACGAGAAGATGATAGCAAGTTTGTGTGGTCCATGACCTCGATCGTATTACGCCTTTCTCAGAGCTTGGGTTTACACCGGGATGGCACAAATTTCGCTCTGAAACCGTTTGAAACGGAGATGCGACGCCGATTGTGGTGGCATATCTCACTGTTGGATGTGCGCTCATCTGAAGACCATGGGACGGACCCACTTATTCACGAGAGCATGTATGATACTCGGCTGCCATTAAATATCAATGACGATGACCTGTCGCCCGACATGGAGACAGCCCCAGAAGAGCGGGAAGGCTACACGGATGTTACATTCTGCCTCATTCGCTGTGAGATCACGAGCGCTTTGCGAAGAGCAAATTACGTGTGTCCCGGGCCCCAGGTTCGTTTACCTAACAGTCTACCGCCCATAGATCGTGCCGGGCGGATGATTCAGATTATCAGTGAACGATGTGAGCAACGGTATATCAGACACTGTGATATGAACATCCCCATGCAGTGGTGCACCGCCACAGTTGGGCGTCTGATTCTGGCTAAATTATGGTTGATCCTCCATCACCCAATGACCCGAAAAAGCCGCGGAAGTAATGTGTCACAAGCAACGAGAGAGAGCTTGTTTCTGACTGCAATTGAGGTCCTCGAGTTTGGCCACTTGCTTGAAGCTGATCCCAAGACCTCCAAATGGGGCTGGCTGTTCCGGACCAATATGCAATGGCACGGAATCGCATTCGTTCTGTCTGAGATATGTGTCCGCCCAATTTGCCCTATTTCAGATCGAGCTTGGAGCGCTGTCAGTGCGATCTACGCGGAATGGGCCACGCAGGCCACACATAAGAAGGGCATGCTGTGGCGGCCGCTCGCCGCCTTGATGAAAAGAGCTGCTGCTACCCGGTCCAAGCAGAGGCAAGAATTGCTATCTACTTTTGGACCGGTGCCAGCCACAGTAGAGCCCATTCAAAATACCCTCGATAGTCACGTTCTTCCCCGGGTTCATATACCAATGGGGATGCTGGATTCGCCCTCGACAGATCCATCTGACCCAGCAGCACCAATTATATATGATTCAGACTACAATATTGACCTCAGCAATGGACCGTTGGGTGCTGTCCGAAACATGTTCCCTGACACAAATATCCTAGCTACATCAAACGGTATATTCGATGCTCCACCAGCCCAGAATAATATCTCGGCACCCAGCTTGTCCGCAAGCCTGCCCTACACCACAGGAATGAGCAATCCATTCTTGAGTCAGACTCCTTTTCCCGATGCCGGTCAACTCAGCTGGGAGGAATGGGATCAAGTCATGCGTGATTTCCAGATGGATATTGAAAATGACAATTCTCAACCAACCAACGCAACTAATTTTACCGAATGGTCTGCTTAGCCTTTTTATAATCAGGGGGGTTTTTTTCTCGCCTGAGGCTTTGGCTATTAATGATATGATGATTTATGGCGTTGATTACTGGATGATATCCCTCCCCTCACTGTTTTTATACTCCTCTCCTCTTTTATGCATTATATCGGCGACGTTGTATTGTAACAATACTGTATACCCAACATCAAATACAATATGAAATTAAAAACACCATCTCAATCAATCAGTTAATTATTCTACCTAATGATTAAATCATCAAACAAATAGAATTCTCGTTATCACTTGATTGTATACTTCCAAATCGGGATGTACTCCACCACGTGACCACGGTGATAACAAGCTCCAAGCTGGCATCACCACCACCCTCCACTCCGCCATTGTCCGCCAATCTACCGTCCTTGCACCAATTCTCCAGTGGGATCTTCATCCGTGCTCTGTGAAATTCATACACTACCAACTATACACACCCAAACATCACCGATCCCCCAAACCCCAAAATCATGGCTCCCAAGCGCCACGCGGCCTCAACTACCTCCGCGGCCTCCACGCCCACACCCGCGATCACAACACCGAAACTCTCCTCAGGCCCAAACACCCTCAAGGCCAATGCCTCAGCCGCTGAAATCGCCGGCCATGTCTGGCAGCAGTATGCATCCACAACACCACAGCGGACACTCCTCCTCGATGCCTTCATGGCGTTCTTGGTTCTTGTTGGTGGATTGCAGTTCGTGTACTGTGTTCTAGCTGGAAACTATGTAAGTTTAAGCTATGGCTGGCAAATGCTGTTTGGGTTCTTTTGCTTTTATTCCTCTCCCTGGTCTTGTCTTGTCTATACGGCGTGTGTGACTTGCAATTGGAAATCTATAGACCAATAACTAACAATATCCCTCCCATATAGCCCTTCAATGCTTTCCTCAGTGGCTTCAGTGCTGCTGTTGGTCAATTTGTTCTTACGGCGAGTCTGCGCATGCAAACTAGCGATAGCGGTACTGGTTCTGCATCGAAGCCGAGCTCCAAGGGGAAGAATGCGCGCTTTGCAGATGAGAGTGAAGAGCAGGGGACGGGTATTTCACATGAGAGGTGAGTTTCTTTTTCCTTTCTTGTCTTTGTGTGGTGATGTTCTACGTCATGATTGCTTTCGCAGGGCTACGAATACGTATGCTAATCTTTAATTCTAGGGCCTTCGCCGATTACATCTTCGGAAGCTTGATCCTACACTTTTTCTGCGTCAACTTTATCAACTGAGCTGTGCTCGGCCCTCGAAGGCTTCGTTCAAATAACATGCTAGCTCATTCTGTTTTCTGTCTGGGGTTGGTTCGTTTCGATCTTCAGATGGGGTGGTGAATGCTGCCTCTTAGATATCCTTCCGCGTTGGAACTATTTTTTTAGCCAATTCTTGATCTGATCCTCTACGCTTCGTATTTTATCGAGGTTAAAAACGTTGTTCATATTTGACCTATCTACTTACAAGATTCACTTGTTGGACAAGAATATGCGATTCATATCACCCTAGTTCGGAGATAGCCCCGGTGTAGAGCAGGCCATACTCAGAGATGAGAGGACGAGAACGCAATGGCGGGTATCGATTGAGCAAGGTCCATCTATGTAGATGGATTTAAAAGACGAAATGATGTTGTACAAGCAGGGCACTCAAGTCCCCAATGCAGTTATGTTTCACTGCAAGACTAGAATGCACGTCCTCTCCGAGGCACCGTAGGCCTCTTAACCACACTGCTTCCAGCACCACTTCCACCTCCGCCGCTGGCTCCAGGCCGCGAGGAAGAAGAAGAAGATGAAGCAGTCAAACCGCCGACCTTACGCCCTGGCTTGACAATAGGCTTACGCACGGCGGACTTTCCACCAACCTCGATTTCCATTCTGCGGCGGATGGGGTTGTTGCGTTCCTGCTCGCGTAATTTCTCAGCAGCATCGCGTTCACGGTCAGCTGCCATCTGCTCTTCGATTTCCATGCGCTTATTGAACTCGATTTCGGTCACGCGGCGGTCGCGCTGCGAGTAGCCTTTTTCTTTGACAGAGTAGTATACACCACCGAGTTCGGCGAGCCACTAAGAGAAATGAGTTAGTTGAGTACTAGATGGCATACAGGCGGAAATGGGGGAGTGGCAACTTACGTGAGGGTCAACAGCTGTCACAACGGACATGTATTCCTTAGAAGTCAGCATCAACTCGTGGTAGACGACGAACTCGGGCACATAACCGAGACCGAAAAGGGCACTTGTGGGATGGAGCGCCATGGTCACGCTGGTGCGGAGGTTGATGTACTCGCCCATGCCCTTTTGTCGTGCGGCTTGGTGGTAGTAGCCCGAACATATGCACTTGCGGATAGTGTCCCAGTCTGTGCCGCAACTGATGACGGGCATCTTTTGTTTATTCATGATGTCAAGAAGTTGATCACGGACTTCCTGGGCACGGCGGAGGGTTCTTGCGTTCAAGAAGTGCTTCGTGCACCAGGCATCGGAAAACCCGTTGGTTTTCCATTGAATATAAACATTGAGAAGGGTCAAGTGGTCGGATTCTGGAACGACGAATTTCTCGCGAGCTGAATCGGCTTCCTCTTGTCGCTCTTTGGGACGATAAAAGACATTTGCAACCGAAAGCATTGCAACGATGGTTGTCATCTCCTCGCTGCATTCATATTCGTCGGAGGCCATTATTATGAGTTTGGCAAGAGGGGGATCCATGGGAAATGGTGTCATGCGACGTCCTAGAGATGTAAGACCGCCCAGGTTGTCTAGAGCACCCAGGGACCAGAGCTCGAAAAGAGAGGTGGTGATCGTCTCTTGTGGGGGAGGATCCATGAAGTCAAAGTCCAAAAGGTCCTTCACGTTAAGGGATTTCAGTAAAAGGATGGTGTTGGAAAGACTGGTTCGCTGGATCTCAGGGATCGTTTGAATGTAAAGCTCATTCTTGTAGGCTGCCTCCGTGTATAGACGATAGGCCTTGCCCGGCCCAGTCCGTCCAGCACGCCCAGATCGCTGGTTTGCATTGGCTTGAGAAATTGGGGTTACCTGGAGAGAATCCATACCCACGCGCGGTTGGTACACCTTCAGCTTTGAGTAACCTGCATCCACAACGAACATGATACCGTCGACCGTCAGACTTGTCTCAGCAATGTTCGTAGCCACGATTACTTTGCGCACACCCGGAGCGGCCTTCTCGAAGATCTTTGCCTGTTGCTCGGCCGGCAATGAACTGTAGATGGGTAAGACGCTGAGTTTCGGCGGATCATTCAGCTGCTTCAGCCGTTCTTCTACCAGCTCGCAGGTTGCCTCAATATCTTCTTGTCCAGTCATGAAGACAAGAATATCACCCGCGCCCTGGGATACATGAATAGCCAAAATCTGTTTGACCGCGCTATCAACGTAATCCTCACAAGGTGTGCGTGAGTAGTGAAGATCAACAGGGAATGTTCTGCCAGGAATGACAAATTCTGCGGCACCGCCAAAGAAGCGCGCAAATCGGTCGGAGTTCATTGTTGCTGAGGTCACGATCAATTTCAGATCCCTGCGCCGGGCCAGAACTTTTATGAGAAGACCCATCAAGACGTCAGTATTTAGAGATCGTTCGTGTGCCTCATCCATAATGATGCACGAGTATTTGTCGAGATCATTTTGAGTGAGACATTCTCGCAGTAATACACCATCCGTCATGTCTAGTATATAGATTAGCTATATGATCAAACCAAATCGAAAAAGTAGAAACTCACATTTGATCACCGTCTCATCACTCGTACAATCTTCGAAGCGGATAGCATATCCGACGAGTGCACCGAGTTCAACATCCATCTCCTCACTGACACGCTTCGCAACACTCATGGCAGCCACACGACGAGGCTGCGTGCATCCGATCATACCGAACTTAGAGTAGCCCTCTTCGTGTAAGAATTGAGTTAACTGGGTGGTCTTGCCAGATCCAGTCTCTCCGACAACAACCACAACTTGGTTATCACGGATGACTCTCATTAGATCTTCGCGCACCGCAAAGGCGGGCAGATATTCTCTCTGTTCACGCATCGTCTTACTGCTGCTGAAAGCGCTGGAGCCGCCAGCGTCTTTCTTCATATGTTTGGCGAATTTGTTTCCTCCTCCTTTGTAGGTTTCCTCGACAGGCATAGCGACTGCGCTGTCTCCATCGTCGTCTTTGACACCCATGAAGTTCCCGAGAGCTGTGCCGGCCATATTTGTCGCCTCCTGTGCTTGCTTTTGTCGTTCACGCTGCTGTCGGCGCTCATTAACGACCCTGCTTCCTTTTCGACTGAATACCGCCATGTCGCTCTGTGGATCCCGAACAGCGGAGATTGGATCCAGCTGTTTCGTAAAGATCGTGCGGCCATCGAGGAAAGGCGGCCGAAGGTCGTGGACGAGCAAATGCACTCGAGTCGCCTCTTCATCTTCGGGCATGAAGTCACCATCGTGATCTCGTCGCTGTGCTACACCAGAGGTGAGCATTCGATTGGTCTCCCAATTGTCAATGTCTCTCCGTTTTGCGTCGCGTAGACCTGGAGGGAGATGTCCAAAGCCCTTGTGCTTTTTGGCCGGAGGGCCCATATCGTTGCGAGACATGTCGTTCGGCCGGGCTTGCAAGCCGGGGTTCGGACTTGGGTTATTCGCAATATACGACCCGGTCTGGTCTGCGTGAGGTTGAGTTTATCAAGAAGAGAATCCCCGCCCAAGGCGAACCTCTTTCCTATCTACTGGCTAGTGCAATCTTACCGCCCTTTATTGCCAGAAGAAAACCACCGCTCTGGCAGTCAGTTTCTACCCAAGTAGTCTGCCAAAAAGACAATGTCAGCAGGAATTAGTCTCTATTCCTCAAGAAGCTAGCTTCTTAGGAGCCTTGCCAATCCAAAGCGATCTTGTCTTTATATTGCAGAGTACAGTGGTGGAGTCAAGTTGATCACCTCTCACTATCGCAATCAAACATTGCAAACTGCGATATCAGTCACGTGGCTTGTGATTTACTTCATGAAGAGCATATAATTGGCAGTATGGAGCTAAATCAATAATTAAATCGAATATCCTGAAGTTCATTTGAGAATACATGTAGACACACGTGGGATTTAGCGCTAAATTAACTTGTGTATGGGGTATAAGTCGCTTCAAAAAGTTCTATAGTAGTGGCCTCCGCCAACACCAAAAAGCGATCGCCCCGCATCGTCATCTCAATTTCTCGAGCTTCCTCGTGCCGACCACACCGTGACAAACAGCCATCATGTCTAGCCAGAAACAGATTGACCCCAAGAAGCAGCAGGGTATGCTTGTCCTATTGTCCCTACAAACCCTAGGGATTCACCAGAGCTGATGCAAACCCCTCAATCCAGAGCTCCAGTACCAATACACCAACTTCAAGAACACCCTCCAGCAATTAGCACAAAAGATTGGTGATATTGAGCAGGAGGCAGAAGAACATAAGTGAGTCATTACAGTGTTATACGCCGTCACAGCATACGGGATCTTGCTGTGGTTGGATCGGGGGCTACACCACGAGCACAACCAACGGTGTCTCAACGAATACGGATAATGCTAACATCTATCTTTTTTAGACTTGTGATTGAAACCCTCGACCCTCTCGCCGCAGACCGCAAATGTTTCCGCATGGTGAATGGCGTTTTAGTTGAGCGCACTGTCAAAGATGTTCTTCCTACACTCAAGACCAACTCGGATGGGTTGAAGCAAGTATTGGAGGACATGCTCAAGCAGTATAAGTCAAAGCAGAGTGAACTGGATGCCTGGAAGGTAAGCGCCTCTCCTGTTTCATGGTCGTTCCTCAGCCTGAAACCATATTTTCGGAACTTGATACGGGCAGTGCTGACCTTAATCTCCCCTTTGCAGAAGAAGAACAACATCCAAGTTGTGCAGCCTTAGTGGCATTCCTTTTCTCTGTATATTTTCAATTTATGTGTTCCCGGGTGGTGCTATCTGAGTGCAAGCGCATCGGCGTTACTGGGAACGGCAAAAGACTAGACATAATGCAGCGTTGATTTGTGCTTCGGTGTCAAACTTGCAAGATGAGCTCCTTATCATAGTAAAAAAAAATATATACCCATAAGTTCTGAATCGTGGATGTTTCAGCTGGGGGTCTCGGACCTCGATAATGTCATCAGACGGCAAAGTCTTGAGATTGCATATATCAGCCTAATAAGTTGAAGAAAGGCCGCAGTTGATGCCTAATTTAGGCCCTCCATCTGGTCACCTTAAGACTTGTACAAAACTAGACATGCCCATGTACATCGAGGTAGGTATTTACGCGTACCGAGGATGCAAGGCATGATGCCTGACTTGGCATCAAATGACCAAGGCATTATATTATATTGGGCCCTGAAGAACCTACCTTATGAAGGTGGATGTGCAATGGAAATTCAATACCAAAAAAGGACATGAGGATCACCAGGACTGAATCTGTTTTGATCCCAGCTTCTATAGATCTATGATGGTTACAGTCGCACCAACTAGGACGTCATAACATTGATGGGTAATGGTTTTGAATATTACTTTGATCTAATTAAAATATCTTTGAAAAGTGATAAATAAGAAAGTAAAAAGTAAGAAAAAAACCAATAAAGGGTATTATGTTGAAAGCTACATAGGTACTGAATCACATCCTCCAAGGCCACCAGGGCTATCCTGGTGAAGAAGGTAAAAGTAGCCTTTTCGGTGATTACCTTCCTCTTTGTCTACCTCTACCTGATCATTTCAAAAAAAAAAAGTTGATGTTTTACTGCTCTCCAAAAGTTGCCCCTTAACAAAGTGACGTTGATGACCAAAGTGGTTGATCTGCCAGGACTTCTGGTTCGTCAATTGACCTCCCCAGATCATCTTTCCACCTTAACTTTAGTTTGATCAGAGACGAATCAGAATACATCTACAACTCCCATCTCTAGATTTGGAAAGTTGGGCTCTCCCCAATCTGACCCACCTTTCCCGAGGTCCGGGCACGACTACGCGTTCTCAGCTTCACCAAATTCAGCCCTGACTTTTTGCGCATATTTGGTACGAGTACGTGATCGCGTTCTATACTAAAGAATCCCCTTATCTTTAGAGCCCTACTGTTTCCGAGACGAGGCTAATTGGTGCGCGCATGTAACAGAGTATCCTACATTATCACCAACTCCCCTAGGCTGAATCCATAAGCTGAAAGTTCGTACCCAGCCAATATAACCCTGTCTACTTTTGGCGCGATATTGCGCCTGAAACGGAGGCGATCGCGCATGATCTGACGTGGTCTGACAGAACACGCGAAACACAAGCATTGACGCCCAAGCCGAGGATCCACCGCGTATTCCAAACCACTCATAACCATGTCGAACTCTCCTTCAAAGGACCCTGAACTTGATCCCGAAGCGCAGTCGGGAGAAGAACAAGAGCACATGGACAAGGACCATCACGACGTGCAGGGACACCAGGGCGAGTTCGAGGTGAAGGAGCAAGATCGGTGGCTTCCGATTGCAAATGGTATGTCGCATGCATTTGGTCTTTTGTTCCGATTTGCACGTACCTTGCCTTTATGTTTCCCCCGCATTGGTCTAAACTGTACAAAGTTCCTTTTCATCTTATATGTCTTTTCCTGTATCGGTCGCAAAGCTCATATATCCACCCCCTTCTCATTACCCCTCAATTTGAGACCACGCAATGTCTCCTGTTAACATCTTATTTAGTGGCTCGTATTATGAAGTTGGCCCTTCCTGAAAATGCAAAGATTGCGAAAGAAGCAAAGGAATGCATGCAGGAATGTGTGAGCGAGTTCATCTCATTCATCACAAGTGAAGGTGAGTCTGTTTCTTACTTCAAGCTACGAGATATACTAATCCGCTATATGCGCAGCCTCGGAGAAATGCCAGCAAGAGAAGCGCAAGACAGTCAACGGCGAAGACATTCTATTCGCCATGACATCGCTTGGATTTGAGAACTACGCCGAAGCCCTCAAGATCTACCTATCCAAATATCGCGAGGTAGGGTCACCCGAACCCCAGAACGCAGCCCAGGATTCCTTTCCAGGATTCCCGGACCGAGCCTCGAGCAGTTGTTAGGTCCAAAATACTAAATTCAACCCCCAGACTCAATCTGCCCGTGGCGAAAACCAAAGACCCCCAAGCGCTGGCTATGGAGCCGGAGGACCTGTCGGTGGCCCCGGTGGACCTGGTCCTGCTCGTCCCACAGGATTCCCCGATGCCGAAGGCGCAAATCCCATGATGAACCCCAGCCTTGACCCATCCGAGCAAGACACCTCCGCCTACGGCTATCCCTCCATGGTCGGTCAGCCTCACAACGGTGCGGGCGGCGAGTCATACTAAGGTACGAGGTGAAGGAGTTGGCGGAAGGATACCCGATTTCGATACAGGACGCATGTCCTCGATACCACTGACATGGCAGATCCAATCAAAGCGTACATAAAGGCATCTTCTGCTTCTTTCTTTGGTGTTCATCTGGAACGGTCTCTCGGCTGGTCGATGTGTTCGCGGGAGTAGAGGGGTTTAACGGCATGGCTTTTTCGTTTGATTTCGACAGATTAGGATTTTCATCGGGCTTTGTAGTTTGATTTCGGAGTTTTGCGGCGAATTATAGGAATAAGGACATCCGTATCTACGACAGTTGTGAGAGTCTACAATCTGTACATTCCAATGTTGGAGTAAATACAATTATTCTCCCCTACGTGCCTTCTTTTGTAAGATCTTAAGTTGTTCTCGTATTCAGCCAAAGGTGCAAATGCAAAGGCACCTGAGACCGAAGTTCAGCGGGGCTGTTCCACCTCGCGGGGCATCAGAGAGCGCTCCATCAATTCAATTTACCCAGCATACTCACGACTCAGCCCATTTAACGACCTGGTATACTTATTGTCTACCTGCACAAATTATCTTGTATCGTGAGATTTTGTTAGAATCAGCTTTCAACCTTGGAAGCTCAAGATTCTTCAACTATCACGTCATTGGGGAAGCTGAGAAGCACCTCACATATTCAAGATGAGCGGCAACAGGATCCTTCGCGTGGGAATAATTGGGTATGAAGCCCATTGGCAAAGATCCCTATACAATGATACTAATATTCTACCCAGATGTGGCGAAATCACCCAAGTTGCCCATATTCCAACTCTCGGGTTCCTCTCAGATTACTTCCAAGTCACGTACCTCTGTGACGTCTCCGACAATGCACTCGAGCACTGTTCCAAAAAGGTCATCGGGGGCACCCCCAAGACAACCTGCAAGGCAGAGGAGCTCTGCGCCTCTCCGGACGTGGACATCGTCATGATAGCCAACAGCGATGCCTTCCACATTCCGCACGCGCTACTGGGCCTGAAACATGACAAAGTCGTCTTCATCGAGAAACCCATGGCTCTGTCTCTGCAAGACGCGGACCAGCTCATTGAGCTCGAGAAGCAAACATCTGGAAAGGTGATGGTGGGATATATGCGACGGTATGCAAGTGGGTTCATCGACGCCGTCAAGGAAATAGGAAGCTTTGATCAAGTGTGCTATGCGCGGGTGCGAGATATCGTCGGCCCCAACTCGGACTTTGTGGGTCAGTCCGGCACGTTTCCAAAGGTTTTCTCTGATTATAGAGCGGAGGATTCGAAGGAATTGTCTAGCAAGACGAATGAGTTCCTTGAACAGGCTTTGACGAGGGAATTGGGGATTCCGGTTACGTCTGATACTGCTGCTCAGTGGCGGAATCTGGGAAGTCTTGGGTCGCATGATCTTAGTGCGATGAGAGAGACTCTTGGTATGCCGACGGCTGTGCTTGGTGCTTCTTTATGCTCTGCGAGCGGGCCGCCGTTCTGGAGGTAAGTTGTGAATTCCATATCTGTGGTTCTTGTCTGTATGCTGATTTTTTTTTTCCAGTGCCCTCTTCCAATATCCTTCTTTTGCTGTCTCTTATGAGTCTGGGATTGATAATGTCCCCCGTTTCGACGCATCGATTGAGGTCTTTGGTGAGAAGAAGACCGTCAAGATCTGTTTTGACTCGCCTTACGTTAAGGGCTTGCCTACCACTATGCACGTTCGTGAGAAGTTGGAAGATGGCTCCTTCCGGGAGTCTGTGGTTCGGAAGACTTACGAGGATGCTTATACTTTGGAAATGAAGGAGCTTTATGCATTTGTTGTTGAGGGTAAGCCTGCTAAAACCACCTCAGAGGATGCTAGGAAGGACCTCGAGATCTTCGGTATGATTATGAAGGCAGGTTTGGAAGGACAAGCTAGACTTAACAAGGCTGTTCGGAACTAGTCATGCTATGCATACTTTTGTGTAGAAGCATTGTCATGGAAGGATATCAAAATTAAATCAAAACGTTATCGTCCGGTAGCTTGAGATCAAACGGTCTTCAATCTGAGACCCTCATATGGAGTCAACATATATAACCGAGCTCAGAAGTACTTTATTCCCATTATATTCCTCACATTCATCAGTACTGTTGTCATTTGGTCAGGTGGCTTTCCCCCAATGACCTTTTGGGCCATACTGCGCAGGAATGCTAGGCCACACATCTATGCCGTCTAAAATTGCAAGTCTGCAAGTTTGGTTAACATATGTTGTAAATAATATCAAGATGCCGGTAACTTACGCCATGCCTCCAGTGAGGTGCGGGTCGATGTGGCAGTGGAGGAAGAAGGCCTGGCTAGTTAGTGAAGACCGTGAGAAGTTTTATACATGGATTGGTCTCTTACCCCCGGATTTTGCACTATCAAACACATGTTAACCTCTTGGGTTTCCGAAAAAAAAGGGGAAAGAAGAAGAGTGAAGAGAGGAGAAACTGAGTGGAAGACTTACCATGATAGCGAACTGCCAACCAGCTTGGACTTAGCAAGGCAGGAAGTGTTGTGAATGTATCTATTCCATCCATAAGTTCAGCACTAGAATAATTACCAGGAAAGCTCTGTGTGTCATACCTCTCATTGGAGGGTCAACCATATTAAACATTTCTGGGATTTCCTGTTGAGCCTCTGCGACAGAATTCCACTTGAACTCGCCCATGCCGGCACCCTAAGCACGCAAATCAGAGTCCGTACAATGAAATTCATACTCGAAGGGTGGGCTTAAAGTAACTCACGAGAATATAAACCAAGTTTGAGTGCTTGTGAATCGGATGACCAGGTTGGAGAGTCGATGCGTTCCCAAATACCGCGAAAACGATATCCACCCAGGTGTCGTTTTTCGTTGCGATAACCAGGTCACTGTCCGCGTATGATTGAGGGTCCCATAACATCGGCTTCTCTGACTCCAGAGACAGACTGTAGGAATGATCTCCGTTGAGGGACCATTTCCAGGCTTTTTCAATACGGCCAATAGTGAGCAGGTATGTTTGATCCGCTTCTTCGCTAGGTCGACTCGGGATAAGTGGTTTAATCTTATTTTCGTCAAATATAATAACATCTGTACTCATATTGTTTCCGCCGTAGTTGATTGATGGTTTTCCCACGACGGAGGGATCACCGTTGAGATAGGAGAGAGTGCCGTATCCAGCAACCTTCTGGTTGAGTCCTGCATTGGCTGCTGTTATGAGGTAGTTACCTGGCGTATTATTCAACTGAACTAGAACGGAGTAGCGGCCACCGTTACTGAGTGTCAGTGCCTAGTAAATGATTCTTTGTCAGTGCAATGCTCATAACTTTGCAGTGTATCTCGTGAGGCGGGTATAGTATCCTACATCAACTTTGGTGGGTACAATGTATCGGCCATCGACTTCGTATACCCACAGAGAATGATTGTTAATAGAGACTGTATTTATTAGCGAACAGGTTTAGCTTTCTCCTCTCGTAATCTAGCAAAGCACAACAATAAGCATACCTGTTGGGACGGAGATCGATGCCGAACCGATAAGATTTAGGCTTACCCAGCCTTTCCGGGTATCAACTTTGACCACTTCCTCCATAGTCTCTGTAGCAATGCATTTATCAAACATGGATGGTGGGATTGCGGTGTAGTTATGCTGAGAAGATGTTGTTTGAGCATAGGTATTACCAACTGGGAGACATCTTATGTTGAACTCAACGTCAGCTTTCTGATCAGCACTTTGAGAGTTATCACATACCCTTTCGCTGTGTAGTTCATACCCTGGAGCAGGGGGGTCAATGGGGCAGGAGTCAACGAGGTCAAATAGGCAGAGTCGATGCAGTGCACTCTACCTTTGCCATTGATCAAGATAGAATCCGCACATCTGGAATTGTCATGAGCCCATTTTCTCACAATACCTCTATAAAACTTACAGTGTATCAAGGTTTGCAGAAACTGCAATATCCCGGAGCTCTTCTGATGTATTGTGAAACCAATCGGAAATCATCATCAATTTGGGGTCGCGGATGGCATTATTAATTTGAAAATGTGCCCGTGTGTCATCTGATATCATACTAGCCAGGTTTGCGGCAATGTCTCGCGGCCTGGGTCATAAGTACTCAGCTTCCTGCGCAAATAGGTAGATTCCATGCGGGTATGAGCAAACCTGATATAAATCGACCCGTACAAGCCATCCATTATTTGCCCTGCGCAATGCGAATGATACCTTCAAAATGTAAGCAATCTAGAACTCATTACTAGGAGGATCGACTTACCAGTATGTTCCGTATTGCGTAGCAGTGAATTTGGAAACAAATCTTCCGCCAGGGGCAATAAGCCTCTGCGAGACTCCTGGCACACCATCTGACCATGATGTTCCTTGTTGCCTTTCCTTTGTCTTAGTGGTGAGCCAAGTTATTTTCCAAGAAGACTCACTCAATGCCATGCCAATGCATGGTGGTGTTAAATGGCAGGAAATTGTTCACTGTCACCTCCACATTGTCGCCCTCGTCAAATATGAGAGGGGGCCCGGGGAACTGCCCATTAATCAAGGCTTGTTGGCGCTCAACTCCATCGGGGGCCTCAGTGCCCCAAGTTAAGTTGAGCTCGAACTTTTTTGTCGGGCGAGGTGGAGCAAAATGTAAAGCAGCACCTAGTCCGATGAAACAAAACAGAATAGACGGCTTCATATTTATCGGGATGGGGACCCTTGATGCTACACACACATAAAAAATTATGTTCAGAACCGAAGTTACAATGAATACGTTCGAATGTTAGGGACCTATACAAGGGAGGTGTGGGATTTTACGTACTACAATATACTTCAGCCGTAGCGCGGTGGATGATGCAGGGGGATGGATATTCGCAAGTTTTAAAGAGCAGTTCAACGAAGCCATAATCCTTTGTCCGTGTACTCCGTAGGTGTGTATCCGTGGATCCTACGTATCTCTTCTCGTATTCATTTATGCAGATCACTGAGGTGTTGTCCAGGGGTAATTGGCCGGGAGTGAGAGGCTCCGTCCGACAGGGTGTTTAGCCCTTGGGTGCCTATTTTTGGGAATAATCTGGACCCATTACTGTCTCGAGACACTCAGCTGAGCTCTGGACCTTTTTTGGTTAATGCTACTCCATACATACCGAAGTCTTCAGTTGAGGGAACCTTATAAAGAGAATATATGCTCCCTTCGCAATTAGAGCAAACAAGGGATAGGGGGTACGGGAATCGAATTATTTTCAAATTATTGAGATCTCGAATGCCAAATCAAATCTTAGCCAAGAGCTGAGTTGGCGTAAAGTCCGTGCGGCGTAAAAAGAAAGACGATCTATTGATTGTTAAAACACTCTGTACATGATACTATCGGATGTGAAGGTCTCACTCATCATGGGCCCCTTAAAATTCCTGGGCTTCCATCCCAGTGGTCAATGGTAACGTTCATGAAAATATAAGGCATTGGAGCTGATATGCTCCGTACGAGTCTCACAGATCTTCCGTTCAAATTAGGGCACATATACGGGGTAGGTGGCGCACGAATAGGTGACGGGACCCACTCTATGTAGCTGTATAAGTACATGTACCATTAGTTATAAGAAAATTATACCTTGTCTACCTTGGCAGCGTGGGGGGGTGGTTATCCCGTAACATTGGGGTGGAATGGAATTCCCCTTTTTCCTTATGTTATTCCTTCGGGGGCGTGGCTGTTGGGTTTCAATCTTTTTTGGTGTTAGTATGTATAAATAATACATAGGAACTTGAATGTTTAAAAGGACAACTCTGTTACCCAGGGAACGACGTCCTATATATACCCTTGCGGCTAGCAAAATGGACCATGTACATAGATAGCTTATTGATACTGCCGTTTTGGACGGTAGATTAGTCTTGCTTCTAAGCGTAATAGCAACTTAATACTAGGCCCTAACTCTCTACCATATATTTCCATACTCCGTGGGTCCTAAATACAAAATGTTAGCTGAATAGATCGTAGTGAAAACCTGTAATCCAGGATATACATAATGATAAGCAGAATTGAATTGACCATAAGAAGATTATATATGAATGGAATTTTTGGAGAATAATCCTATAAAGGTACAGTTACTAAACTCAATAAAGCTATTAACACACCTAACCAGTTGGTTATGTCAAAAGGTAACTCTCTAAACCACTATATTTGTTTATAAAGTCTTTGTTATCTACGGAGGGAGTACTGAGTGTATAAACCAATCCAGCATCTACGCCCGCGTCACTCCGCAAAAGTTTTAACACCATTCTTCTGCCGCCTCTTTAATTGTTGTTGGATCTTTAGCCAGCGGAACCTGGGGTGCTAAAACTTTTGCTAGTCATTGTGGCAATACTGATAATGTTTCAAAAATAAACGTAGTATAAAAAAAACGTCAGCACTAGGACTCGAACCTAGGTTCACGAATGAACAGCATATCGGATGTTTATATTCGAGTGCTGCGCCTTAACCACTCGGCCATACTGACGAATAGCGTACTGATTTAAGCCAGTATTCAAATATATAATAGTGCTTAGGAAGCGGCATAACTAGCGACCACGGGCGTTTTTAGAGTTGATGCTGATGTGCTTAATCGTAAGCTATAGTAAGCCCAGATCATAACAAATCAATTGAGACTCGAGCAAATATTCGTGAAAGGGTTTTTGTAAATTCCAGTTCCCATACATTAAATATATATATGTATATCTGGGTTATCTATGGATTCACACACCAAGGAAGCTTCTAATCGCTTCACCTCTATATTTATAGCTCCTATATACCCATAGAAACTCCTTGTATTATTCATTCATACAAAAGCCTTATGATTGACTGATTTTCACCTCGAGAGGAGGGCCGGAGTTACCGCTACTCTCGGAGAGCGACCTTCGACGAGGTGGATCGAACTTTAAGAAAAGATCGATCAGCAAGACATCTCAATTGGTGAAGAATGTTAACTAAGCCTCCAGCGATCTAACGAACTCTATTGTTGTATAGGGGGAAGTGTGAAATAACGAACTTCGTAGTAAGGAGGGAAATTCGTTATTAGTAAGTATGGTGGATTAATTGGTATAGAGCGGTGTCAAAAGCGGTCTAAAGTGGCGTCTGGCCTTGGCGTTAGTTATGCTTCGCAAATGCTTTTAAAATAAAAATAACCAAAAAAATTTACACGTCAGCACTAGGACTCGAACCTAGGCTCACGAATGAACAGCATATCGGATGTTTATATTCGAGTGCTGCGCCTTAACCACTCGGCCATACTGACTAGTGTATACATAAAAAGGAAATAAAATGCTATAAATATGAATATAATACATACAGCAGTCTAAGCTTAGACAAGCAAATTTAGATTAAAATAGGGAATTGTAAACACCATCCCACCAAAGAGAGACTAGAGCGCCCTTGATGTAAGAGCAGATGAAGACATCTTTGACGGAGACGATACATCAAATCCTATGCAACTTGCGAGGGATATATGACCTCGTGATACGATTTTGGATGCTTTTACATAATCGCCTTCTCCGCATCCACGTGAGCGTCCAGCCCGATCCCGCAGTTCCCTCAACTTCCCGACTTTTTTGTTTCTTTATTTTGTTTGTTGTATTTATCCTCGGCAATCATTTCGGAGTTCGCCATGCCGTGAAGTGACTGGAGTTAGCGACTCGAATAATGCAGAATCGTGGCCGATTTAGACGAATGATGTCAATGGTACTCCTGCCATGTCCTCCGTCAACGATAACGCCCCCTCGCCGCTCCCGGTGGATGGGGTGAGCAAGCGCAAACAAGGTAAGCGCTTGTGCCCCCTGCCTGGATCGTTGTGCATCTTGATTTGTGGTGTCTTGTATCCTTTTCCGGTTATCGGTTCTTTTTGCGCGATCAGACTCGCTGACCGGTGACTCAAAAAAACTCTTAGGCTCCGCAGCTTGTGTCCACTGTCACCGGCGCAAGGTTCGCTGCGATGCCCGTACCGTCGGGACACCCTGCACTAACTGTCGTGCCTCCGGAAAGACGGACTGTCGCATACACGAAAAGAAAAAGCGTCTTGCAGTACGCTCAATCCTAGACCCCGTTCCGATCCGATCTCGGCCTCTACCCACATCCGATCCCACTTCAAACCCTGCTCTTCCAGCGGGGATACCCCTACCACCAAGTTTTCCAACTGCATTCCAGAGCGGCCATGCTACACCAATATCTGGAGGCCTTCCGCAACATGGATTCCAGCAAGGTACGGGATCGGAGACATTTGGCCGCCACGGCCCTGATATGGCGCATGCCCACGAGGCACACTCGGAGATGGAGCAACATCTCGTTAAATTAATAGATGAAGAGGAATCCGGCAGAAGAGAGATTCAAAGAGGCGTGCGCGCCTTTTATGTTGGACACGAACTTTCGAACATGTCATTCTTGATTCGACAACAACGAGAACAAGATGACGATGTATACCATTTTGCGAGCAACGAAATCCCACGACGTCAAATGAAGACGGGCCATGATCAACTTCTCATGGATGCTCTAACACTTCCAGAACCGGCTCTCGCAGATGAATTGGTCCAGGCTTATTTCACATATGTCAACCCTGGGTACCCTATCATCGACGAAGATCTATTCATGACCCAATACCGGAATAGAGATCCTGCAGATCCTCCACCAGTTTTACTTCTTCAAGCAATTTTGCTGGTTGGGGCACATGTTTCTCGTACAAAAGTAGAGCGAGACGCTCTTAAAGAAATTTTCTTCCGCCGCACCAAGTATCTGTTTGACAATCGCATCGAGCGAAATCGCGACATTCTTGTTCAAGCGGCCCTTCTTTTGACGTGGCATTCGGATAGCGCAGATGATGATGTTGCTGCAGATGCTCACTTTTGGGTTGGGGCCGCTGCACGTATCGCCACCGGGCTTGGAATGCACCGTAATCCCGTATCCAGTAGCTTCGTGACTCGCGATCGGCGGATGTGGCGGAGAGTTTGGTTCATTCTGATACAATTTGATGTGTTGATTTCCCTGTCATATGGCCGACCTCAAGCGATGTAAGTTATTCCAAACGGCCAACTTGCAGCAAATACTAATTTTCAATTTAGCAACCTGGACGATTCCGACGTGTCTCCTTTGACACCCGCCGATTTTGAGAATTGTGGTCCTCTTGTGCAAGCAGAATACGTGATGCATTTCACCGAACTTTGTACGATGATCTCGTATCTAATTCGCGATCGATTTGGACTTCGGGCGAGTGAAGAACGGCGAAAGGCCGTTCTTCAAGAAGCCGACGGATCACTGGCAACCTGGTCTCTGAAACTTCCTGATAATCTTCGGCTTCGCGCATCTGATATGGACCCTTGGTCCGCCATGCTCCATTTGACCTACAACAACTTCCTCATTCTGCTGCATCGGCCTCATCCCAGAGCTTCGGCTTATTCCGATGACTATGGCCCTCACGACGCAGAAATTTGCAGTGCAGCTGCCGGGGTTATAGCCTCAATATTCGAGGAGCTCAGGATGCATGAGCGCTTGAAGTACCTTTGGTACACTGGCGTTCACACCCTCTTCACGGCCATGATCCAAGTCCGAGTGGAGCTCCGCTTCTCCAATCCAGTTCTTGCCATCAATGCCTTACGCCGCTTCGATTCCGCCTCTTACTCGCTGCGCGAGTTAGCTCAATACTGGGTTCATGCTGGCACAATCCTGCGACTCTTCGAGGACTCCAAACGTCTGCAAGAGGATCTTCGACTGGCAACCACGGAACGACCGAAACAGTTCGGCGACGCTCATCATGCGCACAAGATGCCCATTGCCTCTCCTGTTCCATCAATTACCATGCATACCCCCGGACCACTCTCCTTCGGTGTGCCCACACCCGAATCGACCCCTCTCCAAACAACCCTCTCACCACAACCCAACGCTCCCCAATTTAATAATTGGATTGCGCCTCTTAGGCTTAATGTTGGCCCTCTGGAAAGGAATGATCCTTTCTCAAGCAGCATGCAAGTGGATTCTATTGAGCCAGCCCGCGATTATCCGGACTGGAGACAGCTATTCTCCTTCGGTGATGTAGACCTACCTCCTCCCGTGGGAAGTGAAGGTCTGCTTGAGCTTGAAGATGAATGGCGGCAGATCTACTGGCAGGATGCCCCAATGGCAGATCTCATTCACGATGGAGGATGGATACATAGTTAGCTTTGACTCGCTACCTCTGGTTGATGACTGTATAGAGCTGTCATCTTTTCCATCGCCTGCTCTCCACATACCTTTTCTACCTTGACGACGAGACGAGCCATGCCAGGGCACGCAGATACACGATACATTTTAGAGACCATGTCAGATCACATACACCTACAGGCCTAGCCTACGATACCATGTCACAAATGATCACATACAATGATAGAGATATACCATGTCATATAATTGCAAATAGTGATATCAGATGAAATCAGTTGGGATCTTTTTGTATCTCGCATCAATAAGCCAGGCAACATCCATGGGTATAATACGTACGAGAGTGTTCCAAATCGCGTCATATATACGTCTTCGCTAATTGCACGGCTTAAGAATACTGCAAGAAATCAGAAATCGAACCAAGACTCACCCATGCAGGAATAGAGAAACGAAACATAATACCTAGCCAAACACGAACCGCCGCCAATTATCCGCAAGCACCTGGACACCTTGTCGCAATTCCCATCCACGTAGCTGACAAATCTGTCGGGCCACATCTTCCAGCATCTCATCCATCTGCGCACCTGCAACGTGAAGATCACTTTCAATAAGAATGCGGTCCTCAGGCAAGGCCTTGATAACATCGCCAACCTTCTTTTCGGCCGCACCGGAGAAATTGATAGGTTTCGAGAAGGAGAAATAAACATCCGACGGATTCGACCGGTGCAAGAACTGGCGAATGGGCTCAACCGAACCGGTATAAGAGTGCATGCAGATGCGAGGTGGGAACGGCCGATACGATTTCCTACTGGGGTTGGATATTTTAGTGGACTGAGATCCGTCCGGCGTCTCATCTTGATCATCGTTTTCGTCGTCAGACACGGCGCCTTCTGCATCCCGCTGTTTATCCCTCTTCCGTCGCGATAGCACAACCCGTTCATGTCCTGCCCAGAGCTCCTTAAGCACCTCGAAAACCCCGCCGTGTGCTTGAACGCTATGCAGTGAGACCGCACGGTTCATTTCTCCTGCTAGCTGTAGCTGCGCTTTTAGCACGGTGCGTTGGTGTTCCGGTTTGACGCGGTACTTTGAGAGACTCCGACCCTCACGTGAGCCGGGGGTAAGCTGGTCATCTCTGTTGTCGCTGTCGGTTCCAGTCCATGGGCTCGGGAGTCGGAATGACCTGTCCAAGCCGACTTCGCCGACTAGTGCATTCGGAAACTGTTGGAGTCGGTTCCGAGTTTCAGATATTAGTTCTGAGAGGGGCTTGGGAACAGGAAGTAAATCAATAAATGGCTGTTCATCGGCCGGAGATGGTGTTAGGACAGTGGCGTAGTGGGCAGACTTGTGCTCGGCTGGGGTTTGTGCTGCTGTTGGTTGTGTAGTGTCGTCCAGGATCTGGTGCGAGAACCACGGGTGCCAGCCGAAGCACGGGACTACGCGGTCTGTTGTTGATTGGCTTGTTTTGGCTGAGAGTGATACGGCTGTTTGTTGTACTAGCTCTTGGTCTTCCCCACGAGTGGCCATGATTGTCAATGTCGTCGCTTTCATCTGTGGGATGTCGGCCACTGAGGCCAAGGTGTCGGTGGGGTGGCAGTGGGCATCGTAGACGCCAATATCCCAAGGGAAGGGCTCGTCCTCTGGCATGTTTGGGGAATATTTAATAAAAATCAGAATAGAACAGGGCTAGCTAGATTCATGGTTTTTGATATACAGGAAGTTCCCGAAGTGATGTAAATGGCGTTTGTGCTGCCTGGGGCATCCATCACATGCTTTCTCCGCAATTTGTTGTTTTGCATGCTGCAACTGCATTTTAAGACGCCGAAAGTCTTATGATCATGAATCTCTGGCCCTTTCTTCCCTTCTTGGGGATATAGATTGACTCCTCAATGTGGTCCTCGCTATCAACGTTGCTCGCGCTGCCTGTTCTGGGCCTCATCTCTATCCCACTTATTCTCTCAGCATGGGTTACAATCTCAGCTGCGATTTTCGCACTGGTAGTCAGACTAATAGTAGTCTATGTTGGGGTAGTATACGGATTGGTCGTGCATTTCTTCTCTGTGCCAACCTCACCTACCTCGTCATTATTGACATTCGCGGCCTCAGAACCTACAACTCCAGCTGCTGGTAGATCAAGAAGAAACTCCAGCCAAACAACGATACATCCGCGAAAGACAAATGACCTTTTCACTTCCTGGGCCGCGGGTATTAGTCTGGACGACCCAGTAAGCCGCAAAAGGAACTTTTATGCACGGAGCATGATCGAGGCCCACAACCTGCCTATCCCCGTCTACGGCCTGCCAATAAGCGGCGACGAAAGACGAGACTTCGAAGGAGTGGGTGGATGGCGCTCGTACGGGGCATCCAAAACACGCAGCTCACATACTCCACACGAGAAAGCCACAAGCTCAACCTCGTCCTCTTCGACACATAGCATCGGCGACGTCGACCCAGACGCAGACATCGACGCAGATGAGCGAGCCTGGCTTTCTCTAAATAACCGTCTCGAGCTCCCCTCACATCTCATCACGCTATGCACAAGTGTTCACTCCGGGAGCACCATAAACAGCCCCACGCAGCAAGCGGCGGGCCCACAGGGCATCTATCCCGAGAAGCAAAAAGACGGGTCAAGACATCACCACCGCTCGCTCACGACTTCCTCGCTAACGACCTCTGACCGGCGCACAGGCACAGGGCTCTTCCTGGCGCTGTCAGCCAGGCCTGATAATGCCGCTGTTCATTCGAGGGAGTACGGCCAACCGATGTTGTCGTCAACGGCACGACTCACGGCCCCGTTCATGACGCCGCAGCCATATGGGCGACTGGATTCGAACTCGAACTCCCAGTCACGAGCTCTCCCGTGCACTTTCCCTGCTAGCCGTGCACCATTCACAAGCTCCTATCTCTCCAGCTCTGGGGATGGGGTGGGTCACAGCTTCGGGAGCAATGGTAGTGGCGGGAGCTTTGCTAACGGAGGTGGGGGTGGATACTTTTCTTTGAGACGGCCTGGGTCCTCTGGTAGCCAAATTCTCTCTGGAAGAGTTAGCCCTAGTGCTAGTAGTTATAATACCCCTGGGGTTGGTCTGTCGACTGAAGAGTGTGATGCTTCATCGGTGGGGCTAGCGCGCTTGATGGCGCATTATCCCACTAGCCCTAGACATCGGAGACAAAGTATCTCTGGACCGAATTCGAGGGGGCTAGCTGCCGGAGATCGAGCTGGATGAAGAAAGGGTGTTCTCTTTCTTCTTTTCTTCTTGGGGTTCGGAGGCGCGAGGAGCATAAATGATAATAAAAAGTGTCATTAAAGCTGTTTCTCCGACTGGAGTATTCATGGCAAGTGCCATTGATTCTGTTCAAGTTTATCTAGTCAATATGTACCGTACATAATTGTAGTCACGGAAAAGATGGAGAGAGACACACAGACACAAGGGGCAAAAAAAAAGAAAAAAAAGCCACAATGAACGAGGGATGAGCGTCTGATATCACACTCCAGCTCTAGATTTGATAGAACATTATTCACGACAAAGGAAAAGAAGACATCGCCATCATCCACATCATGACTGACGACTTCTCTCCCTCTGGCTGACCTCTTCCATCTCGTTGAGCACAATATTGTTGAATTCCTCCCATCCATCGAGATACAAATGGTGGCCAGCCTGCTTCACAACGACCACCTTAGAGGAACCTTCGTCGGTACGCTGCTCCTCTAGGGTGGCCTTTTCTAGAACCTTGCGCTTTTCTTCTTCCAGTCTAGCAGCAGCAGCATGTCCACCCGAGACATCCATCCAGTCGTGATCACCATACATAAATACCACGGGAAGACCCTTCTCGCGCCGAGCGGGTGCGGAAGATTCAGATGAAGGAGCAGCTGTGGAGGCGGGTGTATTCTCGGAGCTTGTTGATGGAGAGGTGGCGGCGGCAACTGGATGAGGGAGGGCATTTGTGTTTTGTATTATTTGTCTTCCGAGGCCGTGTACACGGTGGATGAGAGGACTGCGAGCGAAAGCACCAGGGGCAAGAATGTATGCTAGCGCGTACTCGCCGCTACCGCGAAGACTGAAGATCGAGTATGAATAGTCGTGGAGTGCCTTAGCTTCCTCGGCTGGTAGGTGGGAGAATCGACGAGAAGTCCATCCAGACACGAGACGTGGGCCTAAAGGACCAGCCCATCGCACCAGACTGAAGGGGGAGATATTGGCGTCCCACAGATACGATAACCATTTAGGGATATTCCGTCGTGGAGGTGTGGCGGCTGCACCAGGCTGGGGTGGTTGTCTCCCAGTGATAAAGCTACCGTCGGTTGTTTTTGGTACCGTCTCCGGAATGGTAGTAGATGAAGTGATATCTTGCTGGTCTTGAGTAAGCTCGTTGGCCATTGTTGATGCTGGAGGCTCAGCCACATCTGCGGTGACAGCATATGGGTCCTCTGGGATGCCAACTGGAGACGCCAGGATAAGCTTGTTCAGATGACCGGGGTATTTGAGCGCATAGGCAACCGCCATGTACCCGCCGAGACTGTGTCCAAGCAAGGTAAAGCGATCAATCTTCCGTTTGATGCGCCATTCTTCCAAGGCATCTACAAACCAAGCCTCAGCTTCCCTGATGGCTTCTTCTCTTTCCTTTGCCTTGATTTTGAATGAAGGCCGAGTGCTGCGGCCCATGCCTAACATGTCCAAGGCATGGAGTTGCCAGCCTTTCAACCGACTCAGTGGTTCGAAGTTTTTATAGAAGAATCCAAGTCCGGCGCCGTAGCCGTGTAGCATGACCAAATGTTGATTTGCTTCCTCGCCGACCCTCTCCACCGAGAACTCATTGAGCGCGCGGTCTTGCCCGCTCAGTTCTACCATGCTGGAGCGCCATCGGCGAGGGCCATAAGGGTCATCGAGGGAGTTGGTGGTGACCTCACCCAGCTGATTAGGGTCTGCACTCTCGAGACTTGTAGGGGTAGTCCCACCGGGGAGCTCTGCGGTGTTTCCAGTTTGGAGGTGGGTGGGGGGCTGGTGATGCAAGTAAGGCAGGTAAGAGAGGACTTTATGTTCAGCAGCGGCTGCAGGTATACGAGCCCACTATATAAAGCAAATCATCAGCGGATATGCGACAATTGGGGCTATACGATTGTAGCTTACCCATTGATTGAAGCCTTCTCGGTATCCCAACGGGAAAAATGCGCGCGCCGCTGCTGCGCCAGCAGCAGCATGAGCCGCATATGGAGTTCTCGGGATCCTCTCAGTATTATTTCTAACTGTGCTGTGGCGACGCCCATGCATGTCCTCTTGGGACGAGTTGAGTGATTCTGACGCCATTGAGGACAGTCGTTGGCGGTGCTCCCGAGGGAGGGTGGCGAAGACACTTGAGCGATATGTCTGGTATTTAGGGGCTGAAAAGGGAGAGGCAAGTCGCAAAGGTACGGCTGCGGTTCGCATACAAGTTGGAAAGATAAATTGTTGTTGGCAAAAGTTGAATGTGGCGCTCATAAGCGTATAAGAAGGGAAACCGGAGACAAAACGGTCACTCCGCTTAACCCCGGTAGTCTGGCATATGCGCAAATCCGGACAGAAGAGGTAATATCCGATAGAAGAGAATGAAAAGAAGAAATATTGAAATCCTCTAAGAGCAATGGACTGTCAATAACAGAACCGTAGAGAAAAAAAGGATGTCAAGTCAAGTGGGCTGGCTAACGTCGATCCAACTTCGCTTCCTTTCAACTTCCCGCCTTCCTCTCTCCTCCTTCACATGCGATGACTCGCTCTAGGCCGGATCGGCCAGTTTTGATTTGACTTTTGCTGAGTTTTTCATATTGACCATTCTCTTGGGACTCTCTTCTACTATGGCCTCACCTTTAGACCAGGTGGTCAAGGGTGCCCCAACACCGGGTGCTCGCGCCTCAACCCCAGAGCCATTGAACTCCTCTCAAGCTCATCCTTCAGATTCCTCTCCACAACGTCCATCGACCCCAGACCCGCTGGCAAACCTGCCCTCCTCCCCGCCCCAGATCTACCTGAACCTCCTAATACTCGAAACCTCGCTGCGAGCCCAGTATCTGGCCCTACGCGAGCGTCGCCGCCAGAACACATTCTTCCTACTTCTACTAGCCGCTTGGCTTACTCATTTTGCATATGCCCTTTTCCTTCGTCCGCGTGAAGATGGCCGTGGTGTCGGCGGCTCTGTCTACTGGGTAGTGGAGATGGCGGAGAAAGTAGCTCTGCTCGGCGGGGTGGTTACCGCGCTCCTCGTCTGGGGTACAGGGCAATGGGAACGAGGAATCAGATGGCCTCGGCGCTGGCTCGCTGTCTCCAATCGTGGCCTACGCGTGATGAACACTAAAATTATTGTCATCCGCGGTCCCTTCTGGCAGGAGCTACTGTCTTATGTCTCATTCCTGTTCCCATTCTCCGTCCCATTCCTACCCTCCCCTAATGGAAACTACCATTTTGTGGAGCGGAGCCCCTCAGATAAACGCGCTGGTGGTGGTCGGCAGCACTATCAACAGTACTACAACAGCGGTGACAACGAGTCCGGCTTGATAGAAGAAGACCTCAGCCCAGGAGGCGACTACATCCGTCTCCTCCTGCTGCCCAAGTCCTTCTCCCCCGAATTCCGCGAGAACTGGGACGATTACCGTACAGATTTCTGGGAAAAAGAGAACGAGCGCCGCGCCCAGCTACGCCTCAAATTGCGCGAGCGCGAACACCACCTCGCCCAAACCGAAGGAAGCTGGCTCGGCCGACTGGGGCTCGGCTGGCGCGCCTCGCAACGCCGCCGCCTCGTCGCAGGAACCCTGCATCGCCCACTCGATTCGGAACTCAAACACCGCATAGGCCACAGTCACCACCCCTCCATCACGAAAATCAACCACGAGCGCGGCCCCTCCTCCCGCCGAAATACCCGCTCCGAGTCCCATTCCCGCACCTCATCCCGCAGCACCACCCCGGTCGACATCAGCCTTGAAGACCGTCCTCCGTCCCGCTCTTCCACTTCCAGCCGGCCCCGCCGCGGGAGCACCGCCTCTGGACAGGAGGCGAGTCCGCAGCAGCGGAAGCGGAAGGGCTCGACGCTGAGGCGGGGTCTATCGCCTCTTACGCAGGCGCAAATCAGAGAGGGTGTACGGACCCCGTCGTTCTCGTCTGACGACTTTGTGATGCCTACGGGTATGGTTGAGAAAGATAAAGAGGAGGCTATACCGAACTCTGTTCCGGAATTGTAATACTGCACCGCACCTTAGCACGAAATGTCGTTCATGCTTATGCTGTTCATGTCTCTATACCCTATTTTTCTTTTCTGCCTCTCATATTTGCCAGACACTTGTTGCTCAGAACGCTGCTGGAAACATGCATTGGCTGTGTATGCATATCCCTTAGAGTGCGGTGTCGTTGGTTCTATAGATAAGCCCGAGTGCCTCGCCCATGTATGCGGCTGTGTTGCATTTGATTCCTTTGGTGATTTCGCATTCTACTGTATCTCTACAGTGTCAAATAAACGAACGTCTGCTCATCGGATCACATGACGTGGCATTACAATTACAAGTAAGCTAACCATAAAACTACCATTCAGGTTTTGATTAAGTCAAGGATAGAGTATTCATTCATATTTCTCGTATTGAGTTCACTAATATTTCCTCACAAACCCACTCCATACGCCAAGCACAAAAAAAAACATGCGATGATATCAATCCCAATGCAATGACAAGAAAGCATGCTCGTAAAACTGGAGACAGGCAAGTCCTGCATTCTCTCCTCTGGGTGTTTTCCACATGGAAGAGAGAAGTTTGGACAGTGCCACATAACCCAGATAGATTAGACCCGGTACACGTCTTCTTCATCCTCGAGGTACATCAGAATATTATCATCGTTCATGACGCGCAAGGCCTGGATAGTCTCTGGGCGGGAGAAGACATGTGAAGCGCCAAGCTTGGGCGACTCCCGGATAGCAGTATTAACAGCATTGATCAAGTCATCAATCTTGCTTGTATCGCTGTCATTGAACACGGTCTTGCCCATGAGTGGGCCCAGAGTCTGCCGGAAGATTGTCATGCGGGCAGGGGTGATGGGGACGTCTTGGGAAGTGGACTGCGAGTCTGTCTGAGACTCGATGAGCTGCGAGGCTGGCTGTGAAGATGCCATTGACATCTGAGAGTCGGTTTGGGTTTGGGTGCGGCCTGCCTGGCTCGAACGTAAGCGTTGAGCGCGAGGGCTGGCTGTGTATAGGTTGTCTGGGCCTTCGTCCTCGTCTGGAACTGGAACACTAGACTGCGTTGTGGTACCGGTACTGCGGGTGCGTGCTGTGCCGGTGCGTCTACCTGGTGTGGCGGTTGATGTACCGCGGGCGGTGGTGTCATCATCGGAGTTGTCGTCGAGTTCGGCATCGCTGTCATCGTCATCGTCGGAGGAGGAATCGTCGAAAGTGGTCACCTTGCGTCTCTTCCGGCGCTCGTCCTCGACCACTTCCTTGAACATGGCGAAGCGCAGGATGGCCTCGGCATGTTTAGCATCCTTCTCGTCTACTCGGTTAGACAGACGAGCCTTGGCGTGTGCAGTGGACAAACGAATCAGTGTCTCGAGAGTACGAGGGGTGATGGGCGATGTGCGACGCTTGTTGCCGGTGATTTCATCGTTTCGCAGAGCGGAGTATGCGGCGATAACGTGATCGGCAGCACCCTTGGTCAAGACGGGCATGATTCGCCTCTTAGCATATTGGATATACTTCTTGATGAAGGGAATACTAATGATTTCCACATGCTTGCCACGGCGGCGGCCAGTATTGGCAGCGTCAACCATGCCACCGTGGAGCATAACATTGAACTTCTCGAAAACCTCACTTGGCGCGTTGGTATCTTGACGGTCCTCGCTTCCCACGCCCAATGTTTGATTGAGTTGTTCCCGAACGGGTGCACCCTCCTCGGTGCCAGGTTGGCGGTAACGGTGCATGCGTAGAACATGCTCTGAGATTATTCGGTCATGGGCGTCTTCAATATCATCGGTCACGACAAATAGCAAATCGAAACGAGAAAGCAAGGAGTCGGGGAGAGCAATGTTCTTATGCGGGTCCTTGTGGGGATCATATTGGCCATAAACGGGGTTGGCTGCTGCAAGGACACTGCAACGAGCGTTCAAGCTTGTGTGGATGCCAGCTTTTGCGATTGTAACGGTCTGCTGTTCCATAACTTCGTGAATGGCAACACGATCGACATCACTCATCTTGTCGAACTCATCAATACACACCACACCACGGTCACCGAGGACCATAGCACCAGCCTCTAGTCGACGTTCGCCGGTTTCTTTGTCGGATGTAACAGCAGCAGTCAAACCGACACCAGACGAACCTCGACCGGTAGTGGCGATTGCCAGTGGGGCAGTATTCAACACGAAACGAAGAAGCTGGGACTTCGCAGTCGAGGGATCACCAACCATAAGGATGTTGATATCACCACGAAGATGGGTTCCGTTATCCAAGTTCTTCTCCATTCCACCAAGAAGCATCAGGAGGATGGCTTTTTTGATGTAGTCATGTCCGTGGATACTGGGAGCCAGAGACTTGGACAACAAGTCAAACACATTTCTCTTCTTGGCAATCTGATTGATGTTTCGAATATCGGTATCCGTAAGCACAGCCTCCGCAATACCTCCACCGCTCTTCGAAGACAATTGAATAATATTGTTTGCCATGACGACGGTGCGGAACGTCGATGAGCCACTGCCTCCGTTACCGAGGGTACGGTAGATACCCACCAGCTGGATTCTGTCACCAGGCTTGGCGGTGTCGACAAGATCGTCGTCCAAAATGACATCGACACTTCGGGGCAATTGTCCTGCCGGGGCACGTTCGGGCATTTCTTGGATAGAAATCGACTGGTGGTCGAGATATGTTGAGTAACCGTACTCGGTGATAAGCTAGAAATCATTAGTCTCGAATAGTGAAGTAAGATTGTCCGGTTTAGACTCACTGGGTTCTTTTCCTCGTCCTCTTGGGGGTAAACATTCAAACTGGTTGCCCCACTGGCACCCATAGTTTGATCACGATACTTTCTGGCAACAAACCGATCCTTCCTCTCGACGTAGTGAACGCTCTGGACGACCTTGGGGCGTACCAGAGAGCATTTTGTGACGATACCCTCGAGTGAGACCATGTGGTTCAGTTGTTGCGAGCTCAATGTGCGGGGGTTGCAAGAGAATTCTCCGAATGCGCCAACATAAGCGCAGTAGTAGTTCTGTTGATATTGTTAGACATGCAATGTCTGCTAAAAATCGCCGAGGACCAAATACACACCGCTTCGTCCGAAGTTTCTTTAAGTGGTCGGCTGGGTAGGGTTTTGACGACCGCCTTCAAAGCTGCGTCAAAGGCTTGTGAATAATCGAACGGCGAAGAGAGCAGCCTACATCCATTAGTCAATGAGCCCATTTCCACTTGGTATACAGATGTAATTTACCCATTGGCAAGCTCCCGGTTGTGTGCTCTGATTTCATCGATGCTGACCTGTCCAAAATTATCAGCAACACCTCCTGGAAGGGAATTTCGATCCACGCACCGTTAACCGTCGCGCACCCTTGTTTAGCATAACCACAATATCCGCTCGATAACTGTTCCAGTCCATTAGATGTATATTATAGCATATTGATCTTCAATGTCGACGAACCTGCGTGCCCGTGCATCATCTGAAAAAATAACTTTATTAGCCCAAAGAACACCACAAAAACCTAATGAACTTACTTGGATCAAGAAATTCAGTTGCGGCACGCACGCGATCCTGCGCGGCCTCATCGCGTAGTTGTAAACCGTCCATGATGTGTGATGCAATATAGTGTGGTGGGAAGGAGGGGAGTCGAGGTCTGATTGGAATTTCCCGATTTGCTAAAGTGGAACGCGTGTAACTTTGGGAGTTCACGCGAGGAAGGCGCGTCCCACGGGTATCATGTGCCGTGCTGAGTCAGCGAATAATTTTTTCCTGGGCTATATAAGCAGCCATTTCCCCGATCCTTTTCTTCTTCTTCAAGCGACTCTACGTGCGTTCTCCTCCCCCCAACAGTCTGGAAGCCTTCTCGGCCTTCAACACTGGACTTGGTCATTTTGAACTTTTCCACTGACTTTTTTTCTCCAACAGTTCAAAGAATCACTTTAGAGTAGACGTCCCCTTTCTAAACTCTTTAAAAGAGCCACAGAATCTCCACCCTTGCTGATGACTACATGTCCTCGATGCCCTAAAGTGAAACCTTTTTACTCCCGCCTCGACTGTCACGCGTGCTGTCCGCAGTGTCTGTGTTTCGGTCCAGGGAGTGGTGATGATCTTGACCTGGTCTCGGCGTCTGACTTCGGTCGGTCGGCCCTGGTGGGTGTCGAGGAGGTCTGAAAGGTCCTCCTCCATTCTGGTTGATGGTATGGGATGCTGTGTGTGGGCTGTTCGTTTTGATACTTTGCTTTTCAATGAAAAATTTTCAATATTCACTTCAATATCTATTCACGAAGTAAACTTCTCGTAGCTTCCTTCAATATTCTATGCCCAATACGATGGGCTAACAGTACTTGGACCTATCTTACCATCTTCAGCATATGGACGTACATATGCCTAAATCTTCAACTTAGTATATGGTGACGGATGTTCAACCCAGTACATCATTCTATCATTTGCCTGCATCGGTCCAACGTACACATACAGTGCAATAATCCATGGATGCTAACTACATGTAGATTCAAAAGACGAATTCATAAGTCTCTATTCTCTTTTCTACATTTGAAATGAACACTACAATATCTCTTTCCCTATTCTTATAGCTTAAGATATAAAGAAGAAAAAAACCCCTAAACCATCCAGATGGAATTTTCATATATATATATAACAGAGGTTGTTCGATGTAAGCTGGAAAAACTGGTGTATTATACATAATCAAATAAAAAAAAACAGGATATATAAGTACAAGCTAAAATTACAAAATCACTGTACATGGAGCATGCTGCTCAAGAGTCGTTGCTCGGTTCTTCCTTGTGCGTCCAGGGTCCCCTGAATCTTTTTCGCACATGGTTTCGTTCCTTTTCTGTCCGACCAGTCTTCACCTGGAGACCAGAAATTGGCTTGAAGAGAGACCGGATTGGAATATTGAATTTGTACTTCCGATTATCCTTGTCGAACAGTTGCCGCTCGAGAGTTGGCCTCTTGATATCGGTATCTTGTAACTTGCGCAAACGTCGTTTGTAGGCGTCGGCACGCGCGATATTCCCCCCTTTGAGCTCATCAGCGATAAACTCTTTGTAATGCTCCGCTTTTTCCTTCCACTCTGTTGTCATATTGTACTGATCGTAAAACACGGTTTCCAGGTCAATTCGGTCTGCGCGAGGGAGGATCTCCGCCAAAGAACCCAAGTCTCCTAGTTGTTCACTGGAGACCAAGCCAGTAAGACTCGACCCGTTGTGGAAAGGCTCGGGGTATTGTTCTTCCAACTCGAGAGGCTCCTGACTCGCGTCATCAAAGCTGCGTTCTTTTGCTCTGTGGGGACCAAGGAAGGGGCCAAGAGCACCAGAGGGCGTGGAGAACATATGGGCCGGGCGTGGAGAGATATCACTCTTCGCTTCTTTGCCGCGAAGGATTGTACCCTGATATCTGTCAGCCACGTATGGCATCGCGGCAAGGGCATCAACCGTCTTTGGCGCAATTTCGTAGAGATTCGCCAGGTCCTCATTCCCCTCGATGATACTTGTTTGCCGGAGCCGTTGCAGCGCGCTGGCTAGTTGCACCATGGTGGGGTAATCAGGGTGCATGTAATCGCGTTGGATTTTGCGCCAATGCTTTCGGGCTAATTTTCCCATCATCCTGCGGGGTTTGGTGATACCTGAGCGACCTTCGAGATGGAGGAGTGTCACGGGGGCATTGATTGGTCTCACGCCGTATCCCTTGAGAAACCACGACCAACCAGGGAAATGTGCAATGAACTTCTCTTCGAACAGTCGAAATGCCTCCACATTGTCGGGATAATTATCAGATGTCGCAAGCATCTTGACGTAAGTTGACCAGTTGATACCAGTCAATGCAAAGCCTGCTGCCTGAACTTCGGCCACAACTTGATGTATTTTCTCGAACATTCCTCGGCGAGCCAAAGACTGCATGTAAAGCGAAAGTGGATAGTCCAAGATGAAGCGTTGGGCATGAATTATTTTCGGCTTCTCTGCTTGAGTGGTGGATATTGAAAGCATCGATGGGAGAGGGGACTCGGCTGGCGCAGGCACGGTGGACATCGGCGATCGTTCAGAAAAGAAAGTTTCAAGGTCAGAGGTACCGGTGTACTTGCTTATGCCTGCCATAATGCTGTTCCAGCACTCTTCCACTTTCTCGTACTTGTGGGTTTCTAGATAGGCATTCATGATGGCTTTGATGAAGTCGATCGGTAAGGAGTCTAATTCATCGCCGTCCGATGATCCCGCAGTTCGTCTGACTTGCATGTAATGAGCGAAAGTTTGGAGTGCCTTTTCGGCGGCACCTTGGAAGCCGTATGCCTCGACCAGCCGTTGATAGTGCGTGGCAGTGAAAGACTCAACAGCAAATCCTTTTGAAGGAGTAGATAATAGAGTGTTGGACAATCGAGTGTTGACTGGCGATGGATTGGCTGTGAAATTTGCGATTGATTCAGAAAGTGTCTTTTCTGCGTTCTCCAAGACGATATCTTCAACGGGAGTTTGAAGATCTTTTGCGTTCTCCACGTCTCTTAGAATCTGCATTCTCAGATTTAACAGGCTCCCCTCCATTCCGACTCGACCGAAGCGTGCTTGCATCTCGCGAGAGATGATGTGCACCATATCGCGGTTCCGATGCTTCACATATCCAAGCAAGAGAATGGAATAGTGGTATTCGGTGGGTTCAAAACCAGCATTGTGCATCTTTTTGAGAGTAGTTCGCGCACGATCAACTTGCATGGCATACACATAAGCAAGCATAACAGCCGCATAAGTCATGCCGTCTGGTTTGAATCCTAGCTGTCCCATGCGGTCAAGGACGCGTCGGAAGGAATATTTGGATACCCTGAATGCATACCGCATTAGAAGAAAATTCCACATTCGTAAGGGAGACCCTCCCACCGCTAAGTTCCAGCTGCTTTCGACAAGCTCTTCTGCATAACCCAATTGCCCATTCTTGCAATACGCCTCAACAGCCGCATCAAGCATTGGCCTCGTGATTTGTACTCCACTGGTCTGCGCTTCTTTGAGCAATTGACGAATAGCTTCGACGTCGCCTCGCTTGGCAAAAATCCCCATCAGTGTGCCAAATGTGAACGAGTCGGGAGGCACACGGGTTTCTCGCATTTCGGAGAAGGTTGACATGGCACCTGATAAATCCCTGGCTGTAGCGTACGCCAGGAGCAGTATATTCCAGCAAATTGTGTTCAGCGGGATACCAAACTCCGTAGGAATTCGATTGAATTGCCGCCGTGTTTCGTTCACATCACCTAGCCGGGCGTGGACGGCAAGGAGGGGAGTCACCGATCTTGCGCTCTTCGGGTGGCCATGGTCTGCAAGGAACCTATCAAACAGGCGTTGGACAGTTTGTACATCCCCAATCCTGGAAAAAGCACCCATTGCGTCATTGTATGAGGTGATGCATGGTCTTTTATCTTCATCAAAGCTCGCCTCTTCATCCAAGAAGTATGGCATGCTGTCGGTCATCCCGAATTCCGACAAGCGTTGAGCGATAGCACGAATCATCTTCGCGTCTACCTTTGCATCCGGAAAATCCAAACGCAATTGGCGATAAACAAGAATACACTTGACGAATTCCGACCGTTGCTTTGAAGATAGAAAGGCCCTCACCACACTGAGATAGTGTTGATCTTTCAAAAGACCCAAAGAATGGTATGTGCGCAACAGTGGAAGCATAGTTGAGATCGGTGTGAGTTTGACTAAGTGATCAGACTCAAGAAAACGCCCAACCAGATGGCGAGCAAAGTCCATCTTTGCATTCATGTTTGCAGCATTGGTTTCTTTGGGATCGTGCGACAAGGCCATCTTAAAAGCAAGGAGATGTCTGGAAAGGGAATTCCCAGGAAAGTGAAATTCATCAATTCGATCCAGTAAAGAGTCCAATGGCGGTCGCTCGTTTTCAGGGATCCTCAATAGGGCCCTCCAGAGTAAGCCAATTTTGGCCCACTGTCTGTTTTCCATCATGTGCATCAAGCCTAGCGAGATGATATTTTGGGCAAATGGCATGGCAATGGCTTGCTTGCATATTTTGTGCAAAAAAAGAGGCTTTTCAGCGGGCAACGAAAGAAGCTGTGATCTTATAATGTTCATGAAGTCTATTTCGGTGCGATCTTCAGGCGCAATTTCGTTGAAGAGTGCCCATGCTCGTATTCGTTCCTTTTTTTCGGACGATTTACTCATATAAGCACACAGTGCAGGCTGAAATTTCGACGGGTATCCAGCTGCGACGTACAGCACCCAAGCTTTATCAAATTCGCTGCCATCCTTCTGAAGGAAAGCCTGGAGGGATGCGCTCGCTTCCCCGTCCTTATCGGAAGATTCCGGATCTAGAGGCTTCTGGGCTAGCTTGGATGCACTTTCGTGGTTGGATGAAGCTGCTGATGCTGATTGGCGAAGACTTGAAATGGAAACATAAGACCTTGAAAAGCTCAAGTGTGATCTCCTCTGGAATCCAGTCTTGTTTTGGGGGCGAGACAGACGCGAAGCTCTCAGAGCTCGAGCTTGCCGAGGGTATAAGAATTCGAACAATGGCCCTATCTCATCGCTTGACTCTCTGCTTTCGTGTTGAGTGCTAAGAACGGGGGACGATCGTTGACCTGACGCCTGCAAAAGCGCGATAAACCACTGAGGAGCATCTGCTCTAGCCCCATTGTGCTTCCAGAAATTACCAGACAGACATCGTGGGCTTTTGATCATGCCATTGGAATCTCGAAGAAAACGTCGTCCCGCGTTCTCGAGAGATCCTGTTGCACGTTCGAGCATCACCCCCAGATCGTAATTTGAGGCCGCAAGATGCCGTTATTATTTCTTGGTATGTATTGTATTCGGCGCAAAAGATCTGTCTAGATGATGCTTGTGTCAGAAAACTGCTTTTGAGCATGACAAGCAATTGAGCAAGTTGTCCCTGGGTGGTGCCATTCGTACCAAGGGAAGGAAAACTGGACTCGTCGGCGTGTGGAACACAATATTGCTCTCACACAAGTCCCCAATGTGAATTGCCAATCAAGTCCAGGCACCTTGATTTCAACAAAAAAAGGCAATGGTAAATCCAAGGTCCCATGAGCTTGGAGAAAACAACGTAAAAGATTCGGAGGTGCATGAAATTGCCGGGGTTTCACCGCCTTTAGTGAGCCCACCACTTCAACCGTGTCCCTCCCATTCTCATCACAAGGACCCCAAATAAAGGAACAAGAAAGAAAAATATCATGGAGGTAACTGAATTTATCTTCAAAGAGAGAGAGGAGGCTCTCCTTGTGGGAGACTACAATGCCTACCGGGCGCACACTACCAGAAAACTGCAGAAACTCCGCAAGAAGCTTGGTCAGGCCACTGTCAAAGGCCGCAAGTATACTGCCAAGCCAGCTGTGACTGCTGAAAATGTTGGAAGCAATGTGTCGTATGTTACCCACATTTCCAGTCATAATTACTATTTTGACTGGTTTCTAACCTAAGCCAGATATGTACACCTTTTGCTTCTTAGTTCCGAACGAGCTTGGGCGCAAGCAATGCACATGAAGTCCACACATTCCGCAGATCCTTCCGCAAAGGCCATCTCTGGCGCTGCTCGGCGTCACGTTATTTCTCGACTGAACAAGGCCACTGGATATGCGCAGCATCTGGTCTCGCTGCTCCACGAGCAGGCGCTATCTGGGGCGAGTGATGTGGATATCCTAGAGACTCGGGCTTATTTGGCAATGATCTCCGGTACTCTGTGGCTTGAAAAGCGGAGGTGGGAACAGTGTCTTCGAGATTACTCCCTTGCCAGAGTGGTTTACACGGCTTTGGGCCAAAGGATCAAGAAAGATGCTTTTCGGGACCTGCTCTCGGGAACTGTTGACCCAAGTCTCCGATACGCAGCTTATCAGATGAAGCTCCCCCGCTCCAAACCCACCTCATCGCTGGCCATTGAATTCTTCCCATTGGATTCTGAGATTCGCGCCGAGGTTGAGAAGGTCGACCCCTCTTGTCTTGCTGAAGAAGCAGCCGGTACTCGACGAACTGCAGAAGGAGAAGTGCAGGAATTGCCCCAGTCTGTTACCTGGAGATCGCGAACCGTCCCACTGGATGACGCTTCAATCTCTCAATCGTTAGCTGCTGCTTCAGCTGCGGAGGCTCGCCTCACTACTTGGCTGGCAGACGCAGGAAAGTCTGCCCCTGCTAAGGAGAAAGCCGCTGCATATGATAACGTGATTATCGCCAGTCAGGATGCTGTCGATGCTACGAAATCTGCCATTGATGACCTGGCTAGTGAGGGTGTTGATCCCAGTGATAAGAGAATGCAGGCACTCCAAATCACTCGAACTGCAGTTAATTACACTTTGGTTGGCTGGCGAGTCGGCCGTAACCGGGTGTTGTGTGGAGAAAGGGACGGTTTGTCATTTGAGGAACAACAACCCACAAGTGGAAAGGAAACTGCCAAGCACACCACAGGAAATGGCAAGAAGTTGAACAAGCTCCGTGAGCGTGTCGTCCTGTATGATTCGACACTTCAGAGTTTGGAATTTATTCTCGAACTTCCAGGTGTGGCAGCCGACTCAGACTTTGTGCAGGATCTAGAGGCCAAGCGGCACTATTTCCGTGCTCTCAGGTATGGTTCTCACCACAATCCTCACTGATTCTCGCGACTAATCACTTTTTTTTTACTCTTTAGATGTCTTGCTATAGGAAGATCCCATGGAGTGCTTTCGAAGTCAAAGGAGGCTCTTGCACTATTTTCCCAAGCCCTGAACCTCGCCGCCTCCGCCACTCCTCGGTCAGCAGAAGATGCTGAAGGTGTCCCAAAGCTCGACGTCTCACAGGTGCAATCAAGTACCTTGCAGTCAACTTTGCGAGATTTGGTTGCCCGGTATCGTGGACTTGTCACTCTAGAGAAGGTGACTGCTGAAGAAGCATCACAGTCGAGCCAGCGGCCAGTGGTGGAACGCCTACAACAGTTCGCAGGATCCGGACTGGACCTCAGTAATTTGGTGCCGTACCCACCTAAAATGCAGCCCATTCCCGTGAAACCTTTGTTCCTTGATGTGGCATGGAACTACATTGATTACCCACGTGAAGGTCAGCAACAGGAGGCTCCAACTCAGCCACAAGCACAGGCCCAAGGTCCCGTGGAAGAAGAGACGAAAGGCCGTCGTGGATGGTTTGGTTTTGGCGGTCGTTGAACCCTTACATAGATGTGCTACGAATACCCATTTTCTACAAAAGTACATGTAAGCATAAGTACAACCTTGGAACCCTTACTTGACGACCAATCAGCGACAATCAATATATCTCAGGAATTCCCTAGCCGGGTCACGTCGTGCTGAGTAATTGTCCTCTTTAGGTAGGATTCCGTACTCTGTACTCTACAAGGCTATACAATGTTATTTTTGATATGTGTGTTCGGAGTATATGTACAGCACCAATATTAAGTCCATAGAGAGATGACTGAAAACCCCCTTTCATGCGAATTAATTATAGGTTAAAGCAGTAATTCCAAAAGTTCATCGTATAAAAGTAAAAAAAAAATAATCAACCTAACAGAATCTATGAAATATGAATTACGCAGATATTTATGCATTGATAGAGATAAATGCTGGGCATCCGGGCCTCCTGTAATTGGCGTTCCCGCCCCTGAGCCCCAGTCAATTCTTTCTCCCCTCTCTCCACTCGCTTTTTTCCCTTGATCTCCTTATTCACTTTCTCTTCAATTCTGCGCTTTGGAACTTTGACCTGGACTCCCAACATGGTCAATATGGCCAATCTCACCGGGAGCTTCGTCTCGCCATCGGCGGATGCGACAGTCTCCCCTCAACTTTTCGCGCCGACCGGTCTCGTCGCCACCATATTGGATGGCTTCACCATCTGGAAGGGCCTGCTGACTTTCTTGGTCGCTGCTGTCATCTATGATCAGTGTGAGTGGCCAATGCGACATGTGTGACCTTGAAAATCGCGTCTTGAAACTAATTCAAACCCCCTATTTACAGTCAAGTACCACTACCTTAAGGGCGCCATTGTTGGCCCTATGTACAAGATTCCCTTTATGGGTCCATTCCTTCAATCAGTCAACCCCAAATTCACCGAATACAAGGCCAAATGGGACAGTGGTGACCTCAGCTGCGTTTCGGTCTTCCACAAGTGAGAAGTTCCCAGATGTATTCAATTCCTTAGGGTCTGTTCTAACGCTATTTTACAAAAGGTTCGTCGTGATTGCGTCGAGTCGTGATATGTCCCGGAAGATTTTTAATTCGCCTGGCTATGTCAAGCCCTGTGTCGTGGATGCCGCACACAAGCTTCTCGGCAAGACCAACTGGGTCTTCTTGGATGGCAAGGCCCACGTGGATTACCGCAAGGGTCTGAACGGATTGTTCACTCGCCAGGCCCTGGCCATGTACCTCCCCCGTTCCGAGGAGGTCTTCAACGCCTACAACCAGCACTTCCTCAAGAAGTCCGCCGCCACCAACTTCACCCCGACCCCCTGGATGTCCGAGTTCCGCGAGCTCATGTGTGCGCTGTCTTGCCGTACCTTTGTCGGTTACTACATCAGTGATGAGGGCGTCCAGAAAATTGCCGATGACTACTATTTGATCACTGCTGCCCTCGAGTTGGTTAACTTCCCTATCATCCTTCCCTACACCAAGACCTGGTATGGCAAGAAGGCTGCCGATATGGTGCTTGTGGAGTTCACCAAGTGTGCTGCTAAGTCCAAGGCCCGCATGGCTGCCGGTGGCGAGATCTCTTGTATTATGGACGCATGGGTTAAGGCCCAGCTGGATTCCGCCGCGTACCGCGAGAAGATTGACAAGGGAATCCAGGTTGATTCTTCCGAGAAACCTAGCCAGGTTCTCCGTGAATTCTCCGACTATGAAATTGCCCAGACTATCTTCACCTTCCTATTCGCTTCCCAGGATGCCACCAGTGCCGCCTCCACCTGGTTGTTCCAGTTGATGGCCGACCGCCCCGAAATCCTGGACAAGGTCCGTGAGGAGAACCTTAACATTCGTAACGGCGATCGCACTCTCCCCGCCACAATGGATATGCTCGACAAAATGCCCTACACACGCGCCGTTGTTAAGGAGACCCTGCGCTACCGCCCCCCTGTCATCATGGTTCCCTACCTGGTCAAGAAGGACTTCCCCATCAGCGAGACTGTCACCGTCGCCAAGGGCTCGATGATCATTCCCTCCGTGTGGCCCGCATGCCACGACGAGGAGGCTTACCCCAATGCCGACTCGTTCGATCCAGACCGCTGGATCACTGGTACCGCCGAGCAACAGACCAAGAATTGGCTGGTCTTTGGCACAGGTCCCCACTACTGCCTGGGTCAGACCTACGCTCAGCTTTCTCTGATGTCCATGATCGGAAAGGCCAGTATGGTGATGGACTGGGAGCACACCCCTACCCCCGAGTCAGAGGATATCAAGGTGTTCGCCACTATTTTCCCCAAGGTATGTTCAAGCTCATTTTGTGTTACAGTGATCAATTTACTAATATATATCAGGATGACTGCCTTCTTACCTTCCGCCCTCGCGCTTAAATTCTCCCTTTCTTGTACAAAGCAACGAAGCGAAGCTGGAGCCTAGCCCAATTTTCTGGACAGAGGGCTTGGTTACCTTGACGTGATGTCTTCCCCGGAGATAGGGTGGTCCACTGAACCTTTCTTTCTCATTCAATTTTGATGCATGATGAACGCTCAATACAGGAAAAGTCTTTAGCATATGTTTCTCTTAGAGAGACCTTTCATACCCTTGCGCAAAGAAACCCCCATTGCGATTATGATTACCTGTTGCCCGTGAGGGGTCGCTGGGGGTTTCTTGTTTCTTTTCTTCCGAGTGACTACTCCTAGAGCCATGCATATTAGAACAATATTAATTCTCGTTTTCTGCTTATATGACATGTTATATAACTGTTCATAGGCTTGAATTATCTAAACATATATCTTCTCACGTGTCCCAAAAAATGGGCTAAAGCCCTTTGTTAATTGTCTTTTACTCTTGGTTTTACCAGGGAGGAACCAGCTCGTTCTTTTACATATAGTTTCAGTGAAATTCATAAAATCCCAAGATCTGATTTACTTGATGTATACTCCACTATATATTTGTACTATGTCTACGAGATTTTTATGAAAGTCAATCAAAATATAATAGATCCTAAACAAGTTTTTATTGCTAGAATGGGACCAATTGAGTCATTTCTATCGATCAAAATCCCCAATATCTCCCTAGCAAAGCTTGTATATTACCACAAATGATGAAGCAAAGCCCTAAACCAGTAGGCGGTCACGAGGAGCAGATACTGACATCACCGTCCCTCGTTCCGAGGTTACGTCCGGAGATGCAATAACTCCCAACTCACCTCCGCGGACAATCGAATTCAGAATTGAAACAATGGCCTCAAAATTATCATCCAAGGTCCAGCGATCTGGTATCGCTCTGTCATCCGCCGCAATCAGAATCCAGACACGCAGTGCGGTATCACCCGCCGCGGCCTTGCACCGAGCTATCTCCGCACCGACAAGAGGACTGGTTACTTCTCCCCAGAACCGTCATCTGGCACCAGCATGCAGTCTGCAAACCAAGCCATTCCAAAACAAGAGTCTGTGCCAAGTGCAGACGCGCTGGAGCAGCGATGAGGCCAGCCCAGTTAAGCTCCAGGAATGGGGATTCGAAGATGTATGTACCAAGCCCTTCATTACTCATTTGATCCGAATATAATATCCCAATAAGACCACAAGCACGCCATTACCATTGTTACGCAGCTAACAAAACCAACAGATCAATGCCGCCCTCCCAACTTCAACTCCCAACTCCCCAACCCACAAGCCCATAATCCTCATCGACGTGCGCGAGCCCGCCGAACTCCAAGGCACGGGTATAATCCCGACTGCAGTGTCCATCCCGCTAGCATCGCAGCCAGACGCATTGTACCTCACGCCAGACGAGTTCGAAACCCGGTTCGGGTTCCCTAAGCCCGATCCTGCAGATGGCGAGGGTGAGCCTGCGCAGATGGTCTTCTATTGTAAGGCTGGTGTGCGGGCTAAGACGGCGGCGCAGATGGCTGTGCAGGCTGGATATGACCCTGCTAATATTGGGGTTTATGCGGGTAGTTGGTTGGATTGGGAGAGGAATGGGGGCAAGGTTGAGAAGTGGGAGGGGGATGATTTTTGAGTTGAGATGTTGAAGTAATGCTCGTTGATAAATGTTTGATAGTTGTTTTTGGGGATGAAGGTGCGGTGGCGGCAAGAAAAGTATTATACTACACAAGGCTGGAGAGGATATTGAAGGGTAGATATGCGCTCTATTCTGATATTCTCAAGCAACTGTTTGATTTGGTCTGCACCCAAAAAAAGACTGATCTTCCTAGCTTCAAAACTGGTCAAATTGCCTCTGTGCATTAAAGACAAATACATATTAAAATATAGTCGAGATGTCTATCCCCTTGCAAACACTTGAATAGTATAAATTTAATTCACTATAACAGAAACAAAAGATCTGGTATGGACCAGGCCTTACTTTTCCTATATCATGTACAGGCGACTTCTCTCCCTGTTCATCCATCAAGTCATGGTCATTCATTGTATGTTCAAATCGTAATCAAAATAGCATAACTTTTCCGCATTTCGATAGCAATTGTCATAGCTTAGTAGATTTTGATTTCCCCAAAACTGGCTATGATGGAACCGAAGGCCATGAGGGCCGACGGAGAACAAAGCTCGCCACTCACTGGCACTTGATCGTTAAGTTCGCTCAAGAATAGGTATCGCAAGTCTGGAATGGGTCCGGTGCTGAGAATTCTTGATCCGCAGACATCGCACACCGGAAGGAAGCCCTAAGACTGAATTCAAGGAATGTCGAAGACGGGCTTGAGTTTCTTGACCAGTGCCCATTCCTCCATAGAGACCTCGGCCCGGTAGAACTCCTTGAGGGTGTCGATACTCTTACGCGAGATGTGCGAGATCAGCTGGTCCTTCTCTTCGAGGTGACGACCATACATGGGCTGGTTGGGGCCCTCGACCTTAACAGCAACAGAGGGCTGACCTCTCTTGCAGACCGGAACGGCCTTGTGATCGCGCTCGATGGATGTGCTGCGAAAACGGTTGTGTTAGAAACCAGGAAAAAAAAGATGAAAGGGGATAAAACTTACACTCTACCAATATCGACAATCTCCCTCACACCAGCGGCATTGGTCCTGACCGCAGCCAGAGGAGTGTGGAGACGCAGGCTTCCTTCAATGACATCAACACCGATGACAATGGGGTCGGTCTTGTTGAAGACAGCAACGGGCTTGATGACACAGGGGAAGATAGCAAGAAGTTTAGCCTCCTCCTTGCGCTGTTCTGTGATCTGAGCCATGTGCTCAGTGAAGCTATCGAACAAGTGGTAAATGATGTCGGCGGTGAAGATTTTGACACCGATCTCGTTGGCATAGGCCATTGCGTCCTTATCGACCTTGACATCGAAGCACAGCATGACAGCATATTCCTTATTCTTCTCAAGCATGGTACCGGCCATCATGACATCACGCTTGTAAACGGGACCGATGGAGATATTGGCAACAGGAATCTTGGAGACCTTGAGGAACTCCAGGAGAGCCTCGAGCGAACCCAGGGTGGAAGCCTGGACAGTGACACCACGCTGATCAGTTGAGACACGGCTCAGCAGATTCTCCAGATCGCTCATGACCTCCTCCTCAAGATCCTCCTCATCGTCGTCAGGACCGACAACCAGCATGCGAGAACCGGCGATAGCGTGCTCCAAGTCGTTGGCAGCAATCTTCACACCAAGGGCAGCCTTGACTTCCTTGTTGTGAACGTATTGGGACTTCAGACGCAGCTCCTTGAGCGGTGCTGGTGTCAGAAGAGCACGAATGTTGGTTGTAATAGGACCGTTAAGACCGCACATTACGATGCGATCACCCTCACGAAGGATACCGTTGGACAGAATAACGTCAATGGTGGTACCGAGACCCTCAATGACCTTGACCTCCAGAACTGTACACTCGACCTCAGACAAGTACATCAGGGAGTTGGTCATACGCTCTTGACTCAGGCTGGTCAGGAGCTTCAGCATGTCGGGAACACCCTCTCCAGTGTGGGCGGAGGTGGGAACGAGGGAGACGTTGCGAGACAGAGACTTGTTCTCGAAGAACAGCTCGGAGTTGAAACCCTGCTCGGCGAAAGCAAGCTTGGTGGCCTCAAGACGAGTGCGGAATTCGTTCTGAACACCCTTGTTCTGCATAGCCAAACTGTCCTCGAAGCCATTGTTGTCAATCTTCTTCCAGCCGTAGAGACGATCAATCTTGTTCAATGCGACAATGAAAGGAGTCTTGCGGTCACGCAGCAAACGCATAGACTCGAGAGTCTGGGGCTCGAGACCGTGCATGATATCAACAACGAGGATAGCAATGTTGCAAAGGGAGGAACCTCTTGATCGCAGGTTGGAGAAAGACTCGTGACCGGGGGTATCGATGATCAACAGACCGGGGACCTTGAACTCAAACTTGCCATCCTTGTTCACAACCTGGGTCTTTGTGCGCAGAGCATCGACAGGGAAGTAAGTGGCACCGATCTGCTGGGTAATACCACCAGCTTCGCCCTCCTGCACGTTGGTCTGTCGGATCTTGTCAAGCAGCTTGGTCTTACCAGTATCGACGTGACCAAGAATACAGCAAATCGGGGATCGGAGATCATCCTTTGAACGAGCAGCCAGAGCCTCCTCGTGCTTGGCCTTTCTCCGCTCCGCAGCCTCGGCCTTTCTCGCCTGAATGGCCCTTTGGTTGGCGGACTGCTCTTCGTCAGATGAATCTTCATCAGACGATTCGTCGGAGTCGGAGTCGGATTCCTCTTCCTTCTCATCCTTTTGGGCGGGTGCTTCCGGTGCTTCCTCAGTGGGCTTCTCTTCCTCATCCGATTCAGCATCCCAGCTGTCCTTGACATCATCGTCGGCAGCCTGCTCCCAGTCTTCGACGGCGTCCTCTTCCGCAGGAGCGGCAGCAGCAGCAGCGGCGGCGGCGGCCTCAGCCTTGGCTTTCTCCTCGGCCTGCTTTTTCCGATCTTCAGCCTCGCGCTGAGCCTGGGCTCGAGCGGCGGCGGCTTCAAGGTCCTCCTCCTGCTTCTTGCCAGCTCTCTTCTTCTTGTTCTCATATACAGGGCGCGCCTTCTTCTCGGCACCCTCCTCTAAGCCAGCAACCTTGCCACCGGCGGCAATCATCTGCTGCATGCGCAATTCATTGCGCTCCTTGGCCTCTCGTTGAGCCTTGGTAAGCAGCTTGCCTTCTTTGCGCAGCTGCTCCTTCTTTTCGCGCTCCTTCTCCTTCTTGCGCTCACGAGCCTCTGCACGCTTCTTCTCTTCCTCTTCATCGAGGAGCTTCTGCTTGGCGGCGGCAGCCCGTTCTTCCTCTGCAATGCGCTCCTCCTCCTCACGTTGCTGTCGAAGAAGTTCCTGTTGCTTCTGAAGAGCTGCTAGGTGGGGAGGAAGCTTCTTCTTCTTGCCACCAGTCTCTGCGGGTGCAGAAGCGGCGGCGGCCGCATCATTCTTGGTACCAGCGTCGGCCGTCTTCTTGGCCTCGGCCTTCTCTTGAGCAGGGGTGAGCTTCTTCTTTGTGGCAGCCTACATAGACGAGAGAGAGACATATTAGTAAATGATTCCGACACCAAGCAGGGATTTCCAGCATGAAGAAGAATGTATAAACCTACCTGCTCCTTTTTGCGCTGCTTCTCCTTCTCCTTCTTCTCACGCTCCTTCTCCTTTTTGCTCTTTACTCGGAACTCGCCCTCGGGCTCTACAGCCGCAGGCTTGACCACCTCCTTGATGGGCTTGGTCTTCTTTCCAGCGAAAACATCGTCATCATCGAAGTTACCCTCCTCGGGCTGCTTGCTAGCCAAATCGTCGACAGGCTTGACCTCGGCACCCTCGGCGTCCTCACCGTCGACAAAATCATTCATCTTGCCCTTCTTAGCCTTCTTGGCCTTATTTTTCCTCAAAGCAGCCATAAGGCCACCGACCGGCGCAGCCTCCTCGTTGGCATCTTCTTGGGGTTGCTCGACGGGAGCCACAACGGGAGCAGACTCGCCGAGATCGGCCTCCCAGTCCTCCTCCTGTCTCTTGTTGCCCTTCTTCTTTGGCGCCATTGTGATAAATTTCCCTTGGGAGGGTTTGGTGATGATCCGATTGGAGTGGTGACCGGAGAAATGTAGTGGGCGCACAAACGGAGTTAACCGGTTATTTGCGACGTGTGGTAATACGCACACGTATTAAAAAGGGAGAGAATGACAGAAGTCAAAAAAGGACAATCCCCAGAATGAAAGGCGAGAGATAAAGCTCTCTGTAAGGTGGGCCTAGGGAGGGGTGTGGGAAAGAAAAGAATTTCGGGAAGATTCATGGACGGTGGGGAACAATAGGCTCTAAATCGCCACGACCAAATAAATAGCTGAACTCCCCCATATATCAATGTTTTTTTCTTTCCTCTAGGATATCTTCATATAAACGTATCAGAAAAGGAACTTCGAACATTACTACTAACATTTTAATCTGAGCTATCCATGGATGGCATAGAAACATCTCCAGGGCTATGGAGTATGTAGTTCCAAGCTTGCTCCTCACACTTCTCCCCGGTTGAATCCCCTTGACATTAAATTTCAATATGTAGCACCCTCCGAAGCCAGGTGAAGAGAGCCTGGGTATGATTGACTTCAACTTTAAGCGTGTCCTCAATTGCACGAATGAATATTTTCACTGTTTCAGGAGTCAGGTCCTTGAACTGATTCCTGTCGCATGCCAAAAGAACCTTATCCAGGTATGTCGAGTCGCGACTCACAAGGCGAGCCAGAATGGTACCATCGATATGCATGCTGTTTTCAACCTGGGAGATTGCATCAAGGTAGCGATGTCTGCGGGACAGGGAGGGACAAATGACCTCATCCCTAAGGCAGAAGTTGAGCAGAAGTTGAAGAAGGCGGCATTCCTTCGCATGAAGGGCCAAGAGCCGATAAACAGATCCATTGATGCCAAAGCCATAATAGGTGCTGTGGGCCATCAGCGAAGCTGGAGATTTGCAGCCTTTAGTGACCTTGATCAATGAGACAGGAAGATCGGCCACCGGACAAGGCACAAGGTCAACTGGTGGGTTGTGCGTCTTGATTGTGAAAACGCGGGCAGCTCCACCTCGGCTACTCACTAAAATGCGATCCGGTTCAATTCCAAACCCGGGCATCAAAGCGTGTGACAAGCCATCGCGTGCGACTGAATCGAAACCACTTGGTAGGATATCCCCGTTTACAATAGCGTAGGTCAAAACGGAATGTCTCGAGCTGGTGATGTAGATCATGGTTCCTACCACCGTCATCGCGACAGCTGGGGACGGGAGAAGCGCGGTGATATTTCGATTCCATTTTGTTCTAGAGTTTCGTGAGGTAACCGTGAAAAATCTTTTCCCAGAGGCAACAATCACGCTATCGTCGTAAGCTGCCATCGCATAGATTGGGTCCTTAAACCATTGCGTGTGCTTGTCAATGCAGGTGATCTGCCCAGGAGAGTTGCCATCCCGAGATGCTTGTATGAGCATCAATCGACCTTGGCGGTTATTGGGTTGATGAGGCAGGTTGACCGAAGTTCCAACTGCGATAAGATGGTATTCGTTACCATCCTTGTGTGGCATCCAGTCCAGAATACATGTGATTTTCTCACCAGAAACTCCATGTGGCCTCCAAGGGAGAAGGCCTTGAGCAACCATGTCCACATCGTTAGGGGCTACTGGTAACTGTGTGTCTGGGTCCACAAACTCGATACATGCCGTGCGAGAAATATCGAGAGGCCTTGCTTGGTTTCCGTTCTGAACGACAGAATATGAAACAATGAGACTCTGGAGATGTCTGGAATAGGTGAGCTTGCTGGGGTTTCCGGGAATGTCGATGCGTCGAGGAACGGCCTTTGCTTCTTGATTCAGAGAGCATACCAGGAGCTGACCATCTGCAAAACAAAACATGTATGTAGCTGCAATCCCAGACACTTGATCTCTTACGTCGACAAGATCAAAGCTATTGAATCTGGTGGGAGAATATGCGGGCTGGCCTGAATATTAGGACAAAGCCCAAAAGGACAGGATGGGTTGTGACTTACGCAGTTTTGATCTGTGACCCAAACACGAGACAGGAAATAGTCACAGTCATTGCCACCCGGGGCATATGACACACGCCAGAAATCATCTCCGCATGTGAACAACGCAAATGTATTGTGGGCTTTGAGATTGAGTGATGTTTTCCCATAACGGCGTGGCACTCTTTGCTTCAAACCTGAAGAGAAGGTATCGTGTTAATGAAAGTGACCAATATTTTGAACTAAAGACGACTTACATCTGAAACCGAAGACAGGGTCACCGCGGAAATTGACAGCATCTGTATCTATCTCGAACGGAACAAGTATGCCACTTCGCAGTCCACAGAAAAGGAACGGGTGCATTCCACCGCCTGAGGGAGCCCTGATAACAGCGAGGCTTTCAATCGTTTTGGATATGTCGTCTTCAGTGTTGGTTGAAATAAGAGTGTCGGCATGTTGTCTGACTCCACCAGTCTCGTTGTCAACCTCGAATGATAGCACTGTGCCATCACCGGTGCCCAGGAAAATGAATCCAATTTTTCCCCAATTCTGGTGGGAGATACAAATGGGCTCTTTTTGGAGCGGGTATGGAGCCTCATGATTAGATAGAGTGACACGTCCTTCAGTCGTGATTATCCGAAGAAAATGGAGAAAATTCCCCTCTTTAGTTCTTGTAGTCATGATAACAGTGGAACTTGGGCCATCCACAAGAGCTGCTGTGACAAATACAAGGGGATCATGTTGAATCGAGGTGTTGAGAGAGAAATCAGCAGGGACGAAAAAGTGCACAGCTCTTTCTGTGACCCGAACAATAGCACCTGAAGGTGTACAGTCCATTGCCAAGGTCTGTTGGACATCCAAGCCTGTATCGTCCTCAAGAGCAGTAATGCCATCTCTCATATCTGGAGTTGTATGAAGAAGCAATGAGGAGAGCGGATCAGAGGCCACCAGGTATATTGAATCCTTAGTACCGAGTGACACAGCCCACATACCACGTATGCTGGAAAATCCACCCAGTGTAGCCGCAACTCCAATCTGAGCCTCAACGCCATGTCGAAGCTCGGTAATAGCCCCATTGCCTGAAGCAGATGTTGAGCAGACAAAGAGTCGATCGCGATCACGAGACAGATTACGTTTGAAGGGGCTGCCTGGGGAGACTGATGGAATAACAACTGCATCGGGAACTGGTGCCCAGTTGAGGAATCGCTGAACACACCTGGGGTGATCCCGTGCTTCCTGGACAAATAACCCACCATCACCCTGGCTTCCAGCAGCCAGAATAAAGTCACCACCTTCATGGCCCATATCAAGAATATCAAATGCCGTATCAACATCGCAGTGGAGTTGACCCAGAGAAGTTTGTGTTTCGAGTTCACCATCGTTGCCAAACTCGAGATAATAGATCCAGCCTTTTTCTTGACAGAGGAAGATTCCATCGTACCTCTGACTGTAAATCCAGTTCCGCGAAGGTCTGGCCCAGCGAGTCCACAGTCCAGCTTCGGATGATTCGGCATCGGGAATGATCGGCGGGTATCGCATCGGACGAGACGAGGAATTGGGTGTGTACATTGCCATGGAATTTGTCGTGACTAGGAGGTAGGACGATTCTTTGGCCAAAGGGATGACCATGCTCGGCAACTGGTCTTGCTGAGGCAGACTAGTTGAGGTGCGTTTTGGAGTCATGCGGTTGGATACATTGACTCCATCCCATTCAAATACCATAGACCGTGTTGTGCCACGCTTATGGACAATAAGAAGTAGAATGACTCGTTTATCATTGTTGTCTTTCGGGTACAGAAATTCCATGAACAGTATGTCGCCATCCAGTTGGAAGAAGCTCTCCTGTTTGGATATTGTTAATACAGGGCACATGATAGATAAATAGTCGTGAGCACATACACTTGAAATTGGGTTCAACTTCCCCTGAGCCATTTGCATCTGGAGTTCGCCGGGGGATTTTAACCACAAGACACCGAAGAAATTACGCGACGCGCTGACTGCGACCGCACGCGATCTTAAACATGGTGTAAGCTTTCGTCAATCGAAGTGAGCCAGCAATGGGTGATACTTACTTGGGATCAACAGCAATATGTCTGCCATACTTGTCGGCTATGTTGATATCACGGGGCAGAGCTCGATTGTAGGAAACAAATGGGCCATCTCCCATTTCTGAGCAGTACATGAAAAGGAGCTCATTTGAGTCCATAGCAAGAAAAAGAATTTGAGGAGGTAAATTGTTTTGGTCGTAAGGGTGGACCATCGAACTTGATGGAGCCTGAGTTTCCCAAGGCAATTGGGTGCTTACATTGATGACTTTCGCCCCAATAAGCGAGCCTTCAAGATCCGATTTTTCGACAACATCTTGAAGATGACCACTGGGCAGGGCTTCCTTGATTTGAATTCGTCGTTCTCCGATGAAAACAACATCGTTGTGGTGTTTATCTCGAAGACGTGCTGGAAGGATCCAGTTGATGACAGGACTGGGGATCAATGGCTGGGTAAGCAGTCCAGCCAGATGCGTCGAGCGCGTCTTGTGCTGGTTATCAGGCATTGCAGTAATTGGAGGGGTTTCACAAGCGACCCAAAACAGATTAATATAAACGAGCAAATGATTCAAAAGCCAAAGGCGTGAAGCAGGGTAGAGAGATATGAACTCGAAGAGAGAGATGGATGAAAAAGATTGGAAGGCGAAGTTGCACGGAAATGAGGAAGGAAACTGGGCAATAGGCAGTATCAAGAGGCGATCAGGCAATGGCCTGAGGCGCAACAAGCCCCAATATCGGATTGAATGAACCAAATTCCCAGTGAATTTCTGTATTCAAGAAACAGGGCAATTTCATTCGGAATTTGCAAGCTCTGCTTCTCTTCATACTTCAAAGGGTGGAATATCTCAACGCGTTTGATGCATCGACTGCATGCGATACTGGCTATGGATGTCCGATGCACAACTCGACCTAGAGGGAGTACAGGTGGTTGTAAATAATTTCACAGGCAAGTGTGTCCCAGACAAGCCCTGTAGTATCTTTATCAACCAATGCACCCGACGTATGAGGGACAAATATCAATCTGAGACTTACAGCTTGCCTGAACGCTATATAGCAGTAACGGCACTCGAATTTATGCAAATATTTGCCACAAGCTCCATTAATTTCCAAGCTCTAGGAAGCGAGGCCTCACCATAGAGCTAGCACTTGTCACTGGCGGATAACTCGAAGAGCAAGTCAACTTCGGAGCTATGCAATCACCGCCCGTCAGTGGGATTTCACAACCCTAGAAACCGCAGACTTCTAAGGGCGTATAGCACGACACACAGCTATATGAGTTCAAGGTCTCGCGATGAATAGCGCAAAGCTATTAGATCGGAGCGTTGCGCCTAAGCCTAGCACAGAGCGAATGTTGTTATCGGCGAAAACATGTCGCGGCTGCCGATCGGTGCCTAAGGCTGTGAAGTGGGACTCCGGGTGCCCGCCTTCGACTTCAGACTTACACCCGTGGACGTTTGGGTATATGTGTCTAGAGCTTCATCAGTTCACATTCAAAGAGACCTCAGTCGTGAAGGTTAAATCCATTCTCTCACATAATTGGCGGTGAATCATTGTTCTGGACACGTCATTTCGTTGTCCGGTGAAAGAGCTCTAATCGATCTATATCCGATCGACCTCTCGATATTGTTGAGCTAAATTCAGAACTCCCAGCCTGGATTTCCTTCGTTCAGATTGAGAAATAAATTGAGCTGGAATTTTGTCTTTTCCTGTGTGTGCATATTAGCTGCTTGATCTGGTTAGGCAATATCTTAGCAGACAGGATGGAAGATACCGGAAAGGAAGAGATTAATTCCAGCTTTGAGGATATATCTGCATCGCCAAGCTCTTCCAAAAACTTCAATTCGAATGAAGAGGCACATCAGATTGCTCGAGCGGAAAAGGCGAGAGCCATCCGCAAAGCATGTGCAGCGCGCGACGTGGAAGCCTTAGCTGTGCACGCAACTTCTGAAGGCGGGTTACTCGAAGATGACTTGAGACAGATAGCCTGTGAGTGACTATGTCGAGAGAAGGTGCACATACATATGGTCCCGCCTAACCGATGAATAGGGCCTATTTTGTTACAATGCGACGAACAAAGGCAACAATTTGATACGGTCCGAAATACTGAGCTTTTACGACATGCCGATGAGGAACAGGTAGAGCTCGACGTCAACCGGTCTTTTGTCTACTACCCAAAAGGTATGCTATCAGAGCTCCCCGTGAAATATGAGTCTGGATGTTAATAGAATCTAGCTCCTGAGGAGGAAATGCTGAAAAAGAAACAGCAGCTATCCAACCTAATCACCCAAGTACTAAGGGAATACCCCATGCTTTGTTATTTCCAAGGGTATCACGATATAGTCCAAGTTCTTCTTTTGGTACTGGGCGAGAAGCAAGCTGTGTCAGCAGTCGCACAGATATCTCTTTTCCGCATACGTGACTACATGCTTCCATCGCTATCCCCAGCTGTGAAACATCTTCATCTCATTCCTGCAATCATCGAGACAACAGACCCTGAGCTAAGACGGCACCTTGGCAACATTGAACCATTCTTTGCTCTCGCCGCTACACTGACACTATACGCCCATGATATTCAGGAGTACAGCAATATTTCACGACTTTTCGACTTTCTTTTGGCTCGGGAACCTGTGGTTGCAATCTACCTCTTTGCCGCAATGATCCTGTCTAGGAAGAAAGAACTGCTGGAAATTCCAGCGAATGAGCCCGAGATGCTTCACTTTACGCTTTCCAAGCTGCCATGTCCACTTGATCTGGACGGACACATTCTGCATGCGGCACGGCTTTTTGAGGACCACCCGCCGGAGTCTTTGCCGCTTGGAGCCTGGAAACATATTCCTTGGTGCAGCGTGCTCAAAACTTCACGGGACCTACATAGCAAGTACACCGCAGAGGACGCGATATACTTGTTTAAAAAGCAGTCTCAACAGATTCGGAGCGAAGAGCGTAGGAAACGAGCTCTGGATTTCTTGTGGAGCCACCGTCGCTCCGTGGGCTCTGTGGCGTTGGCTATATTGGTTGGAGCAGCATCTTTCTACATCCGCAAAAGGGGACTCGACACCTCGATTTGGTCTTATGTTGCCTGGATTCAAAGGGCGATTCAAAAGTGGGTTTAATCTTCGAGTAATGTGCACTCAGGTATCATGGATGCTTGATGCAATTGCATGTGTATGATAATGAGGAAAAAAACGATAGAACCATAATAAAAACCCTTATATCTGAATATGTCAACTAAAGGATTCATATATAATGAAAATCCAGTCTATTATAGCAAAAATAATATGGTCGTGTATGACACCAGGGCGAGTGGTACCCACAGTTGTGGCTTGAGCGCGTGGCTTTATCTGCGGAAGCTGATGTGTACACTTAAACAACTCCCTTCCTACGGCTTACCTCAAAACCAACCACCATGGCGAACCGAGGCTACGATGTCGTAGTAGATGTGGATGCAGAGGTAATAACATTCGAATGACCAATATATCATTTCAACTAACAAATCAGCAGGGCGACCTGGGCCATACCGACCTGCAAGAAGACCTGGAATTCCACCCCTCTAGTGAGTTTCCCCAAGCGCACCGGCCTAATCCAGCTCTCTAACTAAGTAATCCTACAACTCAGATTTTGAAAACGATCAAAGAAACACCAAAGTCCAAGGCGACTCCGCCCCGTTCCTGGGCGGCGGGTCATCGCGTCGCCGTGACCGGTCCCCTGGCGGCACGCCGACCAAGCACAGCTGGTGGTCACTGCACTATTACGAGCGATTTTTCGACGTCGACACGAACGAGGTCTTCCGCCGCTGTGTGGCGACGCTGTACCCGCGCACCAACTTCCTCGATGTGCTAGAGGGCAACGCAGACCTGTACGGACCGATCTGGATCGCGACTACGGTGGTGGTTATCCTGTTTTTGACGGGCACTATCTCACAATGGCTGTCAAACAATGACGATGAGCACTTCGAGTACGATTTTACGTTGCTATCAGGCGCGGCTGGTCTGATCTATGGGTACACGGGCATCTTGCCTATTGCCCTGTGGGGTGCGCTGCGTTGGTTCGGCAGCTCCACGGCTGACCTTATTGAGTGCTGGGCTCTGTATGGATACTCCAATTTGGTCTGGATTGCCGTTGCGCTAGTCAGCTGGAGTCCGTTAACTGCGCTTAACTGGGCGCTTGTTGGCGTTGGCTTTGCTTGGACTGTCTTCTTCCTTCTGCGGAACTTGTACCCGGTCTTGAATGCTACTGACGCCAAGGCTAGCAAGATCCTCTTGATCTTGGTTGTTGTGCTACATGCAGCACTGGCTATTGCTATCAAGGTGCTTTTCTTTGCGTAAGTTGTGTCCGAGAAACGAATTGACCTTGAAACTGACATATCGACTAGCCACGGGAGCCCCGTCTCCAAGAAGAACAAGGACAAGGATCACGATGATAAGGATGACGACAAGAAAGGGATGTTCCGGGCATAAGCGGGAGAGGATGGACCGTTGGCTTTCATCTGAGATACTGGCCTTTCCATAGATTCTTGCTCAGGTAGCAGGTGTCGCAGCTCAAGTTTTCTAGTCGTGTTATCGAACGCATGCATGTATTGTACTCTGTATTTACCGCAGACGGAATTTGGAGACGTGAAACAATTCGACTTTTTGAATTTTACACATTTCATTTCATGGAGTGCAACTTGGTCGTCGAGGGATGCCAACTAGAAAAAGTATGACTGTGGCTGCATTGATTTTATCATCATATCTAACGCCATTTGTAATCCTCTCCATGTAGCAGTCCAGCCAATCCCCATCTCTGGAATCTGCACCACAGCACACCGAGCACAAGACCGAGGAGCGAGTCGTTTACTTGAGCTTCTTCTTGGGGCGGAGCTGGTTGGTGTGTCCGCACTTCTTCTTGCGGCAGTTGGTGGCACGGGGAGGGAGACGAGCCTGTAGAGGGTCCGAGTTAGTACATGTGTTGACGTGATTGATGGCCTTGCCACAAAAGGCGGGTTTCACGAGTATCGGGCGCAGGCGGAGAGAAGTCGGGGTGAACGTACGTAGCACTTGCGGCAGATGGCCTTGTCGCAGTTGAACTTGGAGGCAAGGGCCTTGAGGGAAGGCTCAATGATACCACCACGGAGACGCAGGACAAGGTGAAGGGTGGACTCCTATAGCGAGTTGATATCGTATGTTAGCGAATGTTCCCCCATTTCGCAGACCATAGACCATAAAGTGAAGCGATGGTTCCTTCTTTTGCGTATCCGGGGTGGGCAGAGTTATCTCTGGGTAAAGAACATGTTGGAGATCCGATCCACCCGAGATACCACAACGCCCCCACTTTTGGTCCAAATCACACATGTTGAATTCCGCTTCATACCTTCTGGATGTTGTAGTCGCTCAGGGTGCGGCCATCCTCGAGCTGCTTGCCGGCGAAGATCAGGCGCTGCTGGTCAGGGGGAATGCCCTCCTTATCCTGGATCTTGGTCTTGACGTTGTCGATGGTGTCGCTCGACTCGACATCGAGGGTAATGGTCTTACCCGTCAGGGTCTTGACGAAACTATATCGCACCGTATTAGTCCATATTCATATTCCTCCATGGGCTCGTGTCGTATCGGCGATCGGGATTGTGGTTCGCGATGACATTCGAGGGTTTAGAAAGACCTACATCTGCACTGAAACGGCGCGGAAAAGACGATGTTAGCCCACTGAGTCCATAGCGATGCATAGATGCTGTTTAATAGGGTGTATATAACGTACTGGTTGCGAGTTTTCGTTGTTGTCGGCTGTCGGTCGCTGTGTTCCAGGCGGAGCTGTCGATTGTCAATTTGAGGATTTCGCTCGCTTAGCAAAGGTGGACCGATCGGGGTACCCTAAGCCCTAGTTGTTGCCCGTTTTTGTTATACATTATGTAAGCAACCCCGGCCGATCCAACCAATGATAACTTGGCAGCACATCTTCTACGTCAGGTATAGTAGCCCTGGGGAGGTTCTACATACTAAAAATAAATGAAGGTTGTCTTCTACTCTCGATGGTATTTACTGATCAAATGAAGCAAATCATTTTATCATCAGTTCAGCTGAAATTATCAATACGACGAGAAAAGATAACAATAATTCACCGTAACCTTAGGAAATCAAATAATTGAACTAGAGATGAAATGCTATAAACGCCAGATACATGATCCCAAAGCCCCAACGCCATTCATATGATACAACAGACCGTCTCATTCGACATCTAGATGGTCGGCCACATCTTTGAATTGGACATCAGATCATCATCCTCCATATCTTCGTACTCCGCCGCGTATACGTCTTCTTCAAAATCTTCCATTCCATACGTGTGGTCCTCATCGCTGTCGTCAGTCTCCATTCCTTCCGTTCCCAGACCAGCGAAGTACTCTCTGTTCTGCCGTTCCTCATCTTGCTGTGCGATCTTGAACTCAATAATTGTGACGGCACGGACAAGGGTTTTCAATGGGACTGCAGCCTGCTGGGCTGCTAGCTCGTAAAGAGTCCGTGCGGGTCCACTGAGATGTGATTCCCATCTATACCGGTGGTACCATTCACCGGGACGCCTGTGATCGGCGTCTTCGTCGTCAGGGATGACCCTTCTGGCTCTAAGGGTTTGCATGACCGTTTGTAGCAAGAGGTCGAGCTTTACTCCTGCTATATCAGGAGGAGGATCATCAGGATCATCACGAGGAGCAGGAGCAGGGATAGGTGCAGGTGGAGGGGCAGGGGTAGAATTAGAGAGTGATTCAGGCGCAGCGGTAGCGCTTGGTTGGATATCTTGTTCTGCTCGGCTGATGGGAAACATTTCTGCAATGTGACTGGGGTCCTTAGAAGTATCCAGCCAACTGCTTTCATACCAGTCCATGTAATGGTCTAGCTGGGCAGGTGTCATGTTCAACACGTCTTGGTCTGTAATCTGAACGGCGGTCTTTTTTCCAATCTTGCCACCAAATTGTTGCTGATCACGATCGAACTCGTCCTGGGCAGTTGCCCATAGGGTCCAGTCCATGATCTGCGTAGCGGGCTCTTTATCCGTGGTAGGATATTTTTTCAAATCATCGATTGGGAAAAGTAGTTTCGTAGAAATGATGATTAAAGCCATCAATTGCAAGTCGGGAAGAATTTGTTCTCTTTTTCGGGCATCGTATGAACTTGTTGTCGGATACTGAAACGTGAAGCCTAGTAGATCTTGCAAGATCCTAGTTGCATCATATACCTCAACTAAAATTCATTAGCTAAGATCAACTGGACAACAATGTGGCAACTGTTTCTCATACTTGGTAAAGCTAATCTCTTGATGAATCGGAAAAGCACCATGGGTGAATTCAAGGGAGGAAGTTCCATTTCAAATCGGCGCTGATAGAACATCACTACTGCCAGGATACTCCGGTGGAACCGCGGGGCATCGGGGATTGTCTTTGTTAAAATTAGTCAAGGGCGACCCCCCAAAAAAGGTTCTAGAGTCACTCAGCACTCACATTGACTTCAAGGATCGCAGTCAGTTCTGGCGGAAGCCTATCCCTCATTTCCCGAGGGACATTTGCCAGGACTCGGGCGTAGGGGATCTTCTGCTGCATTATCATACTGTAAGATGTGAGTATGCCTATCCTAGAAGCAACGACCGGGATTGCATAGAGGGAACGATATACATACTCGTGAAAATCAGCGACACAAACAGGAAGCCGCATCAAAAACGCTGCGAGATAACACAGTGCAACGGAATCAATCAGACGAGGCCATTCAAGATACCTGGAGTTTGGTTTAAACCCGATACCGTCAGATTCATCGTTTCCTGCGGGTTGCGAGCTGAACAGTTCAGCTTCGGTATCATCATCGTCATCTTCAGTAGCTTCAGTGATTTTCATTTCAAAATCCTGTAGACGAAGAGCCCAAAGATCGCGAACAATGACCTAATTTATATTGAGCTTTTGTTTCTGGACACATGAAGCAACATATGCACACACCTCAAGTTCCTCTGGGAACCCATGTTCATGAACCAATACATCACATTGTTTCCAAAGGATAAGCTGGTAGATTTGCAAGAAAAGCGTGTAGGCTGGACGGCCGCGAAGTGCTTTTTGACAAAAGTCAGCGAAAAGAACCAATGTTCAAACTGCTAATTTCATACTTTTGCTGGCCTTCTCTCTGGTTTCTCTCTTCAGGCGATGTGTTTTGCCTAAATTTCCGAAATCATCCGCATCTTCTGCAACTTGTACACCCTACATAACCAAATTAGCTGTGTACTTGACATTTGATGATGTGAATATGGTTTAAAAAAAACCCGATGGACGTCATACCTCCTGCAAATGACCGCGTCGACAGTACCAAAGTCCATTGTCGAGATTGTATCGGGTCTCACGGCAACCTTCTTGACCGCAGACCCCTCGGGTAACGTAGTCCATCCCCAAGTGATTTGTTCATGCTTGGTTTGATAAGGAAGGGTTGGTATACCGACATGGCGGGACTTTTTTTTCTGCCTCAAATCCCAGTGACCGCCGATTTTGTCGCTCCACACGTCCCGCAATGCGCGCGCGCTGTGATTGATGGACTCAGATGATTGAACTGGTTCTATGCACTTCTTTTTATTGTGTTTACTGGGGGTTTTGTCTAGAGTTACACTTGTGTATATTTTGTGTGAGGATCTAATTATGCTCTTGAATCTATTCGTCTACCTTATAATTTACTGGGATAGTCAATAGTCAAGCAAGATTGAGTATTTATTCATTCATCACACTATCATGAGATGCTGAGACTCAGAACTGTTCGGACAACACATATTATGCCAACCAAAGCAATTCTCGGTCCAGCCCACATCCAAGGTTATGTGGGGGACAGATCTTGAAGCAACAGGCGTAATCGTTCAAAGAATCGTATCCTCCTTTGAACCATGAAAGATAAAAATTTTAGGGGGGGGGGGGGGGGGCTTTGAGCCCTCGTGGAACATAAAGGTTGGCATAACAGGTAATAAATCCAGGTATTAAATTTAACCAGACTTGGGAGCCTCCTTGCACTCCATAGCGGCCTCCTCACCCATGGAAGTCAGGACGACGACGTCTAATAGCATATCAGTAATAGTTCCTCAATAAGAGTTCGGGTTTTTGTAACTTACTGCACTCCTTCTCCTCCTTAGTGAACATCTGGTTGATCTTCTCACCAACCTCGTTGTCGGGGACCTTGACATCATCCTTGGTGTCACCGTTATCGGTCATGAGGGACATGAAGCCATCCTCAGTGATGTCGAGCTGATATTGGTCAGCCAAACAATCCAAAATTTCCAAGTCATTAGGGTTAACTCACAAGCTGGTACTCCTTGCGAGTAACGTGGGGAACGTCCATGTTGTGGGTGGAGGGGGAGAGATCCTCAAGCTTCTTGCCGGTGAAGATATCGGTGGCGATCAAGTGAACCTTGGCGTGACCGTGCTTGCCAGTCTTGGAGGTAGACATGTCAATGATCTTGCAGGGGCGGTTCTTGATCACAACGTGACCGCTCTTGCGCAGAGCAGAACACTGCATGGGGTAGGTGAGCGAAGCTCCGGCATCAGCCGAATCGAAAGTGACATCGTGCTACATCGAAACATGTTAGTAACGGCTTTGAAAATTTGCCAATAGGCGGGGTTAAGCATGCAAATGGACTCGTGCCCTCGAGAACAAGAGGAGGGGGAGCCGCATGCGGGGCTGGGACAGAGAAGTTCTCATGATCATTGGGGGATCTTGAAATTGTACAAGAAAATACATACCTCCTCGGCAGACATGGTGAATAAATTTGGAGGGGTTGAAAGAGGGGAGTTTTTCAAAGAATTTGGGGAGGGGGAAAAATGAAGAGAAGAGAGAGAAAATCAAACGACTAAAATCTATCGTGGGCGGCGACACTGTGCGGGGTCTCTTGCTGGATGGTGATTGGTCAGCGAGAGTAGTCCACCTTGTTGGGTTTAGTGTATATAGGGGAGTGTCCGAGTGTCCTGAAACCTACCAACTGCGTCTACGTTGAAGTTACTTGGCTTGTTCCAAGTATAACTCTGGATTTTCTTTGTTTTGTTCTGGATTCCCATGCTGTTCATCCCTTTACACAATGTGGCGCGACCGCATTTCAGTCTCAACTCCCTCCGGAGCCAATAGCCGCAACCTTTCTCCTCTACCGCGACGATCATCCTCCCAACTATCTTCAAGTTCTTATGCTCGCCCTGGTGTAACATCTAGAACTTCATCAACATCTCTACTCTTGACCCCCAACGACTCTACAACATCTCTCCCAGGAACTGCACGGGCGGCCAATGGCTCTCCTTTAAAGCACACAAGTATTCAACGACCTCGCCCAGCCAATGTCCCCGATCCGCTGGAAGTCTTGAATGAAATCATCGGAAAGGAAACCCAAACAGATAAGCAAGTACCGCAGCTATCGTCGGTGCCGGACCGACCCGCGCAATTGGTGGAAGCTATCCGCTTCGATGGGCTGAGTCTCGAAGACTTTCTGGAAAAGGAGGATCCAACACCAAAGAAAAAGACCCGTGAAAGTGATGTAAATGCACAAACTGTTCAACAATTTGAGCAAGAACGAGATAAGTTTCAAGAATTACACACATCCATTACGGGATGTGATGAGGTGTCCAAGTCAGTCGAGCTGTACTTGAATGACTTCCAGAATGAACTGGGCGTCGTATCGGCGGAGATCGAAACTTTGCAATCTCGCTCAACCCAATTGAACGCGATGCTAGAGAACAGGCGCAACGTGGAACGGTTGCTAGGACCCGCCGTGGAGGAAATCAGTATCTCCCCTAAGGCGGTGCGGACAATTGTCGAGGGCCCAATTGATGAGAATTGGGTGCGTGCACTGAACGAGATCGATTCTCGAACTACAAACATCGAAGCCAAGGCCGCCGCTTCCGCCAATGGCTTTAAAGCCGTCGAGGATGTACGGCCACTTTTGGCTGATGTGAAGACAAAAGTGCGCATTCCACACTCAAATTATTTAGATTTGTATTGACTTCTATGCAGGCAGTTGAAAGGATCAGAGACTATCTTGTGTCACAGATTCGTGCTATGCGATCGCCAAACATTAATTCTCAGATTATCCAACAACAACGACTGGTGAAGTTTAAAGATCTATATAGGTATCTCTCAAAGGTCCACTCAAAGCTGGCAGGAGAGATAGCACAGGCGTACATCAACACAATGCGCTGGTATTACACATCTCATTTCACACGCTACCTTCAAGCACTCGATAAGGTCAAGGTTTATCCTCCTGACCGAAACGAGGTGCTTGGAGGCGATCCAACCACACATCGATCAGGTAAGAGTTATACTTTCCTGATGCCACCTATATACTGATTATTTTAGGGAACATGGTTCCTGGCGGCCGAGCTGGCTCTGCCGTACATGACCCTTTCTCCCTGGGTAGACGTATTGATGTCCTCCGAACTGGCAACCTCCAGGCTTTATCCTCATACGTGGCCGAAGAGGACAATGCCTACCATGGAATCGAAGTCCCGTTCCGGAGCTTCAACCTCGCATTGGTGGACAATGTGTGCGCCGAGTACTCTTTCCTGACAGAGTTTTTCTCCCCAAAGACCTTCCATCAAATCTCTCGCATTGCGGCGGACATATTCCAGCAGGTCTTTACCCTTGGCCAGAATCAGACCAAGAAGTTAATCGAGCACACCACGGATTCTCTGGGTGTCCTCATGTGTGTTCGTCTCAACCAACATTCTGCATTCGAGCTTCAGCGTCGAAAGGTGCCCGTCGCCGACTCGTATGTCAATGGAACGAACATGCAGCTCTGGCCGCGCTTCCAGGTGATTATGGATCACCACGGCGACTCGCTAAAGCGAGTTGGGTCCAACACTGGGCGCAGTGCTATCTCCGCCCTTTCGATTGCAGGCGGAGACGACCTGAAGCAGTCTTCAGCACCCCACTTTTTGACTCAGAGATTTGGACAGCTTCTGCATGGAATCCTTGTGCTCAGCAGCGATGCTGGTGATGATGAGCCGGTGTCCAACAGTCTAGCCCGGTTGACTGCCGAGTTCGACGCTCTTTTGGTAAAACTGAGTCGCAACGGCACAGACGCCAAGCGAAGAGAGCGATTCCTCTTCAACAATTATTCATTGATTTTAACCATCATTAGCGTATGTTGCTATCTCTGTGTTTGGGGAATACGCGCTAATCGGAAACAGGATACCCAAGGCAAATTAGCAGTCGAGCAGAAGCAGGTAAGCATTGGAGTTGTGTCTATCAGAGATCGTACGACTAACATGGTTTGCAGCATTTGGAAGAGATGCTCAAGAATAGCACCAAGCGGTAGAAGTTGCATACACCGGACAGATGCATATTCCATGTGGAATAAGAACATGATGCATTTAGATATCCCTTCAGTCTAAATATCTTAATTAACGTGAATAATATTTTCCAAATACTTACCTAACGCTTGTAATGTAACATCGGAAAATTATCTGAGCATGTAAATGAAGATATTCCAGAAATATATACTCACGACACGCCCAGGTGTATAGTACGTAGATTGAAACCCTCAGCTTGGAAACACAGACTAAAGCATCTACCAATCTTAAAGATACCTAGCCTTTCGTGTGCCAAATCCCATATTTAGTAGAGGGTAAATAGACTGCCGGATGTAGCTAGACGTAATGTTGATCTTCACTATAATTCTACCCCACAATTTGTCTTCCTCAAAAATTCGGCTATGACACGGCTCCCTAAATCCCTCGCTAAAGCATGTCTACACTGTCGATCTCGAAAGATCCGTTGTGACACGATCCGGCCTCGCTGTTCAACTTGCGAGACCCAAGGCCGGGAATGTATTTATCGGGTGGAGACGCCGCGGCAGAGGTGGGCTTGTTCCCTTGCATTTTGGACAGTTGGCTAACCAGTTCAGACCGACCCTGGCTCAAATAGACCGGTTGCAACAAGAGAATACAGAACTCAGAGCTTTCGTTGTAAAATTGAAGGGCGAAGAAGGAAGAACACCTGAAGATCTTGAACCCAGCCAGAACCGCCGGCAAAGCCTTGACAGCCTAGCTACCTCTTCCGGTGAAGAATTCGACGTTGCACCTTTTATATCTGTAGATGAGGCCGGTCAACCTGGCAGTTTTGGCCCTTCATCTGCTCTGCATTATCCAAATAAAAGCGAATCGCTGCGAACAGTGCCTTCGGCTCAATTGTTGAACAGAGAGCACATGAAGAATAAACTTATAGCTAATGCAGCCCTACAAAGACAAAACGAGCGTCTGCTGCTTCATATCCCAGACATCGATGGCGTTCCTACTGAGCTCGCTCTGCACCTGTTGGATGTGCACTGGGCTCGGCAACATCACACCTTTCTTCTAACATATCGCCCGGCAATCATGCGTGATCTGCCACAAGGCGATGGACCAAACTGCTCCCGATTTTTGCTGAATGCCATCTTTGCCTGCGCAAGCAAATTTTCCTCGCGTATTGATGTGCGCGATGACCCAAGTGACCCAGGTACGACAGGCCGGCGTTTCTTTCGCCGGTGCGACGAGCTCCTAGCCCAGGAATCACATCTTATCCGCCCCAGTATTCCAACAATCATTGGACTTTTGCTCCTGGGGTCTACGTTCAATGCCCGTGGCGAAACCTCAAAGGGCTGGTTATATACAGGCTATGCTCTGCGTATGGTGTATGATCTGGGACTACATCTCGACCCTAAGGAGACCAATGATGACGCCGAAGAAATGGAGATCCGTCGCCGTGTGTTTTGGGGTGCCTTTGTCTGTGACAAAATACAAAGTCTCTACCTCGGCCGGCCTGTCGCTATGAACCTACGCGACTCCCATGTCAGTCGTGAATTCCTTGATACATTCGAGGAACATGAGGTGTTCATACCACCTCCTGACTCGAAATTGCATACACCATCCTCACAACCCACGTTGTATTCCGTTTCTACTTTCCAACAGCTCTGTCTCCTATCTAGGATTATGACCAAGATTACCAATCACTTTTACACAGTCGGCGGAGTGCGGTCCCCGAGCTCCGCCACGGCTAGTCTCCAACTCGCGGACAACGCCCTCAATTCCTGGAAGGAAAACCTACCAGCCGAACTAGACTTCAAGCCATGGTCACATTCTGATGCTTATCCACAACCACACCCAGCCCCCAATGTAATGAACCTCCACGGCATCTACAACTCCCTTATCATCCTCCTCCACCGACCCTTCATCTCCGACGGCCATCTACGATCCATCACAACGTCAGCTTCATCATGGGGCCGCTGCACCACAGCCGCAAAGAACATCACGAGTATCTCGCTAGCCTACAAATCCGCATACGGTCTCCACGGCGCACCCTATATCCTCAGCTACGCCATCTACGTGGCATGCACAATCCATGTCCGCAACGCCTTCGCAAACGCCCACCACAAGGAACATATCTCCCACTTAGCAGCGGGTCTGGCCTGCCTAGATGAGATCTCAGTGGCGAATCCTGGCGTCTGCAGACCTGCGAGCATCATACGGAAATTGGCCGAGGCAAGCAAGCTTGACTTTTCTGTGGTTGATACAATGACTCCTGCTTCTCAGGTTGAGATTGTCTCTCCCATCGATGGCTCGAATGGTGTGTTTCAGCTTGATGCTATTGTTGGCATGTTCCCGAGCAGATCTGTTTTTGGTAATGGTCTGGGGTTTTCGACCGAACAGGAACAAGATACGGGATTGTTTGGACTTGATATTCCGTATGATCCGTTGTTTGGGTTTATGGATGCTTCGCTGGATTGGCCTGGGTCGGAGACAGCTATTTTGTTTGATAATCCATGAATATGTCCACGGGTATACTATTCTAGAGAAATGTTAGAATGGGAAAGAGCAACGTATAATTAGTATGATCGGGCAGAGAAGATGTGTTAGAGGAGAATTCTGGGAATATGCGTGTACGAAGGGTATAACCCCCCCCCCTCGACCATCTATCTTCCTCTCTTCTCCCTAAATGTGTTTGCGGGCCGAAATGCTTCTGTTGGATATCCGGCACCAGTATGTCCAGTAGACGAGACTAGCGGCCTGCATATAGTTCTAGATATTTTCCCTTAGGAATTTTTTGCACTTCTTGTAACTACCTACTTCCTATTTCATAGGTAAGGCTATATTCGGAGTTCGTTGAAAGACGGCCATTTCACCCGCCACTTGGCCAGGCCACTTAGAAATACCGGTCACATACTCTTTGCCATCTTCACTTATGAAATAGCCTGTTCTTGATCAAACAATGCCTTGGAGACGATCGTTTCAAACTCGGTTTCTTTCCTCAAATTTATCTACGCAGCATGGGTTATAAGAACATATTTTGTGAAGACAAATTACACTGCTTTCGAAAATCCTTTCTATGAGCGTTGGATACGGAAGAAGATATTTTAGAAACTGCAATGCTCACCAAGGTCACGATATCACTCTTATATGGATGTAATGTCAAAGCTTCGGTAAGCCATGTTAGCTCTGTGCATAAGCAAAGAATATTTAAAGCTGACAGACCTTAGCTGAAGCCAAGATACACCTGCATAGCCCCCTCCTTGCTAATCGCATATTTTCAACCATGACTCACAAGCGCTCCTTTTCTTTGTACCTGGTTTCAGTCGAAATAATCGTCTCTCCAGTCTGGCATTTGTCTGAATCTTTACCAGACCTTCTAGACCATCGTCTCACACGGACACAAGATGGAAACCACCACGAACATCCCTGTGGCTATTCCAACAGATGGCTCATTGACCAAGGCCATGATCAAAGATATTGTCAGCACATTTCTCACCAAGGAGTGGCCAAATGTGGATCCAGAAACCCTTGTTGCGACATACAATACTGGATACGCAAACACAAACTGTGTATTGGAACGACCGAAGCCAAATAGAAACACAAATTCAGAGCCCCTCAGGGTGTTTGTCAAGATCCACGGCGAACTCGATGGAGAAATCGAGGTGTTCAAACACTTGGTTCCCAATAAACACGAAGAGGCACAATTATGCTATGATTACGCTCAATCAGGTCCTGGTGCCAAAGTGTATGGTTTCTTCCAGACACAGGACGGCAGTTTCGGAAGGGTCGACGAGTTCTTGGATGCACGCACTTTGGAGACAGCAGATGTGGAAGACGCGGATATCCGAGCTGATGTTGCAAGAGAACATGCCGTCTTTCATACCTTGGCGACACAACGGAAAAAGAACCCAGTTCAACCATACTACGATGCTATCACGCGAGAACTTACAAGATATCATAAGATGGACAAGTTAAAGAAGCTGGCCAACGAAGGAGGCGTGAATATGGACCATCTTGTTGATTATGACTTTGTGTCCAGGATAAGACGAGTTACAGACAGGCTGGAATCTATCGGCGCAAAAAAGGGATGGTGCATGCACGACGTGCAATTCATGAATGTGATGGTGAAGAACAACCACAAGCAAGGAGAAAGCAAAATTGTGCTCATCGATTTCGAATTCGTCTTTCAGAATTACCGAGCGTTCGATATTGGTGGGCACTTTTTGCAAAAGATGTTCAGGTGGTTTGACGAGGAGGACAAGATTGCTAACTGTCGACCTTATATGGAAGAGGAGAAGAGGCACTTTTGCGAGGAATATGCAAAGAAATGGAATGACGAGACTGGGGACTCGGATACAGGAGAACAGGTTTATATGGAATCTGAGCTGGGGTTCATGCTGGCCATCACGTTTGAAATTCACAACATGCTGTGTTTTATGGATCAGGATGATGATAAGGACCCGTTGAACATCCTGGGGCTTAACAAGCTGTTTGAAGAGTTTGTCAATCAGTATAAGAAACTTGGACTAGCGAGTTGAGAGCAATTGAGTTAATGCGGTGCATAGGGTCAGAAGGGAGTCACCGTTGACACCAGTGAGCCGTGCATTGAAGTTGAGAGCGAGGGGATTACAGCAGTGATTGCAGATTGAGGATCCCTCGGCCTGCAAATGTCAGCATGTATTAGTAGTTTCATTCTGTTGTAGAAGACTAGCCTTTGTTTTAACCTAGCACCTGAAGCTCGCCGTCGCAGTGATACCTTCGTTTAGACGCCATAACACTGGGACATCAATCAAGTAGCAGTATATTAACGCAGCCTAATTCAAGTCAACACAGCACTCCGTAGAAGCACAAACAGACAAGACACCCAAGACAACCCAGCCAATACTAAAGTCCAAAAATCCGTTGAGGATGTAGCATCCCGTACATCCCCCTGGAGTCACAACCGACCACACAATAATTCGCCGATTAGCCTAGAAGCCAGCCCATCTGTATCCGGGGTCAATTCCCGCTCTTGCCGCAGCGGTCAAAATGTCCACATGTGTCTCGATGCGTCGATTCGGGGCCTCGTTCCACAGCTCTGCCAGCCTCCGGTATCAAAAATAAGTTATTGGTGATATCCTGCCCCGCGTGATCTAGGTTTGGTGCTTCTGGGTGGGAATTGCTTCTTCCTTGGCGGGTGCCGCGGAGAAGGGAGTGGTGAGATGTTTGGGATCCTAGGTGTGAGATTTTGGCTTCGTTTTACCTTTTCCGAGGAGTTTGGTCAGCTGTTAGGAAGAGACTTTTGTCTTTTCGGGCTTGGTAGGTCTGGGATATCAGTGCTGACAGGTACCCGGTGTTTTGGCCCCCGGGGCGTCTAGATGGCGAATAAGGTAATTTGCGATATCTCCACATCCGTGATATTGGAGTGATAGTTGCAACAGGGAATGACACATTGAGAATCAATCCAGGTCAATCAAGATCTATACGGATCCATAACTGCTGAAGTCTAGTATGGACCCCTGCGCCGAGCCCCGCGGGGTTCTCCTCGATCACATTTGGCGCAAACGTAAACGTAAAATTTCATGTTTGAGGACTCGAAGAATTGAAGATATGAGAAATGGCATAGATAGCGATCTTCCATATCAGTGGAGTAGGATGCAAGCACGAAAATGACGCCGATCTCGACCCACATCCAATTGCAAAATAATCTGTATACTTCGTCTGAGCCCTGGAGATGTTTGAGTATGGGGCGCTTGGATGAGATATGAGAGAAGCTTCCCTTCTTTCCTAAGCTATTTATATTGAGCTGATCATCTTGCTCCCCCCCCCTCTTTTTCATTCACAATTCTGGTATCTCATCAGCCTTTCCCTTCTCCTCTCTTCATAACACACTCACCTTCAATCATGACAGCCTCCATCCCTAAGACCATGCATGCTCTGCAGTACTCAGAGCCCAAAAAGCACAAGCTCGTTGAAGTCCCTGTGCCTGAGCTCCGTGAGAATGATGTCCTGGTATGAAGCCGTCCATCAATTTGCAAGGAAGCGGACTGACCAAGCCCTTATTTGATCAGATCAAGGTCAAGGCTTGTGGTGTTTGTGGCACTGACCTCCACATCCACGAGGGTGAATTCATTGCCAAGGTATGTCTTTCCACCATATCAAACACCCATGAATTGATGTGCTGACCAGTCCATGGTTCCCTCTGATCCCTGGCCACGAGACTGTCGGCGTAGTCGCCGCCATTGGACCCAAGGTTAAAGACTTTGAGATCGGCGAGCGAGTTGTCGCAGATAACTCCGAGCTGTGCGGAACATGCTTCTACTGCCGCCGTGGCGACGAGCTGTTCTGTGAGCACTTTGAGGCCCACGGTGTGACGATGAATGGCGGTTTCGCTGAGTACTGCGCCTACCCCGGTAAGTAGAGCATATCAAACGCATACCGGGGTCTCAATTTTGATTTTGGATTTCTTTTAGCTGGCAGAGTCTTCAAGATCAAGAACCTTTCCGACGTTGACGCAACTCTCCTGGAGCCCGCCTCCTGCGCCGCCCACGGTCTGGACAAAATCGCCCCGAAGATGGGTTCGTCCGTGCTGATCTTCGGTGCCGGTCCTACTGGTCTGGTGTTGGCTCAGATGCTGCGCCAAAACGGTGGTTGCAATGTCATTGTTGCTGCTCCTGGAGGTTTGAAGATGGATTTGGCTCAGAAGCTTGGTGCTGGCGATAAGTACATTGAGCTGTCACGCGAGAATCCTCAGGCTCAATTCGATGCTCTCAAGGCCGAGAACCCGTATGGATTCGATATTGTTGTTGAGGCTACTGGTAGCCAGAAGATTCTTGAAGACTCGATTAACTATGTTCGTCGTGGTGGTAAGCTGGTTGTGTACGGCGTGTACTCGAGTGAGGTTCGGGTCTCGTGGTCGCCGGCTAAGATCTGTAAGTTTTCTTGTCGCTTTCTCTTGACTTCTTTGCTCATTTTTTTCCAGTCGGCGATGAAATCACTATCCTCGGCAGTTTCTCTGAGACCTACAAGTTCCCTGCTGCTGTTGACTACCTTGATTCTGGTAAGGTAAAGGTTGATGGCATTGTGAACAAGGTATACAAGATTGAGCAGTGGGAGGAGTGTCTTGAGGCGATGCGCAACAAGACCGCGATCAAGGCTGCCATCGTCTTCGATTAGGTCTAGACTGTGAATTGCAACATACAGTTTCATAGAGGTTGATAGAATTGACTCTCTGAATTACGAGGCACCTTGACTTTATACTTGAAAATGAGGACCTTGTAGGCCAACAAGGTACTTTTGAGATTGATAATCCCTCAAATATGACCTGCGACAGTACAGTGAGAGGGATTTATGTTAACAAATTGTACTATAAACGTTCAAATAAGGAAAGTCAAGAACGGGTGTCCACACCCCGTCAGCCAAGCCTGGCCTCGCCTCTCCCCACCGCAAACTCTCCAAGATCTAACAACCATCACACCAATCCCCAAACTACAATGGTCAAACCCCTAACATTCAAAGGCGACAAGCCGAAGAAGCGCAAGACCCGCACAACAGACAATGAAGCTCCGACCCCCAAAACGCGCAAAACCGAACCCGAACCCGAAGACAACTCAGAAGACCAAAGCTGGGTCTCCGCCGACTTAGCAAGCGACATCGCCGGCCCAGTAATCATAGTCCTACCCTCCGACGACCCAACCTGCGTCGCCAGCGACGCAAACGGCCAAGTATTCGCCAGCAAGCTCGAGAACCTCGTCGAGGGAGACCCGTCCACGGCGGAGCCACACGATGTGCGACAGGTCTGGGTTGCGTCGCGGGTGGCGGGGACGGAGTCATTTAGCTTCAAGGGACATCATGGGAAGTGAGTGAATACTGTCTTTTATCGCAACATACCCTCCCTCCCAGTTCCAATCTCCAATTTTTCTCTGTTCCATGCTAACATCCACCTCTCCAACAGATACCTCTCCTCAGACACACACGGCCTTTTCTCAGCAACCGCCTCAGCAGTCGGCCACTACGAATCCTTCCTAGCAATCCCCTCCCCAGAAGTCTCAGGAACATTCTCTCTCCAAACGCACGGCGGCGACGGCGAGTCATTCCTCTCAATAAAAGAAAACGCCAAAGCATCTTCCGGCGTTGAGATCCGCGGCGACGCGAATACGATCTCCTTTGAGACGACTGTGCGCGTGCGCATGCAGGCGAGGTTTAAGCCGAAGTTGCGCGCGTCGAAGGAGAGTAAGGCGTATGAGAAGATTAGTAAAAAGGAGCTTGAGGGGATTGTTGGACGGGGGTTAAATGACGATGAGGTCAAGAGGTTAAGGAAGGGGAGGAGGGAGGGGAATTTCCATGAGATCATGTTGGATGTCAAGGTTAGTGGGAAACATGATAAGTGGGCTTGAGAGGGCTGGTGAGTTTTTATTCTTTTCTGGGTTTGGGGGAGGTGCTGATTGTGGTAGTGTTTCTATACTGAAACAAGTCGGTTGGGTCTGTTCGCTACGAGATTATTTAGCTGTGCCAGCCAGGCTTGGATGGACGTGATGGCACCGTCGTGGCTCACGCTGAGGCTTTCCATGTTCTCGCTCATTGTCTGTCTAGCCTGTCTGGATTTAGGGTGGGAATACATCGCGTGAGCTTAGTCCAGGGTTCATTCGGCAAAGATTGAGAGAAGCCTCAACATGCCAGCCCTCATGATGATTATTCCAGACCCGGCGAGGGAGATGCGTAGGCGATGCATGGCATCTCTGCAAATCTTCGAGAGCTAAGGCTACCATGAAGAGAGAATAGGAAGGAAGTTTAACAAACCATGATATTGGCCTAAATGGATGATCTACCTGGCAGGCTAATTCTAAAACAAAGGGTTTGCATCTCATTTTGATCAACATACAGCGAAGAAAGCCAAGTACTAGACATAATGAATGACACAAATTTCCCCTCCGGGACTGTATGAAACCCATTTTATATCCTCTGATAACCGTTGCCTTTAGACTCTCCCAATCTGTGCACAACTTGTAAATAATAAGAAATAATTAAACGAAATACAAAAAGCAAGCACGAGAATCTCAACTCAAGCATTCAACTTTAACTTCAATTAACACAAATAACGCATACATCCATGTGTAGATAGAGATAGTCTGGTTATGGAAGACATAATTCGTCACGCAGAAACAGATCTATGGCGAGAAGGGGCGGTAATGACAGAATGGGGGGGGGGTGTCCAGTAGAGCAGCAAGCCCTGGGTATGAATTCTAACAACAGTAGTACAGGAGAACAAGACCACAACACCTCGAGTAAAAGCGAGGAACGGGGACACAAAAGAGTAGGACGTATCAGAGCTGGAGGGTGAACGTAGCAAAAAGAATTGATGACAACCGCGTCCACATTCTTTGAGGAAAAACAGAAAAAGATAAATGAAATAAACAAAGTAGCGACATTTGGGAAAAGAGAAAATAACAAAGGTGGGCAAGTCTAGGTTCATAAGGAGTCTCTTTCACCGCAAGGATAAGCACCGGAGCATGGGACGGGAAGCAAATGAGCAGGAGGTGACGATTGTACAGAGATAGGCGAGGAGGGGCGGAGACATGAAGAAAATCCAGGATGGGGAAAACTTTAGGAGTTGAGCGATAGGCCCTGGAATCGATTGATCCATTCGCCCTGCGCTGGGTGCATGCGTGAAGATCCATTGGAGCTGCCGAGGTTGCCAGGGTATTCGAATGAATCTGCAGGACCAAAGTTGGATGGCACCTGTGGAGCAAATATATCCGAATGAGGCCCATCTGCGTGATGGGGTGGCTGAGACAACGGCTGGTATGACTCTCCGTAGGATGGGCGAAGCATGCCTACGGGGTTTGGCATCTCTCGGCCTGAGTCGACAGAATCGCGCGCTCCGCCATAGGATCTGCTTTCAAGTTGGTGGCGACGATCTGCTTCCTGGCCATAAAGGGGGTTGGGCATAGTGCCGGGGCCTGACAGGCCAGCCGTAGGGGGTGTGACAAACGAGGCGGGATTGATAGCGGACATCCAGATGCGAGTCTTGTAGATCTTGAACAAATCAGTCACCAGCGAGTTGAAGTTGATGTACGAATCAGCAAAGTAGTAAAAGGTCAGCTTTTTCCAATCCCTGTATAACAATTAGTTGAATCATCACAAATGGTAATCGGAATCAAGTAGACCTACATTTGGAACTCGGCATCGAGGATCTCCATATTAAGCCGGTGCTCAACCACTTTCTGCTGGCAGACCCGCTTGGCTTTGGCTTCATTTCCCTCCTTATCGTGCAAAGTTAAGACCTCATGTGGCTGCGCCAACCGCTTGATAAGCTTGGGTTTGAGGTCTGTGGTGGGTTCCTGGGCACTGTGAGGACCATGGGGACCCATGCCACCTGTGGCACTTCGAGTGTTCAAGCCCGTGTTGGGGTTGGTGAGGTTGGACGCTTCAGGCTGGCCGTGTCTAGAGAAGATCATGAGGGTCTTGTAATGCTCTTCCGCGTAATGCTGCTTCAACTCCCGTGCCTGTTGGAGTGATATGTTCGCGTGAATGACGGTGCCCAGATCCGTTCCCCGATCAGCCTCCACAATGACTAGATCACCATCTTTCACTTGGAGACCGGTATCTTCTTGGATGTAGAAAACGTCTGCGCGGCTGCATTTGAATGCGACAATGTACAAAAGCTGATTTTGATGAGCGTGCGACGATGCGGATGGTTGCCGACCATATGCACCCGACATCGCATATTGGCTGAGAGATGGTGGGATACCCGAGGAGCCATCTCCACGCAAGGTCTGTTCACGGGAGTAGTAGGGTTCTAAAGAAGATATTAGCGTTGAGCAATAGCAAACCCACGTAGCAAGCAAATAGACTCACGGTTGGAATAGTCACTAAGGTTACCATATCCGTCATCACGGTCTCCCATGGTTGCACGAGGAGTGGCGGTCGAATGCGAGTCCGCAGGACCGATTGAGCCATGGCGCATCGGAATCTCGGCGAAAGAGTGTCGGCGACTTTGAGGCATGTCAGACATGCCACCGAAGCCGAGAGACGTCTGCCAATGAGCCTTGCGGACATTATCTAGAGCACGATTCTCCAACGGGGAGGCAAAGGACGTAAACTGCTGTTCTGGGTGCGACAGATGCTCAGAGAAACGGCGTCGAGAATTGCCACGCATATTGTTGTATCCCGTGATATCACGCAATTCTCCCGGATCTTCTTCAACCAAATCTCCATCGGGAACACCGCCTCGAATGCGATGCAGTGGATGACCACCTCCACCGATTGATGCAGCTGATCCGGCCCGCTCACGGTATCTGTTATCCATTTGGCCTGCCGCAGCTGCTTGCCGTAAGAGTGCGTTCTCACGCGCCAGCTGCTCGATCTGCCGTGCCTGACTCGCTGAGTAGCTCATATCGTTTTCCGAGCCGTTGAGACTCTCGTCGCCATCATCATCCTCGCGGACTCGACCGAGCATTGCAGTATCGTGTCCTAATTCACCGAGCATACTAGGACGTGATGCTCGAGGCTGAACAGCAGACATTTGGCCTGGACCCCGGGAGCGACTTCCTGGGTATTGCGCACCGGCAGCAGGAGCCGCACCGGCCTTGCTAGCAGCGAGGCTGAGGAATTCAGGATCCATCTGACCAACAGAATATGACTGAGAGCGGTAGGTTTTAAGAGTTGGTTGTAACGGGATGGAGAATGGAATGGCAGATTCACCAGAGATAGTACGGGTTATTGGGCTCAGCATTTCCTCTGGCACGTTGCTCGCCGGAGGTGGGTTGGTCATGGTCGGAGAGGGTATCATTTCTGCCAAGCGAGAAGGCGGTTCCTTGCGTGATTCAGTGTTCCAGATGCCTGTGCCTGTGCCCCAGGGAAATGTGCTTCCTCCGGTTTGATTCCAATTGAAAGATCCGGCAAGACCTGGGCTCGTAGTTGTCGCCCATGGTGCCTGATCACTAGCGGGGCTTGTAGGGTTCGATGGTGCAGAAGAAAGGTGGCCTCCAGGCAGCGAATGTTTACGCTGAGCGGAAAGTGGCACTTCATTCAACCACGAAGTGCGACGGACGGGTGGCCTGGTGGTAGGGGGGATGGTGTTTTGAGTCTGCGGTCCATGGTCTCCATCATCATCAGAGGAAGCCAATGCATCCGAGTCCGGGGTGGAACGGCGCACGCCTGGGTGAGTTTTCTCGAGGATGGCAGACGCTGTCGCCGCAGCGGGTGAGGTAGAAGACTGAGCCATCGGGATCGATTTGTTAGATGGCGTTGTCATCGTCTGTTATGGTAAGAGACACACTGTTGTAACGTTAGTATATGATTCCCAGTTTAATATGTGTGCCAAACACGATAATTCCCTGCCGACTGTGTCACCATGAGCGCCACTCGACACCCAGTGAAGCAACACAATCAGAGCGGGGTTGTCGCAAGGAATAGTCTGAAGTCACGGAGGGATCAGAGGTGATTTACTGACCTGTACGGTCTTTGTTAATAGCAAAGCTGTCTTGTATAGATGTCTCTTGGTTCAAGAAGAAAGATGAACACATGCGATAAAGCACCCGTCTTTGTTCCACCCGCTCGATGAGGTTGGGGTAAAAGGCCAATCTTTGCTTCTGGGAGGGACGGTGGATGACCGGGTATATGCGCTATGTTCAACGACTAAATTGGAAGTCAGCGATTGTTCGCATATTGTAGCCAAGTCGTAAAACAGAAGGAAAAGACGCAAATGAAGTAAAATATCAAGCATGGGTGTGGCATAACTTGAAAGCCGCCAGATAAAAGCGGAGCGCAGATATGCATATCCTCGGCCCCTCTTGCAAGAGAGGGTCCAGAAGTGGGGATCGTAAAAAGCACCCCAACCAAGTGATAGCTATACGCAACCGAAAAGGACATGATATGATGTGAACGAGATACAATTGCAAGGTTAGGGAAGAGTGAGAGATGCCCCCACAGAGAAGAGAAATATGAAAGTAACATGCAGGCAGAGAGCACCACGGAGAGGCACATTGTCGGACATGTCGGAAATCAATGCGACCGAGAACAAGAACTCGTACGTACCTCAAGTTGGCGTCAAATGCGACCCAAGCGAATCCTTTTTAGCGTAGCTGGGTGCAGATCACCAGGCACCTCGAAAGCAAAATAGTATCCACGAAGAAAAACGAGTCGAAAATCAAAAGCAGTCGCGTGATCGCAATTGTGCCTGGAGAATCATCCATGTATCAGCCCAGTCGCGTTCAGGACACGGGCAACTCGGGGGAAAAATGATGCGCGACTCACCACTCTAATCGTTTCTCTCAAAATGTCTATTTGCAAACAGGTGCGCACGGTAATCGTGGGTCTCGTCAAGGGTATTGCGGAGTCCTTCTTGTGCCTGAATTGACGGGTTGATTTCGAGGTGAACGGAGGGCGAAAGAGGTCGTTTAGACAGAGCTAGGGAGCAGTAGAGATGTGTTTTTTTAGGAGGGAATAAGGCGCGTGTCGACAGAGATGCCCGCTGGATCTGAATCTGGGTGTTCGGTCTATCAGGGAATGGAATGCGCTCGGAGGGTCACAAAGCTATCACAAGAGATGACGAGCCGTGAGGGGGGGGGGGGGGGGGGTAGGCTGATCCCCTTAAGGATGACGCATCTTGCGATCGAAGAGTGTGTAGATGAAAGTGGGAGAAGAAGGGAGGGGGAGAAATGTAAAAAGATGAGGGGGAACGCAAAGAGCCTGGGGTAACTTCTTACGGATCTGGCAACGTTGCCCCGGAGGACACGGACCAGCTATGGGTTGATCTTGTTAGTTGTTTTAGTCGTTTTTTTAGTGGATTTTAGTGGGGTTTTTTTCAGAAGACATGGAAATTATGGAATTCTGATGAATACACATATGCAAAGAAAATTACGGAGCTCTCCATAGCAAAGTGGCGTAGACCCCATCCAGAGCAGGCGGGTCCCTGGGACAAATAAGCCGATCTGGGGTAGTTGGTAACTCGTGCACATATATAAAATGTATTAGTATGTATTTCGTAGACCCTCGCACGGCCCTCGGGTCGCACACTAGGGCCAGACTGTTCTTCTAATCTTACCCCGGATTGATATGCATTCTCTGACACTTTAGCAGCCCCTCCAATATGAGAGCTGCTTTCCCCTCTTCTTTCCCTTTTGCGGGGATAACTTCATCCACATCTCTAGCCAAGACCTAGAAGTCCCTCACGTGTCAATAACCTCGGACTATGCGTCTAGACCGTTAAACAGCTTTGTGCCACAGTGTAGTACAATAATGACATTGTCAACGTGACTTTGCCTCTCAACCCCTCAATGATCTCACACACTTGTGCAATATAGGGAAAAAACACAAAAAAAAAAGGATTGTCTGTCAATGGGGAGTGCAGGATCGATTCTCTTGCTCTCATTTCTGGCGAATCATATTGTGCCCCGGTCCTCCGACCGGGTCTATTCCCTGGCAGATGTTGCAGCATCCCTTGGATACTTGCTCAATTATGTTTGCTAATATAGGCGTTATGTGGTGTATTTGGACTATGGCCTGTGTCCTTTTCTTTTTCTTTTTTTTTTTTTCCTTTTCCAGTGATATACCCTAGCTAAGTTCATAGTGGATAGATATCGCGGGAGATTTGCACGTTTCCAGAGTTATAGCACTTCTTTACGCATTGCTTCTTGAACCCCAAAGCTAAGACATGCCAAGCTAGGATGAGACTACTCCGTATTCTTTGGACTTTGGAATGATCATATGCATCTTGTATTATATACCGGATAATTGTATGTCATCTCCTTGTAAGGTGGGGGGGGGAAGAGGAGCTTGACCCACACCCGTGAACCATATTACCTACATGCTAATTCGTTGCGGCTCAAAGCACCGGTGTACACGCAACGCACCGCAGCTCCCAAATTAAACCTCATCCACCTGGGCAGGCGTGAAGGTTGTCGTTATGCTAGATGCTGCCTCTGCAAGTATTTACACAAGCCTGTATGAGCCGATGGCGATTCTCTAGACAGACCTGCAGTCTTGTTTCAAATCAATTCCATGCCCGAAAGACATATCAATGTTCACAGATGACATACGCCGAGATACGTCTCTTTCCAACGAATTTCCTACCGCGAATAGAAGACCCGGCATATCTCAGTATAGGCTGATTGAAGACGTCGAAGACCTCGACATATGCAACCTAGGAGGATATCATCCTCTACAAGTCGGGGATGAGTTGGACAATGCCCGCTATGGAGTGATTGACAAGCTTGGGTATGGAGGATACTCGACTATATGGCTAGCGCGTGGTATACAAATAGCCCGATATGTGGCAGTGAAGGTGATCACTGCTGCTAATGACTACACGCGGGAGGCTAGTGTGATCTCCTCTCTTGGGAACGCGCCATCTACACCTGGAAAAGAGGTTATCCCACCCCTGATCGACCAATTTTGGATTTACGGTCCTAATGGTAAGCACAGGTGTATCATTACTCCACCTGCACGGATGAGCCTTTTGATGTCAAAGATGCTTCGGGCTTTTCCGACCCAAGGTTGCACAGTCGATTATCGCTCAGTTCGCCCGGGTGTTTATTCCTGATTGGTTTGGTATCAGTAGCGATGGTGTTGATTTTGGCGAGGAGAGGATCATCCTTAGCGACTCAAATTCTCCTCAAAAGACCCTTCCTCTCCAGCCACCTGAAGCCCGATTCTCAGACGAGCCGCTCTCCTTCGCGTCGGATATCTGGACACTTGCTTGTACCATCTGGGAGACTGCTGGCCAGCGCTCATTGTTCGGAACGTTCTTCCCAGCTGCCGATCGCGTTACCGCAGAGCAAGTCGAGGTTCTTGGCATCTTATCCCCAGAGTGGTTGGAAAAATGGAGTACAAGACTGGATTGGTTCAATGAAGACGGCGAATTGAATGAGCTAGAATGTCTGTGCATAGGGCCTTAGGCGAGATGTTTGATACTCTATACAAGAGGCACGATATGAGGCGTATGGCGGAAAAGGAAAGGAGGGCGTTTGAGGTAATGCTTCGGCTGATGCTGATCTATCGGCCAAATGAAAGAGCAACAGCTCAACAGGTGTTGCACTCGGAATGGATCAATGAGAGGGGCCAACCAGCTTTGGGATAGAGCCGGAGTAATTCCACGAAAGAGTTATGAGAAGAGAGCGTTTATTCCGGAAGGATTACTACAAGGTACTATGCAATGGCACATCAAATCCATCTATAGTCCGTGCTGTCCTGCTTAGAGTAAGCATTTGGGTCCTAGTGTACCAGTAGTTTATATCTCTGTATAGTATTCACATGTTGTATTACAGAGCTATCGGGAATATTGATATTCCAGGTGTTCATTCTGAGGTCTACTAAGGGTCGGGGTCTTGGCATTATGGGCTCAGAAGCAACCTTGGCACGCGAGGTGGTGACAATAATTTCTGGAAGTTGTAGGTAATGAAAACCAACTCCAATTCATTTTCCCTTTTAAAAACTAATGTACAAGGTATATGCCCCCGAATAACCTATTTTACGGCGCACTGTCCACAGGCGCAGTAGCTGTAGCTGCAGCACCCTTCTGCTGGCGCAGCTTCTCCTCAAACTTTGCGAACTCATGCATGGAAACGATTTCCTCCTCATCCATAACCTGCTCAACACCCTTGACCTCCTCAATCTAAAAAGCAAAGTTAGCAAAAGCCCTTATATCAAAACCAAGGGAACGGGAGCGTGGGGAGGGACATACATAGTGCATAAGCATAGATTCAATACCATTCTTCAGCGTAACAGTGCTGGAATCGCAGGTACGACAAGCACCACGCAGCTTCAGCATAACAATGCCATCCTCAAAGCCCTTCAACTCGATATCACCACCGTCTTCTTGGATAGCAGGGCGGATGCGAGTCTCGAGCAATTCCTTGATCATGCTGACAACCTCGTCATCATCCTCGTTAAAAGAGAGCGAGTCCTCGCTACTCTCCTGCTGACCGTCGGTGGCACCCTCGATCGTCGTGACGATCGTCTCGCCAGATGTCACAGCTTGCGTGATGATGCTGAAGATTTCCGGCTTGATGTGCGCCCAGTTCGCGTCGCTGCCTTTTGTCACTGTGATGAAGTCTGTGCCGTAGAAGACGGATGTGACGCCTTCGACATCGAACAGTTTTGCCGCGAGCGGGGATGGGTGTGGCGGCGCGAGGGTGGATCGTGGTGACATATACTCGAGGAATGTGCTGGGGAAGTCTTCCGGGAGGACGCGGTGGTTAGGGATGAACTTCAAGGCCTAGATTATAGGAGATGATATGTCAGATCGGTTTCTTTTGTCAAGGTGATATAATTGAGCTCTGGGAACTTACATCGGGGTTGGGGGTGTTCTCGGTCTGGATGAAAATGGTGCGCTTGCTTGTCGGTGAGAGACCGTTAACTCCGCCCTGTGATGCGGGTTGCTGGTGTGGTCGCACCGTTGGTCGGCGACGGGTCTCTGATGCTGTGAGGGTCGGGAGTCGGGCTGCGCTGGACACATATCTGTAACGTGCGAATGCCGGTCTGATTGTTCGGGCGGAGCACTCGACGGGAGTGGCCAGACGGGTGTTTAGCAGAGCGCGGCGGAACATTGTTGTTGATGGAGTGCTCAAAGACATTATGTTATCGAGTTAACTGTACAAGATAGTTGTTAACAGGTGAATTGTAGAAAAAAAAACACTTGAGGATCTGTTCGGCCGCTCTGACGCAATTTGACTGCACGTGATCTGAGATCATCGCCGGATGACAAATGAGGACCGTTTTTTGGCCAATGAGAAGAGATGTTTTGCACAATTACAACTATGGATGTGCCGACTGTCGGAGGTTGAGAAACGAGTAGTTCATGGTTAATTGTCACCTGAAATCATCTATATCGAAGCAAGATTTTGTTTCATTTTGCATTCGGATAGAGTACCACCATGCATTACACCTCTAAATTTTAGGGCTCGCAATCAACCCCTGGGGAAGGAAGCTTCTTCCCGAGGTCCCTATATTAGCTTCGTAGCAGATGCTATCTTTTAATAACGTGGAAATTTCCATGCTTGAAGAAGCATGTAATTTGACTCACACTAGCTATACTTACCAGAAGTAGCCTGGCCATTTAGGATGAAGCCATGCAGTATAACGGGTGCGATATAGTCTTGTTTCAAGAAAACTCGACGACATCCCAAACAACTTTTGAAGGCTTGAGCTGTGCAACAATCAAGCCCGATCAAAAAGAGAGGAACTGACTGGGGGCAAGATCACGTTGTACCAAACTTCTCTCGCATTTCATAAACAGAATGATGGGTGTATCTTTCAAGGATAGCCAACAAAAGAGCTTTTCAGAGGACAGACCATGTCATGGCTCACGCCAAGGAGTTCTCTCTTTTTCATATTTGATACATATACTTGTATGCACAGTTCCGTTTTCCAACCCCATCATACGACTGATGGACCCGGCGATAAGTCCAAAATCCTCGGACGGCAGCAGTAGGCGGGTCGTCTTGATCACTTTTCCTTTGTGCAGGATGTAGAATAGAGTAGATTGGCCACAATAAACTTAAATTGGCGGTAAACAATATGCTCTGTTGTACTGGGTGCGCAGGGCACTCCCACAGGGTAAGAATAACACTATTTCCCTGTGTGTGGGCCAGCCATGCTCGACCCATTGATCAACTAGTCAATCTGTGAGCAATTGCTCCAGGTTGATATATGAAGCCGATGATCAAACAGTGGGCAAGAAAAGTTGTAAAAAGCGGGTCCTCACCACATTTTCAACATGGACTGATCCTACGATGTATCAGCACCCCGCTGTACACCAGCAACTGACAATTCTGATTCGACCTTGCAAGAAATGCCAACCCAAGAGAAGTAGCCGCTTTGTCTGGTACAAGTTGCAGCGGTGTCTAGATAGCACTTGCATTGGTGAAATGGCAAACGGAATGTAATACGTGGGGCCACCAACGCTTCACTGATGGGTTGAATCCAGTAAAGAAGGTAGGACTGCTCTTCACAAAATGGATAAAGGTGCCGTATCTTGATGGGCGCCAGTATTACCACAACGAGTCATGAAACAACCCGTGGGCACATGAGCTGAAAGGCATCTTGGAGTTTGCAACAAACAGTATTCGCGCCCCGAGTCGACATCGAATCGGGGGGAATCAGGATCCACTTAGTACACCGTATGGCCGGGTTGATATCCCGCAAGTGATGGTCGTGGCCATTGTACGTGTATCTCATGCCCTGGCTCCCCGAGTGGTGGATACAGACACGATACCTTGCGTACCTGGTGCAAACGTGGCCGTTCTCGATGTATCGCGTGCATTCTGGCTTTGTTTCGTCACACGAAACAGGGGTTGGATTTTGGATGTGGACGATTAGGCTCCAACTATGTCTCGGGGAGAAAATTCGACATCCCATTAGCCCTTTCGGCGGATATTTTGCAGCCTTCCGATCGAAATATATGGCACGTCACCTATTTATGAAGCTTGTTGGCACGCGTGTTCCCATGTATAGTTGATGCCTGAGGCAGACATAGATGACCCGAGCTTAGTTTTTCGTGCAAATCATGCAAATCGGGTAGCTCAACTTTCCTGGCCTTATCCTGCATCATTCTCGAGGACGTGGACCAGTTAAAAATGAGGGAGCAAGTTTGATCGCTTTGCAGCTGATGGATTCATTGGGAAATCGATATAATGCCTGGTTCCTGTGAGGTTTGCTCTGTAGAGCCCTCCAAATATCGCTGTCCCACATGCGGACTGTTGAGGTACTGACCCGATTACGATTCCACCCCTATCCATGCGTGGACCAGTTGCTAAGAGTTATCGATTTAGTTGCTCGCTTGCATGCACCCAGTCACATAAGATATACTGTGCTCCGAAAGCACCATCGAATGAGGAACCGAGTAACATCCCAGCGCCTGATGTCGATCCCACACCCGAGAACGACCCCAATGGCCCTGCACCTGCAGAACCAACGGGAACCAATGCTCCTGCGACCACCCCTGCAGCAGTTGGGGCATCGTCAGAAATGAAAGAGCTTCTCACCCAATACCCAGAACTCCGCAGTCAGCTACAAGATATGTTCCAGTCGACGCTGGAAGACGAATGGGTGGAATCGTACACAGCCCCCGCACGTGGACGTGGACGTGGGCGCGGACGAGGTCGTGGAGGGCTCGCTCCTCGTAGCCGTGGACCCTGGACGTCCGAGAAAGGTTTCAACCGCGGGCTGGGCAGAGTCCGGAAGCTAAGGCAGGATTGTGAGGAAGGCACGGAGACTGGCCAGACCGCCGAGGCTTTCATGCGGTTTATGGCGCTTGTCAAAGGCAAGGACTCAGCCTGAGTCATCTACATTTGCTTCCGGTGAAAACCAACCGCATACGAGTTAGACGGTCGGCATATATACCTTGATTGCACCACATTCATAGGTTGAGTCCGTGCAAGTGAGACATGCATATCGAATCTACGAGATGGTGGGCGGCGGCTTTTGATCTACTATGACTGTTCTAATAAAGTAGCTGTCAGATCTGACAGCTTTAGCCATATTCAGCCTTATGCAACTGATAAATATCCGGCCTCCTTTGTTTTCTGTATGCTTCTCTATTCCATGCTATCCCCCGGCTCTCGGGGCTGCTGGTAATTAATTTACCAGTATATTAAAGCGTAGGGTAGTAAATTAAAGCGCTGAGCACTGGCCCTATGGTGGTAAAGTGCAATATCGCACCACAGGTACGATGTACAACGCTACCATGCGAGCCAAGACCAGCAGCCGAAGTCCTATATAATGTCAGATTAGGGGCGCTTTTAGCGCCCCCAATAAAGCGGAGCATATGTCAACGGCCCAGAACTTGACAGACCAAAATTTCCGTACAAAAGTACAAAAGTACTGAAAATCCGGAATCTGTATGTTCTGACTGGTCACATGGAGTATTTTGAGAAAGTAGAGTACGGATTATTGGAGTACTCCGTACTCTGTGTAGGATCTAATTTTTGAAAAGACAAACGGCGCAGAGCAGGGGGGCCGGCAGTCAAAACAGCTACTGCAGCTCAACAAATCCTAAGCAATAAATAATATCCATTTGTACGGAGTAGACCTGTCATTTAAGCGAGATCGTCCTAGACCCCAGCCTCGGTTCTAGTTGGCCCATGTGTGTTCAGCCGCTTTCACGAACACGACGATCTCTTAGTGGGCTTCCAATGATATGCGAGAATCCCATCAAAAAAAAAGAGGATCTCGGACCAATTCCATTATCCCCAATCTTCCCCATTCTTGGAACTCTTTGTGATCTGTCCATACTGCTTTTATAATTTCAAAGGTTCTTCCCGCCAAGACCAAAGGATATCCGCGACAGATCCGGCTAATCAGGGTAGTTTTCAATCAACTCCCGATAACACCTCGGATGGCTGCCTCACCCCGAACTTGATTCCAACGATGGATGTGCTGTGCTCGTTATCTGAACTTACACAGTAAGGGCGTTGTACCGAATCCATTCGGCCTTACTGCCGACCGTTTCCGTCATGATCTCGCAGACCCGCCGAGAGAGAGCTTACAGTGACAAAGCTCAAGCTATGGCAGCTCCGCAACGACCGGGAATGGGAAGTCGTACTTCCTCAGCCCCCGGGGGCCTTTATAAACTCGATGCGGCGCGGAAGCCAGGAGCTGGGACGTACTCCGAACACACATTGGTGGAGGAGGATGAGGGGTCGCCAATTACAGACGAACAGATCAAGCGCACAGAATTTCGTCAGCAGGATGGGGTATGTCTTCAATTGATCCAGAATTCCGAGCGGGTTATGGCTACGGTGTACAAAGAGCTCCAATCGCTGACGAGTCCCTTTTCTGCCTGTTATAGGAATCTCCCAAGAGCGGTTTCCCCGAAGTGACGATTGCAGTGGCTGGCGAAGAAAACGCCGGCAAGAGCAGCTTTGTTAAATGTGCGCTGGATATGAAAAGCCCGCCTACCTCCAATATGAACAAGAAGAAAATGTCATTGAACGGATCGGTCTATATTGTGCATCTGATGGAAGTCGACTTGACACAGGTTCAATTTGACCAGGACAAGAAGATCGTCTGGCCACGTGCAGGACGCGACAAATCCGCGCCAGTTATTGACGGGGTTCTGGTTCTACATGATGCCACCAAGCCGGATCGACTTGCTTTAACAACAAACCTCATTGGTAGGTTTCCGTTTCGCTCTGGATGTACCGGTATTGGGGGGCTGATCTTTCCGGGAATTTAGACTCATTGGCTGCCTCGGATCTTCCTTTCTTGCAGGTTGCCTGCAAATGTGATGTCAACCCTGAACCTCTGGAAGAGAGTGAAGTGGATGCGATCCATGATCGATACGAAATCTATCGGACTTCGTTTTCATCGCCTCGATCTCAACGCATGTGTATAGCGTTAGTTTTGGGGGCAGTGATTTCTACTCGAGAAGGTGAGCAATTTTTTTTGGATTTAGTCTTTTCACCCTTTTCATTGGGACAAAACCATTGTCGGGTTGAAGTGCCTTGACCCCCAAGCGGAAGCGGGCCAAGGTGGGTCGCGGTAGGAGCGTTCGCTACTTGTTCCCCATAGCTTTTTTTGCTTTTCCCCTAAAAACTAACCCCTCTCTTCATCCTTAGATCTCTCTTCTAATATTAATTCACCGAGATCACCTAAACCCGTTCAAAATTGGCATACTCGTGCCAACTCGGAAAACCCAGTTTTCACAGGTCCAGCGGGCTCGGATCAATGTGTCGATGGGGATGGTGAAAACCGTCTCGCAACCGACGGAGACTATTTGCAACATACAGGCAATCCCCACCGTTATGCCCGCAGTAACTCGCAACCGGTGCGACCGCAAACTCCGCCATCCGGAGCGCGTTTAAATACCCGCAGGCCGTCAGCACAAGAACAACATTCCCCCAACCACGATAGCCGTCAGCAACGATTGCATACCGCCTGGAGACACAGTGGAGGGTCAGACGCTTTCAACAGTTTCTTAAACATGGACGACGAGGTAGACGATGGACAGAGCCGGCCCCCGAGCCCTATCGCAGTTGTGCGGCCAAAGCCGAGCAGCGAGAGCAACTCGAGTGCAGAGACGGGTCTATCATTTGACGAGCTAGTCGATCGTTTGATTTCCTTGCCGCTATCGAAACAAGACCAAAAGTTTCGTTCTACATTCCTATGTTTGTACCGAAAGTTTGCCGCCCCCGCAAGTCTCTTAAGTGCCTTGATAAGCCGGTTCGAGCGAAATGAGATGGGCAACGAAGATCAGCTGGCCCGCATGGCGGATCAGCTGCGACTGCTTGATGTCATGGCTCAATGGGCCTCGGATTATCCTGGAGATTTCGCTCATCCCAAACTTCGCAAACGGATCATTGAATTTGTCGCTGTGCTCGAAAAGAGCCATTTCTACATGTTCGCTGCCAAGGAGATCGGGTCGCAATTAGACTCGAATGCAGAAGATGATGATATTGGTTGGGCATATGGGGGTGAAAGTGATTCCGAGGAGTCCCAACAGGTTGAGACATTCTTCGACAATTCTGGCCGAAGTTCTCCAGCAGCGGTTCACACTGGCGCTGACTCTGGTACTAATACTTACGACACCGAAGAAGAACAAGACCCCATCTATAGTATGAGTGCGTTGGATCTCAGTACTGGGCCGCATGATTCGACATCACGACTCTCGGGCACTCTTTCAGTCTCCTCGAACACCGACAAACCTAACAGCATCACCAGCCAGTCATTCACATTGCTGAGCCTCGAAGCAGCCCAAAAAGAGGCCTTGCGTCTTGAATTAACACATAAGACTTCACTTGGCAAACTCCAGTGGCGAATTTTCATGGATACCCCAGAAGAAGAGTTCGCACGAGAACTGACGCGGGTTGACTGGATCATGTACAACTCATTCCGGCCGCGTGATCTTGTGCGTCATGTCAGCCTCTCGGGCATAGACAAGGATAAGATCAAGAGCTTGGCGAATGTCAATCGGATGATTAAGCAATTCAACCATCTGGCCTTCTTTGTAGCCAGCCTGATCCTTTTGCGCGATAAGCCCAAGCATAGAGCGCAGGCGCTAGAGAAGTTCATGAACATCGCAGTGGTAGGTTTTTTGAATCTAGCTACTCTAAAAGTCAGCGACTAACATCTCCTGCTAGAAACTCCGACGCCAAAACAACTACAACTCCTTGGGTGCCGTAATCGCTGCCATCAACGGCACTCCCGTCCACCGCCTCACGCAAACTCGAGACCTGATCCCCATCCCAGCCCAGAAAGAGTTTATGCGTCTGGTTATCCTCATGAGCACCCAACGAAGCCACTTTGCCTACCGCCTTGCCTGGGAGAATTCATTCTCAGAGCGAATCCCATTCCTACCTCTCCACCGTCGCGACCTTGTCTCCGCCGAAGAAGGCAATAAGACGTTTGTCGGCGAGAATAAATCTCGCATCAACTGGAAGAAATTCGAGGTCATGGGCGAGGTTGTTCTTGGTATTCAACGAAGCCAGAAGAGTCCTCATCCCCAGGCCCAGAAGTTCGATGATGTCGAGCGACTGATTTTAGACTCGAAGCTCTCTGGAGACGAAGAGGTAAGATCTTCATTATTGTGAATCATTGTTCTTCTCATTAACGTCGTCTAGGACTTGTATGCCCGTAGCTTGCATGTCGAACCGTCCACGGGAGCCGAGGGACGAAGGAAGTTTGGCTGGCTGCGTTCTTAAACCCAGTCGCTTCTTCGGCCACGCCTCTAGCAACCTAGGGCACTCATGCCCGTCAGTCTCAAAACGAATTGAGACTGCTCTTCCACACAACCACCCCATCTAACATCTTCACCCTTACCTTCCTCCCTAGCCTCTCTACCTTCCTCTACTTCCCCCACTCTTCCTTTCTCATGTCGCCATGCCCCTATATGATTGATAAATACTGTTGTTGTTGTCTTTTGCCTGCTTTTCGTTATGAACTCGGTCCCCTATGGGGGTCGATATGACGCTTGTAACGGTGATACATCTTGAAAAAAAACGCCCCGCTACGACATTTTGTACATATGCCTGCCGAGGTGTGGGTAGTGACGGTTATTGACTGTTTTCAGATAGTATCCTACCCTGGTATATATTGACATGTTTATATATGTATTTCCTTACATCATCCATCTATCAGATATGTATAAACGTAGCTATGCGACAGTACGAAGTACTGGACAATTATCAAGTTTCCGAAATAATCTCCACTTGGACTAGTATGAATAGCGCCGCATACATTTCAAATCACGTGAAATTTTATCCACCCGGCTATCTCAACCTCCGCCCAGCTTCAAGACACCAAAGACAAACAAACTCACCTCCACTTCCCGGTGCACAAGGGTCTCAAACCCGCCCAAACAAACCCCATAAAACCAATCTATCGGACCCTAGGCCCCAACCAACCAAAAAGATGTCCGCACCCATCCAAGCGCGCACAACCTATCGCGCCATCCTCCGCGAACTCCCACGCCGCAGCTTCAAAACCCCCTCCCCGCTCCACGAAAACCTCCGCGCGATTTTCCGCTCAGCACCAGCGACGTCAACATTGCAGCCAAAGTCGCAATCCGACGTCCTCCCCTTCTCAACCCCCAAAACAGACGAAGAACGCACTCTCCGCCTCCAAGAAGCAGAGCAGCTCGCTCAGTATGCCCGCGCACAGCGTGTCTACTGTGAGCTTCTAGAGCGCTATAACCCTGGCATGAGTATGGATGAGGAAGAGAAGATTCGTCTTACGGCTAGACGGGTTGGATTTGATTTGCCTGAGTTGCATACTCCTGAGGGGAAGGAGTAGATGGGTTTGGAGGCGATTGATTGGCCTCGCTTGGTTCGTCTTATATCATGGACTGTTGATTCTGAATACGGTCAATAGATGATGATTCTACGATAGAGGCGGATTGGGCTTGGCTTGGTTATCTGTTGTCTGCAGATAGTGTAACTTTGGTTGGGATGCATGGATTCGATGGAACGGCGTTGTTATTGTTGATATTTGGGATTTGTATACTACGGTTCATGTATAAAATAAAATAGAAAGCATTGCAAAGGAGCATGAACTTGTTCTTTTTTTGAAACTTTCACTATGCTATGCATTGGACTAATGTTCCAGTCGTAACTTGGGGGTATCTGATCTTGAGGTCCTGCTGACCTCAAAATTTGTTCATTGTGAACCACATGGGTTGCCGCACAGTGTCTGGGGCACCGAGAATGGACACCTGATGTTGACACTGGGTGTGATTGTGTTGCAGCGGTGGGGCCTAGCAAAAGGGTCATGGTGGAAATGCTCCAGAACCCCGAGGCTGCTGGCGCTGAAGGTTGGGCTTTTGAATAGACGTGTTTCCCTGGTTGACTCTTCAGGTAGCGCTGAGCTGGGCACGCTCCATCTGTCTCATCAAAGTTGAACTGCTTTCTTCGTCTTCCATGCCAACCCCAACCTCGATTGCAGTCTTGGGTCGGTTCCGGTTCAGACCGTCGAGCAGCGTGCACGCTTTGCAAACCCGCTGACTGGAAATGTAGTTACAGCGCTCGCAGTGTTTGATAGTCTGCGCCTTGACGGCCTTACCCGTCGGGCCGCGATTTGGCTTCACGCGCGAACCGTTAGGAAGCTTGATTTCGGTCTCGAGTGACTCGGCTTCGTCGTTCTGAGCGAGCTGCTCCTCCATTGCAGCCATCTCTCCTCCACTGGTTCGGCCATTTTGACTGCCACATCCACCAGCCGATTCCTCCTCCGACTGCTTGGCTTTGCCCGCACCCCGGACTTCCACTGGCACAAGCGCGGCCATGTCCTCGCCACTCTTGACGATATCGAGGATCGAACTGGGACGAATCTTCTCAAGATCCTTGATCAGGGTACGAGCACTGCCGCGGAATGCCTCCGGCGAGTAGATACATTCAGTAGTGAAGTAGTCGAGCTGACGGTGGTGGGCGTAGAGGACGATCTCCTTTTCGTAAGCGTACTTGAGAGGCTTGCTGCGCTTGATATCGGAAGCATCGGAGCTAGTGACGATACTAGTACCACGCGACAGACGGGGCAGATCACCACGCAGGAGATTCATCATGACAGTCTCCGCAACATCATCCGCATTGTGGCCCGTGACAACGTGCTTGATGCCCAAGCGTGCTGCGCCCCGGTCGAGCGCCTGCCGACGGAACACTCCGCAGTAAGTGCAGTTGCCCTTCTTGCCCACTTGTTCCACAACTTGATCCATCGTCCAACCATAGAGCTCGCTGTATCCCAGAATATCAAGCGGCATCTCGTATTGCACGGCATTGCGCTTCACGGTCTCGAGACTGTCATCGCGATAGCCGCGGATGCCCTCGTCGATGGACAGTAGACATAGATCCAGTCCGTAGTTATATCGCTCGTTGAGAGTTTTCAGTACGGCTGCTAGTACTGTGCTGTCTTTGCCGCCGCTGGCTCCGATCGCTACTCGCTCGCCGGGGAAGAAGAGGTTGGTGCCGATGATGGTTTCGTGTACTTCGGTCTCGAAAATATTGATGAAACAGGCTCGGCAGAGTTTGTGCCTATTCTTAGGTCGGATGATAACGGCTCGCGCCTCTTTGCAGTTGAAACACGCCGTCGGAGCCATATTGTGTTGGTTAGGCCTGTGACTTGGTGGCGGAGAAGAATTTCTTTTTCCCCCGCGATCGGGTCCGTGCGCTTGGTTCCAAGGTTAGATCTATATCAACAGGTCCGCGGGCTATACTCGGTCTTTGGCCTTGGAGAATATGAGCTAGTCTGGAGAGTTGAATGACCTTGTATCAATTCAACTGATCTTATTTGTACGCTGAGTGACCTGATCGCTCACCTTCAAACTCATGCGAGATGACTCGACTGCACCACCCGTAGTAAGACAAGGTGCTGAGGTTTACGAACTGAGCTTCTTTTACTTGAGTGACCGAACTCGTTCATTAAAGTCCATTAGAGTCGTCTTTCTCCGCGAAGCCCAAGACAAACGTTCCTAGACCGAAAACCTGTCAAATCTTTGTAATTTCTCAGGTTGGATGCCTGTGGCCCTCTCAATATACCCCAGCAGATCATGGACTCTTTATACCAGCGAAACATGGCATTGATGGCTTCGGTGTATCGGAAGCCTTTGTTTTGTCGATGCAACAGGTATCCGTTCAAGCCCATTCCCAGCCATCCTCTTTGGGAAGATCACAGTACTCCTTCAGCTTGTTTCATCCCTCGGGCTTAAACCGGCCACTCAGCTTTGCGTAGGACGACTTCATATCTTGATAGGTGACTTACTGGACGCCCTTTGAAGGCTCGGGAAGCCATGTATGCGACAAGATAGCATATTGTAAAAGCGGGTTTCCACCATGTGGATCTACCTATTCATAGAGCCTATATGATTCTGTATGGAGAACCTCATCGTGTTGAATGTACAGATATACTGTCTGTACAGCACATATTGAAAGGTTATCTTGCAAGATGTATATCGAATAATGTAATTGTGAAAGGTCTAATCTATTGATCATTAGAAAACCTATTTATAGACTCGCCATCCATTTCCCCTCAATACATCCCCAATGGAAATGTCATTCAGGCGAAAGAGGGTGCAAATCGAATCCGGAAATCCCCTAAGCGAATTAATCCATACAGTTCTATTGCAGCACAGAAACCGGCATCGACAACGCAAAGTTGCACCGGAAGCACTAAGCTTGCATTCCCGCAGTAGGTGTTGACTGGCTATACTGGAAAAACCACGTAATTTTGCTCGCTATCGGCAATCTAACGCAAATGAGCACTGCATGAATGTTCAAGCCTTCACATTCTCGGCTAGGTACGCCACAGGCTTTCCCTTCCGACACAACAGCCTAGCAGACCACACAGGCCACTTCTTCATCTTAGCCACCTGCACAGCCTGATGATAGATATGATGTCGTCTCAAATGCAGGGAATAAGGTTTGGACCGATCAGCAAATAACTGAAGACCCTCTTTCTCTCCAGCCCCTAGCTTCTCCACGGCTCTAACAGTCCGTTCCTGCGAGAACGCAAACGAAGTCCCAATAATTTTGAACCGCCGAGCCATTTGGTGGAGATTAGGGGAATTCCAGCTTTCGTCGGTCCAGGAAGGCCTGGAATTCCAGGGTATCCGTCTCTCCTTCTTGAATGCACGCCACCATTCCTCGGTCGATAACCGGCCCTGCTCCCCACTCACAGCATGGATGCACCCACTCGTCCTCAGCGCCACATGGACCAGTGTTCGATCCACCACTACATCAATCGGGACTTCGTCGATCGTAGATTCTTGGTCTGGTTTTTCGCATCGCGTTGAAAGCTTGATTCGACGACCTGGGTGTAACATGTATGCCGCTGCACATGCTGTCGAGGGGGCTCCCTCCGAGGTCGCAAAACCGGGGTATGGGAATTTATCGGCTGGCCCGAGGACAGACGGTCTGATGATTAGGACTTTGTCCATTCTGTTACGCTCAGCTGCCTTCTGCAGGACTAATCGTTCGGCTAGATGTTTGGCGTATGCATATGGCCATGGGAAATCATGTGCGTCGTATTCGTCGGATGAGCCGGTTTTCTGTACTGCGCTCCATGCTTCAAGTGCGTTCTTGTAGTAATCTTCCTCCTCCTTGCCGAGTGGATATATTCTCTCGTCGACTGCCACGTCTGTTGATTCGTGGGTTTTCCATAGATGGGCGTTGGCGTATGCAGTGGAGAAAAACACGAAGCGCTCGAGGTTGGGGAATTTGAGGGCATATTGTGTGAGACATATGCTTGGTGCCAGCACCGTATATGCTAATTCTCGCAGAGAATTGTGTAGTTGAACTGACGATGCGGCGTGAAACACAATGTGTACTGTCCGTTTCAGCATCTGTATTGTCTCTTCTGGTAAACTCATTGTCGCGGTATTTCCCAATTCGCCGTCAAGGATAGTCAACCGCTCGTTTTCGGTGAGAACCTTTGCGGTAGAGGGAGGGAGTATGTCGGACCATTTCGCTTTTGCTTTACTGGTAATTCAAGTCAGTGGGTGTTATTTTGACTTGTATATATTTGGTCACTTACTCGGAGCCACCTCGACATAGTACATATACTCGTTCCGGAGACGACTGGCTCAAAAGTCGGCATAGAAGCGCAGTCCCGATGAAGCCTGTGCCCCCGGTAACGAATATCGTCTTGCCTTTATAGTAGTCCCATATCATGATGGATCATGCAAATCTCCAATGCCCGCCTTCATGGGTAAAACGGGAATATGCAGGATGAGAGGGCATACAGAGTATATAATGTTGTAAGTTTGTACGAAGGGGGTTTTCGGTGGGTCTATGAGCAGGATACAGAGCAGTTCAGATGAGTCGTCCATTGGACCTTGTGGCTAGAAGCCCGATGGCACTGAACACCGATTTCGGGTGCATGCATATCTGCAGCTAGGAAGAGAGGACTGCAGCTGTACGACCAAACCAGCGGGGACCAGCCACTCATATTGTTATAGAATAGTGAAGCTGTAGCTACATGAAAAGTAAATTATCGTGATGTATCTTCAAGTTGGAATCATAGGCCGGTGGGGGTGAACTTAGGGTACTCCGTACTTGATAGGCTAAAAAAAGCGAAGTGATTAATATGTTGATCTATCTGAAATATCAAAACTAGGAACTTACTAACCTCGCTTAAGACGAGACTTAATAAGACAAGGGGCGATATTTAAGTTTGCCTGCAAATGAATGCACACCGCTTCATGCAGCACCTAGCCAGACATGCATCCCTATATTGAAGGATGCATAAGACCACCTAAGCTCTTCAAGTCTATTCGTCAATTTCTTCAGGATCGAGATCATGGCAAACGGATTTCGATACATCTGCTTCCCGGATACATTTACACGGGCCGAGCCCTAGATAAATATCCTGTTTCAGTTCTCACTGTAAAGCCAATGCATTGCTCTCCTTATCACTAAAAGTCAATATTCTGTTTTCTATGATGCCATCCAATCCAAGACTGGCTCCTTTCAGCCAATTGTCGGTCAGAATCACAATGTGATAATGTGATGACCTGCAAGGGGGAGCGCAACTAGGACAATGAGGGCAGCTGAAGGTAAAAATGATCTCAACCCATAACCCATCAGTTTACAACTCAGTCTAGTAAATGTCTCGATTGATTCCTTTCCGATGCTAGGGTTATTGTGTAGGGAGTCAAACAAGGTATATGTCTTCCAAGGTAAGGCGAGGTGAAGCTTTACCATATCTAGTTACATACACAACTACAGCATGTCAGCGAAGGGCTACGCCCTATAGTACCCCATCTGGACTAGAGTCAACGGGTTCACATTGGGCCAATGGTGCTCCGGCTCAAATGCATCCCGGCAAGTTCCCACGTTATCTACAAAGTCGCCATACTCGGGACAAAAAGGATTCGGTCCATCTCCATAAAGAAATTCGTGTAGCTCGCCGTCCAGCCAGGTGCCTAACCCCGCCCGGCGCATCCCGTCCGCTGTACCAACAATGAGTTTTGGCCTTGATGCGTTGTCTCGCTGATTCCAGCATAATGTATCACATATTTCAGTGAGCAGACTATGCCAGTTGCCGTCAAGGAATTTGAGGAAACTCAATTCGATAGAACATACGGTCTTCGGAAGTGCAGCGAGGAAATCCATCAGGTCCGATTGCTTCACCAGAAAATTTGATAATGTGAAGGAGCGGAGTTTTGGCCATTCCTCCAGAGGGAATATGGTCTGTAGTGGGATAAAATGGGTGGGATTTTCCTTTATGTCATGTATGGTGTCGGTGGTGACTGTTGTTCCGAAACTGATATACCTCATATCCTTTGCTTCGGCTAGAGCCCCCTTAAGATACCCGCTGCGAAATGAGATCCAGGTTTTGTCGTTGTTACCGATAATACCTTCTTGCCCTCCCACAAGGAGTGTAAGGTCTAGACGACAAAAGCCGGGGCTTCGAAGTATTTGAACGAGGTTATTGTATTCCTCACACGGCTGATCAAAGATTGTACAGTTGAGGCCGGTCGGAAGCTGGTTGACATCCAGAACCAATTCCGAGACATTGTGTTTGATTTCTGCGAGTACAGATGTCACCTTTCTGACTGCACGCCATTGGTTCTTCCGGACCTCGGTTGCTTCTTTCCAGGGATGGGCGTACCGCGGCACTTCCCCATCGTTCGATGTCGGCCATCCCCGTGGAATTGGGTAGTTGAACCCACATGGAAAGAATCGAATCATAGGAGTCTCATATAACGGGGCATAGAGCCATCCGTGGGCTGCGGGGGTTATGGTGACTCGTTTCAGTCTCGGGAACCGGCTGACTCCATAGATAAAAGCATCCACATCGCTATTCAATAACAGCACGTCTTCCTGCTGGTGGAACAAATTCTGATACAATTGCCAGCAGACTTTCAGCGGCGGTTGCGCGATACCTTGTTTTCTCCGTGTCATATGATTTGGTCGATCTGAGTCGTAAATCGTTTTCCAAACCCTTTGCATATTGAGGTTCTCAATGTTTTCTTTACACTCCGCAACAAACCAGTTGGGGCATCCTTCGACGGGATCGATATCTGCCTCGTCAACTTCCCAAACAGGGTGGGGATGCGGCTGTGGGCCTTCGATGAAGCGAGCATCATCCCATATGATTTCGGTGACATTGTGCCGGAAAGCTTCGTGGTCTGCAATTTCGCGGAAGACTCCGATGTTGCATGGGTGGGCAGAGAGGAAAACACGATACAGCCGGACACGAGCGGTTTGTGCCAAGATTTTACATGCCAAGCGTAGAGACTTGATGTCGCGGTTGGCCAAGTAAGAGCAAATGCATATGAGAAGCTCGACGGGAAGGCTGGAAATGCGGTCAATGCCAAAGTCTGAGATACGTGGGGGCAGAGATTGAGAAGCCATTCAGAGTTGGTACTGTTCTTGTCAAGGATGGTCGAAGTTGCCCGAAGAGTCATTCTCGTCTGCCGTAGGCTAGTGACCGTTTAGTTGCCCGCTTGGGTCTCTGTGTCCTATTCCTGTCTCGCGGTATACTGGGTATCAGATCGCAAAAGAAGGCTGGGTATGGTTTCTCCTTCAGACCGATCTTTATGTTCGAAACTCCATGCAATGTAAAGCAGCCGACGTATATTCAGCGATATTTCTATTGATGTCTCAGTATCCTCTAGTTTCTTAAATCACTGATCATATTAGACTATTGGACACTACGTTCACTGAACAAGCCATCGCTTTCAGAGGAGATGGTAGAACATGTCTCGCTATTGACCTTGATAAGAGCTCAAATGAGCACCGTTGGTGTCGAATATTGGCAAATTGTTGCCTTGAACTGTCTTTATTCTTACCAGAATTGCTCGTGGGTGTATTTTGTATGAACGATTGGTGAGGTATCGCAATGATGAGAGTCCAACACCATACTTGATAGCAGGATAAGCTGGAATTCGTGCCTTGCAGTCAAATTGAGAACGAAGTCAAGATTTTCGCAAACGTCGACTAATAGCAAGCGATTGGTGCAGAAGGACCAGCTGGCACATTTCCCGTCTCCTTTAAACGAGACTGCTACTGATTTTCGGCAATTGTGAGCGACAGATAGACCTGTGTGGGGCCAGTTGTATCATACAACATTCCAATGGTAGTCTCTGCGGGTGTAGAATTCCCATCGTGCATGTGAAGAAGCTCATTCGCGGAGAACTATGAAGGCGCGCATTCCAGAGGGCAGTATGTGGGGGGAGACATCAAAGTTGTGATAAACATACAAATATCAACATATTTATTGTAGTGATGGCCTCATCTTGTCCTTTTTTACCATTAATAAATTTCTGGTTGATTTTATAAAGCATAGTTTTGCATCTCGTCTTATTTTACCATATTGTTAAAGGTTTTATTCCAATCCTCATTCGCTTCGACATGAAACCAAGTCCACTCGATATGGGCTATGCCCGACCTCTCGAGTTCACTCTCTCAGTCGTAGTGAGAACCAGTCCAAGCCCGCTCGACTTTCAATTCGCCGCCGATACCCTTCTCTCGCAATGGCCTGTACTGAACTTACGAATGAACCCGTTGGTGGGTACTCAATGCGATCAGCAAGTTTGCAAAGACTAAAATCAAACAGAAAACAAAATTCTTGCATCCAAAAGACCCCGGGGACCTGGCCGAGGTATGGGAAGGAAAAACCGTTAATCAAAGACTCAACGAGATTCTCCGCCTTTCCTCCAGGCTGGACTCTCCACAACTGGTTGACTCCGAGGCACTCGATAATGTGTTAGATTTTGGCTATGGATTCTTGCATGCATGGAAGCAGCGAGTCTTCTCCATACGAACGGTATTCTTAACCGATGCCTGCATAATAGGGTTCAAATTCCTACAGCCCCTTTGCAATGCAAATGGTAGATGACATGTCAGATAGCAACAAATCAATAGAGCTAACGATGTAATTATAGGCGCCCATCGAATAATCCAGGCTTATTGCACTCTCCTGGGAGGAGGGAGCATTACCCACGCCCACCATGCCCGGCCAGCATTATCACTCAAATCGGAAGTACTCGAAAAATGCACAGAGATGATTCAGTCTCATCAGATCGCAGATCTGCACAAATGCTCAATGCATCGTACTTGGGCAGCCGGAATCGGGGCTCTCGGAAAGCAGGTCGGGCGGGATATATGCTACCGTTCAACACGACGCATCAGCAAGAGCTTGTTGATCCCCCGAGGGAAAGTCAAGAGCTGGTTAAAAGAAGCTAAAAGTAAAAAGGCCAAAGTAACCGAGCATGATCTCTTACTAGCCTTTATCTACAAGGTCAGTGATCCCGCCTTCGTTCAATTGACCCAAAATTGAAAAAGTTCACTAAGACCATACCCTGCACAGGCTTGTTTACATCCACCAACTCCTCACAGCTTCGGGCTAGTTATCGACATCTCAAAACAGCTCCAGTTTGAGACAAACCTCTCTAACCCCTGGTATATGATGCCGCTGCCGGATCCAATGCCAACAAGCGAATATACGACTCCGTCATTGGCTCGACTGGCAACGTACATCCGGCGTGCGGTTGACGAGGCCAAGCAGCCAGAATGCATCGGAGAGATTGTCGATCAGCACAAAAAGCTGAAGAAAAGTCCCATGGTGCCAAAGTCATATGGCAGCCGAGCGGCTCAACCGCGCATCGCTTCTTGGAAAAAGCTGCCGTTTTATGATCTCGATATTCAAGGCGAAACTCCGCTCTTTGTACAGGGCAGTGTTGACTATTGTGGACTACTCCGCGAGACTAAAAGTCACTTGGATGATTTGTTGGTGACGTGGAAAGCGCGGGGCCGGGATGGGGAGGACGGTGGTTACTGGGTACATGGGAGACTGCCTGAAGCTGTTTGGAGGTGCATGGTGGATAGTTTGAAATGCCGAGATTGATTTCTATTCTGTTCTCTACACGACTGGAACGTGTCTTGTTTATTGTGTTATAAACTATATTTTTAATTGACGAGGGTGATGATCCCATGTTTTTATAGACAGATCTTCAATATTATTGCAAAATAACCCCGAAATAGGCTGCACATTCTAGATGCTGGCTCGCTCAGTAGTGCTTCCAGTTACCTGTTGCAGAAAAGAAGTAAACGCGCTGTGCACAGCACTGTGTCTATCTTGAGCAATGTGGAAGTAATCATGGAAAATAAGGTAGAGCTTTCCCAACTAACTATACAAAGGAATATTTTACTCAAAAGAGATCTAGTTTATGTGAAGATAATGGTGCAGGTGGAGTGATCAGCTAAATAGGCAACGTTATAGGGTCCCCACACGCTTGGACGTAATAGTCAAGTCCACCCGACCTTATCGTGGGATTTCACTTGACTTGCTTGGGATATAACCCCTCTCTTTGAAATCCGTGATGCCTAAGACCAGTTTAATGGCATAGCTTCCAAATGCGTGAAGCTGAATAACTTCAAAATATGTCTCACGCCCCAAAACGAGCCTGCGATCAATGTCACACACTGAAAGAAAAGTGCCGACGGCCGAGTGCAACAACCTCGTGCGAGCGATGTGACCGATTAAATCAAACCTGCAAAACGACACGAAACGTCGCAAAACCCGGACGGATACCACGCGTCGCAAGAAAACTATCCTATAATCTTCCAACCAGCTTGGGCTCAGTTTCCCACAACGCAAAGACACTCGACCTATTTTCATCTCAAAACACACCCTATCCCCGTTTATACCTCCCGTTCGACAAAGGACTATCCAGCAACCCAGCCCTGTTCCCGGAACTAGACCAGTCGGAAAGACACTTCCTCAATCTGATGAAAGACATTGTCGCACCATCTCCACTACACAAATACCTAATCGGGCCGAGCTTCCACGAGGAACACCACCATTTGTTTGTGCAGAACCTGCTTCGACCCGCACCTACGCCTATATTGAAAGACGCCACACTCGCCTGTACTGCCGTGCTTCTCGGAGAGCAATATGGGCAATACACCAAGACAAGTGTTGAAGTCGGACATCGACGAGCGGCGCTGGCTGTTTCAGGGTTGCGGTCGTTGCAGATATACAAGGAGCAGGATTTGGTCACTGCGCTTGTAGTTGGCGTGTCTATGGTGACGTTTGCTATGCATGTTGCCGATGGCCAGTCATTTCTTATATCGCGTTATACGTTGACGCTTGTCAAGCCCGCTTATAGGACTCTCTTGGATATGGATTCTGGTATTATGGATTTCTTGATGTGTTTGGTTAGTACGGAGACTTTTGAATGTCTGCTGAAGTCTGAGTTGCCGACTATCCGAATCGGTGAACACGATCGCCACAATGTTGTTGATCGGTATCTTGGGCTTAGTTCGTCGCTTTTTGCTCATTTCTATGATATCTGTGAGGCTGGTCATTTGATAAAACTTACTGGTGGGAGAATGGATAGTGAGATGGTGGAACGATTGGACACGATACAAGGCTCCCTGGCGCGATGGCAACCATCGCCATCACCGGAAACTCTTGAAAGATTTATTCAGTCTGAGATCGTTGGGATGCTCGCTCAGGCTGAGATCCTCCGTCTTGCGGCTTTACTTATTGTACATCGGATACGTCATCCCTCTAGGCAACGCGATAAGGAAGCTCTGCAGCTATCCAGCGCCATTATCGCGAAGATCGATAAGGTATTACAAGAAACAGGGCGTTCAATACCATGCACGGCATTTCCCTATATGGTTGCATGTTTTGAGGTTGCCGGGACTGAAGCGCGAGCAGCGGTGATTAGCAAGATTCATGAAGTCGTGACATTCTCCCGGCAATGGCAGCTTCAAGTGGCGCGCTCCTTGTCGTCGGTATGGAATGCGAGGGACCGCGGAGATCAGATCTACTGGTTCAATCTAGGTGACTACATACGCATGAACACACATGGTCTAGTCTAAACGCTGTTACGCAATTCCAACATTGGATATGAAGCAGTGGAACCAGCCTAACAAAGCCCTCAAAAAAACATTATTTATGCCCCATCATTGCCGCCCATACGGCCCGAGATTCGTCGTCATGAATCTCGGGTTTCTCAATGAAAAAGAAACCGGTCCCTGAAACATGAAGCGCCCGGGAATGTATCTCATCACCAGCGACATGCATCCCTTTTTCGTCTACCATATCCACCCCAGACAGTAGTTGTGATACTACACCAGTCACAACGTCCATGGGAATGAGCATTTCTCGCGGGAAAACTGACGTAAATGCCTCAACTGCGAAAAGAGGCGTTTCCACCACCCCGGGGCACAGAGCATTGACCCGGACTCCTTCTGCCCAAAGTCGCTCTCCGACAGAGCGAGTGTATCCAATAAGCGCATCTAGAAATTGATTAGCCATGCCTCGTGGCTGAGATGTTCAAATTGTCTATTCTCAACCCACGTTTAGTACTAGAGTACACCGGGGTTAGCATGCAGGGGTATAGTCCCCCAATACTCGACGTGAGTATCAAGTTCCTATGCCCTTTCGTTGACTCTGGAGAGCGACGGAAATAGTGCATCGCGAGGTAACTAGTATATAGAGCGCCGTTGACATTGATATCGACAATTTCAGAACCCGGGTCGGGCGGGATGCCAGTCTCACACCCAGCAAAGAAATTGACGTGGTCCGCTCTTCCAGCATTCGCAAAGACAAAGTCTATCCGACCAGTGGCAGTGAAGATCTGGTCAAAGACAGCGGCTAGTTGCTGGTAACTTCGCACGTCGGCTTGATAGAATGTGACATTTGACAGGGAAGCTGCTGCTTCTTGACCTCGTTCTTGATTGCTGCCAATAATGTTTACCTGCCAACTGTTGGTCTGGCTCAGGTCCTTGGCAACTGCAAGGCCGATCCCACTGGCTGTTTTTCGAACTTTGGTCAATGAATGATCCGGGGATTGGGGGAAAAGTACATACTGCCGCCGGTGATAAGAGCGACCTTGGTCATTTTGTCGGATCTGCAATCGACTGATACTGTATCCCAGAAGAACTTCAGGGACGAAATATTTTTGGGGAGGGGGGGATTTCTTTGATCGATCGTGTGGCTTGACGCTAATCGTTAGATCGAATGCATGTTAATCACAGCTTGTTTTTTGATTGGGGGGGGGGGGAGAAGGGGGGGCCCATGTCTGGTTCGATTGATATCGGATTCAGCAATTGGATCGGAACGATATTAATCGGTTCATCATAGGCCCACAGTGGAGCTAGACGGAGAAAACATTGCGATATCCAATGCCACATGTTCGTGCGCCTGGAAAGGGGAGTCAAGGGTGTGCTCGAGTCAAGGGAAATCTGCAACCTAGGAAATGACGTGCGGCCTTGAGACGACATGTCGTCTCCCTGGATTGTATAGCTGCAGGTCGGAACCTAAATTGCGGCTGTGAATACATGTGGAATCTGAGTAATGTCTCTAGGGGATTTGTGCTGTATTCAAACTAGTTTGAAGTGAAATTGACCCGTTTGGGGTCTGTGTGTTGATGTGTGGATAGAAACACACTAACCGTTTTTGAATTCTCGCCACTCCAACTGGGGTTGATATGGTGGCATCAGGTCGATCAGGGTACACATTCAGTATCTTGCTAACCCAATGTTGTTAAGGACCGAAGCGCCTTAGACTTCGAACCTTGTCGAGGGCATTGGGCCGAACGGCAAGGGCAGAAACTCAGAGGGAAAGATGTCTACGACGTACGCAGGTGGAACTTCCAATGATATATTCTGTAGGGGCCGGGGGGGGGGGGGAGACGTAATCTCCGGTATACCCCTCGAGCCCCCTTGCGAAGATGAGGGATGTTGCGATGGATTGACATTTCCCGGACGATTAAGTTATGTTGCACAAATCTGTGGCTTATACGATGTATTGAAGAATTCCAATTAAGATTGCATTGAATATTGCTTTCAAGATTGCATTTCTGTGCGTGTAAGAAAAGCAATTGGAGATCAAGCAGTTGTCGACTACAGTCTGCATGAGACATATATTCACTCGTAATGACAAAAACGCTACCATGTGGAATCAAAGAGCCAACGGCTAATTCCCACAGAAGCCACCATGTGGGCCGTAATCGGATGTGTCCGCTGTCTAGTGGACATATCATATCGAGTAATCCCGGGATACGAGAAGATCTGCCGCAACGGCGATTTCAAAGTGTATTCCATGACCTGCATATTTTCCAATTATTGGACGATCATGGTGTTTTTGGATTGGGCTTACATGTAGAGACAGCTGTCAATTTAGGCACAGCGGTATATCCTAAGTTCTTGGAAACTCTACGGCTTATCCCTATGCCAAAACCTAACAGTTTGTTGATCCCGACTATAGGGTCAAACTTGATTAATCTTGCAATGAACAGTCATTGCATATTTCTAATTATTGCAACCCGAAAAGCAATATGCTAGCATATTCGAGGATCTCCATTTATCACATCTAGGTGTTGATGTCTTGCAACAGAGTAGTGGATCCCTGTCAGACGTAAATCTGATATATCCACATCCTAAGATGATACGTCGGGAAAGACTTGGTCTCCATATGATTGGCGCAAAATATCTACGGTCAAGGCACAAAATACTTGGTTATTTGATCTGACCTTGATTAACCGTATCTTGCTTTTTCCAAGGCAATATGTAATCATTCTAGTTCGCAGACCGTGGCTTGCCATCTGCACCTAAGCCATGCCCTGTCAACAATGTGATCTGTGAACTCTTCTTATGACCTTTGCGTTATTTTGGATCTCGAACCATATGACAGATCCAGGATACATAGATGCCCCCCCCCCCCCCCATCCCTTTCTCATCTCCTTCAAGTATATTAAAGACACAACGCAGTTTTAGATGATTTTAAATATTTCAAACCAACAACTTACTCTCGTTTAATTTTGCCTTGTTGGTGGTCCACCAGACCTGTCATGTCTTCCACCGAACATTCCTCCGTCCCCACGTGGACAGAAGGGGATTTCGAGCACCCGAACCAGGAATTCCGCCGGTCCATGATTATTGCACTGGTGTTTGCTTACACCTTGTCGACCTTGTCGGTTGCTTTGAGGATCCTGGCGAGGAAGATAACCGGGAGCAGGCTGTTCATGGATGATTACTTGATTATGATGGCTCTGTTCTTCAAATATGCATGCTCTAGTGGAGTCGTTGTTCGTGAGTGGGATCGAAGTACGCCATCCAGTTAACCTGAAACTAACAAACGTAGTCCTGTACAATGGAATGGGGTCCCACATCACAATGATCCCAGCAAAGAATCTCTTGGTTTACTTTAAAGTATGCAACCTCTCAGCCCTATATCAAGTACCCACATTGACTCGAGATAGCTCGGATTTGCCAACGCCTTCATCTACACCGGCTGCATTGCCTTCATCAAATACTCCATTCTCGCTCTGTACAAGCGACTCTTTGCAACCCGCCACATGGCAACTGCAGTGAACGTGATGCTTGGGTTCGTCACCCTCTGGGTTGTGGGTGTTTACGTCGCCGGTGCTCTGCTGTGCATTCCCGCCAGCAAGTTCTGGGACCAGTCAATTCCAGGAGCCTGCCTTGATCCAGCCAAGTTTTACTATGGCATGCAGATCCCCAACATCCTTACCGACGTTATCCTCTTGATCATGCCCATGGGCGTCGTGTGGAACTTGCCGGTCCCAAAGTCCCAGAAGTTACTCCTTTCCGGAGTCTTCCTCGTCGGTGGCCTGTATGTTTGATAGTCACATTTTTCCGTGGAAGAATACTAACACTTCATGTCTAGAACCTTGATCTTCAGTATCTTCCGCCTCAATGCTATGGTTAATCTGGTTAACATGGGCCCTGATATTACCTGTGAGTTTCTACCATGCTAATGCTCCTTTCAAATCGTCTGATCTATATCACTAATTACTTGTCCAGACAACCAAGTCCCCGTTATCGTGTGGACCTGTATGGAAGCAGCAGTTGGAATCACAGCTGCTTGTCTCCCTAACCTCCGCCCCCTGTTCAAGGTGGGTAAGCGCAACTTCTGGTCTCAAATTCGCTCCAACAACAACGTATCCGAGATGACCGACAGGACTCTTGTGAGCTCGAGCCACTCTGGAACCATGACCACCACCATCACTTCCTGCCACCACAAGAAGGATGACTCGTTTGTAATCCAGCAACGTTTTGACGAGTCTGAGTATGAGGTTTACAAAGATGAGAAGATGACGGAGAGAGTCTAGATCTGCAGAATGTTCACGAACGGAAAAGGGTGCGGAGATTGCACAGGTTGGTCGGGAGGGTGGGGGGTGGGGAGTCGGGGGAAACAAAACTTTGGCACACTCATTTATAATCTTCTTTGTGATACCTTCATTGACATTTAACGTCTTTACTATATAGTCTTATTATTTTTTTTAAATACCATCATGAGCTTGTCTCAAAATATTATACCATTTCTTGATGTCGTTAAGGCAGCGTGCCTCGGTTGAAGAATCTAGAGTTTCAACAGGCACAAAGGCGAGTTCCAAACTGCCATAAATCCTAGATAGTCCGGTGGCTAAGCTGATTTGCAGCCATTTTCCTGTAACTCGGCGCTGTAGCAATCCTAGCGTTCTTACCCCAGATGAGAAGTGGGATAGGGATCAAGTAGATCACAAACGCAACGACTGTAACCAAAATATGCAAGTCTCGCATGCCCATCGCCTCAACCCAAGGCGTTAAGACAAAAAGTACAATCACCGAGAAGATGTTTCGCATAAAAATCACTCCGACTAATGCGTCACCAATAATCTAAAAGCCCTGAAGTTAGAAAGAGGGCCCACTCAGAATGAAATCGGTACTCACATCCTGATAGCAATCCATGAGGTAAGAAAGCGTGATACCGCTGATGGCAGCAAGTGAAAATCCATAAAATGCGAATCCCACAGCAAGAATAGCCCAGTGCGCACCCTAGAAAGTGTTAAAAGGGTTCAAATTCCACGCTTTGACCAAGCTACTCACATAGCTAATCCCCAAGCCAAACAACAGGATTCCCGCCGGGCAAACAATGGCGATAGGAAGAGCAAGCCAAAGACGCATCTCCGGTTCATAAATACCACCATTGCGCTTGGATAACCACAAAATCGATTTATCGCTCAAATGTCCACCAAAGGGGAAACCGAGAACAGCGCCAACAAATGGAGCCACATTCATGAGTCCGATTCCAGCAGCATCGAAGTTATAAGGCGGCAGAATCATATAAGACGCCTGTAGCGAAGTCATGATCGCAAACACGGCCAGCGTAAAACCGTATGTGATAGCCGCGTACGCAACAGCCGGGAAGGTAAAGAGCGCCACGATTGGTTGATAGAAATGCGGCCACACCGATTCGTCAGTGGTGGTCACCAAGGCCATCCGCTGGAAATATGTCTTCATCTGAATATCCGGGTTGGTCGGTGCGCGACTCACGACGTTCTCATTGGCGCCCTTTGCATCTACCACGTCCCCGTCCTTGGGCGGCTCGGACGGTAATCCAGTCACCTGTGCATCCCGGGCAACGTCACGGCCATCCAAAATGGGGATGTATTTCGATTCCTCGAAAAGGAATATCACACAGAGGAGTGTGACGCCGAAGAAAATGACACACCACCACCACATCCACCTCCACCCTTGTGCGACGACAATGTATCCCGATGCCACGGGACCAAGGAAAGCTCCTGTCGTTTCGGCAATGACATACCATCCGTTCATCGTGGCATGCTGGTGCACAAAGAACATATCTGCGATGGTAACTTGCACGATAATCTCGCTGATTGCACCGCCGATGCCGGAGATCAGGTTACTGCCCATTAGATCCCCGCTTATGTATGTCTGGGCCTGCCAGATGCATGATGCGAACTGCAGAGAGACGCTGAATATGTAGACTGGACGTCGGCCGTACTTGTGGACTAGGGGCATGAAGAAAATGCAGCCTACGGCGAGACCGCCGTAGTTGATGGCTGATCCGGCGTTTAGTACATCGAGTGAGAAATTGAGCTCTTCTTGCATTGGGCCCCATGCTGTGAAGCCGATGTCAAGTTGTACAAAAGTCCATAGCACGAAGAAGCTGACTAGGGTGAAATTGAGGACTTTGCGAGATGTTGACCAATTGAGGGGATCGTTGGGGTCGGCTGATGGGGTGGGGAATAGAACTATCTGGTCTCTGGATTGGTGGACTGCGTTGGTGAGTTCAAGTACCTGGTAGTATTGGTTGCGATCACGTACTATCTTCTAACCTCACTGTTCCAGGAGGCCACATAGTCTCGTCTCGATTGTCCATAGTTGTGGGAGTAAAGAGTGAACTTGGTGCAAGATAGACATGGCAATCTCCCTTTAAGCAATCCACTGCCCTGCAATTAGGAAGATGCCTTATCAAGATAGTGCGGGGAAACTCCAATTATACCAGATCCTGTTAGTCGGTCGAATCACGATGTCTGAAACTTGCCGGCTTGGCGGACGGCTTTTAAAGCTTCCCCTCCTTCGTCTTTGATTCGCACGGCTCCCAGCAAAACGAGTTCATCCTGGGATGATAAGGGGAACGAAACTAACCGATGGTAATGGGTGAAAATCAGAAAGGATATCGCATCTCTGATAGGGGATTCCGGATCATGGTCAACATAGATTGCCTCCGTTCTATCTTGGCTTATGCAGGCTAGTCTAGTGTATGCAGCCCTACTGTAGGCAGAACTTCATCTCAACAGAAGACATTCAAGCAACATCTTTTCAAACTAAACTATTAGAACAACTTAGTCAAGCGACCAAATATACGCATGAAACATCTCCCGACTATAATCACTCCACGGATAAACCGTAAGATCAAAGTCCGGCTGCAACAATCTCAACTCCCTCTCACTCAGTCGACGTCCACGCTCAACATTACAGCAAGCACACTGAGCCGTACAATGACCCCAACCCTTCCTCCTCGTCGGATCGGGTGGTCTCTCGCAACATTTGCACGGGCGACCACAGCATCCGCCACGCCTCGCACAATCCTCTCGCAACCACTCACTCCTAAGATGCCACTGCGGCTGTTTTCGAATCCACAGATATCCACTCTTGATAGGGCTGACCGGACAACCCGCCACCATGGTGTCGTATATGCGCTCAAGGCGTAAGTACTCATAGTCCAGCGATATCATATCCTCGATCCAATCCGTCAGAATAGTTTTGGCTGCTTCGTCGGATCGGGCGTCGACTTTCTGGATACAGTCCTTGACGAATCTCTCGTGTTGGGTGATTTCGCGTAGGCGCTCTTCTGTTTCGATAATCGATTGCGCCCATCGAGATAGTACGTCCCGGTCAGTCTCCCACCACACATGTCGCTTGCCGCGGATGATTTGCCAGTTGACCCATCGGCCAGAGCTCTCTGCAATATCTTTCACGTAGTCGAGGAAGCCCTCGAGCTCTGGGAACATTTGCTTGACTGGGTTCTTCATCTTGGATTGCTATTCTTTGAAATGCACGGTGATTCGAGGTTATCTAGAAGGGTAGACATGTTACATCACTTTTTATCATCCAATCAGTCGATGTGAATATGGTTTGAGGCGTCCATGGTGGAACATGCCCTTGGAAGTATATTTTCCTCAACGCAAAAGTGTTACAGACTCGATAACAATCACTAAATTTGGCATCGAAAGATTTCGGCGTGGTTATCCAGTGAGAGTCGGAATGTAGATAAGGGAAGAAGTAGATCCCGAGCTAACATTAATCAGATGCGACATCGGCCTTGCTCCCGCATTGCATCGGCCTCGGGTGGGGTGGGTGGAATGTGTTTAAAATCCAGTAGATTGGAGTTTTTAATACTCTCACAGTCGTCACAAGTCCAAACATGTCGGATACTACCAGCATGGCAAAACGCCGAGTGTTAGTGATTGGATCCGGTGGTGTGGGGACGATGGTCAGCGTCGCCCTCGAAAGATCAGGACAGGCATCTGTCACTTCTGTTCTCCGATCCAACTATGAGCAGGTTGTCCAGCATGGGTTCGAAATCGAGTCTATCGACCATGGAAAATTATCGTCCTGGAGACCAAGCGCAAGTATGTAACCCTCAAAGGTCACAAGCAAAAAGCAGCTAGCCGAGCTCACAGCTAACACATAGACAGTCGTCAATGCGGTCCCCTTAGCCGATCCAAACGCCCCATTCGACTATGTGATTGTCACAATGAAGAATATCCCCGAAGTGAACAACATCCCGAAAATCATAGCTCCAGCCATAACACCAGACTATACAACGATCGTCCTATTCCAAAACGGACTGTATATCGAACCCCCACTCATCGCCGCATTCCCCACAAATGTGGTACTCTCAGCGCCGAGTTTCATTGGCGCACACGAACACAACGGCCATGTGGTACACGACGACCACGACCGATTCCACATCGGCGCATTCCACAACCCATCCGTGGACGCGACCTTGGAGCGCACCAAACTCGAAGAGTTCGCGAAAATCTATAACGGGAGCAAAGTCGTCGACGCCGAGGTTGTTGATGATATCGTCTTCTATCGCTGGCGCAAGGTGCTCTGGAATGGCATATTCAATCCCATGTGCGCTATCACTCAGCTTGACAGTGCTGCGATTCGACGATTTGGCGGCGAGAATAGTTTGATTAGACCCGGTATGACGGAGATGGCCGCCATTGCGAAAGCGGATGGATATGATCTCGGCCCGGGAATTGTGGATGAGGTGGTCGATATCACCCCCCTGGAGTTGTCTTTCCGGCCCAGTATGCTGGTGGACGTGGATAAAGGGAATCCCATGGAGGTGGAGGTTATTCTGGGGAATGCTTTACGTGTTGCGAGGGAGAAGGGTGTGAACACACCGATTTTGGATAATACCTACCGGTTCCTGAAGCTCACTCAGGCGCGACTGTTGGCTGCAAGGGGATTGATTGTTGAGCCGAAGGAATTGCCAAAATTTGACCTGATATAGTCATTTGTCTAGACTGCGATCCGGTTTGCAGCTATACAGTTTGCCAAACCAGCCTGTTGGGTTCATTGTTCTACAGCATTGGCAATAAAGAGCCAGTGGTAACACGACATGTATCCTTGTGTTTGACCTTGAGTCGGTAAGCAAGGAGTGCCTGTTTCAAGAAAAAAAAAACCGGTGAAGAATACGAACTAAGAATTTCGATCTCTGTACATGAACTCGTTAATATCAGCAATCCCCCAGAAAATCCTACACACCCGCAAGATTCAAAATGGAGAGAATCGATGTGCACGCCCACTGCGTGCCACCCTCGTATCGCGAGTATTGCCTACAAAGCGAATTTGCAGGCAAAGGCCACCCAGATGGAATGCCCGCAATCCCAGTGAGTCCCTCTGAACCTGATCAGCACATCTGTACTAAACAAAATATCCAGGAATGGAGCGCCGAAGCACACATCAACCTAATGACCCAGCTAAAAATCCAGAAATCAGTGCTAAGCATGTCATCTCCAGCAACCCATCTAACCCCGGGCGACAACGTAGAAGGCAGAGCCGTAACCCGCCGCGCCAACATCGACATGTCCAAAATCTGCGCCGATCACCCAACCCACTTCCTCTTCTTCGCCTCCCTCCCCCTCCCAGACGTCGAAGGCTCCCTTGCAGAAATAGACTATGCACTAGACCAGCTTGGCGCAGTGGGATTTCAGATCCTGACCAATTCCCACGGGATCTACCCGGGCGATCAGCGCCTTGCACGCGTTTTTGACAAATTGAGTGAGCGAAAGACCATTGCCTTCTTTCATCCGACTACGTGTCTTATCCGACACGATGACTCCGTTGAAAAGGTGATACCGCTCCCTGGTGTTCCTGCGCCTATTATGGAATTTATGTTCGATTCGACACGGGCGTTGATGAGTTTGATTACTTCTGGGACTGTGGAGCGATGTCCTGGAATTAACTTTGTGGTTTGTCATTGTGGTGCTGCTTTTCCTCCGATTATGGAGAGGATCGCGGCGTTTTCATCTATGATTCCGGGTTCGGGGGATGGGATCAGCGCGGAGAAGATCAAGCAGCTGTTGCAGACGCGTTTCTATTTTGATCTTGCGGGTGTGCCATTTCCGGATCAGATTCATGGTCTTTTACGACTGGTTGATTCGTCTAGATTGGTGTATGGGACTGATTATCCCTATACCCCTGCAGCGCTGGCTGAGTCTCTGGCTAAGAGAGCGGACGATGGGCTGCGAAGTCTACTTGGGTTGGAAAAAACGAAACAAATCTTGTTGGACAATGCGCAGGATCTTCTTGGGGCAACTCGTGGATAGTCTGGGATTAGAAGCAATCTGTGGTTAATCTATATAGTCATCCGGAAGGACGGGAATGACTATTTTTTTGGATAAAATCAAGCCTCGTCGTGGGAAGAGCCAAAAATTATTGTAAAACCGATGGGATGGCGCATAAACCGCTGTGCGATTCCAATTGTGTTGGTCTACTGACACCTATTCCAATTTATGGATTAAAAAAGACAAAAGACAGTCCCTCTGTCAAGCCAATATTCGAGCGTAAATTGAAGGTAGTTGGGTGGAATGCGGATAGGAAGATGTTCTTGGCTCTTCGATCCTTGTTAACCACAAAAATAATCCTGGAAGGGTCCACTGTCTCATTGGTACTGACAAGTTATAAGTTATAGTCATCTCAACATCATCGAACAAACCAACTCTATTATTTGCAGGCGGCTTCATTTATGTAGAAGGGTTATCTGGACCTCCTAAAATCGGCTAATATGGGAAAGATCAGGAAAGAATACCTATAGCTACACTGCTATTCTGAATGCCAGGACTATTCGTATCATGCTAGCAATGTTATGGATCTATGTTGTGAATTCTACGTTTGCGCATTTAATTGTAAATAATTGCTAGAAGTAGAGAGGTATCAATAGAATGTAGAAAGGAAATAGGCAATCGAGTTCCGACTTAGCCATATTGGATATACCTTTTTGAGGCTCAGACCTATAGCTAACTAATATAATCGTCTAACTAGTTCCCTTTGTAATAATTTTTGTGAGCATTTCATTGGCTACTGCCTTGAGCAAATGTTATCTGCCGAACAACTTGTTTGCTCCATTTGGAAATATGTAAGAAGTTCGAGTACCAGAACAGGTAATAATCTCACGTTACGTTGCTTGAGAAATCGCTTGACGTTATTCGCATTAGCTACCTCAGCCACAATCTGTACAAAACTCTTATCAATCACCAGGTTTCATATGCGTGGTTATGCTACATTATGAATCCTGCCCAGTTGTAGTCTCCTACTTATCCAGTACAGAATTCACTAGTCCAGGGAGGAAAATTCGGCATTTGAAAGATCCACTGTTTCATTTACTAACAAGCTATATTGATATCAATATCAATTATCGGATCTTTATGCTCGATTAGATTGGGACCGCCATACTACTTTTGGGACTGGTACATAATTAGCGGGTGGAAATTAGGATCCTCACTTCGCTTGTCCTCCCAATATTCGATCCAGAGTTTCAGTGGCACCTTCTCTGGGATATCCTCGTATGAGAATTTCTCAAGAATAGCAATGGCTTCCAAGCAATTTTGTTCCTTGGCAACTGCAAGTGCGTCATACTCCGGACGGACCCCCTCAGCCACTAGAAGCTTTAGGATATGGAGTTGCTTGGATCGAACCGCATACCAAATGGTAGAGCGAGGGATCTGGAAGTTGGCTGCGCTTATCAGGTGTGGGGTTACCCCCTCCTGAATCAAGAATTGGACTATGGTCTGGTTTCCATGCATGATAGCACTAAAAAGTGCAATAGGACCATAAATCATCATATCAAACCCAGAATCAATCAACAGCCGGAGAGCCGCAGTGCTGTCTTGACGGCAAGCCTGAACCAAAAACTCATCTGACTGCGGGTGAAGGCCATAGTTAAGAAGAAGCTGTAGTATAGAGGTGTCATTGAGAGAGACAGCATGAGCGAATGGATCTGGGGAAAGAAGTGTCCACTTCCAACCAGTCTGAAGAATACATTCGATGATAGACTCGCGCCCGACACGAACCGCTTGGCTCAAAGCTGTAGTGGTATCTCCGATGATCGATGAAGAACCTAATGGGGCTTTGTTTGCAATCATCAACTCGACGATGACTTGATTCCCAGTATTGATAGCCCAATGTAGCACGGTGCGGAGTTGTTCTGGTGCGCACGCACAGCCCGGGTGGGTTCCTGAGAGCATGGTCTTCAAAAGCTCCACGTGCCCATTTTGAGCAGCTCTGAGAAGTGGGTTGTCCTGTCTTCGGAAAGACTCGACTGACCACCCTCTGTCGGGCTTGAGCTCAAAAGAGGAGATACTCGCTCCAACATCCAGGAACTGCTCCACTATAGTAAAATTTCCACTTCCAGCTGCAGACAGTAGTCCCGAGCTTTTGTGGTGCTGGATGTTGAAATGGCAGAGAAAGGCATACAAAAGATGATATAGCCTCCAGTTGGTTCGTACTAAGGCGTTGATGTCTTTCTGGCTGTAGAGGTATTTGGCGACCAGAAGCAAAATTTCATTTGGCAATTGAGAAAAATTGGCCATGTCTCAAAACTGGGGATAGAAGAGATCTTTAGAGGTCGTTCATAGAGCATACTATGAAGCAGCCTACTTATACAAGTAACGAATTCACTAGTCCAACTAGGAACAGTCGGCTTCCATAAGACGGCTCTTTTTTTCACTTCCTATTGGCTGCTGGCTAGGCACCAGGCCCGGACGGTGGCTACAACATAATCCCCTTCGGCTAAATTAGTCCTTCATAAGCGATACAGGAAATATCTGCCTATTCTTCCCAAAGCCGAAGTTTGCAGTGCCTCCGATTATAATTCGACCGCCCCCAGGTGAGATATCCAGGTAGGAAAAGGAACAGAAATCATCAATATGAGGGTTTTTCTTCCATTGCAAGCGATCCAATATTTTTGGCTTTTTCTTGTTTCCCAATTTCAAGCAAATATCATCCATCCATACCTAGCACAAGCAATCTTGTAAGCAAATGTGTAAGAACCAAAATCAGAATCCACCTCCACCGAGGTCATCTCTTAGACCATATGAACGATCTCATCCCGGATTGATGCAATGATAGCACCAGGTGAACCCTGATTCTGCATCCTGTTTAACTCGATTCTAACCCACTCGGAAGCTTTGGCATACACAAGTTCCCAAATGCCCCTCGAACCCAAGTGCTTCTTCAGCAGCCATCCCATTGCAAGCAAGGTTGCAAGAGCCGTCGACTCCTCGCCATGTGGGAACCCATGTTCAATCGTTTGATTGGAACTCGCGTACAGCGTAGCCAATTGCGTGATTGTTGCGCTCGCGTCGCATTCCAGGATCTCGAAGAGTTCATTCGACCACATCCAGCTGCCCTCAAAGGTTTGCAGTTGGATAAGTTCATGCATTTTCTCCACTGTGGTCTTTTGCACGGTAGGAATTGAGGACATTGCAACTGTAGCGTTGGCGCGCATTTGGGGTGCAGGTGATGCAGCTACGTCAACCATAGCATTCAAGGTTCCAAGGCGCCTGGGTGCAGAAGGACCTGCCGTGGAGCTGAAAAAGCCGTCCTGGGCATATCCTTGCTGCGAGAGCGCATAATTCTGCGAGCTAAATCCTATTGGCTGTTGAATTGGAGCTCTGCATGTTGCCAGAGCTTGTTGCATCGGTGGATACCCATGGAGACCGCCGCTCCAACCACCACGTAAGCCACGTACACCACCAATGCACAGTGCTGGAGCATGAAAGGACATAAGAGCAGGGGCTGGGGTACTCAAGTATCCAACAAACGCTTGACTGCAAGAAACCTGCTCTACAATATGTTCCTTTGTGGTATGTTGTTCGTGCTGTTGTTCCGAAGACGGAGAGCTGCACTCTTCCAAGGCGACAAACGAACAGTACTTTCCAGTGACCTGGAGCTTGATCCCTAGGTTCTGGCATTCACGCTCTGCGATTCGCTTCTTTGTCTCAGCGTGGAACTGTTTGAATCTGTTTCCGTTCTCATCCTTGGCATGGGAGAGCCAGCTATGTTCCTCTTCGAGCTCGATCATGGCCTTGCGCGAGGCAAGTTGGTGGATTGTTTCGCCGGTTCCGATGTCGCAGATTGGAATTCTCAGCTGTAGTGGACCGCTGTTGGAAGTTGCACTGAACTTTAGGGACTTTGGGGTTTTCTCAGGCGAGTGGGGGTCCAGAAGGAGGTAGACATTTGTCTTGATGAACGGGTACAAAGGTGGGATGTTGTAGGGAGCTTGAATCGTTCTTGGAGGGGTGAGCGTTGGAAGTTTTCCAGTGGCTCTCTTTGCGGCATCGAGGTTCATGTTGAGTTCCTGGAAGTTTTCATCGTACAATGAGATCGGATGCGACAAACTCCGTGTTGTTTCTCCCATGGAAACGTCTCCATCTCCCTCCTTGTCCCTGGCCTCGGTTTCAGAGTCGGTGTTGCCCTCAATGTCGCTCAGAAACTCGAACTCATGCTCTGTCTCGGTGTCATATTCAACTTCGAGCTTGTAGTCGTGGACATGGGGGGTCAGGGCGCCTTTGAGCATGCGGACGACCTTGCGATCAAGCTCTTCATACGCCGTAACTGTCTGGCAGAATCCATTTCCAGCTCTTGCAATTCCCTCAATCAAAGAGTGAGATGCTTCTTCGCCGATACCAAGGGTGAAGAACCGAGCAGTATTGTCAGCAGCCTTCCCGCCGACGAAATCGAACAAATGATCCTGGTCGAAGATCAATCCATCTGTAAGAATCAAGACATCCAGATCTTTGAAATTAAGTCGATTTTCCACGGTAGCGACGACTGCTCGTCTCATCTCCGTACCACCCATCCCCGCGTCTATGGTGTCAACAAAGCCCAAAGCGTCCTTCAAGCTACATGCATCGTACACCTGGCTCGTTGCCCACATGAAGGAGTAGTCACTTCCAAAACAGCATATATTAAAGCAGATACCGACAGGCAAAGACTTGAGGAACACCCTGAGTGCAGACTTCAACGTTGGGATCTTGTCCCACATACTGCCACTTCTGTCAATGACAAAGACCACTTCGGGACTAGCCGGCTGGAGGCTGAATTTTGGCACAAGGCTTGCCATCAGGGCTCGCTGGTTAGGGATAGTTGGGTGTGATTCAACCAATGCGCAGGGTGTATCAAGCCCATCTGCTTTGATGAGAAGAACAAAGTCTTGTCCCAGCACCACCGATGTATCGTGCTGCTGGGAAACCACGGAGGCAGATGCTTGTGATGGTTCAAAGGTAGAGGATATTGCTGGTGTAGAAGAAACACGGCCAAGGGAGACTTTGACCCGGTGGCTCGGGGATTCCAGCTCTCGGAGCACCAAACCCTTCTCCATCTGAACATCTACGGTGATAGACATTCCTTGCAGGTTGACTGGCAGACATGAAGATAACTGAGTGGTACTGTAAGAAGTTTCAGTTCCATAGCGAGGAGCGATGGTACTTGGTAGTGTGTAGCGAATGCCGTCTGTCTGTGAGTCTTGCTTCAACTCTCCCACGAAAGTGATGTCGACGTCGATTTTTCCGCGAGCTGGAACGTTGCCGAGTCGAATGACAAAAACGTCATTCATGGGGGTATGCTCCATGACAGCAGCAGACTGGTGCTGAGCCACGGCATTTTGGTAGTCCGTATTGGCTTGTGACTTGGTCTTCACCTTGCTGTGCAGGAGACGAGATCCAACCTTGCATTCGAACCCGACAACACTGACGCCATCATAAAGAGGAAAGTGATACAATATCTCTTCGATGACCCTGTCAGTTGGGTTGACAAATGACTGTGTCAAGGTGGTACGGGCAGCAGAGGACAAGATGGTTACATGTGCCTTGAGTGAGACCTGCGGGAGATACTGAGGTTTCCGGCTATTGGGATCATGCCAAAGACATCCACAATAGCTAGCCATGGTGGGCTATCTCAAGTGAATGCGATGAAGAAATCAAGTGAAACAAAGGCAATAACAATGATAGTTGACAGTAATGTGAGAGAGAATCCTATGTATTGAGTACTGATTTGAGTAGATAGATGAAAGATGAAGAAAGGAAGAGGCAAAGGGCAAGGTTATATAGACCTGTACCAGTTATTTGCTGTCTACAGTACAGTAATTGCTTATTTTGACATGTCAAAAATCGACTTTGATGTTATTTTAATTCTCATTGACTCATTTCATTCATTGTGCATGGGTCTACATACGTGGATAGGTCTATGTTGTAGAGGCTATGACTGGATTACACTTTGTTCATTTGGGCAACTCTAGATCAAGGCTTGACTACAAATTCTGCATTTTATAGGTGAAAAATGTCTTCAAAGCCAATCTACCTCTATTCTGATATCAGTAGTGATTAATCAATCGACCAGGTATGAACAGACAAGAAAGGCTTCCAACCCGAGGGAGTGGCTGCTTTTCAATGAGCATATACATTTGGCTATAAGCTATTTAGAACTACATAGATCTCCCGCAGTCTACAACTATTGACGTACGTTGGAGTATTAAGTTTCATGATTCAAAGGCCTGGCGTCTTTTTCTACAGTTGGTAATTGACGACAAAAGCAGCAGATTGGGCTAACGCCATACTGTGTCCTAAACAACCACAGCTAAAGTCCAAGGATCAGTGTCACAAAATCAGCTCGACAACCTCAACTGATGATATCATTAAAATATATGCCCGGTACTACCGATTAAGTATGTATCCACCATATCCAGCAACTTTTACAGCCGAAATAGCACCTCGCTAGGTGCCCAACACTCAGAATCGAATCTAAATGCACATATCATACATTCCACATAGACCTCATCAATCCAACCGAAGCCTCCATATCAACACAAAGCAAGAAAGTCTGCTCAATTACAGCTTCATTTGCATCAAGTTGCCAACCATCTCACGGGCAGTGATGCGCGAGGTAGCCCACAACGTCGGGAAGTCCAGGGTGCTGGAGAAGGTATCGGCGTAGCCGAAGAAGAGCATGGGAGGGATCCAGCCACGGGCGTACTCAAGCGCAAAGCAAGACGCATCCATCTTGTACTGCTTGACCTGGCCGCGGACCAGGTGGTGCACGCTACCGGCAGGGTAGACCTCGGGCTTGAACTCGCCGGGGACGTAGGCGAGCTGGGTACCCTGGAGGATGTTGAAGTAGTCGTCGGCGGTGTGGCGGCCGCTGTGACCTTCAGTTCCGATGGCGGTACCTGCGGAGATTAAATGTGGTTAGAAGATTTTATTTTTTTTAAAAAAAAAAAGGGATAGGCCTGGTCGTGGGCATAAAACTCACCGAAAATGATCAGGTACTCGGTGATACTGGCATGGATCACGTACATGGCGCCCATGGCGCCGCCGGCGTTGTTGAAAACCCACTCCTCCTGAGTGTTCAGGTAGTTGGGGCCGACCTTCTGCTCCAGTTCGGCGACAATGAAGTCGACGATGGAGCGAGTGTCTTCGCCGTGGGCGCTGATGGCGCGCTGGGAGACATCGTGCAGGTGCTCTGGGTCGAAGATATAGAATTGCTCAAGACGCGCATCGAGGAATCGGTAGACGGCGGAGAACAGGGCCAGGAAGATGGCGAGGAGGCTGAGAGACTTCAGGGAGAAGCATCGACAGCGGCAGCCGGAGCTGGAGGACTTGGAGGATTTGGAAGGCATCTTGAATTGGGGAAGGGTCCTGTGGAAGAGAAGAGGCAATCCAGCCTTTAAATTTAATTTTACCCCTTGGACCCCACAGTTCCACTCGGTGGGGCCAAAAGCAAAACAATTGAATCTTGTCAACCACCCTCGCTTTTGTTCAATTCATTACTACATATAAATTCCTTGCTCAAATATGTCTCATTTCATAGTTCAATACATACACTTCTGTACTGGTGAAATCTACCGAGTTGAATGGTTTTGCACTGTGTAGATGTGTTTGCATGTGTTTGCATTGCTTACTTTCATCAACAGGCCATGCCGGATGCTCGCAATCCGAATTGTCGTCTCTTCTATTGGCCGATTGTCCTCAATCTCTCCTTTCGTCAACGAAGTTGCCTACTCTGTACTCTGGACTCCGTTGTCCAACGTTCAATGGTCCAATGATGGCTCAGGTCGGATTGCCGTGATCCGTAGCCGCAATCCGCGGAGCCCGACGCCAATATATATCAAATTTTAGTCTTCATACTCCCCGAGGTCCAAGGGTATTGATTCAACAGGTACCGTCACTCAACTCGCGGGTCCCGACCATTGGGGCGCATTGGCACATCGTCTCGTCTCACTTCTCCGCGGTTATCTAGGTCATGTTCGCACAGTTTCGTGTGCGGCCGATGTGGCTAAGGTGCCAAGGACGTAGATCCTTTCGGCATCTTTCAGGTGTTTATCAATACCGAACAAACAGTTTGCACGAATTGGAAGTGAGAGGGTGGTAGACACTCAGCTTCCAGAGGCTCCTATGCTAGAGCTGTTCGTTGAATGGGATTTGTGCGAACTGCATCAGACTATAGTGCAAGATAACCCATCATCAGGGCCCATTTGTGAGCTATAGATTCGATGTATCGATGTATCGATGTGACAAGAAAGGTCAACCGCTTATGCGGCTGTGTTACTTAGGCGGTTCTCTTAGAAGTCTTTTGTGATGTCTTCTCGACTATTCTTTTCATATGCAGTGATATCGTAGCTGCCAGGGCAGCTATCTACATCATCTGCATAATATCAGAGATCCTTTCCTAGTACATCCCAGCGAATATGTACGAAGTACCCATGTATCCAGGTGCACCTTCCCAGTCCAAGGAGCCTTCCGATTCGGGAACATTGTCGCCTACCTAAGTTCCCTCGTCGCCTTAAGCCAGCAAAAATATAGATACCTGCCCCCTCCTGCTTTCTTTCCTCCTTTCTCTCCTCAACAGTTCAGTCTCATGTCCAATGATCTATTGAGGACACTGATTGGATCTTTGCTGCGGCCTTAGGCTGAAACTAGAGTGGGACCACCCGTCCTGTCTAATGGCACGAAGCATGTCGGTGCCACAAACCCATGGGCAGTGCCTACTACGACCTCTGTGGATACAGACTGTACTTTCTTGGGCTCTCCGCCGTCAGGAGCTGAACACCGTGCTCTTTAAGCCAATTTTTTGTTCTTACCACAGAGATAGCTCTCTGTTGTCCAAGGCTTTCCGACAGTTCTTTTCTTCAATGTTGCTCATTGCTGACATGGTTGTCTAAGGCTTGACTATATGTTCATTTAACTACTGTTTGGTTGATTCTTCTCTCTTGCATGTCTGTCATTCCTGATTCTCTTTCTCATGCTTCATATTTCACTGGTTAAATTTCAGAATTATTTGTTGCTTCAATATCGCTTGTTCCTGTCCCACTTCTTATTCCCCCCTTTCGTCCTTGGATCATTCTGTCCTTCGAAGACTTCTGCTGTCATGGTAATTGCTATGCGTAGGCGTCTTTGTTTGGTGGGTGTATGAGATCTTTAACTCCTGCTTTAACATAACCGTTCCAGCGACTAAATATGGGATGATGCTCGTCGGGGCTCTGACTTTTGCCGGCAACAACCTGCCATGGTTCACATATATCGTTATGGATTTAGAGCTAGCCAACTACAGGCTAAATATAGCAGTCGAGTGAGTAGCCCAGGAGGTGATGACGATTGCGATGCATTCATATTGATATCAAAGCCATCTACCGTCACATGATGGTTCTGCACTGTCATGTTAATTTCAAGGTCAAAATGTCGATCATCACCCATTGAAGAACGGTCGGTATTCCGCAATCTCCGGCTCGAGGCTAATTTCTGGAGTTAGGATCTGTTTTCTGGAGAGTATAGGGTTACGTTTGCGGGGTACATATGCCTGAAGAACTGGAGGTGACGATGTGGCTGTTTCGCAATTCTCCCTCAAGTCTCTAAAACGAATTTTGACATTGCGCAAATTCATACAACCCTATCCTAGACACAGAAAAGCAAGACATTTTCCCCTCGGAGAAACCTCGCAAATACTCCAAGCTGTCAGTTTATTCAGGGGAATCTTGAACAAAGCGGATACCTTCACCAATCTCCGATTTGACCGCGTTCTAGAAGCAGCACTCCTTCGCCCCGCTCTACAACGCCATCGTCTCACATTTGCTGCCAACGCCCGGAGATCTTCCCGAATCCGCAGGAAAACGGATAAAGCCCTGCATAACAAGCTTTTCAGTCGTGGAAAAAAAATTCAATGATCCCAATGAGGCGCACTTGGTGGCTGCGGCAAGCCCCAATCCCAGCTGCCCGGTAGACTCAGTGGCACCTTACAAGCATCGTTTACCCGGTTGTGGAGTTACCAGTCGTGAGCTGACGGATAAACAGTAGCACGTCCTAATCTGAAATGTGAGACAGGACTACTCCGTGCTCTATACGGAACATGAACCCACTCTGTCAAAGTCATTTCCTAAACCGACGATTTCCGAGAGAACATGGCATGTATAAAACAAACCGACAACTCCCATTTCCATACCAGCACTCTCATTCCTGAACACCGGTTTCAATAGCCACCATGAAGTCCTTCATCGCACCCGCACTCCTCTCCCTGGCGCTGTCCACCATGGGCAACGCCGCCTCCGTCCCAACCAAGGGAGGCCTCGTGCGCCGCGCAGACTTCTGCGACCAGTGGGGAACTGCCACGACCGACGACTACATCCTCTACAACAACCTTTGGGGCCAGGATGACGACCCATCCGGCACACAGTGCACCGGACTGGACTCGGTCGACGGCAACAAGATCGCGTGGCACACCTCGTGGTCGTGGGCCGGTACCGCGTGGCAGGTCAAGAGCTACGCCAATGCCAAGCTGCAGTTCACTCCCAAGACTCTGAGTGCTGTTAGCAGCATCAAGTCCGCCTGGGAATGGAGGTAAGCTTTGAGTGGTGCACATGGTGCACTTGATTATTTTAGAATGAACTCCGCTAACCATGGATCAGCTACTCCTCCACGGATGTCGTCGCCGATGTTGCATACGACATGTTCCTCAGCTCTACTCCTGACGGCAGCGAGGAGTACGAGATCATGGTCTGGCTTGCGGCGATGGGTGGTGCGGGCGCCATCTCGTCCACCGGCAAGCCCATCGCCACCGTCACTGTCAGTGGTATTGAGTGGGATGTGTACGTCGGCCCTAACGGTGCCATGACCGTGTACAGCTTCGTCGCCAAGGCTGCCGTTACGAGCTACTCTGGTGACTTGCTGGACTTCTTCAAATACCTTGAGAAGGACCAGGCTCTGAAGGACAGCCTGTACTTGATTGCTGTTCAGGCTGGTACTGAGCCTTTCACTGGCAAGGCTGATATGACTGTTTCTTCTTACTCTGCTGCTGTTGTTTAAATAACCAGTTAGATGAGTTCGGCGGAATTGTATGATTGAGATTTTGATGGGGAGATGGCATATTCGTTAAGAAATGGAATCTAGAATTCAAACCTCTCCAAAGCACGGAACTAGCGATAATCCGTACTTAATTCCATTAATAGTGCCATAAGTGCCATGACATAGACTTGCATTGTCTCCCTGCTATGTACGTACTCCTACTCCGTACGGTCGCATTCTGGGTGTTTCAGCAAGACCACGCGTCAGCCATACAAACGAACATCTCTAACCGCCGACCAACACTGAAACAGCTCTACAATCCTGAAACCGCCCTAGCTCCAAGAATCTCAACGGTGCATCAACAACGATGCAGCCTGGTGCACAGTTGGAACCATCGTAATCGAAGAATGTACGCCAAAGAGGATACGCGAAAGCAACCCCTCCCAACGGCGCGTCCAACACTCCAACTGCGAGACGCCGAATAGTGAAACGAGGCGCAGTCTCACGCTTCCAACATTCCATACCCAGTGATTCGGCTCAGGCGGAAGAGCGGGTGACCGACCCGCACAATGCAAATCCCAGAGGGTCCGGGGAAGTAAAAAAAAGGCCGTAGCGCGCGTACAGAAAATCTAAGAATAACCAATTTACCTGGAAGATCATAAAATTAGAAACGCCCAACGTCGCAGCGCTTCCACGATGTTGGGTCTGTAAGCGCTGGGCGGGAAAGCGGGAAGCAGAGGGGGACCGGCGCTTATATAGAGGCGTATGCAGTTTGGTCTTTTTTTAGGATGTTATGCACGGAACATTGCATGCATCTTCGATTATGGCATCTGGGACAAAAAAAAGGTGGTTGGGGTTGGAAATCGATAGATCCAACGGGAACACGGGGGGCCAAGGGGAATAATGTAATATGACCTCCCTTATGTGAGGTGGGATATTCCAAGGTTCGGATAATTTACATATTATTTCCCCTACAGGCTCTACAGGAGGTCATCGGGTATGCTCGAACACGCCAAAGTCGCATGACAGGGGGGGTTGGGATCCAATGGGAAAGAAAGAATAAAAACGATAAAAGCTGTAAAAGGGACCAGTTGACAGGGATTGGGCATGAGATCGGAAACTGACAGGTTTCGAGTGATTGGGCACTAACGCGAGTCCGCGGCGCCAACCTGAAATCGCCACCTTTTTTTTTTTTTCAGCTGAGGTCTGTTTTTGGTGATGATTGACTTGGATTGTTGGGTTGGATTGTTGGCTGTTGGCTGTTGGTGGCTGTTTTATGGGAATGATTTGGAAAGGCAGTAAAGTGGTACGCGTAGGAATGGAATGAGTAGTGAGGCGTGAGTTTCATAGTTCAAGGAATAGACGATCCTAGATTGAAGATAATTCCCCTTTATAATGTACTATCTGTAAATGTCAAGTTAAACAGGTTAAACAAGTAGAGTTGAAAAGGAAATCCAAACCCCTCTAAACCCTCTATTGGATGAATCTAGGGATAATAACGCACAGGTACAATAGTCTATCAAGTGCACATCACAACTCGACAAATCAGCTCACTTTCCTTCGTCTCAGACCTCCGCGCGCGAAGGTTGGAGTATCTTAGATCCAACTATGCAGGTTCGGTCTGTTCTACCCCCTGGACTTGGCCTATCTTTCTCACTTCTTACTGGACCCGTCCTTGCAGGGAAAAAAAAAGGCCCTCCCCCTCTGGCGCATACCAGATACTATAACTAGAGAGGTATTCCGCCCAGATTCTTCACGAGATTCATCCACATGCTCAACGTCGTCATCCTTTCTTTTATAATACCCATTTTCTTTTGATCATTCGCCTTTCTTATAATAATTTTACCCCGAAACATTATTTCCAATCTATTGCTTACTTGCAGTCAACTGTGGATTGTGTCTCGAATAAATATCCGTTGCGCCAGGTCTCAGTTTCTTGGAAAACCTCAGTTAGGGCTATCGATAGGCGTTGACACGACAACCCGAACTATCCCATCCTTACTTGCAACATTCTTTTTTTTTTTAAAGAAAGTACTTCTAAAAGTTATCCTGCTGGTCAGGAATTCACTTTTCTCTGTGCGACATTGTTTGATCTTTGGTCTTTCGTGCTTCACTTTGTCGACTCTATACCCAACAAAGACCATTGTCCTGCTTTTTGTCTATCATTCGATTGGATTGTTCGAGACAATTCATTTGTGCCTTGAAAATTCTTTGATCGCTGCCTATCTGTCGGCATACTTAATTCTCATCCTCGACCTCTTCTCCTACATCCATCACATCCCTCTATCACAATATGGATTCATTGTCGCTCAACCGAGCAGCTCTCGATGAGTTCGTCACCACCAGAGTGACTCGGGAAATGGTAGCACACTTGGCTCAGCAGGCAGCACAGGTCATTCGCTGTGAGGCCCATGTGACCAACACCGTCAACCAAAATGGCCAACCTACACCACCATCCACCCCTCCAATGGAACCCTCTAACTTGCCTGCCCTCCCTTCAATTGAGGCCTTCATCGCGTCACTCGTCGCCCGGTCACAGGTGCAGGTGCCTACTCTCATGAGCTGTCTCGTCTATCTCGGCCGTCTTCGTTCCCGTCTGCCACCAGTCGCAAAGGGCATGCGCTGTACTGTCCACCGTATCTTCCTTGCCTCGCTCATCCTCGCCGCCAAGAACTTGAATGACTCCAGCCCCAAAAACAAACATTGGGCCCGTTACACCGCAGTGAAGGGATTCGAAGGATTCGGCTTCTCTCTCCCCGAGGTCAACCTCATGGAACGTCAACTCCTCTTCCTTCTCGACTGGGACCTGCGCATCACCGAACAGGACCTCTTTACGTATCTCGAGCCCTTCCTCGTTCCCCACCGCCAGCGTCTCATTGCCCAAGAGCAAGAACGTCTCGCAGAAGAGGAGCACCGTCACAAGCAGCAACAACACCGCGAATGGTATGGAATCCCATTTTATTTCTTGTTGTCATGAAAACTAACCCCCCACCCCAGGCGTCGTCTCCACGCATCAGCGGATCTGCTGGCCAGCCGCCTCCGTCGCCAAAAGCTTGAAGCCCGCGGCGAGACTCGTCGCGCAAACGACAACTCTCTCCGTCGTCTCCCAAGTCACGTCTCCTGTCCCGCAATGCACAACACCCACTACGCAACACAGAATGTCGCCGATCATGATCGCTACAACCCCTACCAGCGTCAGCGCGCATCTCCTAATAGAGCTAACCGCTCAATCTCCCCACCATCCGTCCGGGACGTGCCAGCGCTCTCGCACGCCGAGACCTTCAACTCTCTCTGCTCGCGCTCCTCCAGTGTCGCCCCTAGCTCAAGAGGCACCCCAGCCTCCATCAGCACCGTCTCTTCTCAAGGCGCCGATGATATCATGCTCACGGACTCCACCCGCAGCCCGGCATCCCTCTCTATGAACTACAGCTATGTTAACGTTACCCACCTCGAATCCAAGAAGTCCTTCGAGCCTATCCGCCAGCCATCCAAGAAGCTGAAGACCAGCAACCACGCACATAGCGGCGGCTTCGTGGCTCGGTTTCTGGCTTCCGCGACGGGCTCGTACATGGGCGGTCGTCGATCACACTAAATCGAGCCGGTTCTCGATTTCCTTCTTTCATTAGCAATCTGCTCGTTTACTTAATCACCAGTGCTATTCTCACGCATCTACTCACCTTTCCTATTTCCTATCTATTTCCTATCTCACCACATTCCCATACGACCTTTTATTTCCTTTTCCCATTTCCATATTCCTGCTTTTGCAAAAAGCCGTTCACCCCGTTGATATGCACCTGTGCCAATACCCCCCTTGCTCGCACTGATTTGATGTCCAAATACGTCTAACACTATGAGCCTGATTCCACGAGAGTTGTGATCCTCTCTTTTCTTTTTGTCTTTTCTTATTCCACTCGCTACTGCATTGCCTTGCGCATTCGGCGTTTGTATGTCTGGTATCTTTTATCCTTGTCTACATTTCACTCGTTTTTTTTTTACTGGATGTTATCCAAGAATCGTTACGCTTAGACTTTTCTTTTGCTCGCGCTCGCGATCGATGTGCGTTGTACTTTTGATGTACTTACCTCCTACTTGGACAATAAAACTTATCCCTTTTGGATCTCGTACGATGTAATGTAAACGACTCGATATGGTAGTAAGAATACACTAGTCTTCGAAATCAGTACCTCCATACTTCTTGATACGGACTACTTCCGACACGCGCTAGGCTGGTTTAGTTCACCCATTATTCCAGCAGAACTGTTCAATTGTGCCAATGAGTCATCGTCATACTGTAATATTACATGGATACATGGAACCAGTTAGAATTGTTTTGAAGATCATCTAAAAGCTTATAAATCGGTGGACCCAGCCCTCTCTTAGGAATGTGGGTAAGCATTTAGGCAAAATCCTGTATTGTAGAGGGGACAGTGTAGCAATATGGACCACCTGTCAATCGATATATCAGTTTGCGCAGATTTTAACCCTGATGTGGCTGGTAAATATATTGTATCAAGCTATGTATCCACCAGACAACTCGTTTCTACGTATCTTGCACTTTGTAGTTCTATAGTAAACTTCCACCACATCACTCAAACCAAGGCTCAATAGCCTTGATTAGGTCCAGATGCACCTGAGCATCCCCAGACCTTTCCATTGCTTCCTGGAAGACATCCGACCCCAACTTCTGGTTAAAGAGAAGGATACTAACCCACACAATGTCAGCATAACTAACAGTCTTTCCCATGAAGAAAGGCCCTTCATTATCCTTCAGCAAGGCAGTCACTTCACGAAGCACAGGCTCCACCTCGTTCCAAGCTTGAACACCACCCTTCTCCCTCTCCAATTGATCAAGTGACATCCCAACCATTGCTTCACGAGTTTTATGCCAGTAATCCACGCTTTCCGGATTCAGGATCCGCTTCGGAACCAGAGGAATAAATATCGGCACAAAGGCTTTCATATACTGAGGCCATATACGCTCGATTTTCTCGAGATAGACCGAGTCCAAGTGAAGCGAAGGAAGCGGGACTTGTTGCTCAATGTAGTTCGCAATCTTGCGCGAATCCATCATGTATATCCCATCAGGGCAGGTAATGGCAGGGATGGAGTATGCGGTGTCTCCAGGGTTGGGTGCGACACTGGGGATGTTAGATGATTTTTTATACTCAAGAATTGGAGTCATACTGGGGTTCCAATGTAGACTTGATGTCCGGGTACTCAACCTGTAATGATAAGCAATTGTCTTTCGTTTTGTTACATCTTACTCACCCATTGCGTTCGATAATCAATGCCTTTGAAATTGAAAAGGAGCCGAGCTAAGGAGGTCAGTATGTGGATTCCTGAAGTCTATAAAGGCAACGGCTATGTGGCTCTACTGACTTTTCCATGGGTTGGGGGTCCATGTCACAGATGGTGCCTTGCCGGAGGGGATGTCGTAGAGGATATATTGGTTCGCCATATTGGATATTGGATGGTTCAGGGCGACCTCGGAGTCAACCTTGGAACTCTTATAAAGTTACGGGGTGGCCCGTGGCCCACTGATTGGATTACGGTATTATGAAATATACCAATCTAGTAAGCGGTCTGCACAGCGGAGCTTTCAAAATAGCACGGTTGTATATATTTTCCGACTAGGCCGACGGATGATGTCATGTGTATAGTATCTATACTCCTTGCATATCCTATACACCCCTTCGCCCTTGCTCCTGCCAATAATCTTATTTTCAGCCTCATTCCTAGCGTTAGCTTCCCTAACAAAGCAAGTGCTAAGCGTTTCCTAAGGAAAGTATGCCGTGTTTCTCCAGAACATGTGCTTTTAACACTGTGTTATCTATCTAGCCCTCTCGTTAAGATTCGAATCCAGCCAAGCAATCGGGAATATAATATTTCCAAGGGTCTTCTCTGCGCAGAGTCGCCAGTCTTTTCAGCTATATTCAAGCCCCAGCACGGATTTCAAGAGTCGGTAGAGCAAACAGCGACATTACAAGAACTGGAAGACGTCGTGTCGAAGCGGAGTGTCGAAGCACTCATTCATTGGCTATACCTTCGTACTATCAAGTTCGATGTCGGGATCGGCCCCGATCCCGAATCCCACAGAGCACATATCAGCCGCTGTGGAGCTCGCAAGACTTGCGGAGATGTATGGGATCACCGGAATAGAACCCCAGATAGCCCAATACACGAAAGAAGTCGTTACATGCGGCAATGACAACGATGAATATGATATCATTGCTGATATGAATGAAGACGTTATCAATTCGGGAACTCATTTACGTTATGGCCATCCGGTGCGCTAGATCTTGGCTAAAGCCTGCGTGGTAGACTATCTTCGAGATGAAGACTACTATCGAAGACCCTATTAGCGGGAAAAGAAGGCGTGTGAAGAAGGACTGAGTTACACCGTAGATCGTTGAGTGAACCCGGGGAATTTATGAGTTTTCGGAATTGAAGGAATTCATTGGCAGTTGGTCTAAGGTATTGGCATCTGTTTTACAACAACGGTCTCGTTGAGAGGCTCGGATATTGTTAGAAGTATTATCAATGCTAGGAACCATACCGACCTCGAGGAGGAAAGCCTAGGTATGTAGAAAATAGAAGATTGAAGTCAAAACGTCACCCAGTTCAATAAGCAATAGCCAGACCGGCCATTTTATTGAGCTAAGCCGCCCATGATAAATGAGCAAGAAAATGTTGAAATCAAGTCAAACAAGAAAAGTCAAAATCCATGCAATGCTTGCTGTTTCGTTACTCATGATCATCTCAATGCAAACCGCCAGACATCTCTACAGAGCCGGACTTTCCCAGTACTCGCGCTTGATTCTCATGATAGCAGAGTGCTTATGCGGGAAGCTGACCTCGCCTTCTTTATAGAAGCCTGCATCTTGGAGGTAATTAATGAGTCTGAGATAAGTTAGCACTTTCATCCTCCTTTCCTCACTGGTAATAACGCCGATAACTCCAACTCACTTGAGATTATCAACCCGCGGCTCCAACACCACAGATGAAGTCCGCATATCCGCCAAGAAACAGTGATGCACCAACGCATTCAACCAGACCGCAACCCGATGCGCACCGCGGAATTCCTGCTCCCCAATAAGTAGATGAATACCCCGATCATAATTACCCGCATGATCCAGAAGTCGTCCGAGCGGATCTTCTTTAACCCAGTAAATCTCAAAATACCCAAACGGCTTCCCGTCCCAACATCCGATAACAGGGAAACTGTGTCGACTAGTCAGACTAGCGAGCAGGAACTTCTCCTGCACAGCCTTTGGTCCACCTTCAGCCCACATCACCTCCACCCGCGGTATATTCATCCACCGATGAAGTGTGTCCAGATCAGAGGAGATATTACAAGTGAGATGCTGCGAGATGCTCGTCACAGCCGTGCTACTAGACATCCCGCCCTGATCACTGGCAGTACTCTCCTGCGACGTCATCGGCACAAACGCCACGCGGAATGAGAGATACTGGCTCAGACTGGGGATGTAGCGCACGTAGAACACCTCACCCTGGTGCGGCGGTTTCGGACGCACGGGGTGTCGCACCCCGTTCGTGAAGGTGAACTGGGTTGGCGGGGGCGGGTAGTATGTTGGTAGATGGCTCCCAGACGTGAACGGTCCTACCGAGGTGAACTGGGCCATATTCGAAGTGTGGAAGGTTACCTCCATGGGTAATAGTGTCGGCGGCGCTGCGCTGGGGTTGCCATCCGGCGTGGGTGACGCATTACCCGACCGGACGGGAGGTGTCATTGGGCCTCCGCTTGGCGTCAATGTGAAGAGGAAGAGACGCGGGTCGAGCTGCCAGAAACTACGTCTGCTTACGAACATGGTTGACCAGCTGCTTGAGTCGCGGGTTTCGATGGGCTGGAGGCCGACGGAGGAGTCCTCGGTTGCAATTAGGCCCATTCGTTCGAGCTTTTGGAGGAGGTTCCGGCCTTTGAAGATTCCTTCGCGCTTGATCTTTATCCGCCATTCGCCTTTTGGTCGTCCGTCGCGCGGGGTCTTGCTTGAGGCCGCGGTCTCCAAGCGCAGGTCTGGTTCTGGTTCGTGGAAGTACCACCATAGAGTTGCCCAGAGCATCATGGCGATCTGGCGGGTGGGTGAAGTCACGGATTTGAATTCGCTTGTTGGCGGGTTGACTATATACGAGATGTAGAGGGAGTCGTGGGTCAAGGTGGGGGTAGTGAAACGGCCAAAACTATCGTCCACGTCGCGGGGGTTCTCTGATTCTGGATCATCTTTCTCTTTCTTGCGAGTCCTCTCAGTGTTGATTATGATTGTCCAACCTGGGGGGAAGGTGGACTTGTGACGTATGTTGAAGTCGGTGGATTTGAAGGAGACCCCACCAAAAACGGGCGATACGTCAAAGGTGAGCCCGTTGGGCAAGTGGCAGGTGGTGTTTCGCATAGCGAGGATATTTTGGAGGTATGCTGGGGGAGTCTCAAGACCTCTTATAGACTTTTTTATCCCTGCTTTGGCCCCTCACTGCGCGGGGTGAAGGAATCGTCCACAACGATAGCAGCCAAAGTTAGTGTCCCAATACGAATAGGTGGATTGGTAATGTGAGGCTCGAGATTGAGAGAAAAGAGAAAAAAGAGAAGCGAAGTTTGTCCGAGAGGTGACATGACCGATGACGCAGTCCATCAGCCCACTCAGAAGCTTTTTGTAATTCGAGCTTTTAACTTATCTTAGGTGTACTATAGGAAACGTTTATTGTTCTTATTTATAGCTTTATAATGTTATTGGATATTCTGCTCAAGGTCATAGCAATATTATTTCATGTTACTTCATGTTATTTCATGTTATTTCATGTTATTTCAATTTTTTTTTTCTTTCTCTTAATTTAAAGATATTGTGGCTCGGGAGATCTGTTGATCTTCCAAAATTTCCTTGAAACGAGCTTGGAAGTCCCAAAAGATCAACCAATAGGAAACGATGTAAAATAAGCCAAGAAGTGTCAAGGCCAAATCAGAAATCTTCCACTGTCGTCCCCAACCTCCGCTCCCGTGCCAAGCGCACCAAATCTCCGCCAGTCACGAGATCCATCAGTCCAAGTCCAACGGATTTGTAGATGACATTCCCCCGTTGGGACCATTCCCGCAGGCTCTTTTCATCATCCACAGTTGCCGCGTCACGAGTGGCATCACGTACCATCAGTAGCTCGCCTAACTCGACAACCTGTTTGGGCTTAATACCGGCTTGAATAATCTCGCCCGCCTCTTTCATGGCTGCGTCTAGACTATCCACTACAATCACACCACTACGGTGGATATGCTTATGCCAGTGACGATGCGCAGGCTGCACATTGACCTCATCTCGGAGAATATCCGGGTGGATCTCCGCCATATGTGCCTTGTATGATCCGATCGCACAAATCAACCGACCTTTTTGACGGCCTTCGCCGGACGTGAGATATTCTGCAGGGAAAAGTGGCTCTGGGGAGGGAGTACAACAGAAGATCGCGTCGGCCTTGCGCACAGTGCTTTTCAAAATGCGACCATACTCGCCGAAATCGGTGCTGATGGCGGAAAACTTGACGTCCCCGCGCCATTCCGCATTTTCGGGCTGATAGATTTCCTGCAGAAGTTTGGCAGCGCGATCGAAAGAACGGTTCGCAATGTATACCCGGCGGATATCCTCACCGCGGAGAACCAACGCCAAGCGGATGTGCCAGTAGGCCTGGGTGCCCGCTCCGAATACGAGGATAGTGCGTACCTTCTTGCGCCTGTTGAACATCATCAGCGAAGCCAGGGCGGTGCGGAATGCCGTCAGCTCATGGGCGTTGATCAAGGCGAATGGTAGACTTTCGTCATCGAGCAGGGTCACACTGCCGCGGGGCGATGTGTCACGAGTTCCCGCGCCCGGCCAAGCGCCAAGAGTTTTAGAAACGTTGGAGGTAACGTTTTGCTGATTGACACAACCAGTGAGGAGTGTGGAACTATCCGTGCTGGATCCTGCCGTACTGCTCTCATTGGTGGTGGTAACAGGGCTGATCGAGTTACTGTCCTCCTTGTCCTCCTTGTCTTCTTGAGAACCCACGGACAAATCACTCAGCTCGGAGGATAAGGAAGCCACCGAGTTTCGGAAAGAGCCTCCCCTGCGCGAGGCAATCTGTTCCTTCTCTTGGGTATCCAGTGTGTCTCGTTCTACTGCACAGCCGGCATCGCCCCCGTCCTGCAGGGAAATCATCTTGATGCCAATTGTTTGGCCCGTGCTGGCGGGCATGAAGAGGGTGGTGCAGCCATTCTGACGAGTAATGGCAGTTCGTTGGGGTTGGTAAGCTGCAGAGCAACCCTTCTCTTGAGATCCACTGGAGTATTCTCGTAGAGCTTCGGCGAGATTGCGCTGTAGATTCTGAATCTCGTCGCGAGAGAGCGCATGTAGTAGGTCGCGGAGCTGGGATCGGGAGAGGACGGTGAGCGGCATGGAGGCGGTACTGGAGAGATAAAAAGGAGGGAGGTGTAAAGTAGAGGGAAGGGGAGAGAAAGTCTGAGATATGCGAAGAAGGTCTTAGCCAAGACAGTCCACCACGCCTCTGCCAAGATAGTGAAATAACTTACAGCCTATTATTATACACACTAGTTATCTGCCAAGTCCTAATGGAGTAAAAAATGGGGGACTCGGGCGAAATCTCTCGGCGTCGGACAAGGACAAGTCGTCTGCTCTGAGGATGACGACAACTGTTTGTGAGGTGGGGGAAGAGCGGGGGGGGATCAGCAATGGTAAAACAGCAATTCAATCCAAGTCAGAGGATTAGATCCTGTCAGATATAGAAAGATAGGTTTATGCATTCAGAGAAATGAGTAAGTGTAGAAGATCAAAGATAGGAATCCCTGCTGCATTCGTGATGCGAAGCCAAGCCCAATGCGGAAATTTGTATGCGCCACTTGTAAGGCGGATTAGTGCCTGGGTCCTGAGGCATCAATCAGATATGCTACTTTCACTTAGTCACACTTTCAATCTCCCGTTTGTTCGTATCCGGAAGCTTGACCCTCTTTGGATGAGACATATCCAAAAGATTTCCATTGCTCAAAACTGGCTAGCTTTGTTTGCATTTCTTTATTTTTCCTGTATCACTAAATTTTGGGACTGGAAACATGACATACGGTCAAAGGCGAAATTACTGACATCAGGACTATCAAAGAGCGTGAGCAATTGGCGGATCATCTCAAATACAGCTTCAAAAATAAACAGGTCTTGACGCATCATACTCGTCTAGTATAAGATTACATATAAAAGAGCCAAATCTCGGCATCCGCTGCCGAATGCCAATGTCGGGGGAGGCACCCGAGATCCATATGAGTCAAATTGATAGCTAACCCCTCAACTTGGAACACAATTGCCCCTTCAAATCTCTCAATACTAGAATATCATCATGACCTCAGGACAGACCCTTGGATTCATCGGATGCGGTAAGTAACACATCCATCCATAATGAACCACCACTAACAATAGCCTCCAGGTAACATGGGAGGCGCCGTCCTAAACGGCCTCCTAAACAGTGCCTTCTCAAGCAAAAATACCTCAGTCTCGCCAAAGCCAATCACCCGCTTTATCGCGTGCACAAAAACTGCCAGCTCGGCATCCCGTCTACAAGCATCAATCGCACCAGAACACCAAGAACTAATCAAGATCGTCTCCGACCAAAACGTCCAGACAATGCAAGAAGCCGATATAATAATCCTCGGCTGCAAGCCCTTCATGGCAGAAGCCGTTTTAGGCGAAGAAGGCGTCCGCGATGCCCTAGCCGGCAAACTCGTCATCAGCATGCTAGCCGGCCCAACATGTCCGACCCTGACCCACCTCATCAACCCAGACCCCAACGCCGCAGACTCCCCGCATCTAATGAAAGCCATCCCGAACATGGGCGCACAGTTTGGAGAGTCGATGACAATCATCGAGACTCCTGCATCGACAATCCCGCAATCCATGGTTGCGGCCACGGAGTGGATTTTCAACCATGTCGGTGCGGTCAAGTACCTAGGCCCTGAGTATATTGGACTAGCGACTGTTCTTGTTGGCGCGACGATGGCGACACTGACGCTGCCGATTGAGGGATTGTTAGATGGGTGTGTTGCGGAGGGATTTAAGCGGGGGGATGCGATGGAGTTGGTTTTGCAGGGGATTCGGGGGCTGTCTGCTGTTCTGGAGTCTGGACAACATCCGGCGGTTGTTAGGGAGAGTATTTCTTCACCGAGGGGGTGTACTATTCAGACGCTTTTGAGTCTTGAGAAGGCGGGCACGAGGTCGGATTTTGCCGAGGCGATTGTTAGAGGGAATACGCATTTGAAGGAGAAGATGTAAATGTAGAGAATGGGGTGTGAAATAGAAATTATACAGCCAGTGTATTTATGTGTGAACATTTCCTTGTAGATATATGAATCGAACTGATTTGCACTTGAACGCCTGATTTCCCCGATTGGACCCGTTTCCCCGGATTATCATCCCCAGATATCATCATCATCCTTGACCAGATCATCTTCATTCAATACTTGCAGACCATTCCCACGCTCCTCTCGCTTCCGTTGTCGCTTTGTCACCGTGCGCCCGGGGGTAAATGGCGTTACAGGAGTAAATGGCATGTACGGACTGTATGGCGTAGCCATGCCCGTGACAGGACCCATTCGGTTCTTCACCGGTCGTTCCAAGATAGTGGTCTTGGTAGCTGGGGCACTTTGCGGCGGGTACGCCTCACGGAATGGTAGGTTGGACGGCACGGACAAAGAAGGAGAGGGAGTAGACAGAGTTAGAGGCGCCGGTGGACGGGCGCGCCCGGGAGGGGCCATGAGTGACTCCCTTGTCCGCTGCCCCGGCGCGACTGGAGGAGGACCGGGGTTATAAACCCGCGGGGAAAGAGGCGGGTCTTCGGGTATATAGGCTCGAGGTGTGACCACTGCTGGCGAGGCTAGGGGGGAGGAGATGGGCATTTTGCGGATAGCTAGGCGTGGCGAGCGCACTTTACTTGGTTCTGGATTGGCGCGGGAGGCTGTATTGAAGAGCTTGGATAAGCGGGAACTGTTGAAACCCTTGGTCGGGGACTTCAATGGAGCTAATGGCGCCAATGAATTATCCGACATGTGGGAGCCACGGTCAGTAAATGGATTTGTGAGTTGGCTGTCCGGCGATTGTGCTTGGAGGTCTTGTTCGCGGACGGATAAATCGACCCCAAAAGCCTTTTGGGCGTCATGCTCCATGACCGCCGCGTACAGCATCTCCATATCATTTTGAGCTCGTTGTCGGTCGTTTGCGACAATGGACTCGTCGATGGTCACCATGCTGCCGTTCACGGATGGTTGGGAGGGTCTGGAACTCCTGTTCAATGACCCCCAGGACTTGAATCCACCTGATTTAGGACTGGGGAGGTTGTGCGACATTGGAGAGACTGGACTGGGATCCATGTTGACGGTAGGTCTGGGAGGCTTCAGAATTTCCATATGCAGGGTATAGTTGGACGACTGAACTGTCCGACGCAGGCGACGTCCGACGAAGATGAGTAGAGCTAGGAGGATAGCGACAAAGATGACATAGGCACCCACGATGCTTCCAACTTGAATTGCTAGCAATGGTTTGTCCACTGTTGGAGGTGCAGCCGATTTGAATTGACGTCGGGTGTCCTGCGCCTGAACCGGGACACTCTGTACGGCCAGGAGAGTAAATAGGACAGGCAAAAGAAAGACCGGTTTGATCATTTCCGGTGTCTGCATTATAAACAGTGGGAGAGGGAGAGGATTTTAAAAGTAGGTGTAGTCACTGATCGACATTGCGAAACGTCGAAACTCACAGGATTTGGGGTGATACATGTTCCCAAAGGTGATGGGGCGGCAGGGGGAGGGGGTATAAGAACCAGCCATAGGATGTGATGAAGTGAAAAGAAGTCAGTGCAAGGTCAAGGCATTTTGCTTCTTAGCCTGTCGTTGGTCGCAAATACGCGCCTTCATGCACGATCGTCACTTGGCGGCAACCACTCACAGGGAAGAACCCTAACTCCCCGCCAAAAGTCCTTTGGACTTATTTTAGTCCATTTCTAACTTATGATTTAGGGACGTTGGAATATTCTCAAATGCACTTCTATGGAGTAAACTAAAGCATATTTCATTTGGATCTAGAATCTCCAGACCTTGGGAGTATTCCTCAAATAGCATACCAAAGTATACGCAAGTGCATAGTCAACACCAATTCGTATCACCTATAATGATGAGAATCTCTGAGAGAGCTTTAAGAACCCTGAATCGAATGGACATTATTCTATTATAATATAGAATAAAGGCATAATGCGATTTTGTTGAGCATTTGGTCGAAAGAGGATATCTCATCCACTCATCCCAAATCACTGAGATCATCTCACAAAAGAAACATTCCAAAGCACCTTCCCTCTGTTGTTCCTTCCAAATGGGACTCCATCACGCCCAGGTCAACTGGGCAAGATGTCCAGTGAACTCATCCTCGTCGTCCTCATTCATCACATTCAACTCTATACCACAGCATTGCTTTATCAACCATTCATCAATTGTTCTATCACATCCACATCCATCAATTTCTTCAAGGTCCTAATGGGCAACAAAGTCTCCGCTGTGAACGGTGTCAAGTCAGAGCATTTCTACGACCAAGGCAACGCCGTCAACGAAATCTGGGTGGGAGACGTTGAAGTCATCTCCCGTTTACCCTTTGGCGATTCCGACCTCGAGCAAGCCGGTTGGCCCGCAGGAGACTTCCCAAAGATCCCGTGGCATCATTTCATCATCCCCATGCAGAAACGAGACGAAGCCACCAACATGACTGCCAAACATACCTCGTTCGATATGTATGGGACTTATTGTACTTGTCAAGACTGGCTACCAAAACATGGGTACCTGGGCATGTTCACGAGCACCTCTGCAGATGCTGCATATTTGCTCGGGTCATCGTTCCTTACCATCTCTACCGCCCTATACATGTCCTTTCTTTCCAGACTTGTCACTGCTTTCAGGAAGTGGCAAGATTTGCGGGAGGCCTCACATCTCTTCCCGGATCCGGACGAGGTCAGGCGTATAGCTAATCGTCACCTTTGGATTCGCCTCGGGAATGCATTCATCGTGTTTACTCTCTCTGTTTTCTGCCTCGTGGTGGGCGTGCCTGCTGTCGCTGCTGGCACAAAGAAGATGGATGCTGCAAGTTTTGTTGTGGCTAATGGGTTTGGGGGTGGTCTGGTTATCCTCGTCAGCAGCGTCGTCGCCCCCTTGGTGCTGCTATGGCGTTCGAGAACACCACGTCCTGTGAAGAGCGACCCTTAGTGAGAGCTGAAAACTTCCATCCAATGTCGTGAGGGCGGCATCCAGTTTTGTGGAGAGAAACGTTGAATGGCCGGGAGGTGGAGTTGGAGAGACCGTCTTTGTCTTTTTTTATTTCGAGTGCTCTTGCTTGGCATGTCTTATGTCACATTATTGTTATATGCTTATATCCGATATAACCATACACAGCATGAATAAAAGCAAAGTGGGAGAATTGTCTGTTTTATCGCTTGCTGTCCTCATGATTTAGTGAATAAATCGCGCCACAGCTCTTTCATACCGTATCCTTTCGTCTGATCTTCTTCGTGAACCTGTACAGTCTGGGCCATGCCCAGTGACCCATACTTGTTGGAAGGAACCGGCGGAACGATTGATGATGGACGCGCACGCTCTGTCGCTCGACGCTTAATTTCCTCTGGTAGCTCAGGCGCTACTGCGGCATAACATGCCTTGAGTTCTCGATCAAGATTGATATATGGTTTGTGGGCGGAGGCTGGAGCTTGGAGGTTGTATGTGCGTGCGAGAGAGTTGATTTGTTTCACGGCCAGTTCATGATAAGAACGTTCGATTGCGAGATAGCCAGGGTCTCGCAATGGTGGGAGATGGGCTAGATCTTCCGAAATTTCCTCGCTGTCATTCTTGACCGCAGGTGATTCTTGGGATGTGTCCGACTTGGAGACTATCCGGCCATCAGTATTGATCTCCGAGATGGATGTATGCTCTTCGGATGAAGCCGCCAACTTTGCTTTGTCTGCCAACCGAGCCTCGGCTGCAGCATAGGCTTTTGCCCGCTTCATTTGTGCGTTCAAGGACCCACCCTTGCTCGCAATCAACATCGCAGCATGTCTCCGCCAGTCCGCCCGAAGACGTTCGCGGAATCGATTTAGCTCCAACCCAAGCTGTTGCTGCTTCTCGATCCACGGCGGCACAATTTCCTGCTGTTGGATGATCTTATTCATAAAATATTCGGTTGTGTCGATGAATGCGCTGCTCGCATTGGGATCCGGCTTTGTATTTACGCCTTTCCCACGACGGATCTTCTTAAATTGTCCACGCGCAATCGCATCTGCGATTCGCTCATCCGCCAGCGACGAAAGACCCGTAATCGAGATCGGCATGGAATGAGCCCCGGGTGTCAAGTTCTCCCTCATCTGACGGCGCATATCCTCGCGCTCTTCTTCGGAAAATCCAGGGGCCTGACTTTGCGTGTAGGTAGTAGTGCGTTCTTTCGCTTCAGCAAGTCGCTCTCCGCGAGACTTTTTGGGCCTCGGGGCGGGTTTGAGGTTCACGGGATTGGGGATTTTGTAGGGCATTCGGATTGGTTTGCTCGCGTCATCTAGCATGCGTAGAGTCGTGTCCTCCATGCGCTCTACTCCTGTCCATGCTGGAGCGGCGGCTTGCTCTCGCGTGCCCTGTCCTGCGGCAGACTACGATAAGGGAATGCGGATCAGTTTCTGTTGGACAGTAGGATATGATAAAGATCACATACGGGCATTTCGACTATAGAATGAGCAGCAGCATACTGGCTCCTAAATGAAGAGGCAGCAATGCGCTCTGCGAGCTCATTTTTCAGTTCTTCTGAGAACCCTGCCTGCTCGAAGTTGCGATGCGCAGACCGTCCACCTTCTAGTAGCGCATCTTCGGTCATCTGAGCCAGACGGCGTCCCATCGGACTATCTTTTTCCCCTCTTTTGAGTCATCTTTGCCATCCTTGTCCTCTGTCTTGGCCGTAGAGGGAGATGTTTGATTCAGGTGGCATGATGCGGAGAACCGCCTAGACGTGAGAGCTATTGGAGCTCTAAAGGTGCATGTTGAAGAAACACCACGGAGCTGTGTTGACAGACCGTATCTCCCAGACATACTGAGTAAATCTTTGTTAGATTAACAAACCTTGCGACATCAAAAAGAGTGTACAGGACTTGTCAGAGGGTGGCAAGCCCTCGAGGTAGACAAGCTCGGGGGCTGATCAAGATTAGTCATCCACCTCCGCGGAGTGGCCGAAACTTCGGATTTTGTTTGTCGAAGGTCCGTCTCCGGTGCCAGTATCCCATCGTCAATCCCCCACACGGTCGCTTCAAGGCATTACGCCTCTTCTCGCTCCAATTTATACCTCTGTTGCCCGTTTTGCCGACCTCATAATTGCCCACCATGGCACCCAAAGGCTCCCTCTCCACCCGGCTCAACCCGATGCGTCTCAACACCATCAACCACCTCCGTGTTCGCCGGCCAAATCAAAATGAGCAGAACCCCTGCGTGGTCGTGATGTCGTCTATGCTTAGTATGTTTTTCTGTCTTCCGTCGCGACATTCACGCTGTCAATCCCTCGTCGCCGATGGCTTCGCATTCCAGATGTCGAATACCTCGAATCTCGAAATCATGAGTGGGTTACTGACAATATTGCGTTGCGAACAGACTGCTGGGCTTCCGCTGGATACGGCGCAGAGGGCTGCGCTGTTCTCGAGGCTCAATTGCGCAAGTGCATGGATGCACCGGTACGTCATATTTCACCGTCGTTCTTTTCCTTCATTGTCAACACCCTTCTAATGAGTTACTCCCGCATACAGAAATCCAAGGAACAGAAGAAGAACACCGTCAACTACCACCTTATGAGAATGTACCCCAAGGTCGTTGGTCCCCGGAAGAAGGATGGTGTTCTCGGTTAAAATGTTCTTTGTACGACTGGAGTGTTCGCGATTCTATCCTGACTTGGTAGCAGAAGCGAGTTGTCCACCTGGAGTTTTGGGTTTCTTTTTGATACATTATTACGCGAATACTCTGGCCTTTATCAGATCTGCTGGTTTGGTCTAGGTATCTTGCACCAGAGGCTATGGGAGTTGGCTTTTACTCATATGTACAATATACAACTATGTGGGATGTGGAATCACCTGTCACAACAATTGATTATACACTTATTTCATACTGCTTGGGGTTATGGCTGCGTGTGTACAGTATATGATTTAATATATACACCGGGATGATTTATTTTTCAGGGTCTTTTCAAAGGTCTTGGGCAAACTTCCCTTAATAAAATCCCCCGCTCCCAACTTTCGATTCTCTTCTTTACCATCCTCGGTCGACACACTGAATATCCAATCATGTCCGTGACACTCGCCAAAGAAGGCGAATTTGGCGGTCTCCCTTTCGGGGATTGGGCCTTAATTGAGAATGATTGTTGACTTATTCTTAGACCCGGTAGCGTCTACGTTCTTATCTCTTGGTAGAGAGCTTTTTAGCACAGAAGTAATGCTCCTCTCGGCGCACCCCAATTTCCACCATAGGCAAGAAAAGAATAGCCGACTTAACCTTCTTCTTACTTCATTCTGCTTGTCACTTATTCTTACAGCAACATATGGCTGATCAAATTAATTCTATTCTGAGCTCATACTACTTGTAGCAATAGCTGCGCATGGAAGGTCTCCTCCAAGACATCTCAAACAGACTCAAACTTGAGGATCAGTTTATCGCCTGTCGGTTTCACAGTGTAAGCATCGATGGCTTCAATATTGTCATCGTTGACAATGGTGGTGCAAAAGTTGGTGTATATCGCAGCCACGGCCAATTTCATTTCTGTCAAGCGATAATTAGCATAATTCAATGGTTAGGATTTTTTTTTTATCCATATGTACCTTGCAGTGCAAGATTGCTTCCCACACACATACGTCCTCCACTTCCAAATGCCCAGAACCACCGACGTCGCTCTTCCAGATTAGCCGGCGAATTTTCAGCCTCCAGCCAACGCTTCGGCTGCCAGGTTTCTGGATCTGGGAATACCTCTGGGTTGCGGTGTAGTGAATATGCTTGCGCATTCACTCGGGTGTTAGGTGGGATATCTGCATAACCGGCCAGCGTGCAAGATGGAGACGGCGTTACCCGAGGCTGAATACCAGGGATCGGAGCATGAAGTCTCAAGGTTTCTGTCACAATCGCCTCCAGCAGGGGAAGGCTATCGATTGACTTCGCTGTCGGCAGCTCGGCCGTCCTTGGGTACGAAATAGGGGGGTTTAGAGTGAGTAGCTCCTCTCGGAGCTTGTTCTGCACTTCTGGGTGTCGGGAGAGTTGCCAGAATAGATATGTGAGACCAACAGCACTGGTTTCAAAGCCGGCAGTCAGTTGGTCGTACATCTCGCAAGCTATATCGAGTCGCTGCTGGGCCTTGTCTGGCTCTGCTTCTCCATTCTTCGTAGAATGCTTGTCCAAGGATTGTTTCAACTGCTTATAGACAGTTGGTTCGATGCCTGGCTCTGTCGCTGAAATTACCTGCTCCGCCCTATCGCATAGGTCCAGAGCCCAAGAATCGAGCATTGCATTGGCTTCGTCGCAGTATTTGGGTATCACGCGAAGACCAATCTGCCTTAGCCATCCATCCAAATATGGGACCTCCTGGGCATAAAACTCGAATGGCTTTCGGCACATGTAAAGATGAAGCCAGGGCTTACGCACAGAATCATCTTGCAGGTAATTAGTGCCATTCTTCAAACCGAATAGATAGGATGAGACGAAGTCCAATGTCAGTCCCTGGTTTAGATCATGCACATCGACAGATTTGCCGGAAATTGCCGCTTCTTGAAGAATCGGCAGCAGTCGATCGAAGATGACTGCATTTGAAACTATCCGCATATGAGGGGATGCTTGCAGAGTTGATTTGGAATAGATGTTAGACAACATCTTTTTTCGAGTTGAATGTGCCTTGCTTCCTGTCATGGTGAACATGCTCACTGTTCTGTTTCTCAAGGTGAGCTACTTTTCTGACTATGGATCAGTGCCCATACTAACCCAAATGACGCGAACACTCGTGGATACCAGTCATGCTTCTCAAACCCGCCAGCATAGACCGACTTGATCCCTCCCTCAACACAGTTGATCGAGATCTCTGATGGACCTAGCCTAATGATAGGACCGAGTTTCTCGTGGGCGCCCTGAATCGTCCGGTTGTTTCGGCTTGTGAATCGCCTCCATAACATCCATACCGGCGAGAAGGAAGCACTCCAGTGGACGTTGGGGATCTTCGACAGCGGGGAAAGAAATACAGGGTAAATTAACACCCTGTAGAAGATGTAACCAGCGACAAATGCTATCGCCGAGGCAGTGATCGAAAATGCCATTGTGAATGCTGGATCGAAAAGGAATCTATCCCCCAAGGGCAGGTATAAGAAAAGCGGATTGGGAACCCCTCCGGGCCTCGGGGCCGCATACAATGGAGATTGCCGACACCGCTGTGCCACTAGCTGTTAGACTAGCCAACGCCCATCCGTGTATTACAGGTGGTGCCGAGTGTGATCCCTAATTGCAAGATTAACCTATAGACCCCATACCGTTCGATTCCCACTCACTCTGATTCGTCTTACGTTTGCCGACGGCGAATAGTTAGGTAATAGAATCCCGAAGGTTTCGCCCGAATGGTCAATGCGAGAGGACCTGGATACATGCAGATAGATTCGATAGGGAAACTCTCTTGTCCAACCTCGGGGGACCTACGACACCGGCATTACCGCTTTCCCCGCGAAAGCGATAAGGTGATAAGGTAATAGGACGATAAACGTCCAATCGACTGTTGTGTCTTCAGATCCTTGTTATGTGAGATATTATACACTCTGCTATAGCCTTGTTATTCTACAAAGCTTGAAGATTTGCATAATTACTTGTTGGACGCCAAAAAGGCGGACTGCCCTCCATGACTGCTCAAGCGAGCTCGTGTGCTTACGTCATAAGGCAACCGGTGCCCACTTGGGGCAATTTGTGTATGAAATTGCTACAATATATTGTATGAAGATCTGAACATCACACGATCGACAATTGTGGGGTAGAATACAGATCGAAGCTCTAATCTACTTGTCGTGAACCAATGGGGCTCTTTCTGCAAAATTACCACTTCCAGCACACTCAATGAACACCAAAACAAATCAAAGCGGCGGAACCCAACAAAGAACGATGACGATAGTCTGAAAGCTCAAAGCAATTGTTCTCTTCACATCCCTGTCAATCAGGCTTTCACTTTCAAGATGCTCTCTGAGCTCCCATCGGAGATCATCTATCAAATTGCGACGTATCTCCCGACTGCCAATGCATTAGCCCATTTGTCGCAGACATGTCACAGACTGCACGGCATTATCACTGCTGAAAATTCTCGGATCTTCCGAGCCTTTGTGCGAAGCAGATTTCCGTCTATTGAGACACCGCCATTCTGGAAAGATGCGGCACAAGCTTTAACTTCTAGGTCCCGGGCCCTGGACAGAAAAGCCATTATCGGTCGATTTGTTGTGCCACCTGAAACTGCGACCAAGATCGGCTCGCATGAAGTGACTCGCCAAGACAATCCGACCCTCGGGTACAGACCTTCAATTGATTCTTACGAGATCTGGAATGGCCAGCGTTGGGCTAATAGGAAAGAGGTTCTTGCCTGGGGTGCTGCCAACCAGCTTGTGATGAGGATCAAGCAAACCGGTGCTCGCTCACAAGAAGACTGGCTTGTGTTCAATGATGTTGATCATATTAGCAGCTATGATGACATTTGTTCTCTGCATCTTTTGTCCTCGGGGAATCAATACAGCAACGATACCGACGTGGAGCATCTGATCTTTGGTCGGGTTAGAGGTGACATTGCTCATCTTGCCATATCTCCCAATGAAGGAAAATTTGAGTACAAGCAGAAATTCATGGCACATGGACTCAGACTCGATAAAACAGATTTGATCAGTGACACGGATTCTACTTTGGCTGCTCATTTCGAAAATGGATCCATCGCTTTCTACCATACCGAGACCGACGAAGAGCAAATCGAGCCTTTCACATGGATTTTGCCAGAAGCCTCCTCACGAACCAACTACTCCAAACTGCTATCCTCATCACTAGTAGCAGTGGGAACTGGAAATGTGGAAAACTCCATGTCTATCTCGAAAATCACACCAGATGGGGTCTCCGCATATCGACAAATCGGAATCGGTTCTCTAGATACCGACTCTACAAGCCTCAGATCAAAGGCCAACATCGGTGCCATCGAGCCTCTCAATAACCACAACCTCACAGGCTGCCCCGGCGAAGTCTTCCTAGCTGCCTGGGACGACCACACCGTCAGACTCCATGACCTGCGCTCCCCAGAGCCCTACGAAGTCTCCTACAAAGACCTCACAGACCTCAGTCCGATCTACAGCCTCCACGCCTTCGGACATGAGCGCTTTCTAGCCGGAGCTGGTGGCGAAGCCTTGGTCAAGATCTTCGACCTGCGCATGTGCAACACATACAGTTACCTCGATGCACAAATACCCGCCTCGCAATCGCCGAGCACACAAACTACAACAAATATCAAATCCAGCACCATGCCCAGAACGAGAGCACAATCCAATTCTAAAAAGGGCTTCTCGATCTTCCTTTCCTACCACCCACCCCCTACATTCCTCCAGCAAACCCCAGCCCCAACCCGAAACCGCCAAAGAGGTCCTTACCGAGGCCCCATCTACACAATGTCTTCGCCCTCGCCCTCTTCGCCAATCGTATACACCGGCATCGTAGACGGGGTGGTTCAACTCGACTTTGCATCTACGGATGACCTAACCGGTCCGCAGAGAGAGTGGTACGAGGCTAATCTGGACCTGGGCGTGAACACGGGTTCCGATGTCTTACCGCGCTGGAACGCCGAACCGTTCAATTTGGCTGGCTACGAGCGCCCAGATGAAGATGACTCTGCTACTACTTGTAAGCTGAGGAATCAGCGCGCGTTTAGGGATCTTGGACCTGAGGATATGGCTAGTGAGACGCATGCCGGTTGGGATTGTAGGTGGGAGACTTTGGAGGAGCCTGGAGCTTGGAGGAGGCGGGATGAGTAAGTTATGGATTGGCGATTTTCTTCTTTTGCACATTATACGTAACGCTGTTTTTGAAAGAGATTGGTCGAGCTAGAAGGAGCTTGCGTTGGTAGGTTACGTCCTTGGCCGTTTTCCTACGTCATAGAAGATTGCAAATACTTCGAGAATGCGTTGAGAACGGATCCCAAACTTTTGGTTGATGTAAGCTAATGAGTAAAAAAAAATTATATGGCAAATGTTGGGTCCAAAGACCTTGTCCATAGCTCCGTGTACGCCGTGCTGAGTGAAATTGGTAAAGTATGATGCGGGATATGAGAGCCTCCCTTATCTCCATATTCATCCATCGCAGCGAACTTGAGTTGTACTGCAAAGAGTGCAGCGACAAAAAGATACCGATTATCCCTCCGGCAAAGCGACATCCAAGACAAAAGCCCAGTCTCGGGGGTGCTTTGTGGGTTTGGTGGCAAATTTGTTGATTAGATGCTGACAATAGCCTGGTATTATGGACTAGCAAGTACGTTTGTGTCGCAAAAGCAAATAGTCGTCGTCATTTAGTCCTCGAACTTGAAAGAGGTCGTGCCGGGGGCAATGTCGATGGGACCGCCGCGGTAGGAACCACGCTTCTTCTTGTTCTTTTCCTTGGTGAATCCCTTGCCGCGAGTCACAGACAGGTCCTTCCAGGCGCGGTCTGCGTAGGCGTACGACATGTAGTCGTTGGAGGGGTGGTCATGGGGCAGCTCGCTCAGGAGAGCCAGAGGGGTGGGGCGAGCTCCGGTGTGCTTCTTCTTGACGGGTCCGTTGCCAGGAGCGGGGCTGGCGCTGGAGGAGGTGGTCTGAACAGCCTCCACTGCCTTCTTGGCGGGCTTGGTCTCGGTCTCGGGGGAAGCGGCGAGGGTGTTGCTGTCGGATGAAGATTCTGACTCAGAAGAAGAGTCGGACTCGGGGAGAGGAGTCTTCTTTGCCTTCTTCAGGGCCTTCTTGGATTCCTTCTCGGACTCGGACTCGGACTCGGACTCGGAAGAAGAGTCGGAGGATGAGTCGGAGGATGAGTCGGAGGATGAGTCGGAGGATGAGGAAGAATCAGAGGAGTCAGAAGAAGAATCAGACGACGAATCCGAGGACGAATCGGACGAAGAAGAGCTCGACGAGGAATCGGAGTCAGAGCTGGAAGAATCCGAAGAAGAAGATGAAGAGTCGGAAGAAGACGAAGAGGAAGCCTCCTTGGGGGTGGGAGCAGTCTTGGCCTTCTTAGCCTTAGGGCTGTCATCTTCGGACGAAGAGGACGAGTCAGAGTCGGAAGAGCTGCTAGACTCGCTGCTAGACTCAGCCTTGCGCTTCACACCAGCAGACTTCTGGACTGGGGCGGGGGCCGCAGCCGGGGCCGCAGGGGACTCATCATCATCCTCATCATCCGCATCGCTGTCGGAGCTGGAAGAAGACGAAGAGGAGGAACGACTGGCCTCGCCCATCTCAACATCCGAGTCGCTATCGGAGCTGCTGCTGGAGCTGGAAGAAGAGCTGGGGCTAGCAGACTTCTTCACGCTAGAGCTCTGCTCCGAGGCCTGGAAGAGTTCCAAGAGAGAGGGAACATTTTTCGCATCGCTCTTCTTGATCGACTTTGCCGCTTCCTTGATGAATGCGGTGCTAGTCTCAGGGAAATTGTCCGACAAGAAAGCCGCGACCGAGGCGATCAGCTGAGGATGGATTGACTTGGTCTTGGGAGACTCGGTCTGAAATTAAAACACTGTCAGTCGGATCACCCTATTTGTTTGTCATGCCAATCGACATGTCAAGTTGAAAGTAAATGAAGCGTACCTTCTTGACCGAAGTCTTCTTGCTGGAAACCTTTGCCATAGTGACTGGACGGTTCGTTTCGATAGCGAAAGAAAGAGAACCCGGGGACTATTTAGAAATAATCTGCCAGCAACCAAAAAAAAAAGAGAAAGAAAAAAAGTATATAGAAGGCGGTAAGCTGTCAGCTTGACGGTTATTGGTGGAGGTTGATGAGTGTTGATTAGCGGAGATAGGCGGTGGTTGGCGCATTATTATTCCGGCACTACCCAATTCGTTTTTCTGATTGGTCTACTTATTCCACCGCCCTTGGTCCACCGTTTTCTCATCTCCACCCTACCCTGCCATGCCGAAAGCACACGCTAATGCACGTAGGCCATCGGTAATAAGTATGGTATCTGCTCAAATGCATATATACTGAATATAATGTCAGGCAACTCTTTTGTGACTGAAAAGTTGCCGAATTTACATAAGAGTATTATGATATTTAATTCTAATAACAAAGATACCGAAAGCCAAAGCGGATCATGACTATTCCAAAGGCCATACGACTGTTACGGAAAACGAGGACAGCTGAAGCAATAAGACTGGATCTCTCTGTTGATGAGTTCAGAACTAAGAAGCTAGCTAAAAATAGTGTCCCGGTCCATCACCTGGCCTAACCTGTAACTGTGACCGTGATAACCGCTTTCCCGATTATCCAAGTTAGTATGTCCATGGTTTATTCTCAGTGTCAGAAAATTTCGCCCGTAGGCGTCCTTGATTCTCCGTAGGACGTTGCTTCTCTGTAGACTTTTGGGAATCGGACGTTTCATCGACATTCGGGGGTAGCAGTGAGAGGCCGCTCACTACATCTTGCTTCTCCGGAGGACGTTGCTTCTCTGCAGGCTTTTGGGAATCGGGTGTTTCGTTGGCATTCGGGGGTAGCAGTAAGAGGCCGCTCACTGCAAGAAGGTTTTCGATGTTGGTGCTTCCACTCGGGGCAAGCCCACCACAGTCTTCAAAATCTTTTAGGGCCTTGTCGATTATCTCCACCTGGCCACTCATGTGTAGAAAGTTTCCAATACAAGCGTGGATTTCGAGAAGTTTAGGATCTGGACGTTCCCAACTTCCTTTATGAACTCTGAACTTAACAAGCCGACTTTTAGGTAAATTTCGTATTGGCCCTGTGGCGGTATCTGGAAAGGTCTTGATTCGATATTGGTGAGTAACTCCGGTTGCTTCAAAAATGAGTCTGAATTGACCGAATTCCGTGTGAAGTTGGGAGTCTAGCATCAGGATGTTCTTTTCCGAATTAATCTGTTCTGAGGTAAAAGGCATGTCACGAAGAATTAGAAAGTAGCGCCTTAGGTTAACCCAAATCTTCGCATGTCTGTCCACTGCCTCGCCATCATTAGCCTGAAAGGATCTAAGTGTAAATGGAATGATATGGGCCGCTTCAAGATGGGTCGTTATTGCGTTCCGTGGATAGGCGTGGCTGTGACTGTACTGTCCCGTTGCAAGACATTTATTGCCATCCCTTTCTAAACAGTGGTGCCGGAGTTGTGACTGAGAGCTTCTACTAATGGGCTCAATGTTTAGGCTCTTAAGATTCTCGATCGAATCTTTAACGTCAGAACGCGGAGACGGAGTGATTTCAGTGTGTGTTTTGCCACCCTGTGCTTTCATAGGAATCAATAATCCACTTCTGATGCTTTGGACTAGTTGCCGAAGCGTCTCATCGTTTGCACACCCTGAAACGTCCCCCGCCAGATTTTTTTTTCCGCCAGGAGAAAGGACCTTGAAGAAGTCACGGAGAAATTCCTTGGTCTTGTCCGTGGGTTTAAGTGGTGCGTAACTATTTAGCTTTCGATCCAGCTTCTAGCTTGATTATGAGTATCAAGAAGACTAGAAGACACGGAAGGACTCACCGTCTTTGTGGATGATGACATTCTGCCGATTACCCAGGTTGGCGTGCGCTTGGGGGAGGGTATGGCAGTTCCAGCAAAAGCAAGGCAGCCGAACCAGCTGTGACAGTTGAGAAGGGGATTGATGATAGATAAGTACGATTAGTTGAAGCCATGCAAAGGAGATGATGAACGAGTGCGATTGGTTGGAGGAAAGTAGGGTGGGGGCAGGAAGCTCAGGCTTAAAGTCACTTCTCACCGCTTTCCATATTCACGGGCTCCCCCGGGGCCTTGGGTGGATGACTAATTATATGCTAGCACCTGTCTGCCCACGTGAGCCAATAGGATCAAAGTAACGGATGGTCGCTATGCATTGCGATGGTACACCTAAGTAGGTCAGTAAACCTAAAAGCAAGTAATATAGTAAGACTCCAGCGAGCTACTGTCATGCAAAACCTCTCAATTAATGGCGAACATTCCGCACGTTTGTTTACCGCGTTTGGCAACCCCGGATCAATTCGATACTCCGCTCCAAGCTCTCCGCCTTCCGCCGCCCGAGACACCTTGATGAGCTAATTCGAACTTCAGCGCTGGCCACTTGCATTACTTTGGACCACAACGTGTACTGCTCTGTACCTCATATTCCCGGTTTAAACCCATTGTCTCTCAACGGATCTCAATTCCTCCGGCGCGTGGTGCGTAGTGGCGTCGCCGATCCCGACCCTCCCGACCATGTCCCCTTGATCTCGCGGCTACCCACACGTGAGCTCTATATCGCTCGATACCATCATGAACAGCAGAGACCGTCCCCGCGGGCCTCCGCAAGGGCCGCTACCAAATCGTGGAGATCTGCAGTCTGATTCGGGCTCTAGCCCAAGCACTATGACAAGAGGGGCCGCCTTTGAGGACGAGAAGAAGCGGATCATTCATAGTTGTTTCGCAAAAAAGGATGAAGACGGTCTATGTACGTACACAATCAACGTACTTCCTCGGCGTTGCCCTCCTACCCGACTTCAATCAATAGTGGTGTGCTTAGCGACACATTGCGAAAGTGACGTGGGATCGCAACACGTTTGCATCGTCGAAATGTCATTTTGCCTGCGATCTTTGCTAACCCAGCGTGTTGCTCCCAGTACTCGAATCTTATATTACCCATGTCCGCATCACCGAGGATGCAGCGCACCCCTCTAGCCCTTCCCCGCCAAAAGGACCACCGGAGAACAAGAAACCCCGTATCATTATCATATCGGTTCGAAAGTCAGGCAGAGTCCGCATACACAAAGCTCGAGAGAACAATGAGGGGACATTCTCTATCGGCAAAACTTGGATGCTCGATGATTTAACCGCAATTCAATCATTTGCTTCCTTTGTGCCGAAAACACCAGGAGAGCAGCAGCAAAAGGAATGGGCTGGCAATGTAGGATTCACAGTCACAATTGGAAAGCCATACTACTGGCATGCTAGGACTTCCAAGGAAAAGGAGTTCTTCATCGGGAGCCTGGTCAAGATCTACAGGAAATACACCAATGGAAAAATCCCCAACCTGATTGGTTTTGATGACAACGAGCGACAAATGCTGGCAAGCCATGGACAATCTGGACAGCCAGCACAGCCAGCACAGCCGGGTGGTCCCTCACATGGTCCACCACCAAGGGGACAGCCAGGACAACCAGGACAACTAGGCGGTCCTTCACATGGTCCACCGCCAAGGGGACAGCCAGGACAACCAGGCGGTCCTCCAACTGCTCCACCGTCAAGGGGACAGCTAGCACAGCCGAGACAACCAGGCGGTCCTCCAAGTGGTCCACCAAGGGGACCGGGTCCAATGCCTTCAACATCGGACAGCCAGTTGCCCCCTTCGCTACAACCGTCCTACAGAGGTCGTGATATTAGTCGCGATGCTCCCCGGGATGTCAAAAGAAAGCCTTCCGAAGACCCCACCCTTCGCACTCAACCAAGCCGCGAGCAGATGTCTCGGCCATCGACCGGTTCTCGGCCACCTACAGGACAAGGCAGACCGGCACCATCTCCCTTTGACATACATAAATCTCCTCCTCCGTCGCTCCTTTCCGGGCCACCTATGGACCAGCAACCGCCGCCACGCGCACCCGAACGTAGCGCAGCAAACGCAAAACCCCCGAGCTCACTCTCAGAGTCGAGGGGAACAGATAATCTGAATGTTGCAGCACAAGCCAGCAACTATGCCGATATTCCAGAATCACTCCGCCCATCTTCGTCTCGCAGCCAGGATCGTGGTCCCAAGCCCCCACCTCTTGCTACCCAGCCAGTCCCGAACAAAGCACCAGAATTCACGCGCAGCCAAGATCGCGCTCTCCAGCCCCCTCCTCTTGCTACCCAGCCAGTCCCGAGCAATGCGCCAGAATTCATGCGTAGCAATGATGCACTTCGTCCTACCACCGCTGGTTCTTTCAATAACGAGAGTGGGGACACAGCCCCACGTCCCACGCCTAGCATTGGGCCAAAGTCTCCCCAACGTGGTAGCGGCGAGAAGGCATTCACGTTTAATCAGCCCTCTCTGCCTCAAGAGAGAAGTTCATCCGATGGCTTATCACCTGGATCTTCCGCACAGCCTCGGGAACTGTCTTCGTCCCCAGCAATTGAGGGACTGGCTGCAGAGCCTGCTGCTATGGTGGCTGCGAATCTGCCCCCAGTAGATCCCATTGCTCCTTCCAATGAAAAGCCCAAGTCCCCTGTCGAAACTGTTCCTGCTGCGGAATCTCCATCTCAAGCTTCCCTAGAACAAGAGGCAGAACGCCCGGGGCTTGGCCCTATGGTTAAGAAAAAGGAAGGCAAAGATATTGCAGGCGCCTGGAGAAAGGCTGCAAATGCTTATGGTGGTTTCAAGCCCAGGGCTGGTGGGGCTGGTGAGCGACTGCTGGCAGCCGCGAAGAAGTCACAGGTTGATGCTGCGGGCCCTGATGGCATCACCAGCGTTGTTCCGGCGCCGTCCCTTACACGGTCGGCAACTGATCCCCCACAGAGCCCAGTAACAGCAAGGTCAGAACAAGATCTACAGCCCCCCGCGCCCGCTGCAGGGCCGGAGACACCAACTGTCGAGATCACAGAGCCAGCTCCTCAGGAGATCACGGTGGCCCCTATCCAAACTCCCGAGGTCTCTCGTGAGAATCTCTCTGATATTGTTGTAAAGGTTGAAGATCGTTCAAGATCACCATCCCCAGCAGCTCAAGGACGTCGTCGCAGACGCCGTGAAGACCACACTGTGAAATATTGCCAAGCCCTTGGAATTGATCCCAGCATTCTCGACGGACGTGGTATTGATTTTGATGACATTCTCACTGATCTGGGTTGGAACGGACGGTTGGCCGATGAACAGAAGATTGAAGATTTGGAAGCAGATGTTCGCCGTGAAATTGGCCGTGTCGAGGCCACCAGCTGGCTTGGAAACCTTGAACAGCAGGAAGGAAAGGTGGAACAACTTGCAAGCTTGATCGACAGAACGATTGAGGAGTGTGATGAGTTGGATGGTCTATTGACCCTTTACTCTCATGAACTGAACGTAAGTTTCGTAATTACAGAATCCATATTCATTTCTTCTATGCTAACTAGATTACATTATAGACTCTTCACGAGGATGTCGCCTATATTGAAGCTCAAGGTCAAGGTCTGCAGGTGCAAGCAGCAAATCAGAAGCTGCTGCAAAACGAACTCCAAACCCTTTTGAAGACACTTTCAATATCTTCATCCGAGCTGGGACCCCTCAAAGAGGCATCTTTGAGCAACCCTGATGGGTTGAAGGATACCGAAAGCGCTCTGGCGACGTTGTATAAAGCCATGGTCACAATTGACTCTGACATTGGACAGAACAAGAAACGTCAAGTCGATGCCAGTGTCGGTGTCTATGCTGATACAGAAATTGGTCAGATGCGCGCAATCAAACAAAAGAAGGAAGAGTATCGCTCTACTGCAAACATGTTCCTTAGCCGACTGCAGCAGTTCATGGCCCTTGCCTTCAAAATGGCAGAACAACAACGCATTGATTTGGCCAATGGTGCCAAGGATTCGATGAAATTGGACAATGCCGCGCGAGGGCACTTCCGTCAAGAGATCTGGCGGTATAACGCCCTGATACTGTTTGCTAAGGAGGTTAGCATGGCAGAGTGGCATAGCCTTGTCGGTCTCTATGAGCAGCAGTCCAAGCCTTCGTACCAGGGTGACTTCCGCGACAATAATCTGGCTTGGAAGAAGACTGCGCGCAAACCAACGGGAGATGAGCAGGAACTCCTCTTCACCCATCAAGAGAAGGAGAAAGAGGCCGAGGGTCTCACCATGGCTGCACGGAAGCTGACGGTGCGACGAGGCAAGACGGTGCGGGCTGCCGCTGGACTTCGACTGGCATCGGGCGGCGCGAAGAAGCAAGGAAGGGCTGAGCCATCTGAGGTATTCGCTGGGACTCTGCGGGAGACACTGAACATGATGGCTCAGGAGCAGAACTTCATTATCCAATTCTTCCATCTCGATTCTCTTGCCACCGCCGACTTTTCCGACTTGGTGGCTGCGACCATTCCAGACAACCGCTCTTGTCCCGATTTCTCTGCCAACCGGCCGCATGACCCTGATCGGAGAACGGCAAAGAGAGTCGAGCAGATCATGGATGAGGTTTACTCATTCTGGCCGAATGACATGCAAAGCATGGCGGACTGGGCAATGCAGGCCGATCCCCTTCAAGGAATCGGTATTCTCTATGCCTTGGAGATCGCCATGAATGACTTTGATGACACGAATCAAGAATTCATTCTTCATGCACTGCAGAAGATTCATTCTCGCTTGATGGGACTCTTCAACCGATTTGTTGACGAGCAAATCCGAGGCATTGAGGACACCAAAGTCAAGGTGAACAAGCGGAAGGGAGTAATTTCCTTCATGCGAGTGTTCCCTAACTTTTCCAATGCGGTGGAAAGCATGCTGTCCTCCCCGTCCAACGCCTTCTGTGACATTCGTGTTAGCGTCAATGACGCGTACGACCGCATCAACCGTGCAATGTGGGAGTCGCTCAAGTTCATTGCCAAGGAAGCACCCGGCCAACCTCCGGGTGTCACTGCGGGTGCGGGCGATCCGGAAGACAAGGAGATCCTGAACTACCACATCCTCCTCATTGAGAACATGAACCACTACATCGAGGAAGTAGATGTACACAACATCCCTGCGCTTGAACGCTGGACTGATCGGGCCCACCAAGACTTCCAGGAGCACATGAAGCTCTACCTCGACGCGGTCATCAGTCGCCCACTGGGCAAGTTGATTGATTTCGTGCAATCAATTGATAGCCTTCTCGCTGCGGGCGGCAATCCGACCGACATCGCAGCCCGTGCCAGCCACTCCCGCATGGTGGCGAAGAAGATACTCGCCTCCTATGATAACAAGGAAATCCGCCGTGGTATCGAAATGCTCAAGAAGCGTGTTGAGAAACACTTTGGTGACGCCGATGACCCTGGTCTTAGCCGCAGCCTTGTTGTTAAGGTACTCCGGGAGTGCGAGAACCGCTATGAGAATACTTATGACCGTACGCGGCAGATTATGGAAGAAGTCTACGAGGGTCAATTGGATCTGGACTGGCGCAAGGAAGAAACCCTTAGCATGTTCCGGAAATGAGATGTACTTATTGAAACTTAATTCCCCTTTTTTGTTTTTGCTTTTTTCCTATATTCTTCCAGATCTTCTTAACGTCTTGGATATGCCACCGAACGGGTTTAGGCAAAATTCTTCGAAATACATAAGTAATTACATCCTGGTAGAATCTTTAAATCGACTTGCAATGCTCTCAGGTTCTTTTTTGCAAATTCGACAAAAGCGACAATCCCGGGCAATAGGTGTCGGTATAGCAGCTTGACTAATTTGGGTGACTTGGTACAATCCCAGAAGATACGGGATATGACCAATGGTATACATGGCATATATTGAGTGTGCTGAAACGATCTAATACAGATATTTAGTTAATTGGAGACTTGATAACGTAGATACCTCAGGAAGCTGGCTTTTCTCAGTCAGCAGGTGTCGAACGAGCTAAGATATACGACCCTTAGCCTCTTTGAGTACAGCTGCCCTTAGACTTAATTACCTACAGACTACACTACATTAAATCCCAAGCCCAACATGAACTTCCTTCGAGAATGATGGACTACTTACCAGAAGCTAGGACACCAGTCCAAGGCCAGAAACGAAACCCTGCATTTTCTGCAGATCCCACTTCAGACAGAAAACGTGCTAAAGCCCAGTGCAGACTCACAGACACAACCTGGTACGTATGGTATCTAGTGTGTGAAAGCGTATGTTTATCCCGATATTTAAACCTTATGGACTTGAAACTGAACAAATCATAGTTCGATCAAAACAAAAAGGATTTAGCCAGTCTTTGCCTCGTCTCGAAGGCTATGAATGATCTGGCAACTTCTTTTCTATATCGTTCTTTCGGCATCGAGGAGTCAGATAATCTTGTGGGAGGTTATCCGGATGGCCTTCTATGTAGGCTTCTGGATGTCTCTCGCGACTCACCACGGTGTCTGGTTCGAAATATCACCATCTTACCATATAAAGGGTACGGATGGTGGTCAAGCATAGACCGACAGCCTATTTCGAAGACTCCAAAAATTGACATTGAACGCAGGACTGAATAAAGGACGGCCCTTGCGGGTCCCCCGTACATGAGAGATGTAGACGCCAAGTTCAACACCTTGACTTTCGACATGTTACCCTCCAAGACTATAGGCGAAGCGCCTGAATTGGTGCATTTGGAAAGGGAGCGCCAGGAGGAAAGGTGCCGTGGTTCCTCATATCCAACACCGCTCCACCACTTACAGCAGATTATATTAATCGCCGAGAAAGGCTCCCGATTTGCTCCCCGTCGTAATCCTGGCGGCGGTGAATCAAATTGCAGGCGGGCCTCTCCACGCGAAGTACCAAGGCTTGGTACTCGTCGGTCAGAGAGACTTGCACAAAGGCGGGAGATGGAGTCAACAGTGTAAAGAATTGGAATCCAATATAAGTAGGCTACAAATTTGAATTTTACGGATCAGGTTGGCCAAGATATTTCTATAAATATGCGTACAAGGAATGAGAAGTTGTAAACCATATAGTCATATACGATATCCCGCTAAACATCCTTTTTATACCAGATAACCTCCCTCTTTTCTTCCATGTTGCGCATCTAATAGTATATAGTTGAAGATAATCCCCGTAACTCCTAGTATAAAACTTCGAGTGATTGTGTTTCCACGGTCCAGTGAATAAATTAAACCGCTTTTCTAGTCATCAGCCTGGAATGTCTAGAATCCGGTACATACTATGTTGTACATATGTAGAGCTTTGAGTTCCAATTGATATGCAGCCAACATGCTATTGCAGATGTCAAACTGTCCTTGGGGCTTCTGGAGGCTCCGGAACTGAGAGGTTGAATTTTTTTATTTTTTTTTATTTTTGCTTATTCCAATGTCCCAGGTTATGCATAACAAAGTCGTGTCTACCTATAAAACTAAGGGGGAAAAGTACTTAAAAAAGGACATCTAAACAAAATATCCGAGACTATATAGACTAAAAAGATATCAGGCATAGACAATTCCATATAAAATATTCTTATTGGCCGACCCACCGTTCGGGGGCTTATAAGGGTTCAGGGGGAATAGGTGACGGAGGATGGAGGATGGAGGATGGAGGATGGAGGATGGAGGATCTATCATATTGTATTGGCGAATGGGAATGTCAATTATTGTTTTACATGTTAGGAGATGTAATCTTAAAAAGTCCTTTAGATATGCTAATATGAAGCAAGGTCAAGCAGGTATCCTAAAGTCTATGGTTAAGAGAGATGTGGGGGTGATCTTCGATCGATTTCCTTTCTCCTTTCAAGTCCTCTCTCTTTAAGATATTTCTATTTTCTTTTCTATTTTGGTTTTCGGGGTTCCCCTTGTGTGTTTTTTTTTTACGGTGAGTTTCTCTTCCCCACGGCTCTAAATTGTGTCTCCACCAAAATGTCAAGGGGGGCACGGATACTCAATGGCAACTCCAGACTTTCTGTCTAGAGATCTCTCTGTGTTCTTTCCTCGTGTTCCGACAGGGCAAATCACTTGGTCCTTGCGCTTCTCTAACCATGTCGCTTTAGATCGTTACTTGTCGCATAACATTCCTCGAATTCCCGCATTCCTCTCGTTATTCACCCACCAGGGACCCGATTCGAATCTCTCATTGCATGTGGCCTTCGATTGGAAACGAACATTCCTCGAATTGATCCACACCGAAACCCCTTCCCGCGCACATTGCGATCGGAGACCCATTTGCGGGGACTGGCACGCGGAGAATCGCGTCGATTCATAACACAGCCATGCCCTGGCGGCCGCTGCCTCGCATCGCCTTTGCCGTAGCCATATACCCCTTCAATCCGTCTTCCCCCGCAGATCTACCATTGGAGCTGGGCGATGAACTCTACATAATTGAACAAGGAGGAAAGGACGGCGAGTGGTGCCGGGGCTATTTGGTCGCGCCGCCCTCGCTGCTGGCCGGCTTGACAAGCACCAAGGGTCAGACTCTCGAAGCTCGCGTGTTCTCGGGTATCTTCCCACGGAACTGTGTTGAGATTAGAGAGGTGCTGGGCGACGGCGATGGATATAAAGCATTGCTAAATGCCGATCAGAAAAGCATTGATCGACTGACCCTGTCCGGCTGGGATGGAGAATTCACGTCCCGAAATAGTCTGGTTTATTCCGTCAGTGACTTCCAAACTGCTGGTGAGGTTTCCGACGTTGTCCTTGCGAAAAAGGGGAAGCCGTCCCAGATTATTATTCACAAGACCGATGGGTCAGACCAGGCTAGTCCGCGATGGCGGACGGGCTCAATCCCGCATACGCCTGTCTCCTTTGCTCCTCGCGACCCCGATGGACCCAAACCTGCTGCCCCGGTCCCGATGCTGAAGATCGGTGATGAAACTCCAACTTCGCTCACAGAGCCATTGGTTGATGAGATCGCATCGTGTCTGCGCGAATGGCATTCGACGAATTTGCATGAACTGCTGTTGGCACGTCGGTATGATGTGTTGGAGGAAATGTCAACCATTGTACAAGAGCTGGACTTTGCGAGACGACAATTGCTACACAATGTGCTAACTGGAAAGGAGAAGGAAGCATTGCGGGACGAGACAGTCTGGAAACTTGTCAAGGCAAACAAAATGCTCAGCGGGGACGTGATCGTTCGCGATCCCGAACAAAGAGGTCGTTTGCTGACGGGTGACGATTCCGCTATCCAATTAGCAAAGCTGCAGTCCGAGATGAGTATGCTTGACTCCAGTCCCACTCAAACATCCGATGTCACAGCACTCCATCATTTGCTGCTGGAAATCAACGCGGTATCAGGGAATGCGCCGGGCCAAGTGACCATTGGAATCCAGCTGTTTTCCCGATCGGATGCTGGTGCACTCAGTCCATTGTCTGAGACCTTTAGCTTAGATATTCCGTCTCCTGACAAGTTCATCAACATGAGCCAAAGCAGTAGACTGAAGACACTGTTCACCGATTTGGCCGCAACAGATATCGGAGATGGGTCCGCGAATGGGCGGCAGCTCTATCTGGTTGCTTGGGTTCGTGCTCCAGAGACTCGGTCCACAGCTGATACCACTCCGGTGTCGAGGCCATCAATCTCACGGGACAATCCGACCCCAGCCAAGGCCACGGCAAATGGAGGCATTCAACCCTCGGCCAAGGGCAGTTTGAGGACGCGACGCAGCATGATGTGGACGGCCAAGCAACGTGGGCCGAGCTTTGATCAGCCATCTAAGCCCACTACTCCAGGGATTCCACGAGCATCGAGCAGTTCGTCCAGCTTCCAAGAGCCAACCACCCCTCAGCCTGCTCCGACGAAGGAGGTCTCGGCGATCCGCACTGTTGGCGTTGGAATCCTGGAGATCTCGCCGATTCTACGTCAGGAAAAGGACGCTGAGCAGGTGATCAACATTTGGTCGCCCCGTCGAGACGGGGAAGACGGTGAGGGACTGACGGATGGCTTTGACAAGTTGATCCGCGCCTTGCTTCCTAGTCCCACCGGCCGGTATGTGCGTGCCGATCCTGCAGCACGTTTACACCTCCACCTTCGCCCCTTTGTCAGTAGCGACGCCGAGTTCCTGATCCGCCAGAACCCTACTATATTGCACGATGTCGTGCAGACACAGCGCATCGGATTCTCCAAGGCTCCCACAAAGCCAAGATCCGACATTTACGTGACCCTCTCTCAAGCCGTATTCCCCACAGATGCCCTCCTGTCTCACCCGCAGGCTGGTCAAATTCCTCTGCAGGCGAGCACTGGACTCCACAATCTGCAACTCACTCTCGAAGTGCGTGATGTTAAAGGAGCACGGATAGAGAAATGTGTCTTCCCTTCGTCCTCTAATACCTCGAACACGGCATGGCGCACTACAATCGCCCAGCGGGGCTCGCCTTGGAATCAGACCATTCGCCTCAAGATCCCCACGGAACAAATCCCTGGCTCGCACATGGTGATGAGTGTTGCAGATGCACCAGAATTCCCCTTTGCTCTTGCCTGGATGCCCCTTTGGGACCAGCAGGCTTTCATTAGAGATGGGCGTCATTCTCTGCTGTTGCATGCTTATGACA